GGCTACAAAGTATCAATTATAGAAGATAAATAAATCCCAGATACCTGCTTCCAGCCCACTGCTGTGGCCAACCTGAAAATGGCCATCAGCCCCTCACCTAGGCTGGCCAGGCACCCCAGCAGGGACCCCCACCCTGAAGGGGGTGTGGGAAGCCTGAAAACGGCCCTCAGCCCTTCACCTAGGCTGACCAGGCACCCCAGTGGGACCCCCCCACCCTGAAGGGGCTGTGGCCAGCCTGCAAACAGCCCTCAGTGCCTCACCCAGGCTGGCTCAGCGGGGACTTCCAACCTGAAGGGGGTGTGGCCAGCCTACAAACAGCCCTCAGCCCCTCACCCAGGCTGGCCAGGCACCCCAGCAGGACCCCCCACCCTGATCCGGGACACCCTTCAGGGAAAACCAGCCAGCCTTCACCCATGCACCAGGCCTCTATCCTATATAATAAAAGGGTAATATGCAAATTGACCCTAACAGCAGAATGACTGGGAATGACTGGTCACTATGACACACACTGACCACCAGGGGGCAGACGCTCAATGCAGGAGCTGCCCCCTGGTGGTCAGTGCGCTCCCACAGGGGGAGCTCTGCTCAGCCACAAGCCAGGCTGATGGCTGCCAGCACAGCGGTGGTGGCAGGAGCCTCTCCCGCCTCCTTAGCAGCGCTAAGGATGTCCAACTGCAGCTTAGGCCTGCTTCCCGCTGGCAAATGGACATCCCCCAAGGGCTCCTGGACTGCCAGAGGGATCTCTGACTGCCAGCTTAGGCCCAATTCCCCAGGGAGCGGGCCTACGCCAGCAGATAGACATCCCCCAAGGGGTCTCAGACTGCGAAAGGACACAGCTTGTTCAGCTTGTTCAATCATTAGTAGGACTTTTTTATTCTCATGTAATTTTTGATAAATGGAGGAGTTGTTTTTGTTTTGTTTTGTGTTTTGGTTTCACACAATACTTATGTGCAGTTGGAGAGTGCTTGTAGAAATATAAAGATCATTCACTAGTTGGGCCAATGTGCTCGGTGGTTGAGCGTTGACCTGTGAACCAGGAGGTCACAATTCAATTCCCTGTCAGGGCATGTGCCCCAGTTAAAGGCTTGATCATCAGTAGGGGGAGTACAGGAGGCAGACAATCAATGATTCTCTCTCATCATTGATGTTTATATCTCTGTCTCCCTCTCCCTTTCTTTCTGAAATTATATATATATATATATATATATATATATATATATATATATATATATGTATATATAATCATTCATTAGTGTTTACTTTTGCCAACTCTTTGCAGTATGTTGGCCAGAGGTTTATTTTCTCCCTCTTTTACTTGTTGATGTATTAAATAAAGAATTGATTACATAATGCTAGATCCTGTAATTCAGTGTGCTTAAAATATAAGACCTATATATTACTAATTAAATTGGCATAAGCGTTTTTATTTTAAATGGACATATTTTCCCTAATTTCTGTGTGTTTCTTTTTAATTTTTTTTTATTGCTTAAGGTATTAAAAAGAGTATTACATATGTCTCCTTCTTTTTTTCCCCCTTGACCTTCCCCCAGCCTCCCCTACCCCCCAGTGTCTTGTGTCCATTGGTTATGCTTATATGCATGCATACAAGTTCTTCGGTTGATCTCTTAACGCCCCCCCCCAACCCTCCCCAGCCTTCCCGCTGTCATTTGACAGTCTGTTCGATGCTGCTCTGCCTCTGTTTTGTGTGTTGATAGCCCTCAGACTGCACCTCTTTTTGTGTAAGAAGACACTGTGGGAAATTTTTCAGAAACAGCTCATATTTCCCACAAAAAGAGAGATTTTGGCATTATGATTTTATTTGTGCCTATCTCCTCCCTAAGATTCCAAAAGATATTTGTAAATACCCCTGCTGAGTGCGTTTTAGTCATTAACTACATATTTACTGGCTGAGCACTGTGCCCGGTACTAAGTATATAAAGATAAATCCGACTTCTCGTGATCTGAGTCACTGGGGCCACAGGTTTGTAATAGCTAACTATAAAAGAATGTGATCCTTGTCATCTGAACAGCATACTTGGGACAGAAGAAGTAGTTACTTCTAGTTGAATAACTGAAAAAGATTACATATAAACTGAGTGATGAAAACTGACCAGGAATTTGCTAAGAAGAAAAAGAGGAAAGTAAAGGTATTCTAGGTATTTGTGTTCAAATAAATTCATCTACTCTTCTTTTCCGTGCACAGACTGAAAAATTCATTCATTCATTCCTTCAACAAGTGTTTAATGAGCTCCTACTGTGACCAAGGAATTCAGAAACAAGACACGTCTAGGTCTGTGTTGTGTGAGAGTCTGTGATTGCCTAGAACCCGGAGACCATTTTTCTTTGCCCATAATGTATGTATATGTATGTATATGTGTATGTATATGTATATGTGTATGTATATGTATATGTGTATGTATATGTATATGTGTATGTATATGTGTATGTGTATGTATATGTGTATGTATATGTATATGTGTATGTGTATGTATATGTGTATGTATATGTGTATGTATATGTATATGTGTATGTATATGTATATGTGTATGTGTATGTATATGTGTATGTATATGTGTATGTATATGTATATGTGTATGTATATGTATATGTGTATGTATATGTGTATGTATATGTATGTATATGTGTATGTATATGTATATGTGTATGTATATGTATATGTGTATGTGTATGTATATGTGTATGTATATGTGTATGTATATGTATATGTGTATGTATATGTATATGTGTATGTGTATGTATATGTGTATGTATATGTGTATGTATATGTATATGTGTATGTATATGTATATGTGTATGTGTATGTATATGTGTATGTATATGTGTATGTATATGTGTATGTATATGTATATGTGTATGTATATGTATATGTGTATGTATGTATGTATATGTGTATGTATGTATGTATATACCACATTTAAGGGTTCAGTGAGAGAAAATTACATTCCTTCAGTTAGCCTGCAGCACACAGTGAGTGCCTACCACATGCTCAACAGTGTCCAGGAGAGGACACTTGCGGAAGGGTTGAAGGGCTGTGCCCACCCAGGCACAGTTTCTTAAAGACCAGAGAAGATGGGATTGGGTTTGGTGATTGGCCGTAGACAGGAACAAAAGAGAGAGAGAGGAGGAAAAGAGGCCTAAATGCCAGGCAAGCTGGCCAAAGAGGTTTTGGGAGGAGCAGATCAAGGGGACGATGGCACCAGCAAAGCTGAAACCAGAAAGGCCAGTGGGCGACGGGACGGCTCAGTGGTCACTGCTGGTGTGAGGGCCGCTCCCAGGAGCTGGGCAAGAGCAGCTGGCAGGGAAGGAAGCAGTGAGCACGGTAGAGGAGAAGCAGGACAGGCAGGAATGAGGTCCAGAGAAAATGTCCTGCGGAGTGGCACAGGCCTGCGTATGTTTAAGGCAAAATGGACGTGTGGATGCAGTTTATTGCTTTTGGGGATCAAATGTCTTGGCATATTTATTATTTCATGAAAATTCTCCACTTCAATTTTCTTTATATATTTTCAGGTTAACACAATCTGTGAAAAACTTTATTTTTATTTGTTCACTGAATATATGACATATGTATGGACTTTTTCCTCATTTTCAACTGTATTTAAATTTTAAGATGCAAATGGACATTTGCAGTGATAAGTAGGCCATATTTCTAATGGTTATGTATAGCTCACACAATAATTTTGACTCTTATTACATGGAATAGTTTCCATTGCAATGGCTCATTTTATCCTGAATAATTTTATTTATATGCTTAGAATATAAAGTCACTATTACATTTTTGCTACATGAATAATAAGCAGTGTCAACAGTGGAATTTAAAAGAGAATGATTACCAATGAAAACTGTTATTTTTGAACATGTATTCCACAGCATGAGAACAAAATGTATTCAGCCCTTCAATTTATAAAGAGAGAGAAATGTGTTTAAAATTGGAATTGCACCATTCAGAGAATAATTCATGCAGTCATAAGAGAAATGTAAATGCTTCATGTCAGTGTGTAGCGAAAAAAGTCACATTTCAATAAAACATTTGGCTACATAAAAATCTCTTCTTTTAAAGAGAGAAAATTGAAAGTCAGGAATCCAGCATCGGGCCTTTAACATGACTCAGAATCAGAAAAACTATAGAGATTGAACCCAGGTGATACATAGAAAAAAACATTATTCTATGAGAAATCTGATGAGCATCATCACTTCTTTACTTTCTTCTGATCCAACACAGACCTTAATTCAAGGTCAATGAACCCCAGCATATTAAGTATTTTAATGATCTTCATAAACAATAAGACCCTCTATGAATTGTAAGTGGGCGTTGATTTCTTTTTCCAGTGGGGCTGATGCTTTTGCCCTGGTTAGTCTGTGTTCTTGCACTTAGGATCCTCTGAGTTCAAAGCCACACGGTGAGAGAAGGTTTGCCAGGCTGTGAAACAGAACACAGCCAGCTGACCTGCCAGAGGTGAAAGCTGTGCCCTTGCCTGTGCTAACAGGGCTCCCACTGCAGGTCACTGAGCTAGGAGTTCACCTAGAGAGAGTGTCCTCTGGAGGCCGGCACCTGGTTCAAACCCAGAAGTACCAGGATGCTCGCTCAGTGAAGTGGGAAGTTTGGTCCAGTTTAGCGGCGGCACCTCCTGCTCCCCTCTTAGGCCCTGCTGTCATGTCTCCCATCTTTTGCACTGAGAGCGCCCTCTTTCCCTTCCCTTATTCCACACCGCCCATCCTTGACAAAATCCTTTTCTGGAAAGATGCTTGTATGCGTGTGAAAGCCCCAGCATCAAGTCTCCCGAAGTTTTTGAATGTTAAGTTTGTCTCCAAAGGATTGTTTTTCTCCTTACAGCTATCAAAAGGTAATTGCCAATCATATCCAAGGTAAATCATTTAGGTATTTTAGAAATCTCCCTATAAATTTCACCACGATGAGTAGCAAAGGTCTGACAGAAAGGGACAAGCAGGTTTTGCATTTATTCCTTTTTTTAACTTTATAGCGGAAACCTGCACTGGTGGTAGAAGATCTTTTTGAAGACATGAAAGATGGTGTTAAGCTGCTTGCTCTCCTGGAAGTCCTGTCTGGGCAGAAACTGGTAAGAATTTTTTCTGTGACCAGACTCATTGAATTCTTCCCATCTGGAATTGGTGGCGGTGGAGCTGGGAGTGGAAGGGACTCTGCCCTCATAAGATAAAGTTTTTCTCTCTTGTAGTCAGTAAGATGCAGGAAACACTAGTCTATTGGTCACTTCTGGGAGCAAGGAATACATCCCCTTTCTTGTTCCCTCACACGTTTAGTAGTGTGTATACAGTAGGTGTAAAACAGTGTATACAGTAGTGTGTAAAACAGTGTATACAGTAGGTGTAAAACAGTGTATACAGTAGGTGTAAAACAGTGTATACAGTAGCAGCAACCTTAGAATTAAGAGCAGAGACCTCCTCCGTAGTCAGTCAATCATGGTTAACTCTTGCATCCGTGTGGTACCCAGGCAGCTTGGTTGCACACGGACATCTACCTCACTTGTTAGCGAGCGTTAGCTTAGCTTGCCATGTGGAAAGGAGTGTCGGTCCATCCTGGTGTGTTTACATAGCCCTTTGTTGAAAAGTGAGCTGAAATCAACGCGGCAATTTTTCATAAGCTTGTGGCCACCCTCCAACACCAGTGCTTTCACAGGAACAGCACGTTCTGGATCGTTTGCTTTCAGACACAGCGAAAGCGGCCGAGTGCAAAACAACACTGACAGTGAGCGCTGCGTTTTTCCTCCAGTACTCAAATCATACAATATTCTTTTTCTGGATTATATTCATTTTTATTTCAGAGTGAGAGAGAAATAAGTAGTTTGCAGACATGAGCTATTATAAGTTCTGTTTACCATAATTAGAGAAAGCAGCTCAGGAAATGGTCTTCATCATGTTGTATACAAAGGGTTCAAAATTGGGAGTACTTACCTTTTTCTGTATCTATTGCATCTTGGCAGGTGCTACACAATCATTATTTCTTGGGTAACTTAGTGGGGTTTTTAATTGCTTTGCCTGAACATAAAATTTCTAGTTAATGTTGTGAAGAGAGTCCTCAAAAGAGCTTTTGGAAGAGGTTGCTTATTGAAACACACAAACTGATAGTAATGTTGTGTAAGTCATTTTCTAGTTTGATTCCTAGCAGATGCTTCCCGTGGCCTGGATGCCACCTCTGGTCACGTCTGATTTCAGCCACGCAGTGGTGGGCGTTACCCAGGCCCCCCACCAGCATCGGATCTCAAGCACTGGTAGCATATCGCTGGGATTCTGCCCTCCGGGCTTATCAGAGCCACAGATTGCACCAGGCAGCCCTCAAGTATAGGAGAGTTAACGGTCCCAGAGGACCCTCAACCAATGGCAGTGGGAGTCCCTGAGTAAATGCTCCAGCCGGGCACTTGCAGGAGGAATGGTTCTGAGGCCAATTTTACAGATCTCATAGAGCGCCCAGTGGGACCCGCAGGGGAACCAAGCCCAGTTGCCCACAGTGGGACCCTCCAGAGCACACCCTTCGTTAGCTTTTCCCACTTCCTTGTTTCACTTTTCACGAATCCTCACTCTTGCTTCCTGGGATCAGCTCCCCAATGAACTACAGGCAGCCAAGTCCTTTCCTCAGGCTCTGCTTTGGGGGAAATCGAACAAGACACATGAACAGCCAGTTTGGAAGATACAGATGTATGCATGAACTACATACGCTGGATAAGTGTTAGGGTGTAAGAGGCATTGAGCTGAAATACATACTCCCTTGATTGCCACATATAGCTGGTCATGTGTATATATCCTCCTGAATTATGCTATTTCCTAGAAGGTTGAAGGAAACCTTATTACAATTCAAATGGATGTATTTAAGAAGTATACTATTCTAAGTGCCAGTGTAATTCTGCCATTGCACATTAGCATAGGTCAAAACAGACATAACCTGAAAATAACCCAGAGTCACTTCAAAAGGAGAGGAGTTACATGGCACATAATATAGCTGTCAAAATGAATGAAATACAGTGACAGGCAATGACTTCGATGAACCTTAGGAATAAAATATTATGTGGAAAAATAAGTCTCAAAAGATTAATGCAGTGATAACCTTTATATAAATGTAAAAACTAAAAAAAAATATTATTTTTAATAATGCATATATATGAAATGAATCTATATAAAAGAAAGGCATTGGACTAGATTTATTGTGATGGTTGCCATGGATGTAGGAAGGCAGATAGATGAATGAACTGAATGATGGCGTTATTGCTTTTTATATGTAATTTCTGGATCCTGGCTTTGTTCAGTTGGCAGGTTTGTAGGTGCTTTTTACATTATAAAAAAATAACTAATTAAATAAATAACTAGCCCTAGCCGGTTTGGCTCAGTGGATAGAGTGTGGGCCTGCAGACCAAAGGGCACATACCTTGCTTGCAGGTTCTCCCTGGCCGGGCCCTGGTCAGGACACACGCAGGAGGCAACCAATTGATGTGTTTCTCTCACTTCAATGTTTCTCTCTGTCCTTCCCTCCCTCTTGCACTCTCTCTAAAAGATCAAAGGAAAAATATCCTCGGGTGAGGATTAAAAACAAACAAACAAACAAACAAACAAGGAAATAAATGGGCCATGTGTGGGTCAATGGTAAGACTATGTCATGGATAACAGAGGTTCCAAAGTAAGGAATAAATAAAAGTCAAAAATGTAAAAAGTAAATTTTCTATTTAAATATTTGTTTAGAATATCATACTATTGTTTGCCTAGTACACTATAATTGGGAAGTAAAAGGTACTCGGCTTGAGCTGCAATGGGAGATTAGTTAGGGTCTGGTGTCAAGGGAAGGAAACCAGTTTACCAGCTATGCAATAATGGAGACATTACTTCACCTCAATTATCCACTTGGTTCCTATCAATGTAAAGGAGGCTAATCCTATCTACATTATTTAAATTATTTTGAGTTTTAAAATTAGCATTGTGGTACATAGAAAGCACATGATAATTTTAGTAACTCAGACATAAGTAATCAGAACATACATTTGTGTAGATAATATTTTCATTCTCACAATCCTACATTTTAACCTTGGCCTGTATATTTAGATCATCTAAATCTAGAAATGTTATAACATTGTCAATAACCTTTCATGTCAGTATAACTGAAAAAAAATGGTGGGTTACCAAGAGTACCTTTTCAAAGACTTAATTTTTTTTAGAGTAGTTTCGGATTTACAACAAATTTACAAGAAAAGTACAGAGATTTCCTGTATACCCCAGGCCCTCACATAAAGGCTACTTTTCATATAAATAGTAGAGGCCCGGTGCACAGATTCATGCACCATTGGGTCCCTCGGCCTGGCATGTGCCCTCTTGCAATCCGGGACCTCTCAGGGAATGTTGGAGAGCTGGTTTTGGCCCAATCCCCGTAGGCCAGGCCGAAGGACCCCACTGGTGTACAGATCTGTGCACCAGGCCTCTAGTATGCATATAAGATCTTTGGTTAATCTATCCCTGCCTTTCCCCCTACCCCCTTCCCTCTGAGATTCATCAGTTTGTTCCATGTCTCCATGCCTGTGTGTTAAGCATCTGCCCCCTGGTGGTCAATGTGTATCACAGTTATCGGCTGGTCAGCCAGTCGCCTTAGGGTTTCATATATATAGATTTCCTACTTTATAGGATGACAGTGTCAGTAGACAGCATAGGAATTTTGTGAATTTCCACTCTAAGACATACAGAAACCTGAAAGGCCTTTATTGAGTATATCAGTAAACTTTTAAGGTGCTGTGTGGATAATGCCCCTTCCTATACCTGCCCATCTTTATAGAAATTAAGTAATGCTGGTTGTTCTTGAGTATTCTCCAAGTATGTTTAAATACACTTAAATAGATCTTTTAAGTCTCTTTTTATTTCTTTATCTTTTATTGAGCCATCTCCTGAATGTGTACATTTTGATCTATTCCTGTCCTCTTTTCATAGCCGTGTGAGCAAGGACGCCGTATGAAGCGGATCCACGCTGTGGCTAACATTGGCACCGCGCTGAAGTTCCTAGAAGGAAGGAGGGTAAGAGAGGCAAAACCAAAACACTTGAAGAAGGCGTGGGCATACAGATGTTTTCAATATTGGCTGCAGAGTGAAAACTCTGCATATGATCTACATACACATGCAGTATTATTGTAAAAATAATTTTAGATTTACAGAAAAGTGGCAAAAAGGGGTACAACGATTTCATGTCTACGCTTCATGCACCTCCCTCTAACAACTTATAAAAGTACATTACAGAGTACAGTTATCAAAATACAGAACTTCAAGTTGGTCTGATACTATGAACTAAAAGCATAGACATTAGTCTGATTTCATCCGTTTTCCCCCAATGTCTTATTTCTCTTCAGGATACAATGAATCACACACCTTGCATTTGACCATTTGTCCCTTCCACTCTATGGCACTTGTTCATTCTTTCCTAGTCTTTCATAACTTTGACACTTTTGATAACTGGGGGGGTCAGTTATCTTGAAAAATGCTTCTCAATTTTATGATTATATTGAAGTGATGCATATTTTGCAAGAATTCCAAGGAGGTGATATATTCTTGTCTGCGCATCATATTAGTGGATATAGGATACTGATAGGTCTCATTGCTGGTCATGTTAATCCTGATCAATGGTAAGGACATTTGCTGTGTTTCTTTTATGGTAAAATTATTATTTTCTCTTTATATTATAACTGAGAAAGAACTTAAGGGAGATCATTGACATCAGGCTAATATTCTGTTTATTCTTAAACTTTGCTCACTAATTTTAGCATTGATTACCTTCAGTAATTATTTCTGTGCTGTTTGCCTAATGGTGATTTTATATTTCCCTCATTTGTAATGTAAGAAATTATTTTCTTTTTTCCTTTAATTATTTATTTAGTTACTTATTTTAGGACAAACTTGTGGATATTTATTTTATTCTATAGTTTTAATTTATTGGTTTGTTCAAGTTTTGGCCATTAAGCTTCAGTCTGGCTCCTGCGTATCTTGTATTTTCCTGCCCCAGTCCTTCTCTAAGGAAGCTTGGGTCCTTTTATTAGCAAAGGGCATTTAGAAGCCCAGATTTGAGTAGTAGGTGTGCTCATTGCTCCTGAGGTTTCACTGCTCCTAGGCCTCCCACCAAACAGATCTAGAAAATATGTGCACTAACCTGGGGATATCTCTCTCAAGCGCTCACTCACTTCTCCCATGTACATGTGTATCAACCATTGTTTCAAACTGATACTTCTATATACATGTGTATAAACCATTATTTCAAACTGATACTTCTATATACATGTGTATAAACCATTATTTCAAACTGATACTTCTATATACATGTGTATCAACCATTATTTCAAACTGATACTTCTATATACATGTGTATCAACCATTATTTCAAACTGATACTTCTATATACATGTGTATCAACCATTATTTCAAACTGATACTTCTATATACATGTGTATCAACCATTGTTTCAAACTGATACTTCTATATACATGTGTATAAACCATTATTTCAAACTGATATTTCAACTCAGCACCACAGGTTTATTCTAGTTTTCCATGTGTGTTTGTTTCTGCTTTCTCTTACAATGAGAATCTAGCTGTCATCTACAATATACTCACTTATTTTTCAACCCTATTATGCACATAAAATAGTTTCAGAATTGCTGGCCCATGTCCCTGTGAGAAACAGATTGACTAACTGGAGAACAGTATTTGCGTGCAGTTCGTTTGGTCCTTATCATTACAATATCCAGTCCAAAGACTGCTTCTAAATTTACTTAGGTTGCTTCCGTTCTTCCTGTCCCTTTTAGTGTTACTCATTGAAATAGAGTTATATCCCATTTTTCAGAACCTCCCCCCAACACACACATTCTAGTTGACTAATTTGGGGGCGGGGGATAGGGGTGGAATGAGATTATTACTATGATTCCATTAGTAAGAGCAAAAGTTATACTTAGAGAAGTGCCTTCCTCATCCTTACTTCTCCATTATCATTCTTTCCCTTGCATTTCCTTTCACATGTCTAGGAGACTAGCTTCTCATTCATCATGCTTGCGTTTCTTTTGCACAGATGAGCAGATGTTTCTTCATATACCACCTTCTTTTTGACATGAGGGGAGTGTGCTCTTGATGCAGGCTCACACTTTGCTTTTTAAATTTCACAGCATATCCTGGAAACCATCCGAGTCAGTTCATGGACAGCTTCCTCATTCATCTCCGCAGCTGCGTAGTATTCTATGGCCTGGATGTACCAGCGTTTATTTAACCACTCCCCTATGAATGAGCACTTAGATTTCTTCTAATATCATTCAAACAGAAACAGTGCTGCAATTAATAAAACAGCTAATGAAATTGTGGCTGAGAATTATTGAGCTAGAAGTTTAAGAAGTACTTTATTATTAATTTTGGTCTTTGTTTAGAGGTTATGAAAAGGATAAGTAGTTCTAATTGTATTCTATGGTGATTGACTGAGATAAAATTCATTTTGCTAGGACTGAGGAAATAACTTTTTTGACATGTGTCTTGAATAATTTATAATTATCAATGCCCCAAATAGGGAACTAAATACTATCAGTCTCTTTCTACTTTACTACTTCTTGGCTTTCATTTGTCTTTAAAATGTATTCTGCAAATAATGCTCTAAATTTACTTCCTATATTTTTATTCCCTTTGAACAAATAATGCTGGTTTTCAAAGATTATTTTTTGTATATATCATCTTCTCCCTTTGCCTTTCATGTCAGTCCATGTACAGAGGATCACCGGTTAGTACAAATTTTAGAATTTTTAACTCCTGACTTTTATAGGTAAAAGAGAACATAAGTTTCATGCTATTTGGTAGCAAACTTCAAAGTAAGTGCATCTTCTTAAATTATTCATCACAGTTTCTTTTAAGTTCCAGTCAAGTTTTGAATGTAATGAATAACCTTTTTTTTTTTCTGTCTGGTATTTTGTTGGTAATCCCTTGCATGATGTCATATTTTTCAATTTAAAGTTTTTAATTTCATTTTGTGGTTAATTTTATTGTGTGCACCTAATGAATGCTCCTGAAATTCCCACTGAAACCATGTGTTTGTTGCTTTTATTATGGCTCACCCTACTTACTCGTGTGTATCACTACACAGGCATGACCAAGTCTTACTGATGTCTAATATAGTGCGCATCATTGCATAATTAAATGGGTTATAATCTCTAGTGCATTGCTAGCACAGTGTTTCTTTTTAAACAGATCAAATTAGTCAACATTAACTCCACTGACATTGCTGATGGCCGACCCTCAATAGTTCTGGGACTGGTGTGGACCATTATTCTCTATTTCCAGGTATTGTGCCATAGCTCCCTTACTAGTTGATATAATGTCATGGAGGGAAGTAATGGTGGGCATTTTAATAATGCTGTCATTTGTCTTACTTTTGAGGTTGATTCTCAAGCTGGCAGAAATCTGACCTTCACGCATACATAGGTTTTTGGTAGCAGAATTTCCTCCTCTTCTCTCTAAAGGAGTTGTACATGTACCTCCCTGAAGAATTCTGGCATAAGTGCCCGATCTGAAAAGTGGGCAGGATGCAGTGAATATGAAATATTGCTATAGCAAGTTCAGAACGCTTTTCTTTGTCTGAAAGGGAGCAGGTCTATGCTCCTATTAGACGTTAAGGAGAGAAATGAACTTGCCATCCCATCCAGAATAACAGTTCTAGCCTTCATTTCTTAAAATACATTTTTAATTGATTTCAGAGAGGAAGGGAGAGGGAAAGAGAGATAGAAACATCAATGATGAGAGAAAATCATTGATTCGCTGCCTCCTGCATGCCCCACACTGGGGATTGAGCCCACATCCAGGCATGGGCCCTAACCTGGAATCGAATTGTGACCTCCTGGTTCACAGGTCAATGCTCAACCACTGAGCACCACTGGCCAGTCTAGCCTTCATTTTTTTTTTTTTAGAGCAGCTTTATGTTTACAGCAAAATTGAACCTAAGATACAGAGATTTCCTCTATAACCCTACACCCACACATGCATTGCCACCCCATAATCGACATCCTGACCAGAGCCGTATATTTTTGAGAATTAATGAGCCTATATTGACACATCATTATCATTCAAAGTCTGCAGTTCACATTCGGCTTCCCTTTTGGTGTTGTACGTTCCATGAGTTTGGGTAACTATTAGGTTTTATTTATTAATTCGCATGGATTAGAGTGTTTATTACTGTGTATAAGACACAGAGGTGTAGTTCTAAATACAGCAAGAAGTACACGGAGTAGGACATCCATCCATCCTGCCCTTTAAATACTTACCTTTTGTCAACAGTGTTAAGGGAGTTACGATAAAGTATTTTTAATTAGAAAAGTGAACCATCCAAGGAAAGAAGAACAAAGATAATTCCTAAATCTTCGCCCACCTTTGCCGCCCACATAGATCGAGGAGCTGACCAGCAACCTGCCGCAGCTGCAGTCCCTGTCCAGCAGCACATCCTCTGTGGACAGCACGGTCAGCTCCGAGGCCGCCAGCCCCCCCAGCAAGCGGAAGGTGGCCACCAAGATCCAAGGAAACGCCAAGAAGGCTTTGTTAAAGTGGGTTCAGTACACAGCAGCCAAGTAAGTCCCAGGCGTTGGGTTACATTTGAAACCCTTGAAGAATGTGAGTTACCAATGTATACCGCGTGCATCTTCCCATGACTGCAAAATTTGAAGAGGCGTTTGAGTGAATGGCTCTGCTTCAGGTCTCGCTTCACTCTTTCCTTGAGTTAAAATGTAAATACTAATACTCTAGGAAAATGCTGTGATAAAACCAGTTCCTTCTTCATTTATGTCACTAGGTCTGATTAAGTCATTTAATCCCTACACTTTGATTAGTAGCATGTGGGATAATTCTATTGCTTTGGACTTTTGCTCCTATTAAATAATCTTTACACAAATAAATTTAAGATTTAAACTTGGTTATCTCGTTGTAAGACTATTGGGTTCCCTTTAGTAATGATGTGAACTAAGGTTCACATTTTGAAATATACATGTTATTATTTACTGAAAGTTTCTAGCAATTTTATTTATTCATTTTATCCTTTGGTTTCATCTTCTAGCTGGAATGTGGATTTCTTTGTCAACTTCAGCTTTATGGCTGAATAATTTGCTTCTAGTTTTGTTTCCTTCTAGGTATAGTGAATTTACATGTGTGTACATTTATGTGATAATGCTGGGTAGAAAAATACTACTTTGAAAAAGTATCTTTTTGTAGCAATTTCAGTAGAGCTTTCAGTTGAGCATAGCAATATTTTATGGTAAGATCTGTTCACATAGAAGCTGAGCTTTTGTCTGATTTTCCGAAATGACATGTAAAATGAACTCACTTTCTGCTTTGTTTTGGATGCCTAAATCTAATCTGGATCTTATTCTTCACTTCCGGAAAATAGTTGTAAACAAGCACTTATCATTATAAAATATTGAGGCCCTAAACACAGGGAGTTCTATTTTTAAAGTGTTTGAAAAGCCAAAATAAGGAAAGACAAAAACAAACATAAAGAAGATATAATTAGTGTTACTAAATTATGTAGTTTTTAAGTGAGGAAATGTGGGCAAAGGGAAAATATAGATAGAAAAGTAAGATGGATCCAGAGGCGAATGTACACATGAATAGATAACAGATCATTCTGCCCAGTCTTGGTGGATATTGGCCAGTATGTCAGCTGAAGAAATTATAAATGTTCTACCAAAGACAGAAACTCTAAGAGAACTAGGACAGTGTTCAAGACTACTTGACAAACAAAGTCTTACAAAATTGTTTTTTAAATATTTGTGAGAAAGCCAGTGATTATATCTTATGATGCTCTTTTTAGGACAGTGTATTTTACGAAAGCTGAATGTACATTGCTAAAACATAATTTAAAGTAAATCTTAAGTTTACTGAGAATCCAATTCTCTTAAGCAATAAATGATATGGGGCTGGCTATGCTAGTTAACTGGTTTTGAGAAAAATTAAGCAAAACAATATTTTAGAGGGTAAGAAGTTAAGATGTAGAAATTCTAGTGCCATACTTAAAGATTTTTATATTAGATTTTTCTAATCTAATCATTTATTGCTTAAGAGCATTGGATTCTGCACGAGGCCTTGAGAAAAAATGAATATTATCTATTCAAACGGTGACATCTTTCTATTTTTTTAATCTCATGAAGGCATACTGGAATAGAAATCAAAGACTTTGGGCGGAGTTGGAGAAACGGGGTTGCCTTTCATTCAGTCATCCATGCTATTCGGCCAGAGCTAGTGGACTTGGAGAGGGTGAAAGGAAGGTCCAATCGAGAAAACCTGGAGGAGGCTTTCACCATTGCTGAAACGGAGCTGGGGATCCCCAGGTTACTAGATCCTGAAGGTACATTCAATAGCATTTGCCCAACTCAGTAGACTTGTATGTTTTACACCCGGAAATTACACATGATTTTCACGACTCTATGAAAGGACTGAGAATTTGAGAACAGCACAAATAGAAATAATATCTCCCTGTATTGATTTTCATTTTGAAAAATATTTACTGCTATAATTGGTAACACACTATAAGTCTATCGCTCCAAATGACACTTTGATATCGTGGCTCTGTATTTGGGGGGGGGGGGATCTATATTTGGCCAAATGTAGTTATGCAAGCTAGATAGTCACTTGTTAGTAAGTGCCACATCTGTGTTTTAAATGCTACCCACTCACTGCAATTCTGAAACTTACCTATTTTGTGTATTTTATTAATTAGGAGAATGCCTAAATAGCCAAATAGTATCTCAGGGTTTTGATCAATTAATGTTGAGATTTCAATGAAACAAGTACTACTTTTCTAAAAGCTCTTAAAATGTCATCTTTATGAATTATAAAATTTCTACTATCTATGATTCAGACTACATTTGTCCCCCCCAAAATATTTCTAAATATCAATTATGTTTTTCTTCTGCCTTTAGTATAGTATCTTTGGTAAATTGGCTAGATTTCAAAGCTTGTATCATTATAATCTAATTAACATAAATTCATTTGGTTTTGGTTTTTCCAGACGTTGATGTGGATAAACCAGATGAGAAGTCTATTATGACCTATGTAGCCCAGTTTCTGAAACACTATCCTGACGTCCACAATACAGGCACTGATGGGCTAGAGAATGATGTAAGTATTGGCTTTTCTTTAAGTATTGATATGCACTCAATGACAGTAACTCAGATGTTTACATAAGCATGCTGTTTCCAAAAAGTTAAATTGTAATGCATATTTATATTGAGCAACTGAGTAAAGAATAGATATCACTGATTTGGGAGGTGATTGGAGGGAAAGACTTCTCTGATTTGTATGTTGACTATGACAGAAAAGGCAATATTAAGTGCTGGGAATGTAACACTGATAAGTTAAAATTGAGGAAAGATATTGGTGTTGGGAAACATTGTTTTAGTAATTTAAGGATGGAAGACATTTCGTATCCATCTCATCATTTGTGCATCTAGATCTTGAATCCACTGTTCTATTCAATCCGATGAAAACTAATTTTGACTTTTAGACTTTATTATATAAATTACTGTTCACATCACACAGGGCAAATCTGTAAAAGTTCTAATTATTCTCCATGGTTAGATTTTTTAGCCTTTCAATAGTTTAAATAACATTTACATATTTTCATACTGCTCACATGACATATGCTTATTGTAATAATTAAAAACAAAATTTGAAAAAAAGAAATTATCTCTGTTTGACCTTCTACAGAGAATGTATTCTAGAAAATCATTTAATGTGTTAGTGTGATATCCAAACATTTATCTATGTACTTATAGGCACATATAATATTTTAACAAAAATAGAATCACAGTATACATACAATTTTAAATTTTCTTTTCATTGTACAAAACTTTTCAATGTCATTCTCTCTAGGTCTTCTTATATATGTACAGTAATTTATTTATTCAATTTTAATTTTTGGAAATTTCCGATTTTTTGCTGATATTAACAATGCTTCTGTGAACAATTTTTCAATAAAGCATTGTTTTATAGTTCTGTCTTAGAGATGCACCTCCTAGGCTAAAGACCAACAGATTTTTAATGCTTTTTGAAACTTTTTTCTTTTCAAATCCCTTGTAGGAAAATTATCCCATTTTATACTTTAGCTAGTTCAGCAGAAAGTCGGTTTTCTCAGGTTTTAACAACAATGGATATTACCGTTTTCCTAATTTGTTAAAAGTAGTATTTTTTTTTATTATGGATAATTTATTATAAGGCAAAACGACACCAGAAAAAGTAACAAATGGAATTTTCAAAATGTGTTAAAAACAATCCGTCTTTATTGCTTAAATCTCATCTAGAGTTTTCAGAGCAGTTTGAGAACACGATGAAGAGCAACAGCAAAAACAAAGAACAAAATAAAATAGGTTTTCAGAATAAACTCAGAAACAGGTTTGAGGAGGAAAAAGGCCAGGGGAACATAGCCCAAACTTTTCAAACAGAAAAAGGCGTTGCACTAATAGAAATCAGCGACTTCATAAGAGAATTAAGCAGAACCCTGTCCCTGGTTGCTTGGATGAAGTTAATCCGGCATTTTGATAGAACTATAGTAGTTTCTTAAAAACTACAGATTCGGGAAACCTTTTTTGTTCCTTGCCAGGATTCGGGCAGAAGCATGGACAGCCTGAGTGACTAACTTACCTATGGCTAGCAGAGTAATTGTCCCTACGGACCATCCCAGGAGGCCAAAGCTCAGACTCTGTGCAAATCCCAGCATAGATCTCCAGGCACGTGCTTAGGGCCCTTGGGAGATCTCTGGGTTTCTGAGACTATAATCAGGCAGGGGTGCTGCTATGTAAATGAGAAACTCTAAAGAAAGCACTTTAGACAACACAGCATCGAGAAAACCAGCTTCCCCTCTGATTTTCAAATCTAACGTCTTTATGTTACCCAATTGGATTTATTTCTGATCTGGTTTTAGAGTTCGTAGTATTTTAATTTCTGACATCAATCATCTCTCTGGATGAGTAAATTTGGTGGCTGGGAAAGTCTGAGGAACAAAAGGGGGTGCTTTCCTAATGCTCACGAACAGGAATTTAAAACAAAAACCCTTAAAGACCTGAAACGCACACACACTCCTGGCATAAGCTTGTTAATGTACTTTGCTAAAGAGGCTTTATTTCCCTGAGCTCATTCTCATTATCTGAAAAAAAAGTTCTGATTGCTCTTTTAAAAATACCCTCTGTCCCTTCCCTAAAAAGTGGATGCGAATGATTTCTACAGGGTTATTTCAGAAATTAATTTCGAGAAAATATATATTTTAAACTTTGCGCCTTTTAAGGTGGCATTTGTGAAGTTGGGCATAACCACCTAAAATGATTATTTTGAGTAGAAAAATGTATATTTTCATGATGTAAAGTCATTTAATGAAGCTAAATGACCTCCTAATTCTGCCTCATGAACCATGAAGATTTTATAGACTATCCCTGTGGGGACTATTGATGCCATCACTTCAAACACTCAGTACTTGTCTAGGCAAGTCTTAGTAAATAGTGCTTTTTTAAAATCAATTTTTAAAATATTGGCATCAATATATCTACCAGGCTTCCATTTTGGGTGTAATTGATTTCTATGTCCTCTTTATGAATTTATTTAAATAATTTTATTTAAATTAGATACCATTTTAAATGAAATTTTCTTTCTTGGAATATACACAATAATTTTTCTACCTCAATCAATAAAACAGATAAAGAAACTTTTAGCTAAAGATATTCCTTGGATAATCAGTACTCAATGGTAAATTTTTTTAAAAAATAGTCCTATTGATCCATGTGTCTCACCAATTAAATATTCAGTTGTTTATCACTTATTCCTTCTCTCATTGCAGCAAATATTACTGGCTGCTTTCAGAAGCACAGCATAGCCTTAATTGTTGATGTAGAGACAGAGAGAGATGCATACTCTGATCATATTTTTAGAGAGAAAAAAAAAATAAATCCACACACCTTTTCTTGACATTGTTCTTTTTTTATTTATTATTATTTTTTATTGATTTCAAAGAGGAAGGGAGAGAGAAACAGAAACATCAATGATGAGAATCATTGATTGGCTGCCTCCTGCACACCCTGCACTGAGGATCGAACCTACAACCCGGCCTGTGCCCTGACGGGGAAGCAAACTCTGACCTCCAGGTCTACAGTTGACGCTCAACCGCTGAGCCATGCTGGCTGGCCAGGCTACATTATTCTTTTAAAAAGTTTAAAATTTCAAAATGCATTTATAAAAGACATTTATAAAATGCATATATTGCCATATATGACTATTACAAATTAAAATGAAAACATCAAATGCCAGAATACTACATTGCCTTATTGGATTCAAACATTTGATACTTCAAAAGTTATGAAAACAAAACAAAAACACAAAAAAAAAATACTTATGAAGCCCTAGCCGGTTTGGCTCAGTGGATAGAGCATCAGCCTGTGAACTGAAAGGTCCCAGGTTCAATTCAGGTCAAGGGCACATGCCTGGGTTGTGGGCTCAATCCCCAGTAGGGGGCATGCAGGAGGCAGCCAATTCATGATTCTCATCACGGATGTTTCTATCTCTCTCTCCCTCTTCCTTCCTCTCTGAAATCAATAAAAATATATTTTTAAAAAACTATGAAAAACATCTTAAAGTAACTATACCCTTAAAATCACTATTTATTTATAGACAAATGCTTCCCCATTGTTCTTTTCTTGTTTCCTATATAATTTTGTCCCTGATTTATATTATTTTCCTATATATTATCTTTTCATATTGTTAGGAAATATTTCCAGATTTCCTACTTTTTGCAAATTCTATCCAAAATCTTAAGGTAAGATTTAAGTAATCTTGAATTAGTGACTTCTTTCAAGCATCCTCCATTCCATAGTTAGTTAGCCATTCTTTTGCATGTATTTGCTTTTATATACACGTTTCTTTTAATACCTTAATTCTGTTGTTTTCTTTTCCTTTCTATTAGAACAAATAACACATGTAATTATTGTAGAATGTTAATTACAGTCTAAGCCACTCCCATAGACTTTTCCACTAATCTTTAAATATATGACATCAATTAATGCCTCTTGAATAACACTTAATAGCACTAATAAAAATGAAACCTTACAGTGATAAGATTTGCTTTTATTATATTTGAAATGGAAAATAAAATTAAAGACTTTTTAATATTTTAAATAATTAAGAAGGAAGTCATTAATTGAAATAGGTAAGTATTCAGTTAATTTATAATCCTGAGTGAATCGCATCTCTTCTGCCCAATATTGGGCCCACATGGTTTAGTAAAGTTCACACGGTTTAGTAAAATTTTCTTGTTGGGAATACACCCGATATGCTTTTCTACTTCAACCATTCCCTTTAAGACATTCCCTTTTTGTAAACATTTTCTTAATTAAATTAATGTGTGTGTGTGTGTTTTTGAGAGAAAAAATAGAGATAATTTTAGTATTCAAATAAAATTAATGTACTTTTACAGAATTCACTCTTGATTTTTATTCTCCAATAAGACGTGATGGTGGGGAGAGAGAAGAGTTTTCAGAGACAATTGAATGATTGAATATTACGTCTACTCTAGGATCAATCTGGTATTAATCAGCAATTAAATGCACAGTTTCTAATAAAATTATAACATCTGCCGGTTCCTAGAGAGAAGACAGGCTAATGCTGAAGGAAACAAAAGTTTGGATAGAGCAATTCGAAAGAGATTTGACAAGGGCACAGATGATAGAAGCAAACTTGCAGGATAAATATCAGGTAATGCATGAAAAAGAGACTTCAGTTTTTAAAAGCTTTGCATGAGTAAGATTCATATATGCCATTTAATCTATGTTTAATATTTCCAGTGATATGAATGAAAGAAGTCCATAAAGAAACCATGCGCATTACCTTGCTTGCGTGCGATTTAATAATTGTGTTTGTACATAAATAAGTGGTTTGAATTGGGTGGGTCCACACTGTGTATACAGCTCTGAGGCTGCGTGACTTTTCCAGAACTCAGAATCTTATAAATAACCCAGGGCACAAATACCTAGTTGTTTTTATAGAAGTCATGATTTTGCAGATTCACATAACAACAAAAGAAATCCACCAAAAAATGGTTTCAGTACCAAATTAAAAAATACTGTAGAATAAGAGGAATTGAATACAGGATTGTGCCACGCGTATTTGGAGTGGGCCCATTAATGGGATCAGTTTCTACAGCCACCTGCCTAGTTCCACACGATTGCATTCAGGTGAGGCCAGGCTGGTGGTTGTTTGCCCCAGTCATGTTACACTGTTATTAACTGGACTTGGCTTCCAATTTCTACTTCTAAGACACAAAATCATGCGACAGGTTTCCCAATGAAATTGTGACTTATTCTATGCAGCATTGACATTTTCCTCATACTTAAGGTAGTGTGGCATTTTAGTAGCAAAGCTATACTATCGTGTACATTATATTTCAATCATTTGCACTACAAAAAAGGTATCATGATGTGAGAGAGTCAACATGGCAAACAATAAAAGATTTGTCTATTGCATTAGTGTGTGACTTCCTATAACCATATCTACAAAGTGTGCCTGAATTTAGATGGATGATGCCACCGATACGACATTGGTTAAAGTTGGCAAAGCAGACAATGTGTAGGATATGCTTTTTTTTTGCTTTGAAATTCAATGTAATCTTTTCCCCCCAAAATAAAATTTTCTGGGATGAGCTCCATTAAAATAAATGATTAAACCAGTAAATGGAGAATAGAAATGCAAGGATGTACTTATTTGGTCCATTAGTGAGTTTTAGTTTTAGCATAAATTGTCATAAACGAAATTTCAAGTTGTAAAAGGACCTGTTGCACAGGTGCTATTTTGTAAATCAGAACCACAGGATTAGAAAAGCACAGAACAGAAACACTCCTCTGGGCCAGTATGATCACCAGTTTTGTGAACTAGGGCTAGAGATCATCTGAAATCTGTTTGTGGGTTTGTGTGTCATCAACATTTTCTCTCTGTTTCCACTTTCAAATAATAGTGTATTTTCCAGTTTTTCCATGTATAGAATTTTGTGGAATAACATTGAAGATTGATTTCATGTTTTGGTAATTTTTTATTAAGTTTAATAGGAGTCCCTGTGGTAAAATATTGACTCACCATCTCCCCCCAGTGTTCTTTATGTAGATTTACATGTGTGTTCACTCTGAGATTTGGACATTCTTTTAGACGTGTTTGTTATCTGTTAAATTCTGTAGGGCCAGCCTCATGTTCTTTAACATCAGTACACATGTTAGTGATATTTTCAATTCACATGTGAACATGGAGTCACCTTTTAGGATGTGTTCATTTACTATAAAATGTGTAGAAAGTACTTAGTCTGGGGCCTGGCTCATGGTCAGGGCATGATGAATGGTAGCTGCTATTCTTATCATGTCTGTTATTGTTATTATCAACAACATATATTGAGTGTTATCCAAATATAAAAGGTTGTTATTTAGGAAATGTAGTTTCCTTTGCTTTTTTTGACTCGTTGCCATGTTGTTGCTGTTTTTCCTCTTCTAGTCATTCAAGCACTTCAGAGTCCAATATGAAATGAAAAGGAAACAGATTGAACATTTAATACAACCATTACAGAGAGACGGTAAATTGTCACTTGACCAAGCATTGGTGAAACAGTCCTGGGATCGAGTGTCCTCCAGGGTGAGTTCCCCCACGATTAACTCCATGGGGCTCACGTAGTTTAGTCAAGAACATTTTCCATCATCCTTTTCTACACTGTGATGTTGCATCAGGTCCCCTGCCTCTGCCTGAGGTAGGAAAGGCTTTACTGTGGGAAAATCTTTGTCCTGTAAGTTAATGGAAGTGCTAATATAACACCTGTCCTGCCTCGCCTGCCCTACATGGGCTGTCACCATTGACCACATGACAGACTGAAATCTTGGAAGACCATGAGGGCTACTTCCCACTTTACACAAATTAACTCTGGGTTATTTAACACTGGAGCCTTCACAACTTCTCCATTTTCCGTAATCATGTTTCATCAATAGTTAATAATCTCCCCATATTCACATTCATTTTTATATTCTTTAACCTATCTTCTTATCTGGTCTTCAATGAACATGAAGGAAAATTGCTCAGTAACTTTTGCAAACTTAAAGACCAAGATTTTAAAACCTGTGACATTTCTATCACTAAGGGGGCTATTTGCCTTGAACTTCCCTATTTTCTTTGTTTCTATAATCTATTTTTCCCATAAGTTTCATCAAATACTGGCTTAGTTTCTAAGTACCTTACCCCATTCTACCTGGCATTCCATCAAGCTGGAAAAAGGTGTTTGAGAACTGACTGAAGTGGAAGACACGCAGACATGGTTCAGAATTGTATAACTATAAAAAGAATCCGGAACACTTGCCTGCGTCCAGAGATGTCTAGATGACCCTGGTTTTTCTGATAACTGGCATGTGGGGTGATCCACATGAGCTGGTGCATAAATTCCTGCACCCCTGAGCTTGTCCACACCCCAGTCCTTGTACTGCAATTTCCTCCGCATTCTCAAAGCATCAGATTGAACACAGATAATTTCTTATTTGATATTTATTAAGTTAACCTGAAATGATTAACGTAAAGCTTTATGTAAGCTTTAAAATCATTTGGGGGAATTTTAGGGATTGCCTCGGTATTGGAGATAATTCGGTCTTTCTTCTTTTGCATTTCAGCTCTTTGATTGGCATATACAGCTGGATAAATCTCTCCCTGCACCGCTGGGCACTATAGGTGCCTGGTTGTACAGGGCAGAGGTGGCCCTGCGGGAGGAAATAACCATTCAGCAGGTCCATGAGGAAACCGCCAACACAATACAGCGGAAGCGTGAGCAGCACAAGGTAAAAACGCTGATCAGGAGACCTTCCAGCATAATGTGGTGTGGAGATGTGGCCTGTTTAGAACTCACACTGACCGGGCTTCCCGGGCGTCCATTCCTACTGATTCAGAGAGGCCGCACTGCGTATACAGCTCTGAGGCTTCGTGACTTTTCCAGAACTCAGAGTCTTATAAATAACCCGGAACACAAATATTTAGTTATTGCTTTTATAGAAGTCATGATTTTGTAGATGTCACATAACAACAAAAATATCCACCAAAAAATGACGTTAGTGCCAAACTGAAACTCACTGTAGAATAAGCTGAATGGAATAAAGGATTGCGCCTTGCGTATTTGGAGTGGGCCCATTAATGGGATCAGTCTCTACTGAGACCTGCCTAGTTCCACGCTATTGCATTCAGGTGGAGGCAGGCTGGTGGTTGTTTCCCCACCTGGTTACACTGTTATTCATTGGATTTTGGCTTCCAGAAAAGCCTAGGTCACGTCCATGTTGAGATTCCCAGAATATTAAAAATAGGGGGAAATGCTAAAGCAGTGTTACACTAATAACACCACTTTAAGCAATTAGCAGTTCACCCTAAAGACAATTCCAAAATTGTTTTCATGTAAATCCTGTAACAATTAAACAATGCTTAACCAATGTGAATATTTCATACAAAAGGAGTCCGATAGGGTTGTACCAGTAAGTGTAGAATGCATATTGATTGCGGATAAATGTGTCAATTCAGCTAATATGCACCAGGGAGACTGCTGAAGGTGCCTCCAATCCAGAGGTTTGAGAAACAGCATGTGTTTGTGGTTCATTAAAAGACTTACATCTAATTGAAATGCTCCACCAAAGAGAAAATGCCCTACAATATTAACTATGCTGTTTACTAGCATGAGAGATGTAGCAGAAATCTTAATTCAGAGTATACTCTAGGCGGCATCTGCCCCTGATGGGGTATGGATTTAAATTGGATGCATGCTGTTAGTCTTCTCAGTGATTATAGGATTTGAGGTTCTTCTTGTCTCTTCTAGTTCCCTGGAGAGAGAGAGACCCTGTGCCAACCACTAAGTGTGCAGCCGGAAGCATCTCTCTGCCAAAGAGCAGTAAACAACCATGAAAACCAGAAGTGAACTGGAGTGGGGAGGAGGGAAGGGTAGGAATCAGAGATGATGGTTATCTGAGACTGAAAACCAGACAGGATTAGACTGAAAGCTAGGGAACAGGATGAGAAGACAATAGGAAGCGAGCAGAGGCTGGTAGGGGCTAATTTAAGATGAAGTTCCAGGCAAGTTTCCAGAATGATCTTTTTACTGAGGTAGGAACTCATACTAGATCTGGGCATAGGTATTTGAAGTCGTAGAGTCATAAAGCAATGTAATTGTCAATTATAAGGTAAATTTTCATTCATTCAAAATATATTTATTAGGTGCCTATAGTAAGCTAAGCTTTGGTGATGTGAGAAATGTGAATCATGGTTAGGAAAACTAAAATGATAGACTTTTCTCAAAAGCAGAAAAATCAGTTCATCAATTTGGTATCAGTACTCTGCTCTGCTATATTGGGCTCACTTGAAAATGCAGTAAATTGAGAAAAGCACAATAGATGACTCATCAATATGTCAGCAAGAATGTTTGAGAATATTATCTTCGCATCCCAGTCCCAAAGTAATTACGGCTCATGCCATGAAAACTTAAATATGTCCTCAAGATCTAGAATTCTTGATTTTATACATTCATCACATTTTTTAATATAACACATGACAATCTTTCATTACTTAATATATAAGCAGTCTTTGAAAATTGAATTCAGATAAATATATTTTTTTCAAGAGTTCATTTTATGTTTTGACCAATGTTTTTTTATTATTTTTTTAAATTAACTTATATGTATGTAGAAACATGCTTATTCTGGAAAACAAGCTACACCTCTATAATCTTTTCTGTTTTTCAGATGCCCTAATACTCAGTTATCTAGAAAGCTAACAACAATAATCATAGCTAATTACACTTGAGGATTTAGCCATCTTTCAGTCCTAAGTACTTAATTTTGCTAAGCACTTGACATTGGGGATTTGAAATAGGTATTATTATTCTCATTTTGCAGGTAAGTAAAGTTTTGGCAGAAAAAGGTTATGTGCCTATCTCAGCATCTCACCGTCCACACAAAATCGCCCCAATCCCAAGTCTTCATTTCCTCTGTGCCCTATCCTACTGCCATTTTACTGCCCGCATCCTCCCGTGCCATCAATTAGGTCCCTTTGTACTCTGCTTAAATTCAGTTCTCAGTCATTCAGATTATTCCTTGTACACACACTGCCCACCTCATCCAGGTCTCACTTTGTCCTACTCCCCTGGTGAAAGCACAGCCCTGGGGAAAGCCCACGCTCTGCCTAGCTCCTGCCCACACACATGCAGCTGACTGTGGCTCAGAAAATCACCCCGGGCGCGATGACTAACCCGGGTGGGCCCTTCAGGCTGCCTGGCACTCCAAAGGCATTTCCCGACTCCATTCCCTCTCCATTCCGGGGACAATTATGTCATACCTTGTCTCCTCAAACCTTCCACACCTCCTCCCCGCTCCTTACTCTTAGCTGCTGACAGGGCTTCCTATTTCTCTGGGAAAATAGAAGCAATCAAAAAAGAATTTCCGCAAGCTCCCACGACCACAGCATCCCACCTACGGGCATCTGTGCTTGAATCTCTGTCCTCACTTCTGTTACTAGGGGGGACCATCTGTGCTCCGAGCGAAGGCCCACCCGCCCCACGTGCACTAGATCCCACCCCCCTGCTCCTCTGCGGGGGCAGCTCCCCAAGGGCCCCCCTTCTCTGTGGCTTTTCTCTCTCTTTTGCTGGATATTCCCTACCCACATAAAGTAGGCTGCTATTTCTCTCATCTTAAAAATTCTTTTTCTTTAAAACAATAAAATAAAGAAAACGTGTCTCTTTCCTAACTATACTTTCCCATCTGGCTACTGCCCATTTTTCCTCTTTCCTTTTACAACAGCAAAGCTCTTGGAAAGAGCTGTCTATGCTTTCATTTTGGCTCCAAAACACTCTCCCCCCATTCTTCCCAGAACCCATTCCAACCAAATTATCCCTAGCAATGCTGTCCATCCCAAGCAGGGATCTCCTTGATCCTCACTCAGTGGCCAATTCTCAGGCCTCACATTACCTCCCCTGTTGTTACAGAATAGGAGAGGGGCTCGTCTCCCCAGGTTGCTCGTGGGGGCGGGGTTCTTGGTAAGGCTAGGATAAGCATTTCCGGAGTTCCTCATGGGAAGATGAGATATTGTAGGAACCTTTATTTCTGTGGAATTACACCTCTGAGTTTTCAAGTGTCCATTTCCCTTAGTCCAGTCATAGAAGAGACTGGACTTCAGTAGCTGGGGCTTTGGTAGAGCTGAAATCAGAGTCAGTGTTCAGAGCTCCCTTTCAATGTTGGTGCAGGGTCCAGTCCAGCATCAGGCTAGTTTGCCTGGTTTCCCCACTAAAGTCTGTGAATCCATTGTGTGTGGGGTTCAAATAGCTGTGGACCATAGGGGCAAATACAGGAGAATCAAAAGAGTGTACTCCAAGCAACAAAAGCAACAAGAGATAGAATTCCTTTTAGATATAGATAGATAGAGATAGAGATGGATAGAGATAGAGATAGAGATAGAGATGATAGAGATAGAGATAGAGATAGATATATATCTCCAAATGTTGATGAACTTGCAGTGGCCACACCCATTCTGGTCAACCGTCTCTGTTCCCAGATGTTATTGACAGGCAAATACCTTTTCTATGTCACCCCAACGTTACTGGGCATGTGTCTGTCTTCTCTTTGTTGGATTTCTTCCCCTAGTGTTTTGCAGGGACTAGGCCAGTATCCCATGGGGAGTGTGAAATTGAAACTTCACAAGTGAAGCTGCCCCAAATGACATGCCTATAATATCTGGCATTCCTTTTCCTTCTTTCCTATTATTAATTAGCTAATTCCGATGGTATCACTATCAGAATCATTTTACACAGTTACCCCTTTATCCTCGACGCACTTTCTTCATTTGGTTTCCTAGTTTTCTTTCTCTTCCTATGGCTCTGGCTTTCTAGTCTTTCCACAATATTTATTACGTGCAAAGCAGTGTTCTAAGCGTTTGTGATACACCCATGAGCAAAATAGGCAAAAAGCCCTACCCTATGTAACTTAACTTCTAGTGAGAGGAGGAAGATCAGCAATAATAAACATAATAAATGTTCGAGTAGAAGCCAAAAGGACAGGAAGTATTAAGTGGTGTTGCATTTTTAAGTATTGCAGTCAGTGGAAGCTCACTGAAATGATGACATCACACAGGCAAGCACATTCCCACCTCAAGGCCTTTGCCTTGCCATCATTCTGGAATGTTCTCCCCCTTGACTTGAAACGTTCTCCCACTGATATTCCCATGATGTGCCTCTTTGTCTTTGGGCCTTTATAGAAAGGTTACCTTACCGTCCACACTTTCGTGGCCACCTCTTTGAAATTACACTCTCTTTCCCCCTTCGTTGTAACTACTGTTTTAATCAGTTACCTCATTTATTGCCTGATTTCCTACACTGTCATCTCAGCTCCATAAGGGCAACTTCATTGCTTGTTTTTTCTCTCTTGTATTCCCAGCTTCTAAAAATGGTTTTAGAAATATCCAGGCTTCCAAATTTTTAATTGGGTCAATATTGCTCATTCGTGTTTTCTAAGAATTTGTGCCATTTGCCTAACTTTTCAAAATTATTATCAGAAAATTGTTCAAAATTGTCTCTTCTGTTTTTTGGTAATCTTTTCTGTGCCCACAGTTAAGCCCCTATGTTTGCTCCATATTGTTTCTTTGCACCTTCTCACTCTCCTTAATTGTGCTTTTGGCATTGTTGGTTTTCTCTGTCATATCCTAACCATCTTTACCCATCTACTTTCTTACCAGAGGAATGATATTATCACTTTTTAAAAAATATTTTAATAGTTTATTTATTTTTAGAAAGAGAGGAAGGAAAATTGAGGGGAGAAAGAGAAAGAGAGAGAGAGAGAGAGAGAGAGAGAGAGAGAGAGAGAGAGAGAGACATCTATGTGAGAGCGTAACATCAATTAGTCATTGAACTGGCAAGCTCATGGTGTACATAGGATGATGCCCAACCAATTGAGCCACACCAGCCAGGGCAATTATTACCACTTTTTTAATGGTATCACCCTAGCTGTTGTGTGAGAATAGATTGGGTTAAAGGGCAGGAGCCACTTAACCAGTTTCAATAATCCAAATAGAGTCACCAGAACCAGAGTGGTCGTTGTGGAGATGGTGAGAAATGGTCAGATTCTGAATAAAATTTTAGGTCAGAGCAAAGAAAATTTTCAGCATTAGATATTGGTTATGAAGGAAGGGGAGTCAGACATGACACTGATTTGGGGACTGAGTAACTGGGAAATGGAATTCTCATCAGTTCAGACAGAGAAATGATAAAGCAGATTTGACGTAGAAATGTGTCTGGATCATAGAAGGGAGGTAGAGAGTGCCTGAAATACAGCAGTAGCTGCTCCCGAACAGCCCTCTCTCCTCTGGACCAGCTTGGCCGCACGTACTGCCCTCTTTCTGGGCGAGAGAGATCTGTGAGTGTCTGTGCAGTTACCTACAGACTCAAAGCAGGTTAAAACATAGATACAGCCAAATACCAGTATGTCAGGATAGAAATAGTTCGCCCCTGGCTTTTTCTACAATGTAAAAATTAATATCCTGCCCCAAAATTAATGTCACGTATGTCAACAAACACATATGACTTCAAACATTTTAATTTAGAGCATGAGAGCCTTTCATTCTTCCCTCCCATCAAGTGTTTCTCATAAGGCTTTAGGCTCTTTTTTTGCTTCTGTTTTCTCCAATTAACCCACTAAATCCTGGTGTGGGAGGAACAATATTCACTTAAACATATCACTCTGGTGGACTCAGGTGTCTTACTTTTCAGTGAGTGGCAAGCTGTTGAGTATTTATTCTGCTATTGAGAAATAAACGAGGCTTTAGAATATATGGCATGAAATTGTTCACCTCTGTCTTGCTTTACAATTGCCTAGAAATTGTGAAATTCATGTAAATCCTTATATAAATAAGTCTGTTGACAGTGAAAACCTCTGAAAACAAACCAAGGGAGATTCAAATTAATCTAAATAAATTATTCAAATTATGTATTTTCTGTACAAGAAAATACAAATGCAGTCTGCAAAGAATACTTACACAGTCTGCAAAGAATACTTACACACTTAACATGTGATATCTACGGGAAATTCCCTGTGCTTACTTGAAATCCTCCAACCATAAGGGTATTTTCATAAAATGTTGTAATATAGTCAAGTTACTTTAGATGGCAAGCAAATACCACTTTATGATAGCTTGCGTGCATTCAAAATAAAAAAAAAAACAAAAACCATAGCGTCCAATATTTTTTGCCGTTAAAGGGTTAAACTAGTTGTGCTTAGTGGTAAGCGTTTAAAAACCAGCATATCTCAAAATTCCAGGGAGGAGAAAAATGCCACCAAATCACTGTGTGTGGCAATCATGCCATTTCCCTTTGGATCATGTACCTTTAAAACGTGTGAATGCATCGCTGTGCGAGTGGCATGTGTGTTTAAAAGATGCCATGATCGTCAGGCGCAGCGCTAGCCGGGCCTTGCAGACCAGCACGGGCTCCTGTGCGAGGGGAAAGCCTGCGACAGGCGCTGAGCCCCATGTGGATGTGGCAACAGCATCAAATTGTCGAACACATTGACTCATCGGTGCAGGCTGCAAATTATGCTTCTTAGCCTCCTGTGAACATGTTGCCTCATTTTTTTTATTATTTTTTTCTTAAACCATATCTTAGGATCTGCTTCAAAACACAGATGCCCACAAAAGAGCCTTCCATGAAATCTACCGGACCCGGTCGGTCAACGGGATCCCAGTGCCACCTGACCAGCTAGAGGACATGGCCGAGAGGTAAGCAGATGTCTTAGATGAAGCCTCTTTGTAAAATGCCCGGTGAATGCTTTTTCATCGCTTTTCCTTTTTTTTATGCATTTGTATTTTCTTGTACAGAAAGGCTTACATTTGGTAGAGTAAAATTGGACTCCCATAACATATGCTAAAGCACGCCAGCATGCTAACGTATCATTAATTAAAGAGTTAACCTGCTTGTGTTCAGAGCCTGGAAATCACAGAACTGGTTTCTTCAGAGGCTGTATTTTTATTCAGGGCTGTGAGGAACATTATGTAATATTGCAAGAACAGTGTATAAAAGAAACAGATGAGAGATGCTGGCAGGGGAAAGAGCTATATCAAAGGCTTCACTCAATCCCGATTCGCCTTTAAACCCAGAGCCAGAAAAAGGAATCTGATCTCCAGATAGTGATTGATCAGCCAGAGTTTAGAAGACCCGGTGCCTACATTAGATTCCTCCCGGACTGTGACAGGTTAAGTAAGCCCCGCTCTGTTACTTAGTTACATTCTGTGCATTCTCCTTGTTTTATTTCTAGGTTTCATTTCGTTTCCTCCACATCAGAACTGCACTTAATGAAAATGGAATTTCTAGAATTAAAGTACCGTCTGCTCTCACTGCTGGTTCTTGCAGAGTCGAAGCTGAAGTCTTGGATCATCAAATACGGGAGGAGAGAGTCGGTGGCGCTGCTGCTGCAGAACTACATCGTAAGTGTCCCCGGTGCCTGGGTCGCAGGATCAGAGGGCCGGGGATGTCGCACTGAGTACTGGCCAGTGTAGCTGATAACTTCATCTTGGGTTGAAACATGAAGGGTTCCAGTGTGTTAAAGGGGCTCCATAGAAGTTTGTGAGCTATTCATTGCCATCTGAAATATACACCTGTAGTCTTCAGAAATATAAAAGATTTTGCTGCATTAACCGTATTGAACCATTGTGACTGACTTTATTGCTTAAAAAAGAAAAGTTTTTGCATTGTATACCCATGACTTTGACTGTGAGCTCACCATTGAAACAGAGTGAACATACTTAAAGGTTATCTTCTTGTCTTCTAAAACCCAGTCTTGGAGAACAATTCTCAATTGTTGTAAACAATTTTTTTTTTTTTTTTTTTTTTAGATTAGGTCCAGCATGTCTTTTTTGTGGTTATTCCCTGAGCATTTTTGCTTCTTGTGTGCACCCAGGAAAAGTAAAAATTTGTAAATCTCTGTACCAATTTAATTTTTAAAGATTATCTCATATTTTGGGTTATCAGTAAAGATTATCTCATATTTTAGGTTATTTAGATAGAATAGTAGTCCTGTACTAATGAAAGAATTAGGTTGTTCTATAACTAGGAGTTTCTATTTACATGTAATTAGAGAATTATAATTATCGAAGGCAGCTTATTTCTCTTAAACACCCACCCCCCAAATTTATTAAAAATACAAATTTTCTCCGAAAGAAATGTTAATAGAACATCTCAGTTCTGACTTGTTCCATTGATGTTTAATCACAAATTCTAAATAATAAATTAATAAATTCAAAATGTAGGCCCATATGTTACCTACCAGTCACAGTAACTGTGTAATTGACATGATTGATACTTGTTGAAACCATGTCTTTATTGAAGAAGCATCCTAGAACCATAAAACATTTTGCTACATTTCAATTTCATTTTCTAAGTGATAAATGAACAACATGCATTTAGGGAGGAAAAGGTTTAACAGGTTTGTGGTAAAATATTTCTTTTGATTTAATTTATTGTCTCAGAAATAATTGTCAAAATGTGAACTCTGTTGTATGTTCCCTTATTCATTTTTAATTATTTTGAAAACCATACAAAAATCTATATTTTTTAACTGCAAGTACTTACATCAGACTTTTAAATATTAAATACAGATATGTATTTATGTATTTGGGTTTAGTCATATAAATGATACACTCTGAACTCAGTAGGTAATTATTCAGGATTCGTCTTTTTCCAGCTATTTAAGGACAACCAGTCAGATTGAAATGCCCAATAGGAGTGTTGCACCAGGTTAATGTTCAACACAACGATGTTAGTAATTCTCTTTGACTTCCTCAAGTGAAAGGTTTGTGAGTGGAGAGTTGTTACCAATGATTTAAAAAAAAAGCAGTATTTTCTGCCAGTCCATAAAGTTCACCATACAGCTCACTTTAAACTGCTTTCTAAGTCAGTCATTTGTAAAATTGCTAGTTACTCTACAAACATAGCAGGTTTCAATGAACATGTCCTAATATTCTTATGCCCTGTGAAAAAGACCTATTTATCACTCATACTTATTTCCCAGAAAGGGTTTTACGGTATTTTTTAACAGTTTGAATAACTTTGGAAGATTGAAAATTTGTCATTTGCCAAGGGTTTTCATTTTGTTTCACCAAGGAAACAAAGACGGAACGCTTAAGTCACATGCTCCGATGGCCTAGTTGGTAAGGAGTGGAGTCCGGATTTGAATCCATCTCTTTCCTACTCAAAAGCCTTTGTGCTTAAGCAGTAAACTTTACTAACAAAATTGTCTGTGAGAAAATAATTTTAACTTTAATAGACCAAATCATCAAAATGATTTCTTATAGATGAAAGAACTAAAGAATTGTAACTCACATAAATATTAGTTCCATTTAGTATTGGTCCATATTGACAATATTTTCCACTTTCACACTGTAGCCTGATAGTTCCTACTATTTCTGTTATAGGCAACATGGATTTAGGGCAGGGCGAGGTCAGATGGGGACCTTATGGAAGCTTGGCCACCAGTCACACAGAAAGGTGTTGAATCATGGCTCAGCTCCTTACTACCCATGTCACTTTATAAATAGCTTGATTCTAGAAGACTCACTTTTTCCTAAATCTATATATACAAAAGCCTAAGCGACCGTTCGACCATTCGACCGGTAGCTATGACATGCACTGACCACCAGGGGGCAGACGCTCAACACAAAGGCATGGAAACATGGAACTGACTGATGAATCTCAGAGGGTAGGGGGGAAGGGAGGAGGGCGGGAAGAGTTTAACCAAAGATCTTATATACATACTACAGGCCCAGTGCACGGATTTGTGCACCGGTGGGGTCCCTTGGCCTGACCTGTGGGGATCAGGCCAAAACCGGCAGTCCAAAATCCCCCAAGGGGTCCTGGATTGCAAGAGGGCACATGCCAGGCTGAGGGACACCACCGTGCATGAATCCATGCACCGGGCCTCTAGTTTAATAATGATGATAATAATAAAAATAATAATAATAGGAATTTTCTAAGGAACAAAGACTGACACACACTGTTTTACTTCTACCTGACACCCCACAAATACTCTCTTATCCTTTTGGAGTTTGGAGGAAAATCACTCTCTTTAAAACAGACTATTTCAAAGAGTATAAAGACTTTCAATATAATTAGAAATCAGGTTCTTAAATATAATCCTTTCCTTGTTTTCTAAAAATAATTTACTGTAGTGAACCATATGCTGAAGTTTCTCCTAATAACCAAAATAATATTCAGGCCGAAACCGGTTTGGCTCAGTGGATAGAGCGTCGGCTTGCGGACTGAAAGGTCCCAGGTTCGATTCCGGTCAAGGGCATGTGCCTGGGTTGCGGGCATATCCCCGGTGGGAGATGTGCAGGAGGCAGCTGATCGATGTTTCTCTCTCATCGATGTTTCTAGCTCTCTATCTCTCTCTCCCTTCCTCTCTGTGAAAAATCAATAAAATATATTTAAAAAAAAAAAAATATTCAGGATGTAAAATTTCCATAATTATCTTTGCCTTAGTCTGAATTCTCAATTAAATCTTTTAAAAATTTATTTTTCAATTAAATTGGGCACACCCCACACCGGGGATCTAGCCCACAACCTGGGCATGTGCCCTGACTGGGAATTGAACCGTGACCTCCTGGTTCATAGATCAATGCTCAACCCCTGAGCCATGCTGGCTGGGCCTAATTTGTATTTCTTAATCCCTTCACTTTTTCACCCAGTCTCCCAAACACCTTGTTCTCTGGCAACCATCACTTTCTATTGAGTCTGTTTTTGTTCTGTGTGTTCATTTATATTTTGTTCTTTAGATTCTGTATATAAATGTTCATTGCATTATTTACATTAACCAAGATATGGAAGCAACCCAAGTGCCCATCAATAGACAAGTGAATAAAAAGTCGTGGTGCATATACACAATGGAATATCACACGGCCATAAGAAAGAATGAACTCTGACCATTTGCAACGGCATGGATGGATTTAGCGGATACTATGCTAAGTATTATAAGTCAGACAGAGAAAGACAAAAACCACATGATTTCACTTATATGCAGAATCTAAAGAACAGAATAAAAGAACAAACAACAGAAACAGACTCAATTCAATCTTACTCATCTAAAAAAAAGATACTTTTTTTTAAAGGTTAGAAAATTAGAGAATGTGCTTTCTATTACTTCTTGTACCAGGCACATGGCCTGCAGCTGGTAAGTACTTAATATATTCCTGGAAAATACTTCACAAATGCTTGTTGAATAATTTAGGCTACTGATAAGAGATTACATACTATAATGAAAATCAGAAGATGACCGATTTGGTTCTTGCTCTCAGAGTTGTTCTTAATATGACCCTGTTGGTTAACACATGCTTCAATTTTACTCTGGAAAAAATAGGATAACATTTTGTTCTTTCACATAAAATAAAAGAGGAGCTCTGGGAACTTTGGACTGTGTGAATGCAACATAAATAATATAAACATTTATTTTATTGTTTATGATTATTTCATTAATGTACATAGACAAGTCTGATGAAACCACTCCTCAGAATTGATTTTTTAAATCTTAAATTATCTGGCTTAGCTCCCTTTGAGTGAAATTGATGAGCCTTTTATTTCTTATACCTATATTTATCTTGTGAGAGTAGAAATACAGTCTTTTCCACTAAGACTTTGAATTTAGTGGCACAAAGAGGTATCTTATTTTTCTTTAAATGTCTACTGACTAATGCAGCTTTTTTGTTCAACTTGACATCCAAATGTAAACCTTATTTTGAAAGAAATAAAGGAATCCTGTCGCTGTTATTTTAAACACGCATTTGTGTTTACTTTTGCAAAATCTGAGAGATTGTCTCTAGATAGCTCCCAGTAAAAAGGTTTGGCGCTCTTCCTGCTAAAGTAGTTCTAACAGACAAAATAATTCATATTACTAAGTGGATTTACTAAATATCCAGAAAAAAGAATCAAGATAAATGGAACAATTAAAAAGTAAAATAACAAAGAAAGCATTGTCCTCTAAAAACTGTTTAGCTTTCCTCATGGGAAAGCTGAAAAAAACTTTAATAAAACCCTACAGTATTAATAATATTTTTAAAACATTCCCTTTTCTCCCCCCCCCCCTTTGACCAGAAATAAAACTAGAAAAAACTTTTCTCTCTTCTTCATTTTCAATTTGTTTCTAAATTGCTCCAGCAAAAGCCTAATTAAGTCTTTCTGTCCAGTAGAGGCACGATTTCCCATTTCTTTGGCACTTGGAACAATTTTCCCATTAGCTTCTTGAAGTTTTTTGCCCAAGCTAAAGGTTGTTTTTAAAACTTTCCCAGAGATATTTATCTTTTCAATTTCTTACAGTGTCTTGAAGATTAGGTGTAATTTTCCTTTTAAAAAAAATCAAATCATGACTTGCTTATTTGATTAAGTTACTAAAATGTAAATTACAGTAAATTACTTTTTCTCCAGTTGGGGAGCAGGGAGAGGTTAAAAAAGTAGCACATCAGGCTGACTAACCAGTTAACCAGACTATGGTGGAATTACTTTATTTTCACACAAAAATAATGAAGCCTATTAAAATTATTGAATAAAGTAGTCATCATAGGACCCCTCATTCCAAGCAACTCACAGCTTGCTCTCTTTACCATTTCCCTGGAGAACAGTTAATATGTAAGTAAATGCTTTTACACATAAGATGATATGAAACGTATTATACAGGTAATTTTTAAATGTTATGATGAAATATGATAAATGTTTATCAATAAAATCTAGGGATGTTTATGCCATTGCTGTCTGAGTAGTTTTGCATCTGCACACAAGCATTTTGCATCTTCTTATTAAGCATCCATCAGCCTACTATTGAGGACTTCAGCTGGTTTTTGAAGGCTAATTTTGCATTTTATTATAATGACATCAAGTATGTCAGTGAGTTCCAATCATACGACATAATTATGCTGTTTAGAGAATGTAAAGAGCTTTTAGTGATGTGTTGTTACCTATAATTACATCAGTTTCCTACTTTGGAGAAGTAGGAATAATCTTTGAAACAGGAGCTATTTCATATTTATGGGAGTTAACTGTAAAAAACTTACCTAAGGATTTGTTGTGTGTTCTCAATTTTATAGTATCAATTTTCTGATAGAAACTGTATTATATATGTAAATTACATACTGACATAGGCATGCCTTGTCTGTAATTTTTATACTAAGAAATAGAAATTGGAGGTCATGGATAACATGGGTGGAATGTGAGATTATTAAACATTTTTCTACTTGTAAACATTTTTGTACTTATTTTTTATTTTAAGGGAAGGGTGCAGTGTGCCATTTATTTATATTCTGAAGTTCCTTGGAGCAATCATTCACCAGAATTATGGTTCATAAAGCAACAGAATTTCGCTGCTACACCCCAGTGGGACACTCGATGATGTTCTTCTAAATTTAGTGCTTTCTAAGTGTTAGCCTCAGGTCCCCTGGAGAAACATCTAAAAACAAACGCTTGGGTAGAGAGGAAATAGAATATTTTCTCAGTCTAGGGGTGAGTTAGAATTCAAAGTGTGGAAATACTTTATATTCTCAGAATAATTAAGTTATTTATGGCAGTTGAATTGATTTGATATTTTTAGGAAGAAGGAGGTTGGTAAATTTGGGGAGCACATTCACATACTGAAGAAGGTTGGGTTTGTCATTTCCACCTAAGCCAGTATTTGTTATCTTCTAACTATTCCTCCTTTTCTAGACTTTTATAGAAAACAGCAAGTTCTTTGAACAATATGAAGTGACATACCAGATCTTGAAACAGACAGCAGAGATGTACGTCAAAGCCGATGGTTCAGGTAAAACTCGTGACAGAATCTGTTTCAGTGTTGAATACAGGAAAATTTAGGAACTACAGATTTCTATATAAAAAAAATACAGATTTCTATATGAAATAATTTTTTGTTCTCTTGTGGAATCTTTGTGTGATCATATCATTGGTCTAGAGAGCATACATTGGATTCAGCAACAATTGACTTTGTATAATGCCTAACCTGCATCATCATATGTGTGTGTGTGTGTGCGCGCACGCGCACGTCTATGTGTGATCTAAGGGACAGCAAAATGAACATTCATTTTCTAAATTCCAATTTTCCAACCTATTTTCATTTCTGAGGATTAATAACAAAAAAATGGGCTAACTTGAATATTTAGTAAAGTAAATGAAAACTTAAGTTTGTGTAAAGGCCTAAGTTGTAAAACATTCTTGTTTCAACTTTTAAACATGTCATATTTGCTGAAAATGAACTATAGCATTTGTGACTGATACTATATGTGTGTCTATCTATTTGAGTGCATATAAAATGTGAACAAATATATGTGTCACTTACTGCATCCCATTTATTAAGAATTTTAAATATATTATCATCTTTAATCTTTGAATAAGATATTTTCAGCAATAACTGAATGAAATTCTAAAGAATTATAAATGCATACCAGTGTAATAGACTCTAGAAAAAAGATATGGTAGATTTAAAATATAAAATAAAGATTGTGCCCTAGCCAGTTTGGCTTAGTGCATAGAGCAGTGATGGCAAACCTTCTGAGCTCGGCGTGTCAGCATTTTGAAAAACCCTAACTTAACTCTGGTGCCGTGTCACATATAGAAATTTTTTGATATTTGCAACCATAGTAAAACAAAGACTTATATTTTTTATATTTATTTTATATATTTAAATGCCATTTAACAAAGAAAAATCAACCAAAAAAATGAGTTCGCGTGTCACCTCTGACACGCGTGTCATAGGTTCTCCATCACTGGGAGCATCAGCCTGTGGACCAAAGGGTCCTGGGTTCGATTCCGCTCCAGGCCAGGTACCTCAGTTACAGTCTCCTCCCTGGCCTCGGCCCTGATCAGGGCATATGCAGGAGGCAACCAATTGATGTCTTTCTCTCAAGACATTGATATGTTGCTCTTCCACTCTCTCTAAAAATCAATGGAAAATAGCCTCAGGTGAGGATTAAAAAATAATAATAAAATAAAATAAAGATTGCCATGTGTTTTATCTGTGTCAGTGGAAGAAGCCGAGAATGTGATGAAATTCATGAATGAAACCACTGCGCAGTGGAGGAACCTGTCGGTGGAAGTCCGCAGCGTGCGGAGCATGCTGGAGGAAGTCATCGCCAACTGGGATCGCTATGGCGACACCGTGGCTGGGCTGCAGGCCTGGCTAGAGGATGCCGAAAAAATGCTAAGTCAATCGGAGCTAGCCAAAAAGGTGAGGCTGCTTCTGACAAGAGGAGAAGGGCATGCACACATTTAAAAATAAAGATTGCAATATATTTACTCAAGAATCCCGACTTTGCCCGAAAAGTTGCACATTCAGGGTAGTAAAGTATTGTATACTAAGAAATGCACCGCTTTATAAATGTTACGTTAGAACAGTTCCCTGTCTGACAGTTCAGTGTTTGATTTTGCATGCAGAAGAGCAAGAACTGACGGGGGAAAGGCAAGCCCAGTGGGCAGCAGAGGGCGCTGTACTCACAAAGTCTGCTCCTGGGAGGCCATATCCAGGGCAGTGCCCTGTGGATTTCAAAATTTAAGATTAAAACATAGTATTGGATCTGTGGGATGGCATCCGCGGTTAACAGATGGGTCACTGCATTTTTTTGTCTCTTTGGTTATTCTTTTTCAGATTTTATTAACCTCCGTCCAGGGTCTCATTCTCAGCAGGCATGATTCCCTGCTCCATTTACAGGTGTACATGTGCATATGCAAAAGTTACTGTTTTATTTTAATGTCACTTACATTTGAAAATAACATGAAATAGACTGATTTCTCTATATACAGGGGTGGGCAACAGTCAGTTTACATTTGTGAGTATGTGAAACAGACTTCATTCTTGTATTTTATTTTTTGATTATTATATTACTTATTTGTACTATCTGTCTTATTGTTGCTATTAATTCATATCCTTACTTATGATTTATCTTTTAGGTAATTATGGATGGTCATGTAAACCTACTTTTCCCCACCCCTGTATATACTTTTTAATGGTAGCCAGACATTTCCCACGGAAAAATCAATTTACATGTATAAGAAGTTAAAATGCCAGACTCCATTAAGAAATATAGTACATATGTTAGAATTAACTGCTTGCCGTCCAAGATTGGTTCATCTATCATTGTGTTATACAAGTAGATGTATCATTTTAAAAACGTTTTACCATTTCATATTTCATTTAGGTTACATATTCTTGTGTGGCTGATGGTGACGGAAACGATATCGCTATACAGATTTTGGCTTTTCTGATTAGACCACCATGCCCAAGTAGATGTCATATGTGTTAATTTTATCCAAGGAAACATAACTGCCAGAAACAGAACTGTTCTCGTCTATTTATGGAGGAAGAACTCCCACACAGAGCTTATGAAATGGATTTTGAATTATCTTTTGTTTCCATGCTTTCACTGTGGTGTGTGTGTGTACATACACTGGCACATACACGCTTAACTTGAAATCAGGTGGAAACTACTTCATTGTCCACTGTGTAACGTTAAACAGATGAGGGAGGATGTTATTGTATTCAATTGTATTCAGTGTTCCTGGCCCCAGATACTTAATTTTTAAATTTTTAAATTTCCTTTGATGGTTTAGCTCCATGATTAGTAATTATCGTGATGATCTACTGTATTCAGATTTTAAAACCAAAAGTAACAGGTCAAAAGTTTGTTTACAATTTTTTTTGAGGAAGTCAAGCAAGTATGTCTTTCCAATCTATATTTTCCTACAATAGTATCTCTTTGTTGTTGTTGTTTGTTAATCCTCACCCGAGGATATTTTTTTCCATTGATTTTTAGAAGGAGCGGAAGGGAGGGGGAGAGACAGAGAGAGAAACATCTATGTGAGAGAGACACATCAATTGGTTGCCTCCCCTCATGTGCCCCAACCAGGGCCAGGGATCAAGCCTGTAACCTAGGTACATGCCCTTGACTAGAATCAAACCCAGAACCCTTCAGTCCAAAGGCCGACACTCTATCCACTGAGCCAAACTGGCTAGGGCAATAGTATCTTTTATATGACTCCGACACTGACATTTACTCACTGGTAGACAATGTATAAGTCCTTTATTCTCACAGAAATCCCACTTTTCATCTGAAAAATAGGAATAACAGACATGGTCGCATTTTATTTTGTCTTCAGCAAAAGATATGGCATAAATGTTTTTTATAGAAATACACTCAGCATTTCTAGTTCACACTTTTGAAACTCTTTATTAAATATATGCATTTTGAGAGTTAGGATTTACCTTAAAATGTACAAATTTTCAAACAAAGATATTTCTCTTAGTTTGGTCATTATCATATTCTTTATTAAATTTGGCGTATGGTTTACAATAGGATGCATTGTTTATTGTCTAGGACTTTTTTCGAAATTTGCCTCATTGGATACAGCAACACTCTGCCATGAACGATGCTGGCAATTTTCTCATTGAAACGTGTGACGAGGTGGTTTCCCGTGACCTTAAACAGCAGTTATTATTGCTCAATGGGCGCTGGAGGGAGTTGTTCATGGAAGTCAAGCAAGTATGTCTTTCCAATCTATATATGCCTGAAACATGCGTGTGTTACAAATGTTGCTTTAAACAGTCTGTTTAGAGACTATTTTGTTAGTCTCTATTAACGTAGGCTTATTAAAGCCGGGTCCAGATGTGTCTAGATCTGTTATATTGGTCCTTTATTCTTCCCCCTGAATAACAGAGGGACATAACAGAAATGTGGAGTTTGAGTAATGATTATACTGCCATATGGGACCTATGCATATGGAACGATTCATGTTTCAAATTATAATTCTTCACTTCTGTGCTACTTCCTTTTCTTTTTCTTTCTTTTTTTTTTTTTTTTACTTTCATGGTCATTGGGCTTCAAGTGTATCTAACATAAGAGTCAGGAATGAGAGTCTTTCTTACCATGTAAGGGTTGCAGAGAGTACATGGAAGTGAAGGTTAGACGTCCAATCCCGGCTTCATGATTGTCAGTGACATCCCCTCCCTTTCCTTAACAGTATGCGCGAGCTGATGAGGTGGACAGGATGAAGAGGGAATACACAGACTGTGTCACTGCCCTGTCTGACTTTGCAACTGAAGCCCACAGGAAGCTTTCTGAACCCTTGGAAGTCTCTTTTATTAACGTCAAGTTATTAATTCAAGACCTGGAGGTGAGGGGGCTCTCTGGACCATAAAGTGAAAAACCTCGTCTATTGTGAAAATCAAGATCAGTGAAGTTGCTCTAGTCATTGCAAAGCTTTTTCTGTATCTTTTTTGATGTGTGTATATCTTCATTGGTACCTCCAAAAAAATTTTAAATTGTGTTTTTTAAAAACTATTTGAATTTTTAAAGGTGTATTTGGGCCATAAAGTAACTTCAAAATAATTTTTTAAGTAGGAGATTATTTTTTCTTCAACCAAATTATAAAGCACTAGAGGAAAATAGGAGCCTGCAGATGACACCTCTGTATAAAAATCTCCAGCAGTAACATTATAAAATGAATTGTGCTATTTAATTAGTTTGAATACCCCACAGCCCTCAAAATGAAGTAATGGAAGGATATTTAATGACATGAAAAACTTTTCCAATACACTATTAAGTGAGAAAAGTAAAAAATAGCATCATCTCTTTTTTTTTGGTAAAAATTAAAAATGAGTGTAAACACACACAGGAAGCAACATTAATGATGTAATGTTGGGTTGATGGCTCTGGTGATCCCTATGTGGGACTTTAACTTAAATTTCCTTTATCCTAATTTATCTCTATTTAATACATTTTCTGCAATGACAATGTGTTATTTTTTAAAGAAAATAAATTTAATTTCTAAACTTACAGCAATTGCCCCAAAGTGTTCACATACATTTACCTGATATAATGTTTACATACTACATTAGCACATATGTTGAAAGTGTGAAGATTACTTCAGCATATGTCAACTAAGGATTTCTGCTTAGTTTTTTTATTTCTTTATTGATTAAGGTATTACATATGTGTCCTTATCCCCCTATTACCCCCCATACCTTACCCCCCCCCGCCCCCCCCGCTCATGCCCTCATCCCCCTGTTGTCTGTGTCCATTGGGTAGGCTTATATGCATGCATACAAGTCCTTTGGTTGATCTCTCCCCCTTACCCCCACCCTCCCCTACCTTCCCTCTGAGGTTTGATGGTCTGATCAATGCTTCTCTGTCTCTGGATCTGTTTTTGTTCATCAGTTTAGTTTTTTTTTTTTTTTTTTTTTTTTTTTTTAGAAAAAAAGCTTTTATTTAGCTATATGATATTACCAACATATAATATATTAGTAATGAAGGAAAGCAATAACTGGAATCTCCAAAGGTTTATGAGTATAAGTATAGAATGTTCCCTAGAACATAATGACTTTTGCCCAGCCTTCTGCAGAATCCTGAAATGAAAAGGTGCTGACTTCACTCTTCACTGATTCCTGCAGGACATTGAGCAGAGGATACCTGTGATGGATGCTCAGTACAAGATCCTCACAAAGACAGCGCACCTCGTTACCAAAGAGAGCTCCCAAGAAGAAGCTAAGGAAATGTTTGCGACCATGTCTGGGCTCAAAGAGCAGCTGACCAAGGTGGGGGAATACTTTATGCAAGTTACCCTCCGGGACCAACTCTGACCATCTCTGCCTCCTGCGCGCCCTCCCTCCTCTGTCACCGAGGGCACATCCTTTACTTGTTAACAAATCATGCTTTTGTTTCTCTGTGTGATTTAGTAACTTTGTCATCTAGTAACTCTGCCATGAGTTTTAAAAATGAAACTCTGGGGCTGATACCAGCTATTCCCTCTGTTGACTTAGAAGCATTAGTAGCTGTATTTTAATAGAAAGATAAGCCTCTCCAGGGGGAGAGGGGACCAATGAAATAGGATTAAACAAAAGGGGGAGAAGTGGAGGAGGAGGAAAGGAGAGGAAGGGATCAGATATTTAAATGAGAAAGAATTCCAAAATGCCCCCTTTTTTGATCGTTTATTTGATGTGCCCTTACTCTAAGAGTACTTATGCTATTTTCTTCCCGGGCGATTGAGAGACATTTTCACGAGAAAACTCTGTGGCATTTACGTGTGTCACTGGCTTAGTAATATTGTCTTATATATAAAAATTGAACAGCGCATAGGAACTATCCTGAAACAAATGCCTGTGGCGGTCTGTAAGCACAAAATGACCACATCACTAGAGAAAATGATCCTGAGAGCTTCATGGCTTTTAACAGAATCTTTGTCTTTGTGCTTTTAAAGGTCAAAGAACGTTACTCCCCACTCCTGTATGAGTCTCAGCAGCTGTCAGTTCTGCTGGAGGAATTAGAAAAGCAGATGACGCTCTTCTATGACTCACTTGGGAAAGTCAGTGAGATTATAACAGTGCTTGAGCACGAGGCACAGTCTAGTGCTCTTTTTAAACAAAAACACCAGGTAAGGAAACGTCCCTTTCGGGAGACACGGTTATTTGGAAAGCATGTGTAGTAAAATTGAGGTAGTGCTTATGTATAGACATTCTATAACCAGGCTAGCACATAATGCATACTCTGTAACTGGTAGCAATTATTATTATTGTTATTATTAGTTACAGAGAGACAATGATTACACTGCCAAACCCTATTCTAATGAGTTCTCATCATGTTGAATAAAGATTATTTTCTATTTTGAGCCATAGTGCCATTTCTTACATTCCAAAATTGCTATAAATTGGCATCAAAGAATCCTTCCACAATTAAATTACTTAATGTTGAGTAATAATGATATGTAATAATATGTCTCTAAATGTACCTCCTAAATCTTCAAAAAACCAAAAACGTGTCCTTATTCTGTTTTGCCAAAGCAAAACCAAAATTCTGCTCTAAATATTTGAATCTAGATTACCAAAGCTTGTATCCAAATTAGCCATTTGAAATATTTTCCCAAAACAATTGAGGATGTTGAAATGCAAATGGATTCAAGTCAAAAAATGACTGTCAGCCTGGGGCTGGGCTGGACCACTCCCATGCTGTCCGCTGCGGAAATCACTGATGCCTGGCCACGGGTCAGAGGTGGAGGGCCTGAGTCACATCGCTTCTCGTCCTGTCAATGTGTGTCCATTGCGAGTCCTCCCATGCCCACTGGTCAGCTGCCGCGTGTGGTTAGGATCTGGGGTTCGGCATTTTATCGATGAGGCGGCTAGCTTGTGAACCTTAGAATTCAAAAGGACTCCACACAATTTACACAAATAATACACAATCTGCGTCTGACTCAGTCAAGTATGATGTGCATGGTGCTCACTTCATTTAGTCAGACTCTACCCTGCTCTGTAGGTTGAACGCATTGTTTGCTCAGTACACCATAAGCCTGTTATTTGGTTGGAGAAATGCAGGTACTGGGCAAATAACAATTTCTGATGCTCCCACTTTCTCCTAACGTTAATAAGATGGGCTTGAAATATTTTTTTAAAATCTCAAAAAAATGTAAAAAGCCCAGATTTCAGTGATTGCTTAACATTCTGGGGGGAAAAATAATAACCTCTCTGTGCTTTTGATTTTGCTTATTGCTGGTGAAAAGCCTAAAGCTGTATCATGCCATTCTTACTATTTTGTAATGATTCCTCTCTGTCCTTATCTTTCTCGCCCTTCTACATTCTATTGCTGTGGGCTTCCTTCCCTCCTAGGAGCTCCTAGCTTGTCAGGAAAGCTGTAAGAAGGCCATGGCACACATTGAGAAAGGCAGTCAGAGTGTTCAGAAGTTTGTGACCTTGAGCCACGTGCTGAAGCATTTTGATCAGACGAAGCTGCAGAGAAAGACAGCCGAAGCCCACGTGGCCTTCCAGGTGAGTCCTCTCCCCGCTGGGAATGTGAGCGGGGACAGTGCCAGCGATGAGGGCACAGAGCCATCACGGGTCATGCTTTCACTCTTGCTAACTGCCTCACCCACTGGTGTTTGGTAACCAACATTTCACTGATTTCTCTAATATGAACATCCATTAATATTAAAAGGGGTTAATTCTTATTATAATGAAATGTATTCCTTCCAAGTGGTTTTTAAAGAAACAATGTTCCTTAACAAAGTGATACTTTAACGAGAAAGCATCCAATTATGATTATTTTTCTAAATCAAGAATATGGTCAAGAAAACTGGAGACTGGAAGAAACATGTGGAAACCAACAGCCGCCTGATGAAGAAGTTTGAGGAGTCGCGGGCGGAGCTGGAGAAGGTGCTGCGGGTGGCGCAGGAGGGCCTGGAGGAGAAGGGGGACCCGGAAGAGCTCCTGCGGAGACACACCGTGAGTGCATCCCTGTCACTGTGCAGTCGGGGTCAGGATCTCCCCCTGGCCTTCCAGAATGTTCCGCCAACTCTGAAAACGGAAAATGTTTTTTTTCTAAAAATTATAAAGTACGGGTTGAATGTTGGATGTGGGTGGCTTCTGAGTCATAACTCTAGATGATTATAGTTCATTCCTGAAAAAAACACACACAAAAACAAGAGCAGTTGCTGGGAAGGTTTGGCGAGGGCAGCAGCTGGCTTGAGGCTTGCTCAGAGGGGTGGCTGCTTCTCTATGCTTCTCTTCCAATGTGGCCCTTTTACTCCCCCCCCCCAACCCCTGACACACACACACACACACACACACACACACACACACCCCTCTCCCTCTTCGTGGCAGGAGTTCTACGGTCAGCTGGACCAGAGGGTGCTCAATGCCTTCCTGAAAGCCTGCGACGACCTCACGGACATCCTGCCTGAGCAGGAGCAGGCGGGCCTGCAGGAGGCGGTGAGGAAGCTGCACAAGCAGTGGAAGGTGAGGGGGCACAGGAAGGGGGCCTGGTGTCATGGCGGATGGAGGGGGGAGCAGGAGGATGTTAGGGTCGACTGTACGAGAAATTTAGAAATTCAGGAAACTACTTTTCCCATTAAAATAAATGAACTAGAATGGAGCACGATGAAAATCATAGAATTTCCTTAATCCTATCTTTCAGTAACAGCAATTTGTGATCAGAGGGTACTCATGATGTCACTTGGCCCTAAAGGGGTTTTGTCACTGCAACTGGAAATGTACAGATTCAGTGACGGTATCGTATTCTCCCAAATCTTTCTGTGCAATGTAGGATCTTCAAGGAGAAGCCCCATATCATTTGCTCCATCTGAAGATCAAGGTGGAGGAGAATAAATTTTTGGCCTGTGTGGAAGAATGCAGAACTGAGCTGGCCCGGGAGACCAAGCTGGTGCCCCAGGAAGGCAGTGAAAAGATGATTACAGAGCACAGGGTGCGTCACGCACCCCCAAGTGCAGTCACATGGTTACTTAAAGGACATGACTGTTGCTTTGGGTTGGGTCTGGAAGCACCGAATGGCTTAATTCCTTTACACCGAGAGAGTCTGAATGGAATCTTCCTTTTGTGTGTGCGCGTGCATGTGTGTGCGTGTATGTGCGTGTATGTGTGTGCATGTGTGTGTGTGTGTAAAGATAAACCTATTGGATGGCTCCTCACGGGGATTCTATAAATGTTTCTTGCCCATTAGATCTTCTTCAGTGACAAAGGGCCACATCACCTCTGCGAGAAAAGGCTGCAGCTCATTGAGGAGCTGTGTCTGAAGCTCCCAGGCCGGGACCCAGTAAGGGACACGCCTGGAGCCTGTCAGGCGACGCTCAAGGAGCTCAGGGCTGCCATCGAGAGCACCTACACGCAGCTGGTGGAGGACCCCGACAAGTGGAAGGATTACACCAGCAGGTAGCCTTGGCGTTGTTCCCAGACAAGGACATCGTCTATTTTAGTTGTGTTAATTCATAGACTTTTACAAAACAAGAAATGACATATGGTCCATCCTATGCAATGAAGAAAATCAGATTGTATGGCGTTGCCCAGGTTCTTATGTAAAAAGGCTTCATTCAATAAAAAGAGCAGGTTTCATTCAGAAAAGGTGAAGCACTTCATTTTCAAATGACTCTTTCTCTCTTTTTTCTTCCTGATTTTAGAGAAGAAGGAAGAAGGAGAGAGAGATAGAAACATCAATGATAAGAGAAAAATCAACTGCCTCCTGCACACCCCCCAGTGGGGATTGAGCCCGCCACCCGGGCATGTGCCCCCCCGGTAATCGAACCCTGACCTCCTGGTTCATAGGTTGATGCTCAACCCCTGAGCCATGCCGGCCGGGCAGGTGTGATCTGCTTGAGGCAGCATTGGTTCCTGTCTTTTTCTGGGATTGCCACATGTCCCCGAAGGGGGACTTCTGATTCTTTAGGGTTACACGTGAGATTCTGCCCTCGCCCCCAGGTGCCCAGGCCGGGGACAGACACAGCTCTTTCCCCAGCTGAGCTCCGCCTGCTCCACCCGTTCTTCCCCCGAGTGCCTGGGCACAGAGGTGGCCACGCCTGCCCAGAGCTTCATGTTTCTCTAAGGAACAGTTTCCAGAAAATCTGTTAATCAATTTGCTAATCACTTGAGTGTCAAATTTCCATGAATGAATTCAAACTAGAAAATGTAGTGGCTCAGTGGTTGAGTGTTGACCTATCAACCAAGAGGTCAGGTTCGATTCCCAGCTGGGGCACATGCCCAGGCTGTGGGCTCGATTCCCAGTGTGGAATGTGCAGGAGGCAGCCAATCCATGACTCTCTCTCATCATTGATGTTTCTATCTCTCCCTCTGCCTTCCTCTATGAAATCAATAAAAAATATATATTTTTTTAAAAAAATGTATTCTAACCGTCCTGAAGTGTTCTCTCTTTAATGAGATAATGCCTGTGTCATTTCAGAATTTCCGAGTTCTCATCTTGGATCGCTGCAAAGGAGACACAGCTGAAGGGGATTAAGAAGGAGGCCATCGATACTGCCAACCATGGAGAGGTGAAGCGGATGGTTGAGGTAAGTCCTGGGACACTATTTGTCACTGGAAAATTTCCACTAATAAAAAAAGTGATAGACAATCTAACTGGTGTCTTTCTTACTTTCTATAAAAGATTACGTTCCTGAAAACTAACTCAAAAATAAGTGCCCTTGTGTTACTGTGAGAACTATAGGGAGTTTTTCTCTGGAACCATTGTTGGCTTTGAGATTTAGTCATGCTCAGTGGTGCCTTTAAGGCATCTCTCGCTAATGGGGAGTCCTGGGGGGAAAGTGCATGCGTGGGTGCGTAACACAGCAGAGGATGAAGAACGCCACGGGGAACAAGAACACTGTCGGCTTTTTATACAATGCATTCAAGAGCCAGGTCAGGAAATGAGGGGTTTGGACAAAGCCAATGCTATGTCACATTCAGCCTGGATGGGAACAGCCCCTGTGAGCTTGAGGCTGAGCTTGGGGACAGCCTCAGACCCAGCCATGACAGAGCCTCAGGTCTCAACCAGTTTGCATCCTCTGTATGGTACACAGCAACCCCCTCCCTCTTAGCTTGGCTCTAAATATCACAGACACGTGCTATTGTGAATATTCTTTCTCTTTCAGTGGTTTGAACCCTTGCAAGTCAGGTAGTTAATGAGAATATTTTTTCTTTCTGTTTTCTCTAAGCTTCATTTTTTATATCAAAATTATAATCCCCTTAAATGCTAGAGGTGCTCAATAATATCATGCTCTACCAAAGGAAGGATCTACAGGGGTGGTGAAAATAGGTTTTCAGTTGTCCCTATGGGTAAAGACACGCAGGTGGTGATTATTACAATAGTGTCATTAACTCTGTGTTTCGTGCACTCACAGCTATTAACCCACTTTTTTCCCACCGTACATTACTACTGGTGGCCATTATGGTACAAAAATAATTCTCACTGTAGAATGAAAAGATCACTTGTTTCTGGAACCAACCATTTTCTGGCTGGTGTGAATTTGCCCTATAAGGCCCTCTGGAGCAAAACATGTGGCTGGAGACCACTCTGCCCTCGCAGTGCCCGGAGCGGGCGGAGGAGGGAGAGACTGCCTGAACCCCTTTCCCTGGGTCCCCTGCCCTCTGAGGGCCAAAGCCCGAGTCTTTCTGGCTTTGTCTTGGCCCATAAGCCTTCCTTTCCTGGATTAGAGTCATGATCCGGCTTGTGTATCTTACTCTCTAGGCCAGCCGTGGGCAAACTACGGCCCGCGGGCCAGATCCGGCCCGTTTGAAATGAATAAAACTATTGAAAAAAAAAGACCGTACCCTTTTATGTAATGATGTTTACTTTGAATTTATATTAGTTCACACAAACACTCCATCCATGCTTTTGTTCCGGCCCTCCGGTCCAGTTTAAGAACCCATTGTGACCCTCGAGTCAAAAAGTTTGCCCACCCCTGCTCTAGGCTATTGACTTCTAAAGGCTAACAAAAAATATGATTTAATGAAGTTAAAATAAAATAAATCTTTAAGTTATCTATAACAGTATTCAGCAAGTGACCTCTTCAATAAAAGAATCAGCTAACTAAAATAAAGATTCTTTTTTTCTTTTCTTCGAAAAATACCACGTTCCTTCCAGCTTACAGAAAGCAAGATGACAAAGTATATTATATACTATAATTCCCAATTTTGGTATCAGATAGTCTTCTACAGTACTTTTAGAAGGGTCCTTGTTGGGATCCAGGGAATCTGTAAATATCTAACCATGTAATCATGAAGGTAACCTTTGGTTTAGAGAGTACTGACTTTACACATGAGGTATTGGCCTTGGAGAAACAGTTCCTTCTCGTACTTGTAGCCTTTTGTGAAAGACCTGAACAAAGTGAAATGAGCAGGCACTCCATTGGGGAATGAATGCCTGGCATTCCTACCGGCCCCTTACATACCTTCTCAGGTGGAACCCTTTCTTGCTGGAAAGTTCTGATGCACAATTGTGTTTTGTTCATCCAAGTGTTCTTTCGTTCCAGGAGATAAGAAATGGTGTTACCCAAAAAGGCGAGACTCTTGGCTGGCTGAGATCCAGGCTTCAAGTTTTGATTGAAGTTTCTTCTGAGAAAGAAGCCCAGAAGCAGGGCGATGAGCTGGCGAAAGTATCTAGTTCCTTCAAAGCTCTCACAGCTTTATTGTCAGAGGTATATCATTTACTCACACTCTATACAGTTCTGGGCAAGGAATCTGGAAGGTTCTTCCTCTTCGGTTTGTAGTTTAACAAGCAAGTTTATAAAGAAATCTTAGTTGAAATAGAATAGTTGATACTTAGTTATATAAATATTGGTAGAAAAGATGGGTAGGAAGTTTGAGGTATGGTCTGTGCCATTATCAGATATATTATCAGACAAATATTAGTTCAGATTAATGATCTATAGCTGAAATACAAAGCTTATCAGTTCCATAGTTTTTTTACTCTTAATAAGAGCATTATTTCATAGTCAGTTTAAGGAACATCATGGAGGTTAAGAACTCAGGCTTGAGAGTCAAGCAAACTCAGAGTTAGTGTTTAACTCCGGTACCACTTTACATAAATAAGCTTGTCATTTAATATCTCTGGGACCTTGTTTTTCTTACTTGTAAAGCAGGGCAAAAAAATATGCCAAAAGGTAATTTCAAGAGTTGAATGCAATCATGTATTCACAGCACTTAATACAGTGTCAGAACAGAATACGTGCTCATAGCCGATGCCTGGCAGTAATGGACTGCTCAGTGTTTAGTCTGCGGCCCCGTAAGATCTTTTAGGTAAAAATCTACTCATTTTAAACTTCTTGGTATACAGTTCAATGTTTATATTCCTTTATAGATTAGAATATACAAACCCATCTGCTTCATTTCTGATAGGGCTACTTCCACCCTCTGCTAGAATATTTTTACTCACCGGGTGGTCGTACAAGTCTACTGGGTTTGTGCATGGAAAGTAATGTAAGAATGTAAAGTAGAATAGATAGTTATCAGTATTTTTCTTGAAATCACTAATAAGCTTGCAGGAAATAATGATCAACTGAATGGCTACAAAGTGCCTTGATTCTGAAGATCCGGAATTCTTCCTAGCAATCTCTAATGTAACAGTTGGCCAGTTAACTTTTTATACTTTTAATCCATGTGGACCTGCTTAAGACTCTAGTAGTGAATTTGCATAAATCAAAAATACTCTGAACTGCTTGTGATTTGAGTTTTATGTGATCATTTTGATATGTAACATATAGTGTTCTTAAGAATTTTTTTGACAAATTGAAAACAGCAATAGGATTAATCAAATTTTGGAACATAAGCCATTCAAAACCTTTGATGGCCCATCTTTCATAGCAGAAGACAAAGCTGAAAATTGAAGAAAATGACAAGGAAAAGAATCCACTAAGGAACCACAAAAATCAGAAATTATATTGATGCTTTGCCTGAAATATTGGAAGTGCATTTTTAACAAATACCCTTTTTTTTTCTCTTTGTCCTCTATACAAAATTTTTCTTACTTTAAATAGGATACACTAAACTTTCTTATACCACAGGTTTTTTTTAATGATTTTATTTTAGTTATAAGATTGAAATGAAAGCGATCCAGGAGACAATATATATAATATGTGCAGTTGTATTACCCTGCCTTGATTTTTGAGGCTGAGCAGGTTTTTAATATACCACGCAGCACCATAACAAATGATCCTTGCGACTCCCATAAGTGACTATGCAGTTAATAATAATAAAGAAGCTTTAAAACATTTGAAAGAATAAAGATTAGGGATCTGTGCATATATTGCAAGTTGTTGAGAAAGACTTTACACATATTCTTTAAAAAATTAAGATTACATGAGCATATGATTTACAATATTTTCATGAACACGTAGGTTGAAAAGATGTTAAGCAGTTTCGGGGACTGTGTCCAGTACAAAGAAATCGTCAAGAGTTCCCTCAAAGAGTTAATTTCTGGCTCCAAGGAAGTCCAGGAGCAAGCGGAGGAGATCTTGGGCACGGAAAACCTGTTTGAAGCGCAGCAGCTACTCCTTCATCACCAGGTAGAATGGCCCTTCTCCTAGTGCATTTGTGCAACGTTGATAGCTGATTACTGATACCAGAGAGAGGACTAGCATGGAACCGGGGTGAGGGCGAAGGGAAGGGCAGGGGTGTGCAGGAAGGAAAGGAACCCAGCTGAATGGTTAAAAGGAAGCACTTTTGGTCTCTCTCTTAAATATAAAATATTTCAAAGATTCTGCAAGACAAATTCTCAGCCTGAATGGTTTGAGGACATGAAAAAATTCAAAACATATTGTGAAGGGAAAGTTGGTTTTGCTATAAAAACCTTTATACAACGTGCAAATTGTCTGTTTCATAACAGAGATGGGAAGCATGGAGATAATTGCTTCCTATTTGAGATCAACATTCTTTTGTCATTACATAAAAAATCTCACTTTTCAATTTATAATTCTGAATACATCTTAGTCTGAGAAATTATGATTTACCTGGAGTACCAGATCTTTCTGGAGAGTGTGCTTTATAGGGATAGAACTGGAGTAAAGACATTCTGGTATATCTATATATATATATAAGCTTAAGTGACCATTTCACCGTTCGACCATTCAACCAGTAGCTATGACGCGCACTGACCACCAGGGGGAAGATGCTCAATAAACAGGCATGAAAACATGGAACAGACTGATGAATCTCAGAGGGAAGGGGGGAGGGGGAGGGGGAGGGCAGGAAGAGATTAACCAAAGATCTTATATGCATATTAGAGGCCCTGTGCATGGATTCATGCACCGGTGGGAACCCTCGGCCTGGCCTGTGGGGATCAGGCTGAATCCATGCACAAATGCTCTGACATCCTCCAAGGGGTCCTGGATTGTGAGAGGGTGCAGGCCAGGCTGAGGGACCCCACTGGTGCATGATTCTGTGCACCGGGCCTCTAGTATATTGATAATCTGCAATTTTAATCAGTGTCACTTGTCAAACTCAATATAAGTGGAAGTATAATTCACGTAAAATATTTAATGGCAAAATTCTAGCTAACTGCCCTACCCAGTTTGGCTTAGTGGATAGAGCATCAGCCTGTGGACTGAAGGGTCCCAGGTTCAATTCTGGCCAAGGGCACATGCCAGGGTTGTGGGCTCGATCCCCAGTAGGGTGTGTGTAGGAGGCAGCCGATCAATGATTCTCTCTCATCATTGATGTTTTTATATCTCTCTCCCTCTTCCTTCCTCTCTGAAATCAATAAAGAAATACATTTTTTAAAATTCTAGCTAACTTAATGTCTAGCAAATGGTAGCTAATTATATATATGTAATATATAAAAATTAAAATTACACTAAAAGTATATGTAAAATGGCAGCTTTTAGGCTTTATGGATATATTTAATAATTATAAAAAACTGTGAGTATAGAAAAGTTCATGCTTGGTAGTAATATTGTTCTCAATTATTGTAAAAGTTGTGTTTGGGTTTCAATTTAAGTCAGAGAAATATGAAATTGTAAATATTTACATTAATTTTTTAAAACTTCACATTTCTTGGGTCAGGTGCTTGGTTATATGTGTGTTTACTTGTGAAAATTAATGAGCCGTACATTTGAGATTTGCCTACCATTCTGTTTGTACATTATAATTCAATAAAAAGTTTATTTTAAAACATGACTTTCCCCAGATTTCTCAGCAGATTAATCATTCTGAATATGCGTAGGAATTACATTTCTTAATAGTAGCATTTCTTAGAGCATAAATGATTTTTAAAAATGGACTTAGGACTTCATGTGTTTAAGCAGAAAGTAATTATTTTAGGAGAATCATGGCAAATGAATAGCTTTGCCAGATTCCTTCTGGAGTATTGCACAGAATGCTAAATGTTGTCTGAATTTGCACATAATCAAAACACCAAGACCAAATGATGTCGTTTACCATTGAAAACACAATATTTATAAGTAATGTCCATCTTTGAGTAATGCACAGTCTTCATTGCCGTTTTCACTGTTCATGTTGACTTTAAATAGAGCTTGGGTCCAAGCTGTGTGAGCTCCTACCATTTTGTATCTCCCCTAACGCTTGGGCGCTATGTCCCTGCCTAGTCGCTTAGAGTAACATGTATGTCCACCCTTGAACAAATGCTTCCAGCAAAAGACAAAGAGAATCTCTGCAAAGAAGAGGGACGTGCAGCAGCAGATGACGCAGGCCGGGCAGGGAGAAGGCGGGCTGCCCGGCCCGGTGCAGGAGGAGCTGCGGAAGCTGGAGAGCACCCTGGACGGCCTGGAGCGCAGCAGGGAGAGGCAAGAGCGCCGCATCCAGGTAGGAGCCTGGAGTCCAGAGCTGGGCAGCCCCCGGCCACAGGTTACACATCCTGTTGGGAGAAGCTGCTTGTTTCCACCCCTGATGCTCCCACATCGTGTTAGCTATTTACCTACTTAAGCACCACACCAGCCTTATGCAATGGGTGGTATAATTAGCACATTTTGCAAGTGTGGATGCTTAGAAAGGAAAGAGTTTGAGCACCTGACTCAAAGTCACAGAGCAGTGGCCCACAATAAGCCAGGATTTTAATTCACACTTGTCTGAATCTAGAAATTGACACGGAATTATTTCTCATTTCTGCAGTCCAGTAGCCACAAGGTTATACTTTACTGTGATCTTGGCACATTACCTGAAATAAAGTTTTTGAATTTTGCCACCTGCTCACTTCTCTCTTCCATTCTCCCCTTCCTTCCTCCTCCCTTCCCTCCCTCCTTCCTTCTCTCTCTCTCTCTCTCTCTCTCTCTCTCTCTCTCTCTCTCTCTCTCTCTCTCTCTCTCTTTCTCTTTTTCTTTCTAGAATCTGGGAGACTTTCTTTTCCTTTGTCCTTTATCTACATTTTAAGGAATATCCTTAGATGCATAGGACATTACAGCTGGTAGAAAATTCAGAGTCCTTGTCCACACACACTCTTTTTGTAGATGAACTAAGGCTCAAAAGGGAAATTCTTTGTAGAAGCCTTTAGGATTGTCTTTATTGAGTATAATGTGTGAAATTTGAACAGAGTCAACGAGAAGTTGGCAGCCTGACAAAGAATAGAAATGTGAACAATATTTTGTGACATACTTTGATAGCTCATAACATTATATGCTGTTTATTTTTTTCAAATGTAGGTCACATTAAGAAAATGGGAGCGATTTGAAACCAACAAAGAGACAGTGGTCAGATACCTTTTTCAAACAGGTTCCAGCCATGAGCGCTTCTTGAGTTTTAGCAGTTTGGAAAGTTTGTCTTCAGAACTGGAACAGACAAAGGTACATCAGTAAGACAGAGAGTCTCTTGGTACTCATTACTCGGAAGAAAAACTGTGTTTTCACTCCCTATTACTATTAATCCTTATAATTATGCATTTAATCAGTACTTAATTGTTTATTGATCATCCACTCTTCAATACACTGGTCAAGCTTCTCTGAGGAATGAAAACATAAATAAGATTTAAATACCAAGAACTGAGAGACAGTTTTCATTAAAGTGGGAAATAGTTTCCTAATAAATAAATGCAATAAAGGAATTCTGAGGGCAGTGATGCTCTTCATGATGAAACGGGACACTTGACTAATTGTTTGCAGATGCTGCTGCACAATCCCTTCTAAGCTAGAATCACTGTTCTCTATTGCTTTGCTCACTTGATATTGTTTATACGGCCTTCATTCCGGTGGTAGCCCTGGAGTGGTTGTGCTAAAGAACTTGAGTGCTTTCTGTCTGCCAGTATGTGGGAGGGTGCTCATGGAATATCATGTTTAATCTTCACAACAAGGGATTGCTGGTGAGTTACAGAAAATTCAGAGACTTATGTGGCTCAGGGTCACATGACTGGTGAAGGGCAGAGCCTGGTTGCAGCTCCAGGCCTTTCTGATGCCAGAGTCCTCTCTTTCCTGCTATACCCTGCTGCCACTCACACGTCATCTCCTTAGGATATGGATATAACACCTGACAATGTTATTCTATTTTTGTTTTATTTGCTCTTTATCAACACCATTCTCTTCTTTGGATTCCTTTGTGTTGTGCTTGCTCCATACATATACCTCTCACAACAGGCTCTGAGACTAAATGCATATAAACAATTTCAAACATAATTCTACTTTCTCCACAGTTTTTTCTTGGTTCTGGGAAACATTAAGGGGGAAAAATACTATTTTTTACTTCTGATTCTATTCATGGGATTCTGAAAGATTATGCTGTGAAGTCAGTCTTCACAATTGAATCCGCAATAACTAAGCTCACATATATCAGTAGTGCAGTGAGTGGTTATAAGCTTAGAATTCAGAATTGTGACATTAGCAAATACCGTATTTTATGATATTATAAAATATCTACTACTAGTATAAGGAAGCTTTACTTACTCATTTTTATTCTCTTAAAATGCAGGGTACTTCTCTGAAATAATGTTGATATTTCTATGGGGACATTAAATCTTTCAAACATGAAGTTATAATAGGATTTATGTAGTAACTCTATCTTATATGGCATTATGTAATAATTCTGGGAGATGCTCTGTGGGAAAAGATGGCTATTGAAAATCTGACTTTAAAAAATTATTTTACATTAGGTTTCCACATTACCTACTTAGTAGATGGTTGTTTGTGATGAAAATTTAAACCTCCTGTGAGATTTTCTTACATGAAAAAAGTGAGATTAATTTTTTTTTACTCAAGATTATCCTTTGGTTTACATTTTTAAATTCAGTAGTCAGTAGTTCAGGTAACCACTAAAATTTACCAGTGCCTCAAACATATTAAATTAATTTTTGGTTTTTTGAATGAAAATCATTGTGTGAATTTTATAAGCTATTTTGTCCTCCATTTTACATGAGGGACATCAAAAATTATAATAGGTACTTGCCAGAGTTCCAGGTAAGTTAATAACCTACCAGAAAAGCATCATGGCATTTCATACGAAAGAGCCAGAACCTGGAAAGTAATTCACCAAAGTTCAACAACTAGTAATGATCAAAGCAGAGATTCTGGTCCATGTATGACAGTTGTAAAACTTCTCTTCTTTCCACCATGTGGTATGTGGATGTATAGAAAATAAGTTCAACACCGTTAACATTAGATTATGTCTCTTTTCAGAGAACTAGTTAACAAAATGCTTCTTTATAGTAAACTAGAGGCCCAGTGCACAAAATTTGTGCATGGGTAGAGTCCCTAGTCCTGGCCAACAATCAGGGCTGATTGAGGCCTTCCAGCTGCCAGCCAGGGCCTTCTTTCATTCCACACCATCCCCTGGTGGTCAGTGCACATCATAGCGAGCAATCAAATTCTCGGTCAAACTCCCCAGGGGATACTTTGCATATTAGCTTTTATATAGATAGATAATAGTGATACTCTGTATTGACTCAGATAGTTGTCAATTAAATAAACAAATATTTATATTTATTGCCCTGGGAAATTAGTATCTCTATGATTGAAAAAATCAATCACTATTGATTGTCCTGATTATTCTGAAATGTCCTGTGATAAACTAATATATTTGTGAATAAGTTAATTATTATAATGCAGCTCAGAATTCTAAACAATAAACCCAAACCAGGAAACAGTGAAAAAACATTTTTGTGAGAATTGTTGGATTACTGTGAAGGTATATATATATATATATGTGTGTGTGTGTGTGTGTGTGTGTGTGTGTATGGTTGTGTATATAAAATGAAAATAGTGAAGTCTGTTCTGGCAATGATGAAAATACATCTGTTTTATGGCTCAGCATATAATATGCTAATACACATGCATGTGTGAATCTACCCATCCATCGAATCTGGGGGAGACTCTGCAGTACATATATGCAATTTATTTAAGGGCAGAGTTTAAAGGAAGTCACCTTCCTAACATTTCTAATATATCTAATATATTTTTCTAGGAGTTTTCTAAGCGGACAGAAGGTATTGCAGTCCAGGCTGAGAGCCTTGTGAAGGAAGCTTCAGAGATACCACTTGGGCCCAAGAATAAGCAGCTGCTCCAACAGCAGGCCAAGTCAATCAAAGAACAAGTCAAAAAGTTAGAAGACACCCTCGAAGAAGAGTATGTGCTTGACACGCCCTAAACTTTCGTCTCTGAGATAAAATTCCATACACTCTTTCCTGTATATTGTATTCCTCACATTCTTTATAAATCTTGAAGTGTCTGTGTAGTTCAGCATGTTTTGAGGAAGCAACTCACAATTCAAAAGACAGTACCGCCAACACAGAAGCCAGCATCTCTAACAGAGCAGAAACATATCAGGGATATGGTCTTTGCTTCGGAAACGGGTTCTGTTTGTGAAAAAGCCATACCTGTTAAAGTCCGTGGCCTTTATACATTGGAGAGGGAATCTCAAAAAGGAACTGATATTGAAAACAAATGTTTACTGAATTATGCTGCTGTCACCAGTTAGAGGGAAGAAGAGATATTTTGCTTGTGTAGGTTCTGGGCTGAAATACATAAGATATAGTCCAAATGTCTTCATCTCCAAGCTCACAGAGCTTGTCAACAGTGCCTCACTATTCAAAATCCACTGATTGATATTCTATTTCCAAAAATTAATTTTAAAAGTCTACTTTATATTTAAATATTTAATATATGTTCACCTACAAAAGGAAAGAAAGAATTGTTTGGCCTATGGTATCCTGTTATGTACAAAATGTACACATAAAAACTTTGGAGGGAATAGACATGAGAATATGGCCAATGTTCCTCAAAACAATATGGCTGAACATTCCTATTTTCAAAGTTATTTAGTGGCAAATCACTGACACATCCTTAAGGTATAGGGCATAATTTCTAAGATGGATTTTTAAATGTAAAATTTGTTTTTATACTCTTAACACTTTGACATTAAGATTGTACATTGCCTAAACTTTAAAGGTTGTTAAATAATATATTTAGAGGAAATTATTATGACTTTAAACTTTGAAAATGTTAAATATTAAATACTATTCATCAAGGTATGGAAAAAGTAAAACTTGGAGTGTATTAGGAAGGAATCTACTTTTATGAGGAATGTCCATTTGAATGCATCTTTATTTAGAAACGTGCCATATAACATAGCTTGCATTTCCTGTACTAATAAGAACATTAGGCACATACAGGGTACATATTTGAGACTGCAATATTACTTAATTGGACAATCAATGATGCCATTGTATTTTTTTTCTTGATGTCTTCAAGTGCCTTTCGGTAAACAGGAAAATTCTTTCTTTCTTTTTTTTTAGCAAAGGGACTTACCAGTGCAATGATAGACTCTAAGTTTCCTACTCTTTTTCTAAACTGAAAGCCATAGTCACATGGATACATATGCATAGCTAATACAAACTGGAAATCTACAGCTAAATTTGTATTCATTAGATTTATTACAAATAAAGCCCCAGTTGTCTAAAAGCATTTAGGGTGCTCATGTACAACGATTTATAAAAGTATTTTGGAATCAAGACTGTAGAGACACCTGAGAATAGCTGACGTGATTATAGATTATAGATTAAAGGCTTAGCTCCAATGATAGAGCAGTCCCTGCCTGTCAACATGGAATTCAAGTTACAAGCTCCATCTTGGTTTGTAAAGATGCCTTTTGTAAGGATCCTGGAGCATCAAGCATCGCTGTGGTCCCGCTCCTCTAAGACAGGAGGACCGTGCCCACAAAAGTAGACAGCTGCACACTGTGTGCACTACGTACGCAGGCAGTTTATTTAAATAAGTTCTGGCAAATACTTAACGTGCCGTTTAACTAGACGATACCTGTATTCAATCCCCCTTGCACCCTGAAATATTTTGTTCGAAGCACACTTCTATTCCTAGCATGGTGCAGAAGCTATTTCGTTAAACGCTTATTCTCAGAGGAGATAGGAAGACGACAACTGACAACTAGTCGGACCAAATGTGCAGTTTTTCCCTGTCCTAGTAGTTTCAACTTTGATATGGTCACAAATGTCTTAACTTATCTTTTTACATAGTAACTTAAGGGGAAATGTATTGCTGTTCTTTATTAAAATACTGCATTTTATTTACTTAATTTGGTTAATTTTAGTATTAAAACCATGGAAATGGTGAAAAACAAGTGGGAACATTTTGGCAATAATTTTGAGACCCTGTCCGTCTGGATAAGTGAGAAAGAAAAAGAGCTCAATGCCTTGGAAACTACGCCATCTGCCATGGACATGCAAACCAACCAGATTAAGGTGACCTGCTCACACGTTCGTTGCATTTCTAATCCATGTCTAGCTTTTAAAAACTCCTTTCTTGCATTTCATCCAATGCTCTTTGGCCCCAGGACAAATCTTTCCTTGCTATGTGACACTATTAAAATTAAATTCACACAGATTGCTGAGCTAAGAGGTCTTGATTGATACCGGGCAACCGCTTATAGATGGAATTATGTGTTAATATTGTCTGACTTAAGCATCCAAAGCTAATATTGTGTGCAATACCATTAAAATGATTTTATGGTTACATTATTTTTTCCTTGATTTTGAATTAACGACATTGGAGTGCTCTGTTGATTCATTTATACAACATGAACTGTATTCTTCATCTACAACTGTGCTTACAGAATTATCCCAAATGTCAAGAGTTAGTAATATTTACCCTCACAGACCACAAGGAGGAGAAATTACTTTATGCGAAGCTATCAGACCCATCGCTCCGATTCTTTCATTTATGATGACTTTCAGGGCATGGACTAGACTCTGTGATATCTGAGCCCCAACTCTAAAATAACCATGTGCAGAGACTGTCATTGTTCGCTCCATTCATATAGTTTAAGAAAAAGATGGGCTGAACGTAATGAATTCTGAGGGTCCGTTTCTCCTTTTTTATATGCAATTTTTACACGTCACATTTTTAAAATTCAGCCACTTCTTTTTCTATCTCAGCCTATTTTGTTGGAAAGGGGAAACCCTCTGACATTTCATTTAATTAAATATAGTGAAATAAATACCAAGGTGAGGGAACATTTCACATTATGACTCAGAGCAAGTCATCGCCATGTGCACGGTGGGAGGGTGCGATCTTGCTTCGCGTGGCTTACATGCTGTGCAGATCATCCTGGTTTATCACACGTCTTATGCAACCGAGGCTACGTGCAGCCTGGTATGTACAAGCGTGCTTACATGCTGGGTGGTATAGTAGGAAAAGCAGATGTTAAGCCATTAGGAATATTCATGGAATATGTTTACTCTTTAAAACTATTTTTGCAAAGTTGTCATTTAATCATTTTTGCTAAATTCTGATAAAACAAAGAATAACACACTTAAATAGTTTTGTCTCAAAATTGTTCTTTCCAGAATTTTAACATACACTTTCTAATTTGCTTATGCTTTCTATTCACTCTTTTCACTATTATTTAACCTTAATTCCAGGACTTTGGAGCTATATCACTTACCAAACATCATTACATTGTTACTCTTTAGGAAACAAAACAATTACATATTTTATTTTTAAATATATAAACATTCAATTGTGGGTTTTCAGTCCATCAGCCTAGAAATACATTTTAATATTCCAATGTGGCATTTTGGAAACTATTTAAAAATGTATTGAATGAATATGAAGAGCAAGAAAATCATTTGCTAGAAATCAAAGATAGAGTGAAATGCACTTTAATGTGGAATCTGGGCTAATAGATTCATGTTCTATTTCCACATAGAATTAAATGATTGGAAATAGTAAAAATAAGGCAATATTTTTCATGTTTTCCATTGAAAACAACCTCATGGTAAAACTAATTCATAATTGCATAGTTGTGAAGGTATTTATCTACAAGCCCACTTTTGGTCTTCATGACATGCTATTCCAAATGAACTGATTTCTTATTCCTAATTGATCATTTATAGGTGTTAAGAACATATACTGGGTTCATCTTCTATCTTCTCATTCTGGATTATATAGTTTGCCTATATGAGTTTGCTAATGACATGCATTACACTAAGAAATTACAACTAAAATTGTTTCATTGAGGTGTTGCAAGCACCTACAATAATTGTTGACACCTAGGAAACACTCAATATCTATTTTTTAAATCTATGAGTAATTTTTCTAAAAAAATATCATTTATAAACAGTAAAACAAAGGAAGAATTGTATTTATGCTCAAACAACAAATACCTATCAAGCATGCCATTGCAGTCATGCATATGGGAAGTAAAATAAGTCATATACTCACACTAGTTATTTCTGATTTGCCTTATCTAGACAGAAATTATCTCTATGTTTTCTCATTTAAGCTTAAGTCACATTATCTTTTTCTAGGGTAACAGTATTTTTCATTTAAATGATTTGAAACAGATTGTCTGAATTTTTATTTTTTATTTTTTGCTTTATTTTGATTGAACGATTTGGCTCTTTTCCTCAGAGAAATAATTTTCATTTTCTTCTACATAAATAAGCCTCTATGTTTTTGAGAGACAGATAGACACTTCCAGTCACATATGCACACACATCCTTGATGGCTTTCAGCACTTTTCAGGTGTTGGCTAATACATAAAATGCCCACAACTGAAACTGTAGCAAGTAGGTGCTTTGTTATAGAACCCACAGCTAGTGAGTAAAGCAGTGGCAATACAGGGGGGCCAGGGCCAGCAGTAGAGGCGTCACCTGAGGAATTGTTGGAATTGCAAAGACTTGGCTCCACATTAGACCAACTGAGTCCGAGTCCCTGAGGATGGGGGCCAAGTGATCTTAATATAGTCCAGACTTGGAATATACTGGCATAAAGGATAGATGATAAATGTGAAAAGACTGGGTTTAGGTCGGAGTGGAATCAGATAAGCTTGTAGTTAGGTCAAATTTGAAATACTACATTTTAGGAGATTTAAGCGAATGTCAATATTAGCATTCCTGTGAGTGATTGGAGCACACTCCTTCTCAGATCAGTTGGTTAAAATCCTTGACTCATAGGGTAAGCAGGGAATTCCAGCTGCCTTCAGCGTTCCGGGGACATCCCCCTGCTTACATCACTGCAGGCAGGAGTAGCTATTTCTCTTCATTCTCCATCCAGGGAGCACAACCACCCATGTATATTTCAGACATAATCTGCATATCTATCCTCCAAAAATGAGGTCAGCAAACACATGGGGTTTGTTCATAGCTGCTCTCTGACCACCCCAATACATTGAAATGTCCGTTTTCTCTCTGCAATATTTGTATCATTTCAGGAAGGCAAGCTTGCTCAGCCTGCGTTGTCATTTTTCTCCTTTTGAATACTAGGTCACGATTCAGGAAATAGAAAGTAAGATCGGCAGCATCACAGGGCTGGAAGAAGAAGCACAGTCTTTTGCCCAGTTTATTACCACTGGAGAATCAGCCCGCATCAAGGCCAAGTTGACACAACTAAGAAGATACTGGGAAGAACTTCGAGAGCACGCACAGGGTCTGGAAGGAACAATCCTGGGACAGGTCTCTCAGCAGCAAAAGTTTGAAGAGAATCTTAGAAAGGTAAGAATTGGCCCATGCATGCTACAGTGACCTGTTTCACACCGCATTTATAGGGAAATGCAGTAAAAAGTCCAGAAATAGTGGAATAAGGAAACAACACAATTTGCCAATTATTTACCAAGTTGTCCATGATGCTTAAGTTTATAACTATTTTTATGGCACATTTTTGAGGGAATAAAAAATGTCATTATACATTGTGTTCAGATAGGCATTAAGACATTTATATTTCTTTGAAATAATAGGACACATTCATTTTAGATTTTTTTAAACGCATTTTATCAACACATTGAAAGTTATCCAGAAATGATAGGCATGCTGCTTCCCCAATAACCTTTCTCGTCTTGATGTATGTTTTTCCCACCATTATTTTGATATTTCACCAATGTTGTAGGCCCAGCAGTCTGTGTCTGAATTTGAAGATAAACTTGCTGATCCAATTAAAACATGTTCTTCAGCTACAGAAACATACAAAGCTCTCCAAGAACATATGGTAAGAGTATGCTTCAACATTTCTGCTTATTTATCAACTCAGAAACTTGATTAATCCTGCTGAAAAGGAAATATAGTAAACATTTTTATGAGAGTTAAAATTTTTAAATGTTTATGTTATATGAGGAATGATATAGATCCAGCATATTTACTTCATAGGACACAAAAAAATATAAACATGCAAGTGAGTTTTCATTAAAATGTATGTTAAAGAAGTATCCATTTAAAATATATTTCTCTCTCTCCATGGACATGGACAACAGTGTGGTGATTGTGGGGTGGAGGAGGATGGGTGTAGGTGGTGGAAGACAGGGAGGGGATAAGAGATGAAGGAAAAAATTAAATTTTAAAAAATACCTACTTTGTTCCAGAAAAAAAAAGTCTTCCTCTCTCTTAATTAGAACATGTAACTTTTTCATATCATAGCTTTAATAAATCCTGCTACCTCTTACCAGCATTATAAAAATTAAGTATGCAGAAAAATATACATGTGCAGAGCAGATTTCAGATTTTAACCCGCTAGACTCAAATGTGCCAAGACTATGTCCCCGCTCACCTTTTCGCAGTGACTGGCGTTTTTGGTCTGGTCCTGAACTGGTGACCGTTGTGAGATGTTTTACGAAGGAACAGTAGATGCTTCTGGCAGAATTCAGGGGAAGGAGCAAAGGCGGAACATCAGGCACAAAGAAATAGTAAAACAAAATATCTGTTAATTAATAAACAAAAAAGTATGTTATCCCTGTTACATGTGCATGTGTACGCACACATACATACATGCGGGAAAGGGCTGCAGGGACAGAAAGCAGACAACTGGCAAAGGCACATCTGGAAAGAGGAGAGGAACTGACGTCATTGGAATTGTTATAATAACGATGTGTTTTTGTGTTACTGATGTCATTTTTTAAAAAGTACCCCCAAAATGAGGAAAATTAAGTTAATTGAATTTCATGGAATTATTTTAATAGACAGCTAAGTCTATTACCAGAGAAGATAATATTCTATTTTTCTTAATATTTAGATTTCTGAAGCCAGTTATTTTCCCCTGTCTTGACTTTCTGATTTGTAAAATGGGGCTAGTGAAAGAACATAACTCTTAAGGGTCTGATGGACAGTAAATGAGTTGGTGTATGTAATGTACATACCACAGTACCTGCCACATTCCACGGCTACTTATGGTTATTATCATAACTAGGCCCAGTGCACGAAATTTGTGCATGGGGGGGGGTGTCTCTCAGCCTGGCCTACACCCTCTCACAATCCGGGACCATCAAGGGATGTCCAACTGCCAATTTAGGCCCAATCCCTGCGCAATCCGGGACCACTGGCTCCTAACCACTAGCCTGCCTGCCTGCCTAATCACCTCTAACTGCCTCTGCCTGCCTGTCTGACCACCCCTAACCACTCTGCATGCCTGCCTTATCGCCCCTAACCGCCTCTGCCTGCCTGCCTGATTGCCCCAACCACTCTGCCTGCCTGACTGTTGACACCTAATTGCTTGTCTGCTTGCCTGATCGCCCCTAACTACTCGCCTGCCTGCCTGATCACCCCTAACCTCCTCTGCCGTGGATTCATCCAGAAGGATGTCCGGAATGATGTCCAGAAGGTCGTTTGGTTGTCTGGTCTAATTAGCATATTACGCTTTTATTATAGATAACTATATGCATAAAAGATAACAGCTACGTCAGCTGTATTTTTCCAATATATTTGTATAGAAATTACTGCATGTTACATATAGCTCTTGAAAATTTAGAATAGAGTTTTTAAATAAATTTCACATAAAATGAATAATAATTTTCACAAATTATCTAACTTGTTAAGGAAAAGTAGACATTATTCAGATATACAGCAGCATAGTTTTATTGGGGCAGTAGTCTCTCCGTTTTCATTTTCATTCCTGCATCCATGAAATAACTCTCTCTCCTCACTCTCACTGTGTCACTGGAAATCATGGTCAGACAATTTTCAGTGCCATCGTTGTGTGTTATGACTGAGGGGACAGTTTTGGCGGGAATGGGTCTCAGAGGAAAATGGTGGCCTCGTTTCTGTCTGTTTTCATTGCCCTCCTCCTGTCCCCTCCCCAGGATCTCTGCCAGGCCCTGGAGTCCCTGAGCAGTGCCTTGGCCGCTCTCTCTGCTGGTGCCCAGAAGGTCGTGAGCAGAGGCTGCTCCGTCCAGGAGGCCGCGGCCCTGCAGCAGAGATACCAGGGGCTGCTGAGTCGGGCGAAGGAGAGACAGACGGCGCTGGAGAACCTGCTGGCCCACTGGCAGCGGTGAGAAACCTTCCTTCCCCAGTTGCCACCTGGGTTTCAATAGCCACTCTTTAAAAAAACAAGTTTATATTCATTTTAGAGAGGAAGGAAAAGAGAGGGAGAGAGAAATAGAAACATCAACGATGAGAAGAATCATCCATCAGCTGCCTCTTTCGTTCCCCTTACTGGGGATTGAGCCTGCCACTCAGGCATGTGCTCTGAAGGGGAATCATGGCAGCAACCTCTTGGTGCATGGGAAGACGCTCAACCACTGAGCCACACTTTCTGGGCAATAGCCATACTTAAATAGGAAATTCCGGGCCAACTGTTCTCTAAGTGATGGGCAATAATCATCCCAGATGTAAAACATGTCAAGTCACGTTTTTAACATGGGAGTGGACAGGATGTACCAGGTACATGTATCTTTCCATATTACACACATATGTCTATGTACATATGTGAACATATGTGTACATATGTGAACATATGAGTACATATGTGAACATGAGAGGAGTGGTATTTTTACCTTCACGTCTAGGAATAAGATAACCAGCATTGTATTATTTATATTGCTTAGTGTTGGACCCTCCAACTGCAGAAAGGCCTCGCTTTCTAATATGATAATTTTGGATGTATTTGCTTCCTATCTCTGCTCTCCTTAGCCTGGAGAAAGAGCTGTCGACCTTTCTGACCTGGCTGGAGCGCTGCGAAGCCATAGCCAGCTCCCCGGAAGTGGACGTCACTGCAGACAGGGTCAAAGTGGAGAGTGAACTTCAACTGACACAGGCAAGCTCCAGGAAGTGTGGGGGAAAGGACACGCTCTTTGTCGTGGCTGCATTGTAAAACAAGAGCAAACGCTGCGACCCCACGCAGAGGCCTGGAGGCGGCGGGAGGCCAGGGACTCCCTCCCCAAAGCCCTCCAGCCAACTTAACTTCTTGCTTTGGTTTTGTGATCCCACAAAGAACCATCCGCACCTGAAAGACAAAGTGTTGGTGAACCTGGCGATGGCCAGTTTGATGATGTTATTGTAGAGGGGAGGGTAAAGCATTTTGACACGCACCTACCGTGTGCCAGCTATGCCTCTCATCCCCGTTAACACCATGCTCTGTTGTTAGCTATCTATATGCGTGTTTACCTCTTATTAGGTGGGAACCACAACTTTATGCATCCCTCACAGACCTAAGAGATTTATTGCCTGATGAAATATAAAAGACAAGTGGATCGGCTGCGTGAAAGTAATGAAGAGCACTTAAGCTCCCCAATTTGGCCCAATAGTCTCTCTGAACAGAGGGAGCCCACATCCCTGCTGCCTGGAATCGCATCTCTCTTATTGCTAGGCATGCATTTTCCCTTTAGCAGTAGTTCTCCTTTGATTCTCTTCGCCCGCTCAGTTTCTTCATCCTGAAAGAAACCCTACAGCATCTAAATGTGCCTGACAATGTAACTCAGACCCTGGAAAACGAATCCAAGTTTCAGTAGCCTTTTAAATGTTGGTTTAGAGGTGAAATGGGTTCCTTTCTCAATTAAGGCATAAAACTTTCTATAGTCTAGTCCCCATAGCCTCCGTTTTGCATGAATGCAGAGCCTTTGGATAACAACCTCCAAAGGTCATTATGTGTCATGTGGCCCTTCCTTGTCAATCATGTTGGAAAGAGATCTATAACATGTTCTGTGTTCGGCAGGCACTGCAGAGTGAAGTTGCATCCCAGGCCTCCGTCTACAGCAACCTTGTGCAACGGAAGGAATCACTGTTCTCAGTGGCCTCCAAAGATGATGTGAAAATGATGAAACTACATTTGGAGCAGTTGGATGAGAGATGGAGAGTTTTGCCACAGATACTTAGCAAAAGGTTGGGGTTTTATAAGACATTCTAATAGTGTGCATTTTTTAAGATGGTGAGCCTATGAACTAAGAAAGCATAGTTTTGTTTACTTTTATTTAACCCAACTATTCACAGGATAATTATAGGAGGGTAGAAAACCACTGTACTTGCCATTTTAAAAATCAAAGCACTCAAATATTGGCATTTCTGATGCACCTCAATTCAAAATTTTAGTCTCATAATCATGGCAAATGACCAAACTAGTTGAACTATAGTAAAGAGAGTAGGTTTGCTCATGTTTGTACTACTTATTGCTTAAGCTATTTGTGTACAGGAGAAAATGGTAATTAAAATTTTCTTTCTCATGATATGTCTAAGCAAAGGCATCCACTCACCTATTATTAGTCAACCTGGTTCATTTATTACACAAGCAATGGTTGATCCCTGACCATATCCCACACCCCTTTCTAGGTCCTGGGGATATAGTAGTAAGCAAGGCAGGCAGAGTAATTAAACAAATGAGTGAATGATGCTGTTTCAGTTGGTAAGTAATGGGAAGACAGCAACACAGGGTAACATGGCGGGGACTGTAGGTCCAGCACAGCCCCCCAGGTACATGATGTCTAATGCAGATCTGAACACTGTGCAGGAAGCAGACTCATGGTGCTTTGGGGGCAGATCACAGGGGCAGAGGGCACAGAAAGGGCAAAGGCCCTAAGGCAGCAATGAGCTGGGATGTTGGGGAAGCGGTGTGCAGTGGCGGTGTGGGCGGCCCTGGATCAGATGAGGTCAGAGAAGTCGATGATGAGGGACCCCTCGTAGACCACAGTAAGGAGCCGTGGCGTTTCGCCTTCCTGTGTCCCCAGGGAAGTGCCCGCGTTTAGGCTTGGCAGAGGGTGTTCCGATGACATGGAAATCATTCCTGGCTGCTCTCTAGAGAGTGGATTATAGTGAGGCCACGGTGGTGGCAGGAAGGAGGCCAGCTTAGGAGGCTGTTGGAGGCCAGGCCAGAGATGAGGCGATGCAGACCAGGGTGTGAAGGTGGAGAGGAGAGCCCAGCATGCTATGATAGGTGCCCAGACACGCACGGAGCAGGTGTGGTGGTGAAGAAATGGAGGACCATCTGGGTGGGCAGCACCAGCAGTAACTGAGACGCAACAAATTGTAAGAGAAACAGGGTTGGCGAAGTAGAAAGCGTTAAGAGTTCTGGTTTGTCCCTGTTGGATCACATTAGTTTTGCCAGTGATTAAGCTGATTCCAAAAACATACCAACTCTTCCTTTCCACTGCGGGACATTTAACTTTTATTATTGATTGATTGATTGATTGATTGATTTTAACTTTATTGGGGTGACATTGATTAATAAGAGAATAGAGTTACTGTATGACCCAGCAATCCCTCTCCTGGATATAAACCTGAAAAGCTCGAAAACCTGTATTGGCCAAGATATACGCACCCCTAAGACCCTTTACCTCTCGCACCGCCCTCTGCCTAGACTTCACTTCCTGCAGTCTGTGGTCGCCGAGCACCAGCAGTTTGATGAATTGCTGCTTTCCTTCTCCATCTGGATTAAGCAGTTTCTCAGTGAATTACAAGCCACGTCTGAGATCAGCTTAATGGACCATCAGGCAGCTGTAACCCGGCACAAGGTAAAGTGCATTCCTCTAAGAGGGAAGAAGCATTTGTTCATCACAGAGAGCTCTTCCATTTGAAAGGAAAGCGAATTTATAAAACCCTTGCCAGCGATTTAACATTGTATTTCTTCATAAATGTTCTCACAATGTGTGATGCAGATAACTTAAGCAGATAAAGCCACTTCAGATAAAATACCTTTTTTTTTCACAATGGAGCGAATGACATCTAGGATAAAGTGATGAGAATGTTCATTTGTAAGCTTCTCAGTTTGTTTTGGTCCGATGCTAAAAACTAATACTGAATCCCAATGCTTTCACAATATGGTTTCTCTGAATTACTATTTAGCTTGAAAGTTATTTAAAATTTAGTTTTCTTATTTCTAAATTATACATAATATGTATCCTGATATTTTTTTTAAAAAATTAAAAATCAGATATTGGTCATCGAGTATTGGAATAGTTGGGGTAAGCTACATGATAAGCTTATAACAATATTTACTGATAATACATTTAATGTCTATTGCGTGCTCACTCTATGCTGGGCTTGCCAATTGGGTTTACCCAAAGGAAAAGTATGTTTTCCTTTCTTCATGACCGCAGGTGGTTTTACAATTTGGAGCAAGGTGCTCACCAAAGTTAGGCTCCCACCCTCTAAAGACAGGAGCTAGGGCGCCATCTTCCTCAATGAGTACATTTCAGGGATGACTCCCAGGTGTTTGAGAAAGTTAGTCTTCAGTAGTGAAACTGCCCAGGAGGTTTTGAAAAGATTTACCTCTCAAAGGGACAGAGAATGAATTTGTAAGTTTTCTAAAGTAAATGCTCAAAGAAGCCTCTAAAGTTTAGTAGTTCAGCTGAGGGAACTATTAGGGCCATTCTGGTCACGATTAAGACAGGTGATTATTTCCCTTTTGTGGAAACCATGCTGAGAGTGTTAGCAACCCTCTGATGGGTTTTAACCATGATATATTGTGAGCTGGTCAAGTTTTCTATACAACAGCCTTAGCCAGTTCATCTACATTTCCTTAGAGAGAAGACAGCTAAAACTTGTGCAGTTTCATCTGCTTTATTCACACCTCTGAAAAGAGGCTCATGTCTGCCTATCTCACGCTCCTTCACTATGTTAGAATTAGCTGGATTGTATGTATATATATATGAAGGAGTGTGTATATATATATATGTATATATAACATATCTTTTAAAACCTTACAAATTTTCAGTTTCTTTTAATTGTATACACTGTAACTATACCTTTTAACTGTATATACATAAATCTTTTAAAATCTTTCAAATTTATATATGTGGATATATACTTTTTGATAATTTATTGGGGTGACATTGGTTAATAGGAGCATATAGGTTAACGATTGCTATCCACAAAGGAATTCTTTTTCATGGACTACATTAGTTCCAAATCAGAGTTGTGATTTATATGAAATACATAGATGAGCAAAACAAGAGAAATCTTAAGAATCTTTCTAAAAGTTTCATTGTGGGTGACCTTTAAATACTATACCATGCATTGCATTTAAAATGTATCTTTTTAAATTTTTATTTATTAACTTGATTGGGTGACATTGGTCAACATGAACCTATAGGATTCCGGTGTGGGTTTCTGTGCTACAAGATTGTATATTGCACTGTGTATCTTGACATCACCAATTCTGTAACATGTCTGTGTCCAAAACCACAGTGTCCCTGAAGAACCAGTGACTCTCTCTTCCCTTCCAGGACCACGCAGCAGAAGTCGAAAGCAAAAGGGGGGAACTGCAAAGTCTGCAGGGGCACCTGGCGAAGCTGGGCGCTCTGGGTCGAGCCGAGGACCTTCACGTCCTGCAGGGCAAAGCAGAGGACTGCTTCCAGCTGTTTGAGGAGGCCGGCCAGGTGGTGGAGAGGCGGCAGCTGGCCCTGGCCCAGCTGGCTGGGTTCCTGCAGACCCACACCTCTCTGTCAGAGGCGCTCCACCAGCTGAGGCAGACGGTGGAAGCAACCGACAGTATGAATAAGAAGCAGACTGACTTATTAGAAAAGGACCTGCATGACGCGATTCAAGACGTGAAGATGTTAGAATCTACGGCCATCGGTCTGGACGGCATTCTTACCAAAGCCCAATACCATCTTAAATGTGGAAGCTCTGAGCAAAGGACTTCCTGCAGAACCTCAGCTGATCACCTCTGCTTGGAGTTAGAGAGGATCCAGAACCTTCTGGGAACCAAGCAGAGTGAGGCAGACGCCCTGGCAGCATTGAAGAAAGCATTCCACGACCAGAAAGAGGAGCTGCTAAAAAGCATCGAGGACATCGAAGAGAGGGCTGACAAAGAGCGTCTGAAAGAACCCACCCGCCAGGCGCTTCAACAGAGGTGGGAGGAGGCTGCCGAAGCCATGGCCTCAGCTACTTTTTATTTGTCCTAGGATTAACTCTTGTGCAAAACTTTTATAGTACCAGATTTAGCAGCGTCTCTTTTTATATTTTTAGGATAAAACTCATGACTAATTTGACATTAAGGTCCTAAAATTTATTTGGGTTCGTTGAGGATTTTCCTGAGGGCCTTGTGTAAGCCACTTATTTACAACAGAGTATGTAGATCATACTGTGTATTTTAACTGATAGAAGGGACTCCTGTTCTGTAACAAGAATGAAAGCAGAGGAGGAAGGCAGGGATGCAAGTAGACTTGTAGTTCAGGTGCTAAATCTGAAGGAATTCTTCCCTGGTGGCTGCTAGCTCTCAGAAAAGATGCAGCAAATTCGTTCCTTGAGATTGAATGACAGGGGATATGGACAGAAAAGGGTGTGAGATAGTCTTCTTATAGGAGGAAATGGAATTATACCTGTGGAGCTTGGTAAGATGATAAACTGCCATTTAAGATTTGTATTTATTCACTAAAAATGAAGCCAATCAGCTTGGCGGAATGGTTCTCCTAACCACTATTTTTTTAAAAAATATATTTTTATTTATTTCAGAGAGGAAGGGAGAGGGAGAGGAAGATAGAAACATCAATGATGAACATTTCTCATGATAACCTTCAATAACGCATGTAATTTAGGTTTTATATATATAAAACAATCTATATAATAAAAGCCTAAGTGACAATTACAATGGAACGACCAGAACGACTGGCACTATGATGCACACTGACCACCAGGGGGCAGACGCTCAATGTAGGAGCTGCCCCCTGGTGGTCAGTGCGCTCCCACAAGGGGAGTGCCACTCAGCCAGAAGCAGGGCTCATGGCTGGCGAGTGGCAAGTGCAGCAGTAGTGGCAGGAGCCTCTCCCACCTCAGTGGCAGTGCTAAGGAGCAGCAAGCAGGCAGGACTGTGAGAGGGATGTCCGACTGCCGGCTTAGGCCCGCTCCAGAGGGGGCCTAAGCCAGCAGGTGGACATCCCCCAAAGGGTCCCAGACTGTGAGAGGGCACAGGCTGGGCTGAACCCCGCACCCCCCATGCATGGATTTTATGCACCAGGCCTTTAATATATAAAACAATAAACTTACAAAAGGGAATAAGACTTGGGAAGGACAAGTCATATATATATATATATATATATATATATATATATATATATATATGAGAGAGAGAGAGAGAGACAGAGAGAGAGAATGGCTCGGTGAAACTATTTTTATTTTATGAAATAACTATGGTTCTTAAATATTATTTTACATGAATTAGACCTCATGGCACAAAATATTTTTATATCAATACCTTGCAATAAGAACTCACCTCCTTTGCCTACAAGGTCAGCCCTAGTTTTAAAAGTCTTATACCATCAAAGGATAATAGAAAGAGAATACAAACTTAGAAGTTTGAAGGTGAATAGTGAAACTGACTTTAAATGTTCTCTGCGGTGCACTAGAAAGTATGCAAAGTTAACTGTAACAGCATCTTGACAGCCATCCATTTGATGGCTCTGTTACTAGTTTTCTAGCTCTCAGAGTGTGTGCTTTACAGAGAGGAAATATTGGTTTGCTACCTTTAGTAAAACCACACTTTACTTCACAGGTTGAGAGTCTTCAATCAGTTAGAAGATGAGCTGAATTCTCATGAGCATGAGCTATGTTGGTTGAAAGACAAAGCTAAGCAAATTGCTCAGAAAGACGTAGCCTTTGCCCCTAAAGTTGATACAGAGATAAATCGCTTGGAGGTCACCTGGGATGATACCAAAAAGCTCATTCATGAAAAGTAAGTCAGAAACTTCTCAGTTTTTGCTTTTTAACTTCTCCCTATTTTGTGACATTGGGCCCTGCCTGGTGATTTGCATGGGTGTGATCAAGCATTGAATATCTTTTGCCATCTTTAGTATTCTGTGTCTTTTGGTAACGATAAGAATTCAGTCCTACAGAACTTGACGAAGGAGGCTGCTTTGAGATAACAATTACATGTGAAATTCAATGCTTACACGCAGTTGTCAAGTTACTAAGTGCGGCCATGAGAGTCTTAACTTCCTGATTTCCTTTTTATTCTGTTATAGTTGTTTATAACTGAGGTATGATTGGCATAAAGTAAAATTCACTCTTTTAAATATATTCAGATATGCTCAATTGATTTTTTTTTAAAAAAGGCAATCTGATGAAGAAAGAATAATAGTTTTTCAGTGAATAGTCCTGAAACAATTGGGTATCTCTATGCATTAAAAAAAAAATAATATATCTACATAAGTTTGAGTTATCCAGAACATATATTGCATCTTTGCTTATTATTGAAGTCACAGATTTTATTTGAATGGCTGTGTGCATTCTTCATTCATGAGGATATTTGGGACATTAGAGTTAAGTAAGATCGACCAGCACTCTTTTACCTTGGTAGGTATAGACCGGGTTTTCTCTTTCATCTATTAATATGTGTGTATACATCAGGTCCAACCATAGAGAACTCTGCCCTTTCCTGATACCTGACAATAAATGATGTCTTTTCTTTGATCATTGCAGCCAGGGCCAATGCTGTGGGCTTATTGACTTAATGAGAGATTATCAGAACTTGAAGTCAGCTGTATCTAAAGTTCTAGAACATGCCAGCAATGTGATTGCAACCAGAACTACTATAAAGGATGAGGAGGATCTTAAATGGGCCTTATCCAAGGTAGTAATTCAAAATGTATTTATTTTAGTAGAACACTTTATTAAACTTGTGTTTTTTTTTTAACTCACAATGTATTCGCTATACAAATCTTGTCAGTACAGTTAGATGTAGATAATTCATGCTAACAAGCTCAACTTTTTTTTTAAGAGTTCTGATATCCTAGGATTCTAGCAATTCAAGAAAATTAGTATATATTTGTACAGTTTACTAACATCCCTGGTTTCTGCATCAGGTCATCCAATAATTAAATTTCTTGGAGACAAATGGTTTTAAGCTCTTAGCATTGATGATTTTATTAATTAAGGAAACATTTCTGTTCACAGCATGAAACTGCCAGAAACGAAATGTGTAAGGAGCAGAAAGAATTGGATGACTTCACCAGTAAAGGAAAGCAGTTGTTATCTGAGCTGAAAAAAATTCACAGTAGTGACTTCATCTTGGTGAAAACAGACATGGAGAGCACTATGGACAGATGGCTGGATGTAAGCTCATCACCTTGGGTTCCATGAATAGTTTAAATAGTCACATTTCTGAACCTCATTTTGGGGCAAAGGATTATTGAGAGATGTAAATTCCATTTTTAACTTTTAATGCTAAATGCAAATATAATATTCTAAAGGAAAGTAGTGTTCGCATAAATTTTAGAAATAGTAAAAAAACTATGTGCTTTATTTTGTTAAAACTTATTGGCAAATTTTCTAGAATTTCACTTGACAGCTTCAAACGTAACAAATTTATAATCTGCCTTCTCAAGACTCTGGAATTATGAATAAAAATAAAAGAATAATGTATAAACAGCCTACAGACTATTAACCAACATGTGTAATAATTTAAAGTAAGAAGACGCTTTATTTAGCATTGAAAAGCATTGGCCTTGTAGTTTATATCCTTGGGTTTTAATTCCTGCTCTGTCACTTACTGGCTATGTGACCATAGGACAGGTCACTTGATCCTTCTGGAACTCTATCTCTCAATTCATGCATATTTTACACTGTTTTCCAGCTCCAAAAATCCAGTGATTCTGTTGACCTCTATTATCAATATCTAGGCTCAGAACTTAAACCTATAGTGGGTTCCCTTACTTAAGCAAAGTCACTTAAGTTAGGCATCGATATTTAAATACTATAATCAAATAATCTGGGGACTTCAGAAGACCTTATATTCTTCCACTTTTAAAATGATATTCTTATTGTGGAAATAATATTAAGTAATAATACTATAAGCATGTAAAATTGGTTAATCTTCTATATATTTACTTATTCTATAAATATGTCCAAGCCTAATTATGCCCATTTTTCTGTATCATCATTACAAATAAAAGGGCTTATTGTATTACTTTAAAAATAAATATAATACTGCCCTATATGGACCCCTATCTTACAGAATTCAACCTTAGAGTGAGTTATATTTCAGTAGAACTGTTGTGATTACTTTTCCAATTTACAAATAAAAGTCAAATGTTTTAGAAATTCAACCAACTCTCCCAGTGACAGAAACAACTTATATAATAGCATTTACATAAATTAAGTTCCGTGCACTAGTCAGTTTACAATAATTTTTGTAAAACTTGGCTTTCTGATCAGATTGCAATTTTCTGATTAAGGAAGGATTGACATTTTTAGTACTTTGGTGGGGCAAAGAGCATTTTTTAAAGCCTCAGACTGTTAATGATTTGACTTTGATTTTCTCTTCCAGGTGTCAGAGAGAATCGAGGAAAACATGGATCGGCTGAGGGTAAGCCTGTCCCTTTGGGCTGATATTCTCTCGAGTAAGGACGAGATCGAAGGCTGGTCGAACAGTTCTGTCCCTCAGCTGGCCGAGAGCATCAGCAACCTGAACAACAGCCTCAGAACAGAGGAGTTCCTGAAGGAGTTTGAGGTAAGTGAGCTACCCTTTCATATGGGAGCTGGTGATGTAGCATTGGCCAGAATACGAAAATATTGGTGTCCTTTTTTAAAAGTCCATTCTTTTTTAAAAATATATGTTTATTGATTTCAGAGAGGAAGGGAGAGGGAGAGAGAGATAGAAATATCAATGATTAGAGAGGATCACTGATCAGCCACCTCCCACACGCCCCGACCAGGGATCAAGCCCACAACCCAGACACCTGCTCCGACCAGAATCTAACCATGACCTCCTGATTCACAGGTTGATGCTCAACCAACCACTGAGCTACACTGCTCTTTGAGACACACAGGAGTATAATAAACAATCTTAACTATCTTTTGCTACTTATTTGAAAGTAAACCTACAATTTTTCCATTCATCTGGGAATATGGCATCTTCTTACTGAAAAACCAAATTGAAAGTGATTGTCATTCAGTAATATTTAGTATCTATTTTTTTCTCCATTCAAATGAAATGTTCATTGAGGTCCTAACCGGCTCAGTGGATAGAGCGTCGGCCTGTGGACTCAAGGGTCCCAGGTTCGATTCCAGTCAAGGGCATGTACCTTGGTTTCGGGCACATCCCCAGGAGGGGGTGTGCAGGAGGCAGCTGATCGATGTTTCTCTCTTATCAATGTTTCAAACTCTCTAACCCTCTCCCTTCCTCTCTGTAAAAAATCAATAAAATATATTTTAAAAAAAATGTTTACTGAGTAGTTACCCTGAGCACTTACACTAGGAGCTTGTTTCCTCCACTTCCTTTCCAGAAACGTAAGGAAATGGAGATGGGAGTGTCACAGGCTTCCAAGGAAAGTGGCCTTTTTAAAGTTCCAGTCACTAATTTATTTTAACCTCCTTTTATCCCCATTTTTCACGTTCACTTATTCATCCACTCATCACATTCTTAATGAGCACCTAAAATATGTCAGGCAGTTTTCAGACTGGAAATATAATAGTGAAACACACAAAGTCTTTACCCTCGTGGTATTTACATTATTTACATTACGATATATATGATATGCAAAATGACAATCAGTAATAGGGCTATGGTGAAAACTGAAGCAAGGGAAGGGAAATAGAGTGACAAGAGATGACTTGTTTCACAAAGCACACAAGTAACTGTACTCTTGGTGAGGGAGGGACTGTTGACCATTGTATGCTTGGGTGCCCAGCACTGTGCCTGGTATAGATGTGGAATATGACAGATATGTGAATAAATTACTATAGTCTGGCAAAATATATAGTTAAATCTTCTGTATTACCGACCTAAGTTATTCAGCTGGGTTTGACCCAAAGAACATTCAAGAGATTATTCCTATTCCTAAGGGCAAACAGAAGTAGAGGAGAGTATTCAGACTAAAAGTATAGTCAGTGAAGGGCACCACAGTCCCTTTAGTTATCTTTGATGTTAAATGACCATTACAGCTCAAACTGTATATGTCATGTGTTGGAAGAGGGCATGTACCTGCTTGCAAAAGTCAATTATTATATTTTCAAAAATCTTGTGAGCCCGTGTTAATCACAACCATTATTAAAAATTTAATTGTGCCCGGCCAGCATGGCTCAGTGGTTGAGCATCAACCTATGAACCAGGAGGTCACAGTTCCATTCCCAGTCAGGGCACATGACTCATTGCGGGCTCGGCCCCCAGTAGGGGGTGTGCAGAGGCAGCCGATCAATGATTCTCTCTCATCATTAATGTGTCTATCTCTCCCTCTTCCTTCCTCTCTAAAATTAATAAAAATATATTTTTAAAAATTTCCATGTAAGTAAATTACAATTAAATTAAATCTATTTTAAAATGAAGGTAATGAACACTCAAAAGTTAAACCTTCCTGGCTATTATTCCCCTATGACTGCTGCATGGGACCTCAAGCTGACATTCGCTCTGTCTTTCTGGTGGAAATACTGCAGAATGGTGCACTGCTGTGGAGCTCCTCCAGCACCATGTGCGTGACTCACGTTGTAACTCTAAATCAGGGGTCCTCAAACTTTTTAAACAGGGGGCCAGTTCACTGCCCCTCAGACTGTTGGAGGTCCAGACTATAGTTTAAAAAAAAAACTATGAACAAATTCCTATGCACACAGTGGCGGCAAAAACACCCGGTGGGCCGGATAAATGTTTTCGGCGGGCCCCATGTGGCCCGCGGGCCGTAGTTTGAGGACCCCTGCTCTAAATGGTGGTGAGTCTACAAATCAGGGCCTTTTCTTGGAGAGCCAGTTGTTAAACCCGCATAGTCTACTCCCACCTCTGACCTCTGGGGTTCAGGGAGCCAGTGGGCATCAGCCCTATGTTCATAGGTCCAGTGCAGTCACTCACAGAGATGGCTTTTCTGTGGCTGCTGTGGCACACCAGCTCATAAACTCAGAGAGCGGGACTCAGCCCGTGCCTGAGAATGCCATGCTGCTGCGGAGCAGGAAATGAGGTGGGCGTGTGGGTGCGATGCCTTCATTGTCCGGCCGGTTTCTGGAAAAGGCCAGTGGGCCTGGCAGATAGTTCAGCACATCTTACTGGGCAAGTAAATTACCTTCCGGATTGAAGGCACCGGGAGGTTTGTTAGTGTCCATAAAGCACCAAAGCACTATATTTAACTATCCCTTTGTGGGCCCCAATGACTAATGATGTTTATAAATGTCTAATTGGTTCAGTAACAGTTCTTTGGTTATGTATCCTTTCTTCCTTTTTATGTTAGTGTTGGTGCAAAAAAAACAAAAAACAAACAAAACAATAAGGCACGATATTAGACATCAATCTTCTAATTAACCTGATTTCTGTTTTCACATCGTTTAAATGTTTATTTGAAAGGTTTCTTGTGTGTTACAGATAGCCAGCTGTTATTAGGTGCTTCCAATGTGTACTGGCTTGGCAGTGCTTCCTCAAGAGTTTAATGTTGCCATGGTAACCAGTGATATCAATGCTAATGAATAAATGACAGTTAGTTGTTAAAAATCCCCACTGACTCAAGACTTTTGGTTAGTGGTTAATTTTTTCCAGGAGCATTTTTCTTCCCCTATAAAAGAGAGTGGGAAGAAAGAAAGTTCCGCACACTCCCTCACATCCCAAGTGGAAGTAAATGGTGACACTTTTCCATATTCCTAACTAATGACAATGATCAAAAAATGAAAAAGAATTTTTTTTTTACCCTAGCTTAATGTTGGGGCATTTTGACAGTTAACTCTTGAAATTATTAAATGCCAGATATAACATGTGAATGTTTGGATTAGTCATGCTTTTCCCCTTTGTCTTATACTTGACAGTCTGAAGTTAGAAACAATGCATTGAAACTGGAAGACCTTCATGCTAAAGTGAATGACCTAAAAGAATTAACGAAAAATCCGGACACTCCATCAGACCTTCAGGTAAGCACTCAGTCAGTTCTGTAATAGCTGCTACCTGCTAGGCTCTCCATCTCAAAGAGTATTTCTGTTCTCTAAGTATTTGTATATTAAAGTATGGGGCGCAGCTACAGTGTTTTGGCCAGGTTCAAGCCTCGGACTAATGAAAGGACAGGGTCCTCTCACTGCCACATGCAAGTCCCAGCTGGAGGGCAGGGCCCTCCCAGCACAATCGTAGCCAACGGCTGTGGTTGTAAGCTTGAACCTATGGTCCGAACACGTGGCCCGCCTTGTGATAGAGTTCGGGTGCAGGTAGTTGAGTGAGGTTGAAACTCACGAGAATGCTGTAAGCAACTTGATCACGCCCCTACTTTGCCTCGTGGCATCTGCTATAAAACAAAGACACGGCTTGTGGGCGCTGGCGCTGTCTCCTCATCAGGGAGCAGCGTCCCACCGGGACCCAGCTTTCTTTCTCTTTTCTGTCTTTTCTCAATCCTTTCACCCCCCCAACTCAGGGTCACCGAACCAGGCTGAGCTGGCCTGGCACATAAGGCGCCCTGGGGCTGAGTGTGCCATGGCCGTGCCGGCTCCCCACATTAAAGTGCGTATGTTTTGATTGTTTTGAGTGGCCTGAACTCTATGTCATCTGGGGTGAATGCCCGAGTGTGACCTCCGGCCAGAGGTGAATCATAAGAGAAAAGGAAAGGAGAGCGTTCCTGTGTGACAGCTCGGGTCATCGAAGAAAGCTCTCTGGGGGAATGGCAGGCCCCGGAGGCAAGAAGTTACGAGATGCCCACAGGCTGCGGACCGAGAAAGTGAAAAGCCAGAGAAAGGTGCATTGCTTGCATCTAGGGCCCTTCACTGGGCGGCCACAGAAGCCAGGGGAGTCTCAGAAAAACCCACAGGTCAAGGCCTGTGAGAGGAGAGAATGGGAAAGTCACCAGGCTTAGAAAGCGTGGATGCCAGTCCCCGCCTCCCCCCACCTCCTGCTTGCCCCAGCCTGTGAGGTGGGGACTAGAAGTAAAGTGAAAAGAGACAAAAAGAGGCACTTGCCCCTTTCTCCACTATGGGCTTCCTGTTTGCAGCAGATCTGAGCCGGGGCAAGAAAAAGCCCTTAACTTTAAGTTCGACTTGAGTTCAAAGTCTTGATTATTAAATGGTCCTGAATGTTTTTGTTGTAGAATTGAAACTGTTTGCGGTTTATCTTAAGTCCCTTTTTTATCTGTGGTCCAGAGAAAGCAAGGCCCTCCTGAAATAAACCACCCGGGAGCAGAGAACCAGCCTCCCTGAATCCTGAATCCTTAGAGTGGGAGACAGAAAGGAAAGCGCTTTAGGATCAGATCCTATGATGGGGGGAGGGGGCGCTTGTCCAAAGTAGTGGTCACACCAGGGCAAAATGTGTGTGTTTCCCAGGGAGAATGAGGAGCAGGTTTTGGTCACCTGCTTGGTACCCGGCGTGAGTCCGGCTGTTGTTGAGATGTGATTCTGTGTATCCCCTGGAACCTCAGCCAAACTGCCACTTTCGTGTCTCATGTTAACTGTAAGCCTTACTCTTTCCATTTGCCGATCACTTCATCACTTAAAATGTTTGGCAACGTGTGCACACTGATTTTCCGTCTTAGAAAAATTGGATGAACACCCATGGTTACGCTTATGTGCTTTGGTTTGGTTTTTATGATTAAGCTACACATCCACGGAATTCCCAGTAAAGGAGTGTCTGGTTTTCACAGATTTTGATGAAATCCTGCTTTATGTTTTATGTTTAGTTTATAGAAGCGGACCTAAGGCAGAAACTGGAGCACGCCAAAGAAATAACCGAAGACGCCAAAGGGACCTTGAAAGATTTCAGGGCTCAGAGCACACAAGTGGAAAAATTTGTTAACGACATAACAACCTGGCTGGCGAAACTAGAAGAGTCCCTGGTGAACTGCGCCCAAACTGAGACTTGTGAAGGGCTGAAGAAAGTAAAGGTAGGTAACCAGCTCTCATTAACTGGTTATACTTCAGTGGGAATATTAGTTCTCCTGCTTTGTGGTGGCTAGACTCGAGCCTTAACCTCTGCTCTCAATCACCCCTATTAACACAAGACTTAGCAAAGTAAGTAATGGGTAAAGAACTGAAAGCAAGATGACTAATCTGAAACAGAAAGCATGCATTGCTGTAGGGCCTGCTCACAGGCTGCTATTTTATTATTATTATTATTATTATTATTATTATTATTATTAAGGGGGTGACATCTATAGAAGTGTTTGAATGTCCAGGAATTTTCAAACTTGAATGCCAAATAGTTTTTCCTCACTTATTTTTATTGGTCAGTATGACTGCTTTTATCTAGAGAGAGAGATATTTTTTCATTGCGAAAACATCTCACTTTTATGTGAGTATGTTTATTTTCATAGATGACATTTCTGATCAACTCTCTATCAAGCTTATGAGTTGAGTTGAGTTTTCAACAAAAAATGATATGTTCCTTTTCAGCATATTATTGTTTTGATGTTCTTGAGACGAAGGAAGTATATTTTTAAATTAAGTACTTGTGCCTTTTTTGTGGCCTGTGACCCGTGTGGCCCACTGACGAATGTGAACTTAGGAGGGTGCTTGCATTTGTAGTTTCTAATCAACTGATTAAACCCAAGCTCATGGCTGGAATCCACAAGGATCAATTCAATTTGCTTAAAATGCTAGACTCTCACTCAAATCCTAGCGACCTCTCAACAGTTGTTTGCAGTTGTTCCCAAGGAGAACTGGGCAACATTCTCAAAGAATCAACACAGAGAGATCACAAATATTCAAAAAACAATCCCACAAAGATGTATACGTTCCTGAGTGGATTTTGATAGCATCCGTTTCCAGAGGAAGTGCCATCATGGAATAGGTGGAATATTTCTCTTGTAGCTGATAAACATCCTCCATGGCACACTTTTATTCTCTAGGAAATGCAGAAAGAACTTCAAAGCCAGCAAAGCAACATCAGCTCCACCCAAGAAAACCTCAATAGTTTGTGCCGCAAGTACCATTCGGCGGAGCTGGAGCGCCTGGGCGGGGCAATGACGGGCCTGACCAAGAAACACGAAGCTGCCAGCCAGCTGTGCTCCAGGACACAGGCCAGCCTTCAGGATTCTCTGGAGAAACACTTCCATGGTGAGCTCCCACAGGCCTTTGCATGAATAGTCTGTTTACAAGAAGGAATCCGGACCAAATGCTGTGTAGAAACTGCCAGCAAACATTTGCAAAACTTTCCGGAAGAATATCAAGTTAGATTCACTTGGGCATTGAGATTTGGGCAGTGGAAGTGTCATGCGTGTGCCCTCACCATAAGCAACATTCTCCCTTTCTCCTCAGGGAGGTAGGAGTCTGCCGTTTTGATGATTCGGAATTGCATCTAGATTTTCCACATACAGCTCATGTGTGTGGAAATTACTTCCACTGCTATGAGGAAGTGATAGTCAACCTGGGTATTAGGAGAGAGCATGAAACAGCAGCAGCATGTAATTCAGGAAAGTGCCCGTCCTATGGATGTGCCGGACTCAGTTTCCCACACGGCTGCCTGTGCTCTGATGTGGACACATAATGACAATGCTCAAGTCAGCTTGACGGAAAGAGGAGAAGGTTTCTCCTTGTGCCACAAAAATGGCTTTAGCACCCCTAAAGTATTTCTCCCCTTGCGCTCTTCCAGAGTCAGGCAACTAATTATTTCTTTACCAAAATAAAGAGACATAAGGGGAAATCAGACATTGAAGGAAAGTGAATCTCTTTACAGTCTTTTCTCTGAGATAATTTCTTGATTCTACTGTGAACAGTCATGGCTGTAGATCATGCTGTGTCGTATATGTCATATTCTAGATTATTATGATCTTCCTTCTGGAATGTTTTGTAAGGCACAATGCAATGGGCTGAAGGCCAGAATTAATTCATGGTAGCTCATTCAATGTATTGGATGCATTTCTCATTCATGTTCTTTTCCAAAGAGTCCATGAAGGAATTCCAAGAATGGTTTTCTGGAATAAAAGCAGCAGCAAAAAAATCATCAGACAGAACTGGTGACAGCAAAGTTCTAGAGGCGAAGCTTCGCGACCTTCAGGTACGAACACTGGTGTTGCCTTTTCTTCTTCCCCAAACTACACTCAAGTGCGATCGGGTCAGACCTAAATCACCTCTCTCCCCAAATCTATTAATCTTATTCAAACGTTTCTTTTTCCTTATCAGAATTAGATTTCTTGAGTGATAAGGAGATAAGCAATATGAAAAGTAAGCTGAAAAATCAAATTAGAGCTGTAGAATTTCTAGACCTCCTTCCCCTCTCTTTTAGCCTATTGACTGTTTGGAATTCACTCTGAACTAAACCTAATTTTAATTTCTATAGCAGTAAAAGCATAAACAGTGATATCTATTTCACGTTACTATCATGGAGGAGTTTTAAAAAGAAGACACCACTGACATCACGTGTGCTTTTTAACAACCTATGGTCTAAATTTGGAACTTAGAAATATTCAAATCAAAGCAATAGATATTATAGATTGTATAGGTTTTACTCACTAGGAAAAAATGTATGAATTCAGGAAAGAGAAGGCCATTGTGAAGCAGATTTAAAAAATAATTGATGCAAGACTAGATTCATACTGAGTTTTGGCTTTGTTTTTTAAGTGGCGAATCTGAGCAAAGCATTGTATTAAGTATTGTAAAAATAATTTTTAAAAAATTAATGGAAACATGTGGATTTTGTGGCCTAATGGGTGATGACAATTATGTGGATAACTCATTTGCTGTCAGAGTAGGAAGAGTGTCATCGTACGGGAAGCGAGTTTCGCAGGAGGCAGGGTGACTGCAGATGTGGAATTGTCCCCTTTAAGGCCTGAGATGCAGTGAAACTCCACAGAGAAAAGTCTGGAACTCAGAGACGAGGCAGGACGAGCACAGCAGTTCTGGGTTCTTTTGCTCTGCCGAAGCCAATGCCCGTGCATATGGTCTTTCAAAGAAGAGGTGCACATCAAGCAAAGAAGGGAACCCATGTCAGGATATGGCATGCAGGGCGGATCAGAGGAGGAGGGATAGAGGCAGCTAACCAGTTAGAAGACATCACACTAACCATGAGGAGGTGGAGCCTGCACTAGGTTGGTGCAGTGAGAAAGGGGAGAGACTGAGGACAAGACATCCTCCTTCCCAGGTTGGCATTGTTCCCAGTGGGTCCTCAGTGGTTCCAATGCCTGGCTGGCCCGTCCTCAGGGATGAGCCTCGATTATATCCAGTTGCAAACATCATTCTTACTCCAGCCTTGTCAACGGCTGTCTTCCTTGGGCCCCTGTTTTTCTGCTCTTGCTCTACTAGCTCAGCTCAGAGTTGTAATTAGTGCTCCCATGCACCAGGGTCTCTGAACGATAGCAAATGTTTTATATTACTTTTATTTCCTGAAACAGACCATTTTGGACTCGGTCGGTGATGGGCAGCGCAAGCTGGATGCTGTGACTCAGGAAGGACAAACGTTGTATGCACATTTGCCTAAGCAAATGGTCAGTAGCATTCAGGAGCAGATTACCAAGGCAAATGAGGAGTTTCAAGCTTTTCTGAGACAATGCCTCAAAGACAAGCAGGCTCTTCAAGACTGCGCTCTGGAACTTGGGAGGTAGGTTGTTTCCATACAGGTGGACTTCATCCTGTACAGAATGTCTTCAGGGACTTAGAGAAAAAAAGCCACTGAGAATAAACAAATCCTTGAAATTGTGAGTTTAAATTCAAAGCTTTGACCTTAATTACAGATTCATACTGGGACAATAACTGACTGCTCGAACTATGATGGCATCACGTGGTTTGATTTTCCACACAGAAAAGGAATTATACTCACTAGTAACTGTGAATGACATGAATTCATACATTTTTTGGTCTGTTTGACTAACTCAAGATATTAGAGCTTTGGCATCCAGGTTTTATATTATCCAAGTCTTTTTCTTGAGTCTACTTCTGCTGGGTTGGAGTCATGGCAGAAACACCTACTGTATTTATGTGAGTCAAGAGTCCAATCAGGAAACTATGTCAACGTGGGTGAATATAGAATAAAAAAGGGGGGGAACCTTGTTACTAGGGGGGAAACAATGTCAGTATAATCAAAATGCCTTTCTGGTAGTGGAGTAATTTGCCTGACTCTTATCCAGGTTTCTCAGAGAACTTACACAGTTTTCAAAACAGAGCCCTTGGGCTCTGGTGCCATATTTCAAATCCCATAAGATACAAAGACACAGAGAGGACTTCCCCTTTTTCTCATCGGGCTTCCACAGCCTCCCTTATCCATTGGCCCCAATTCAGGGTCTCTACTAAAACCAAAAAAGTCAAGTGCATGTTGCAGGGGAATGTAATCTTGCTGGTAATTACCACCTATGATTACCAGGTAATCAATTCAGCTTGATAAGGTGATTCATTTCTGCCTGGATTGCAAGAGAAATCTTCATAATTTTCATTTTGTTACTAAAATAAGCAATCATTTGGATGGGCTTATTGTTGAGTTTTCTTCTACTTGAAAAATCATGAAAACATGATTGATGTAGACATTGTGACCTCAGCTATTAGAATGCATTTATTATAATGATAACCTAAGAATTTCTCTATGGTGCTTTTCTTTTCTTTAGCTTTGAGGACCAGCACAGAAAACTGAATTTATGGATCCATGAAATGAATGAGAGGTTAAGCTCAGAAAACTCAGGAGAGAGTAAACAGCACATTCCTGAGAAGAAAAACGAAGTTCATAGGGTTGAAATGTTTCTGGGTGAACTCCTGGCTGCCAGGTATGGTGCAGAAATGGAATTGGTCCTTTCCCCACCAAGGACTGAGTGTTTGTCTGGTTGGTTGGTTATTTGGTGTGGTTGGCAGTGGGTTGGTTGGTTTGTTGGTTGGTTTGTGGTTGTGCTTGTTTTTATCCCTGAATATCTAGAATACAAATGATCGTGCAGTGTTTTCTCCCTGGAGAGAGCATAGGGATGGAGGTAAGGGGCTGGTCTACATCTTTGTTCCCTTCGCTCAACAAATTGGATAGGACACTCACTTCCTGTGTTTTTTTTTATATTAGCCTTTAGCATTGTGATGATGATGACACTTTCTTCTCAGAGATTATTGTAAGGATATAAGGTGATTAAAAGATACTATTCATTTACAAAAAGAATGCTGTAGATCCCAATTTCCATATGTTCTTTATACACGTCAGCCTCCGGTCCCATTTTTAATTCACTTCCTTCTCACAAAATTCGTTGTAAAACAAGAGGGGTGGTCATTAAGTCTGGCTGTCTTGGAGGCTCCCCTTCTCCATTACAGCATTTACCTCTTCATTGTTTTCTAACTGACCAAATGATTCTGGCTCCTTTCCCAGGCCAGGTTCTCTGGCCTGACTTTCAGGATGTTGCACCCTAAATTCATGCTTCAGTCCTGGCATTTTCAGTTGCATCATTGAAATTCTACCTTTGGAAAGGGTAGTGCAATTTGACCCAAAACTCTTTAACTACTTCCTAAAGAGTAGATACAATCACCTGTGAAGCAATAGAGGCTAGCACCAGCCTGCTTCATCAGACAAATTAGCAGCAGTGATCAACTAAGTGAAAACTGCCTAATTCAGATTAGACCCATTCCCTGTTTCCACTGAGTCCTCTTTTTGGTCAAACATGCTGAGTGTTCCTAGTCTTGAAAAACAAGCATAAAAACAAGTGCACAATAGAACCCATACTAACAACTACTGCTGGTGTGCTCGTTTGATGACTATTCTAAAATTTCCCTGGGATGCTCTGGTCCCACCTCTTAGCAGTTACCAAGGGATAAACACTTTGTTGACTCTGTGTACTCCAGTCCTCTACAGTGAATTCCTCAAGGCCAGGGACCATCAGGTCTTTATCATCTGTAGATTTCCATAGTCTAGTATAATGTCAGAAAAATCCTATATAGTAAAAGCCTAATATGTTAAGTGCCTGGTCGTCCAGTTGTCCATTCAACCAATCAAAGTGTAATAGTGAATGATATGTTAGGGGTGTTCAACCGCTCGTTATGACATGCACTGACCACCAGGGGGCAGACAGTCGACCTGTCGACCAGTTGCTATGATATGCACTGATCACCAGGGGGCAGATGCTCTGACCAGTAGGTTAGTTTGCTGCTGGGGTCTAGTCGATTGGGACTGAGCGAGATAGGCCAGACATGCCCTGGAGCCCTCCTGCAGTCCCGTCCTGGCTTGCCAACCTCCCATGTCCCTCCCTGCCACGATCAGCCACTGGTGGGGTCCCTCGGCCTGGCCTGCATCCTTTTGCAATCCGGGACCTCTCAGGGGATGTCAGAGAGCTGGTTTCAGCTCGATCCCACAGGCCAGGCCAAGGGACCCACTGGTGCACGAATATGTGCACTGGGCCTCTAGTAGAATATATTGCTGAATTAACAGAATAATAGTATCATTCTAAATATATAAATTTCTGCAAGTTACAGTGCACTTTTTGTGCTTTAAAATCTTGACTCTTGTCTAGATACAATATAACCTACTTCTCTCCTCCTTCCATATTATTCTTGATCTGATATTCCATGATCAGAGCTAAGAGTCCTTAGTATATTGGTTCCCAGTTTCCTTCTAACTGGCTACTCTGTACACTCCAAGTGAGGGTCACTCAGGTGCTCAGCTGGGTCACCTGATTCCTCTCACCTGCTTGTCATTTGCTCCTCCCAGTCCTCTGTTGTTGTTTTAAATCATAATATTTCTAGTACACACATTTTGGAGGGATGCCCTCCATTTTTTTAAAGTACCCTAAACTTGAGACTCATTGAATTTTTATCATCCATTTACCAATTCTTCTTGAAATAACAAGTGGTATCTATTCTCTTGAATTATTATTTAACTCACATTATTGCTTACACTACCTTCTTGTCTCATCAAACAGACTACCAAAATAAAAATATGTACTTTAGAGTAGATATAATATTGTATAAGTCACATACATCTCACAGAGACCCATAAGGATGCTATTTATATAATAGCTGCTAAGTAAAATAAAAGAGGCGTCATAGGAGATACATTATGTAGCCTTTTTCCACTACTCGCAATAGTTTGTGTTCAGACAACTGCTCTCCCCCTCCTGGTTTCCCAGGCATCTCCTGAGAACAGTGCTGATCTGAATTCAGAACCTGTCAAACAGGATGAAGCCGACCCAGCCACAGGTGGTTACACTTTCCCTGGGGCTAATTTACATAACTCCAAGCTGAGATGAGCAGGGCACCTGAGGTACAAGAATGACACCCTTAAGCACTCATAAAATGGCCTTTTGAAAGAATCATGCCTTTTTTCTTCTTCTTCTTTTTTTTTTCATTTTATCTCTGCCAAACATTGCACTGGTGCTGGGACATGAGATGATTGTAATAGCCCTGGCTTCTAGAAGGAAAGCCTGTGGATTGAGACACACAGGGTGTGTAGGAGGCTGCAGAAGGTGCCCAGAGGAGGAGACCTGCCCTCCTCACCCTCTCCACCCTCTCCACCTTCTCCACTCTCTCCACCCGCCTCACCCTCTCCACACTCCCCACCCTGTCCTCAGTTATCATGATGCTTGCCAGGGATGCGATGCCTGCCCTGAGCTGTGAAAGGGGCAGGTAGACCAGGAGCAGAGGAGAGCAGAAGGGTTCTCACAGGGGAGCCTCCGTGTATGTATAGCAGAGGGTTGGGGGCGTTTCAGCAAGCTGCTCAGGGTTAGAGCATTCGGTAGGAGTGGAGAGATGCCGGGTGGCTTGGAGGGGCAGGCCAGGCCTTTTCTGAAGTGAATTCCTCGGCATACACTGGGCTTGGATCTAGGTACTGTATGGGTTCAGTCAGGTCCCTGGATGTGAATTAACTACCTTTGGAGAAACCATAGGAGAAGCAGGTGGCCAGGGCAGTCTCCAGACTCTTCATTTTACTTTATTTTTTAAAACATATTTTTATTGATTTCAGAGAGGAAGAGAAAGGGAGAGAGAGAGAAACATCAATGAAGAGAGAGAATCATTGATCGGCTGCCTCCTGCACACCCCCTACTGGGGATCAAGCCCACAACCCGGGCCTGGGCACTGACGGGGAATCAAACCGTGACCTCCTGGTTCATTGGTTGATGCTCAACCACCTTCCCCACCCTCATAGGTCAGCCTGGCAAGGCTCTCCGTTAAAGGCGTGTCAGCTGTGAGCTCTTGTCTGTGGAGCGCTCCAACACCAACAATCCTTTGTGGCTCCCCGGCGCTGGGAGAGTCCAGCTGATTTTGTTTTCTGTTGTCTTTAGAGAGTCTCTGGACAAGCTCTCGCAGCGCGGGCAGCTGCTCAGCGAGGAAGGCCACGGCGCCGGGAAGGAAGGGCGCCTGTGCTCCCAGCTGCTCACCAGCTACCAGGGCCTGGTCAGGATGACCAAGGAGAAGCTGCGCCGCTGCCAGGCGGCCCTGCAGGAGCACGAGGCCCTGGAGGAGGCCCTGCAGAGCATGTGGGCCTGGGTGAAGGGCGTGCAAGACAAGCTGGCCTGCGCAGACAGCACCGTGGGAAGCAAGGACACCCTGGAAAAACGGCTGTTACAGATACAGGTACACCCCTGTGCCCCAGGACTGATGCGATTAGACACCCAAATGGTTGAGTCGGGTCCCAATCACGCCGTGAGCCTCTCTCTAAATGAGGATTAGGTGAGCGAAATAGGGAAATTGGGCAAAAAGGACTTGGAGGGGATGATTTTCCCTCTTTGTAAAGGAAAGGAATATGTTTGCTTTAGTAGCTCTAAGATATATATATTTTTAATTTTGTTTAGTAAATATTCAGCAAACATTATGAAATAAATACCTAGTTTACTCCAAGCACTATGCAAGTTGCTGGGCATGTGAAGATAAAAATGAGTCCTGCAGGAGTTCAAGTCAGTGGCAGGGACCAACTGCAAATGTTACAGGCCGTGCAACATGTATGCGGGGCTGTGATTGAAGGCAGCGGGGGTGGGGAAAGCGCAAAGGAGACCACCATCCAGCCTGCAGCCAGTGAAGGTGACCTTGAAAGACAGGAATTAGTCAGGCTTTGAAGGTAGGGGACTGTTAGGCTTTTGACAAGCGTGTTTTCATTTTCAAAATAATTCCTTTTTACTCTGAAACTAAGTTTCCCAGTAAAGTTACAGTGCTAAGGCAAGTAGTCCAAAGTTTCCCAAGAATTTAAACTGGAGTTAATCTTTACTCCCAGATTCTCGGGTTCCTAATATTTAAAGTTTTGTATTGCGGTAGAGTCCAGACGTTGTTGTTGTTTTGTTTTCATTTTTTATTTATTGTTAACACTATTACAGATGTGCCCCATTTTCCCCTCTTTTGCTCCCTTCCATCCAGCCCCCACCCCCGCCTTCACCACATCATTGTCTGTGTCCATGGGTTATGCATGTAAGAATATATGTGGGGTTTTTTAAAATGTATTTTATTGATTTTTTAGAGAGGAAGGGAGAGGTATAGAGAGTTAGAAACATCAGTGAGAGAGAAACATCGATCAGCTGCCTCTTGCACACTCCCTACTGGGGATGTGCCCACAACCCAGGTACATGACCTTGACCAGAATCGAACCTGGGACCCTTGAGTCCGCAGGCCGATGCTCTATCCACTGAGCCAAACTGGTCAGGGCAGAATATATGTTTTTTAATTAATCGCTTCTAGTTCCCTCCCCCCCACACCCCACCCTCCATTCCCCTTCCCCTCTGAGATCTGTCAGTCTGTTCCAGGTATCCATGCCCCTGGTCCTGTTTTGTTCATCAGTTTATTTTGTTTGTTGCCTTTTATTTTCTTTGTTTTTAAATCTTTATTGTTGAAAGCATTACATATGTCCCCTTTTCTCTTTAAGGTGAGTAGGGTATTCCCTACCTTGATTCTCAGGGAAACCATTGTTTTTAAAACTGTCAGAAGCTTTTACTCTTTCTGCTGACGTGCATTCCCTCTTCTTCCTAGGACATCCTCCTGATGAAAGGGGAAGGGGAAGTCAAGCTGAATATGGCCATTGGCAAAGGGGAACAGGCCTTGAGAAGTAGCAACAAAGAAGGTCAGAAGGTGATCCAGACCCAGCTGCAGACCCTTACAGACGTGTGGGCCAACATCATGAGCTCCTCCGTCCACGCTCAGAGGTACAGAGTCCAGTGCAAGTGCCTAACTGCCTAAACAAAGCCCCGTGGCTTCGTGACATGAGGGAGCGGTGCCACGCCTCCTGCAGTAGAGTGGCCACGCATGTCATCTTAGCTGGTGTATGCTTGCCTGTCTTCGCCTAAACACACACACACACACACACACATACACATATACACATACAGAGCAAGCAAACAAAACCAGTCTTTGCTATTAGAGAATTTTCTAAAATGTAATATTTACATCTCCCATAATATGTCAATGGAATTTGGCACACAACTTGAACTCTGTAAAATAGACCCTTTTAATTCATCCAAGCAAGGATATGTGGTCTTGAATAACTTTAATATCTTTTCACTTTTTAAAGAAACATAAGGGAAATTAAGTCATGGGCAACTGTGGAGCTTAAGTATAAATCTTTTTCTCAACCCCAAGTAATATCACCCATGTTGGGGTTGTGGAACTATGGGGGGAGGGTGTTTGATGGTCACAGGGATGGAGCATCCCTGGCATTCAGTGACTGAGCCCAGGAGAGCTGGTGCCCTCCAATGCGTGGGACATTCTCACACAAGCAACAGTCAGCCCTTCCGCCCAGGATGTCTGCGGAGCTCTGTTAAGTAGCACTGCCCAGGGGCTGCTGAGAAGATGCTGGTTGTTGCAATAGGCAATGTTGTTGCTGTTGTATTTATGAGTGGAAGATTTTCGCCTTCCTCCTCTCCTCAGAGTATCCACGAGTAATCTGGCTGGCTTGTTGGACAAAGGATTGTCAGTCAGAATTATATTAAAATACATTCCAGGCCGAAACCGGTTTGGCTCAGTGGATAGAGCGTCGGCCTACAGACTGAAGGGTCCCAGGTTCGATTCCGGTCAAGGGCATGTGCCTGGGTTGCGGGCACGTCCCCAGTGGGAGATGTGCGGGAGGCAGCTGATCGATGTTTCTCTCTCATCGATGTTTCTAACTCTCTATCTCTCTCCCTTCCTCTCTGTAAAAAATCAATAAAATATATTTAAAAAAAAAAAAAACAGAAAAAAAAATAAAATAAAATACATTCCAGGAGCCATATTCTGACGATGATATATACTATTTGATCACCAAAGAAGTGTGTGTTCACCATGATCAAAATAAATAGACAAGTAAAAGATTAAAATTCATAAAAAAAAATAAAAATATTTGCAATCACCCGTACAATGTAAAAGTGGACCATGGTTTCAATTAAAATGTGAGAGGTTGTGTTTTGTTTTAGTTTGTTTTTTTTTCTTTAATATGGAGCATTTGTAGTAACTCCCAAAGTCTGCAGAATTTTGAATCTTAGTAATAGCTCAAACTGGTCAGTAAAGAAAAAAACTTCAGATCCCAGGATTCTATTTTTTATAGAGTAGATCAGACTTCCCAATGCTTGCCAATAAGCTAGCTTTGTAAAAGTGAACAGGAATATGGGTGAATATTTTTCAGATGTTAGAATAAAATGTTAAATACAAAAAGTAGATTCAAATCTTTGATTCTTTGCTTTTAGCAAGAAATTAAATTTGACAACTACATATTGAGCAATAGCAATGTTCAAATGACAGTGGGTAACTACAGAGTTTATTTTGTTTTGTGGTTATTTTTTCCTGTGCTAAAAGAATAAAACAAAACAAAGTACTTTTTACCCTCTACGTGCTATGAGGCCAGGGTAGGGTACATTCCAGACAACTCTGACTCATATAGTGTTGCTAAGATGTTGTGAGACTGTAGAAGAAGGCAGGGCCCAGGGTGGCTTCTGGGGAGGTGAGATTGATTTGGAAACTCAATTGGAAAGGATAAGAATGTTGGCATGTATGATGAGGTTTCTACTGATGAAAAATAAACAATCTGAGCCCTGGTTGGTGTGGCTTAGCTGGTTGGGCGTCATCCCATGCACCGAAAGGTCACTGGTTCTATTCCCAGTCAGGTCACATGACCAGGTTGCAGGCTCAACCCCCAGTAGGAGGTGTGCAGGAGGCAGCCAATCTATGTTTCTCTTTCACATCAATGTTTCTCCTCTCTCTCCCTTCCCTTCCTCTCTCTAAAATCAATAAAAACATTTTTTAAAAAGAAAGAAACAGTTTAAGCAAATGCTGCAAGTACATTTCCTACAGTTATGACTCCAGGATTATAGGATTTTATGCAAGGGAGATTGGGAGAGGTCACTGAAGATGAGTTTAGAATAGTTTTAGAGCTGAATACTTTAAAATTCAGGATGCCAGCCTGGAGAGCCTTTTACTTGACTATCTGGAGAGCTATTTGGTTGACTATTACATTTGTGATTACATTTCTTATATTATAAATGTATTTAGCCTTCATTTCTTCATCCATTCAATACTAAAACATTGTGCATCTATATCCGTATGTGAAAATCAATCTAATGATATTATTTAACCAGGAAGATTACCCTAAAATTTAAATTCCAATCAATAAATAATTGCCATCTGGTTTTAGTAAAATAAACTGAGTCCAAGAAAAGTAAGAATTAATATATATTCAATAAAATTTGCTCAGCCAGCATGGCTCAGTGGTTGAGCATTGACCTATGAACCAGGAATTCATGGTTCAACTCCTGGTCAGGGCACATGCCGGGTTGCGGGCTCGATCCCCAGTAGGGGTCGTGCAGGAGGCAGCCGATGAATGATTCTTTCTCATCATTGATGTTTCTATCTCTCTCTCCTTCTCCCTTCCTCTCTGAAATCAATAAAGAAATATTTTTAAAAAATAAAATAAAATTGAATTGATGCCCCAGTGCTGATATTTAACAACACAATTCATAAATTTGCCTATTTATTAAGACAATTAGCATTTGGAAGACAAATCTCCAGATGCATATATGACTACAACATCTTACATTTTGACATGGATTCACTTTGTTTGAAGAAACTGTGCAGCGGGTCAGAAAAGCAGTGTTTCTCCCTGCCCTGAGAAGCAGCGCCCTCACCCCTTATAGTAGTGTTCAGCAAGACAGCTTACATCAAGCATGTCAAACTCGCAGCCCGCGGGCCACATGCCTCGTTTATTTGGCCTGTGTTAGCCTTTGAGTTTGACATGCTTGGCTTACCTGGATGCCATGCTCCCCTAGTTGGTTTCCAGTAGAGCTGTCAAGATAACTTATTTTTCTAATAACATTAATCCCAGCACTTTAGAGGCTGTGATTAGCCAATGGAATGACTACCTGGAGTGGAAAAACCAGTTGGAGCAGTGGATGGAATCCGTAGACCAAAAAGTGGAGCATCCCTTGAAACCGCAGCCAGGTCTGAAAGAGAAGTTTTGCCTTCTGGACCACTTCCAGTGCATCGTCTCGGAGGGGGAGGATCACGCCGCAGCCCTGCACCGCCTCACTGCCAGGTCCAGGGAGCTCTACCAGAAGACTGAGGATGCGTCCTTCACAGAGACGGCTCAAGAGGAGCTGAAAACACAGTTTAATGATATAATGACCGTTGCCAAGGTTAGTGCTTTATATTGAAGGAAAAACTTCAGGGTCAGGTAAAGAATAGCTTATGGGTTACATTATTGGGGAATTTGCTGCTCTAAAAACTATTTGTACAATATTATATGAAGATAATTTCTCACCTATGGATGCCCATGCATTTTTCCTTCCTGCAATCTTGGGCTTATTTTTTATTTTTAATTTTATGATTTTTCACCACTTAGAATGTTAGTCAACCCATTTTCTTTCTTTTTTTGGTTTTTTCTTTTGCAAAATTGTTGCGCTTCAAATATTAGTGTTTAAAAGTTCTTTACAAAAAGCCAACACAAGTCATTTATTTAATAATAAGTTATTATAATAATTATTATTAAGTGGATGATTAGTGAGGGATGTTAGTCAACATTCATTAAGCATAGATTTTTATGTGAAGCTAGACATAAGTAAAATTATAAGAAAATTGGTTTTATCCTCAAAGTCTTTTAGTCTAATTGAGATTTGATATTTGCATTTTAAGATATTAAACACAGAGAAAATTCAAGAATAAGAATGAAGCCCTGGACGGTTTTTCTCAGTGGTTAGAGCACCAAAAGATCACTGGTTTGATTCCCAGTCAAGGGCACATACCTTGGTTGTAGGCTCAATCTCTAGCCCCGTGTGGGAGGCAACCAATCGATGTGTCTCTCTCACATTGGCCTCTCTCTCTCTCTCTCTCTCTCTCTCTCTCTCTCTCTCTCTCTCTCTCTCTCTCTCTCTCTTCCCCCCCACCTCCATCCCTTCTACTCTCTCTAAAAATCAATGGAAAATTATCCTCAGATGAGGATTTAAAAAATAAGAACAAAGCCTTCCAAGATGATTAAGAGACCAATATTAGACTGTTGTCTTGTCTGATTTCACATCCTCCGTAGCGAGGGCCGCTGAGTCGCCTCTGCTTGTTTCCCAGGAGAGAATGCGGAGCGCGGAGGAGATGGTGAAGGACCACCTCCTGTATGTGGATGCCGTGCAGGAGTTCACAGACTGGCTCCACTCGGCCAAGGAGGAGCTTCACCGCTGGTCGGACCCGTCTGGAGACTCGTCCGCCACCCAGAAAAAATTGTCTAAAATTAAGGTCAGAAAGTGGACCGATACCATAACTTCTCTCTCTCATTGGTGCTGGAGCCTGACATGCCTGTGATAAAGATTGTATAGATTCGATCCTGTTCATTCAAATGTTTCCTTCCTGTTTTCTGGTGGTTGGTGTAGATGACCTTGCACCTCAGGAATTCTAAACATAAACAAGAGGGGGGGAAAGGAATTCAAGACACTTTACACTTTGAACAAAATGAAACGTTGTCCGTGTACAGTATGCTCCTGCATGCAGATGCACTGCTTGCTGCGGTATGAGACATCCCAGTATGCGCCAGCTTGGAGCTGACAGAATCGGATATGATTTCCCAGCACAGTAGGAGAAAAGTTTATACAATAACTTAGTGAAAAGTTTAATAATAACTTGGAAATGTCGTTCTAGATGTTTTGTTCTGCTTCCCCAGACAACAGTACAACAGTATAATGAAAGGCGGTACTTTAAAGGATATTAAAATTACCACCTATAAAGGCAACTTAAAGCAAAAAATTTCACACCGCTCAGCGAACTAGAGATCTCTGAGAAGTAGAGATCTCCGGTATTTTGGTTCTTTCTATTTCTAGTTGCTTGAATAATACATGGCAATGACTTGCCCCCTGTGGAAAACAGTAGATTTTAATCTAAAAATTAAGCAGTGATGAAATCCTGACTGGTTACGTTTTAGATGAGGAACCAATAGTGTAAGTGTGGTCAGGACTTTAGGACTCAAATTGTGTTCTTGTTTGTTTGTGTTTTTAATAATTTATTGTTGAAAGAATTGCATATGTCCCCCTTCTTCCCCCATTGGTCCCCTCCAGCCCACCCCTGTCTCCCCTCACCCCCACCCCTGCTCCCAGCCCCAGGCCTCCAGCACCCTATTGTCTGTGTCCATATATGCATTCAAAGTCTTTGGTTGATCACTTCCCACCCTCCCAGCCTCCCCCACCTTCCCTCTGAGATTCCGCACTCAAATTGTGTTCTAATGAATAGAGATCAGAACATAAAAATCATAAATGCAACAGATGATGATAGCAGTAATAACTGTATTTTGATGATTTACTTTGAAAGGCTTATCTTTTTTCAATAATATTGAACGTTTTAAATGTGATAATTACGTAAAGGCACTTTGTAAGTTTCTAGATCTGTGTGATCCTTTAAAATACTTCCTTGGCACATTTCTCAGTAATGTTTTAATTCACTCATCCATCCATCCATTTGTAAGCTACCGCCTTGTGAAAGAAGGTGAAATGGGGTGGGTGGGGATCCTGAGCAGACCACAGTCCTGCTTCAATCCTTGTTCACTTATCTGTCAGTTTAGGAAGTAATTTTAACCCGGTGCTGCAAGAATTTTAAAACGGGCAACACCTGACTATGTCGTCCAGGGCACTGACCTCTTTTCCCTTAGGTTGTCAAATAATGAAAAGTGACAATAGCCAACACAATAGCCATCCAGTGGGAATGATTCAAAATTACATCTATTTTCTTGTCCGATTGGCAAAAAAATTAATATATTTTTTGGTGTGCCGCCGCATGTTAGTAATTAGTTTATGTGTGCCATGAGATGCAAAAGGTTGAAAATCGCTGGTTTGGGAGGAAATATGGATTTGCTTATTTATAGGAGCAGTGCACTGTGGGCCAACGCAGTGTCACACATTCAAACAATGCCTGACTTCAGGGTCCCTGTTTCGTCTGTTTCAGGCTGTTTCGGATTCCACAGCTTCTTTTGCCAGAAGCCCTGGTGCTCAGGATGGGAATTCTCTGCCGTGACAGCGCGGGGGTGGGCGGGTGGCTGGACTCTGGCTCCCTGTGGCAGGCACACTGGCTAAAACTCCCCAGCAGGACAGGGTGCCCCTCTGTACATATTTGGAAGCCTGCTGGGACTCGGCCTCCTCGGTTACCATGGTGATATTCCATTACAGGAGCTGATGGATTCCAGAGAGACCGGGGCCAGCCGCCTGAGCAGAGTGGAGTCCCTGGCTCCCGCCGTGAAGCAGCTCACAGCGGCCAGCGGGAGCGAGCTCCTGGACACAGAGATGCAGGCCCTGCGCGCCGACTGGCAGCAGTGGGAAGACAGCGTGCTCCGGACGCAGGGCAGCCTGGAGAGCCTGGCCAGCCAGATGGCCCTTTCGGAGCAGGCGTTCTCAGGCCGAGTGGCCGCCCTGGAGCAGGCCCTGGAGCAGCTCGGCACCCTTCTCACAACGTGGGCTCAGCAGCTAGCCCTCCTGGAAGGCAAGAACACAGATCAGGAGATAGTGGAGAGCTGGGAGAAGGGGCGCGTAAGTTGGCTTCCTGTTTTCTGTTGGTGGTTATGCTAGAAGTTTGGTTTGGTTCTCATCGTCGCTAAACAAACAAAACAACTGAAAACCTTCTTGCTAACTAAAAACACAACATTCAGACTTGGAAGAAGGAAGTGTTTCTAATTAAATTTGCAAATCAGATCTGTTTTCTTTTCTCATAAGTCGAACTCTTCTACATATAAGGGTAGAGGAGAGAAGAAGTTATTATTTACCATTGAAAACAGTTACTGTGAGTGGAAACATTCTACTTTCATTCTTCTGGTGCAAGAGTTTGTAATATCGCATTCAGCCATTCAGTCTGAAAAAAATGGCCTGTGGGTAGAGGCATAAATAGACGAAGAGTCATAGCTACGATCCTGCCAGTGAATTCTTTCCAACAATTAAATGATTGAATCTATAGCTTTGAAAGACACATTTGGTAAGCCCCGAAAACACAACTAATAGTTTGCACCCTGATCAGCTCTCCTGTGTGGAGCTTTGACAGCTGTGCTGGAATTAACGGTTCACAGAACTCCTATGTCATGCTCATGGCTTGCCTTCCGGACATTTTTTTTTTTTTTAACTAATGGCAGCTCTTTCAGAATGAGAGAAAGGGAAGCATAAAAGGGGTAGTGAAGAAAGGGCAGAAGCTTGAGATCCCGTCTCTTTCTTTACTGTTCAATGGCATCTTGGAAAGACTTTCTTTCGATATTTGCAGCTTAATAATGCTCTGAATCGCGGATGTCCTTAAAAGGAAGTTTTAGTAAAGTAACCTTCTCTGTGGCTATTTATGTTATAAACATTTCAAAATAGCTCCAGCCAGGAGGGAACTCCCGTAGTATTTCCAACATTGTCTTGTTTTAAGTCAAGTATTTGAAACAAAGATAGTGTGCCGCAAAGGCAACCTTTCTAATCATCTCCTTATGCTATTTTACTCATATGCTTATAGACTATATTTTGTTCCAATGCCCTTCATGTCCTTTAGGGTTAAGCACAGAATAAAGTGTAGAAAGCAGTTCTGTAAAACAGGGACAAGGACCTTGGTGATTATTGCATGTGGTCAGTATTATTGACTCTGATATATATATAAAAAAAACCTGTTAGGCTGTTTTTGTTCTGTTTACCTTCTTTTCCCCCCATTAATATAAGTGAAATTTTAAGAAAAGAAAGATTTGATGGTATTTAAATTATATGACTATTCTGAGCTATCATTATTTCTTTATATTGATTCTACTAGTAAAAATAATAGGTGAGGAAGGGGAAAAGGTAATGCAAAAGTAAATATAGGTTTTTAATGATGCAAGCAATTCAAAGACAACAGTCTGGGCTTTGATCTGTTTTTATATTTGGTTCTGGGCGCTTGCTTTTGATGACAATACTACATTACCTCTAAATACTCAGATTTTCTCTTATTCTAATAATGTCATTTTATCTAAAAATGGCAATAATAAAAAAAGAAAGTATAATTATGTGATGGGATAAAGGTGTTAGCTAATGTTGTGGTGGTTATCATTTTATTATATATAAATGTATTAAATCCCTACATTGTACACCTTAAACTCACACAATATTATATGTCAATCACATCTCAATAAAGCTGGGAACAATAATTTTTAAAAAATGGAGGTAATACTCCCATTACAATGAAAGCCTAGGAAAGTTTGACAAAATGATGGATTTGCTAGGGCTCACAGGGCTTTGTTTTGCTGCGCGGAAGGGCCTGTCATTGTCGGCAATCCCAATAATAACCATGAGCTGCCTCAAGCCTTTGCTTTCTCTTCTGCAATGAAATGGTGACACTCAAGAAATCTTTTTAAAAATAAAAATGGACCATTATCTATAAACTATATAAAATCATGGCACACAAAAATCTTATTCACTGTGCTCCAAAACTCCTATCTCTTAATATCCATGGGCTAATTGTGTTGGAAATTTAGGAGTTTTCTTAACCTCCAAGGAAAAAATATTCATTCCAGGACTTAACTGAAATACAGGTGTATAACCTGATATTTATATAATGAAAGAGTCCAATAATATGCTTTAATGTAGGATCACATTACAGAAAAAAATTTTAGTGTAAAATTTTGGTCAAAGCTTTTCACTTTTGAGAACACCTAACGTGTAAGTGACTCATGATATCTCTGGGTTTGTTATTTCCCTCTCTGGTGCATGGTCAGTTTCTTTGGTTCTTATAATGCTCTTTCTTAAATAAAAGATTCAATATGATGTAAAATAGTAGTTACTAGTTTAGCATTTGGAGTTTCAGAGAGAAACTTTCTAAGTACTACTTATGAATTTTGCAAATAAGAATATTGTAGATGCCTCTAGCCCGACACCAAGCTAAATAAAGAAGTTTAAAGCGAAGAGAACACCATCCTCCTCTCAGAGCCACAGTCCAGGTGGAAAGGCCAACAAGTTCAAAACCATTAGAAACACTCACTAGTGATGAGTGCCGGGGGGTGCTGTGTCCTCAGTGAGAGCCCCTGGGAGAGGTGGGGAGGAAGACAGAGAATCCTTAGGGGAAGAGTTATTTGAGCGGAGCCTTGAGGTCTGGTTACAAATGGACCAGATAGATGAGGTGGAGAAATGGCTTCATTGTACAAAGTCACCGAGGAACGAGAAAGCACAGGAGAGAAAACTAGAGAACAGAATTCAAATTAAGGGGATACTGTGTCATTCTAGGAAGAAATGACAAAGATGTGAATGGGGGCTGTGAGAGTCAGGATGCAAAGGTAGCTGATGAAAAGAGCTCTCTAAGGCATGGAACAGACCAGCCCTCATTAGCTGTTGGGTGGAGTGAAGAGGGAACCAGGCAAGGCCATGGTGATGCTCAGTTTTCTGATTTAGATCAGTTGGAAGACAGAGGTTCCATTTATAGGATGAGGAGTGCAACACACACCTGGCACGTTGAGAGGTGTGGTTTTCTACAATTCTAGGCCATCTCATGATAAAAATCTTTGGGAATAAAAATAGTAACATCAACAGCTCTCTGAGCAGTTACTCATCTTTGTGTCCCTCATCTTTGTTATTATTATTCACCTTGGTGATACCATTATCCACACACTTCTATTTAAATATTTGGGAGTCATTTACCTGCTAATTTTATTTATAAGGCACTTATCAAGGTGCCAGAATTTGTGTACTTGACACTCAGGATGTCATTTGCTAGGTGTAACAATCCCCTGTGTAGCCATGGACCATGGCCTTAATTTCAGAAGTGTGCTTGTCAAGTCCCAAGACTTTATTTTGGATAGATAGTCACAGAACTGGATTATTCATGTGCCTCTCCCACCCGTTTGATTGTGAGCTCTTCAAATACGGTACAAGAATCATACCTTTGGGTCATGTCGGGGGTCCCAGAATTCTGCAAAATGATCGGCACACGGCAGACATTTAGTAAATATTTGATGATTATAATGAATGAAACTATGAAATGGTTCAATTGCTACTTAAATCAGACCTGTGGATTATGAGAATTTCTTAATGTGAAAGTTAATGTTATGTATTAGACAACATTAATTGTTGCGCACAAGTACCAAAATAAGCGTTGCTTTGCTTTGAAATGATTTCTTTTTACATCTTAAACAATATGAATATCCACTGACATCCTAGTCAGATTGTTTTTAAGCAATTTAGACTGGTTCACTTTTCTTTTTCCATCCTACTTTATGTTATTCTTTGATCTCTTGATCATTTGGCTTCTTGGCAGCATTTCATCCCAGAATGCCTACCTATGGCTAGAAAAGGACACGCAACCAGCCACGTGATATCACTTGCCACGGGGGATCCTGAAACTAGGCCTCATTTCTTTACTGAATCTATATGTTGCTTCTTCCCTCGCTAATAATTTATAGTGTGATTTATGCATTTACAGTATGAAGATGTGGAAATTACCTAATTTAAATGCTTACCCCTCTGTCTTGTTATTTCTAATAGGAGATACTGGATGCTCTACACAAAGCAGAGCCTAAGACAGAGGATCTCAAGTCTCAGCTGAATGAACTTTGTCGATTTTCCAAAGACCTGAGTCCATACAGTGGAAAAGTTTCTGCCTTGATTAAAGAATATAATTGGTGAGCATGAACCTTATTGGTATTTAAAATGTTTTAACACAAATAAGAAACTAGAGGTTTATATATTTTAAGGTGTGATTTCAACATTAATATAAATTAATCATTAAATCCGTTACTAAATGACATGAGCGCATACTCCAAAAATCGTTTATTCTGTCAAACATTAATTTCCTTTATCATTTTTTCCCTCCTATTAAATGCTTCCAATCATGGTTTTAGCCTTTGTTTGCAAGCATCCAAGGGCTGTCAGAATAAAGAACAGATTTTGCAGCAAAGATTTCGAAGAGCCTTCAAGGATTTCCAGCAGTGGTTGGTTAATGCAAAAATCACTACCGCCAAATGTTTTGATATACCTCAAAATATTAGTGAAGTTCAAACAAGTCTTCAGAAAATACAGGTAAGAATGTTATTCATTCTAATAATGAAGCTTAAGTGAATTAAAAATGTGTCTCTTGACTGTTTTAGAAGCATATTAAAGTTTTGCTTAAAAAACTCAAATTTCAAATAAATCTCTGCTTAAAATGATTGTGTGCAAGAAGAGAAATTAGTCCATTTATATAAATGCATATATATATATATTAATAGGGATTTAGGAAATAATAAAAGCTCTTTCTATGTGGCAAGCATTGTGCCTGAGCACTCTAAGCCGATTTTTTAATTTAATTTTCACAGTAAACACATCAGGTACAAAAGGTTATTATTCCCAATGTTCAGATATGGTAAAAGAGTCAGTTGCTTAATATATACGATAAAAATTGTTTATTCCTCGCCAAAACCGGTTTGGCTCAGTGGATAGAGCGTCAGCCTGCGGACTGAAAGGTCCCAGGTTCGATTCCGGTCAAGGGCATGTACCTGGGTTGCGGGCACATCCCCAGTGGGAGATGTGCAGGAGGCGGCTGATCGATGTTTCTCTCTCATAGATGTTTCTAACTCTCTATCTCTCTCCCTTCCTCTCTGTAAAAAATCAATAAAATATATTTAAAAAAAAAAGAGGGAAAATGATTATTAAAAACTGTATTTAAAAAAAATAAAAAATTGTTTATTCCTTCTCTGTGATTTTATTGAGAAAGAAATAGAAGATCAATGTATTTTAAAGCAGAGAGCATTTTATTATGTCTACTCTGGCATTTTTCTTTATAGGAGTTTTCATCAGAAAGTGAGAATGGACAGCACAAGCTAAATGTGATGCTATCTAAAGGAGAACTTTTGAGTTCTCTGCTGACCAAAGAGAAAGCTAATGGTATCCAGGCGAAAATTGCAAATGCAAAAGAGGATTGGAAAAATTTTCATTCAAATCTTCACCAAAAGGAATCTATCCTAGAGGTATAATATAACCAACTACTTGGACACATTCTGTGTTGTTTGTTGGTAGTGATGGTGTTAGTTAAGCCACACTCTCAACATATCCAAGTGCCCTTGTCAATGATTTTGCTCATCTCTCACTGAACATACATGAATGACTAGATAACACTTAGAAACAGCTCAATGCTAGAAGTGTGAGCCTCACTGAGGAATTAAGTAGCTTCTTGCATAGTAGGGGCTATTAACCTAGACTGTAGGAACAACCAGTTTTAATTTTAAACATATCACTTAATCTTTCATTTGAAATCCCTTAATTTTGGGAGTTGTTCTAGGAGAATGAAAAGAAATATCTCTGTAAGGCTACCAAATGCTATGGATGAGAAGGCACATTATAACTAATGCAAGTATCAGGTACATAGTAGATTTTAGGAGTTAACTATGCAAAGCAACAATGTTCATACAATTTCATTTTATCTAGGTACAATATAAATTGAATTTATTATAATCATAACATAATTACTAACACAATGCAATTATTTTTTTTATGAAGCAGTCTGTTTTATGTACAAACTCTCCTCTTAGAAGAAAATTTAGAGACATGGAGAATATTATTTTTTCCTTTTTAAACAACACTGCCTGGCAAAAGGTGGCTAGTCTTTCATGGCAGACATCCTCCACTTAACAGGGAATGATAATCATTGTGCAGTGCCTAGAAATTTACTCTCAGCTCTGTAGGGATTGTTAATGCAATGTGGTCTGAGCTCTGTTGCTGTTGCGGGTAGTACATCTGCCATTGACAGTGAGATTATCTACTTCAAGAGATGCCCAGTTGGTGGATAGGTCAGGAATAGCCTGTCTTCCTTCCTTCCATGTTTCCTTCCTTCCTTCCTTCCTTCCTTCCTTCCTTCCTTCCTTCCTTCCTTCCTTCCTTCCTTCCTTCCTTCCTTCCTTCCTATTAGTAAAACACATAATATTGCCTATTATGTTCCAGACCCTATGTTAGGAATACAAAAGGGTTACTTTTTTCCCTCTTCTCAAAGAACTCACTTTCTAGAGAAGGGAACAGTACATGAACAGATGATTGCAATACAATACAGGCATGCTCAGCATATGATAGTCACTTAAGACGATGCAATTAACTCTATTTGGAGAAGTTGAGGAAGTTTCCAGAGAGGTGAAATCTTAACTGAACCTTGAAGGCTAAACATTCTTTGAATTTGGCAAGGCAGGTGTGCACTTCAGATAGAAGGACTTGAATGTATGGGTCCGGGGAGTGATGAGTGCCACCTATGAATGGGACTTCGAGAAGTTCCATCCACATGGGGTTTTAGGGAAAAAGCAACAAAGATAAGACTGGTGATGAAGATTAGGGCCAAATAGTGAAATTTTTGTATACTAAGCAAATTGATCTTGAGTCTTGACCAGATCTGAATAGTTAAGGAAAAGTTCATTTAAAAAAAAACCTTGGCTGCACATTAGAATCACCTGGGAATCTTTTTAAAATCCTGATTTCTGGGCCTCATCCTCCAGAAATTCTGTTTCTTTGATATGGGGTGGGGCCACAACATTAGTAACAAAGAAACAGAATTTCCGGAGGATGAGGTCCAGAAATCAGGATTTTAAAAAGATTCCCAGGTGATTCTAATGTGCAGCCAAGGTTGAGAACCACTGTCTTAAAGGATATTCAAAAATCACACAGGTGTCCTGGCCGGTATTGCTCAGTGGTTGAGCATCGACCTATGAACCAGGAGGTCACTTTTCAATTCCCAGTGGGGGCACATGCCTGTGTTGCGGACTCGATCCCCAGTGGGGAGCATGCAGGAGGCAGCCGATCAATACTTCTCTCTTATCATTGATGTCTCTATCTCTCTCTCCCTCTCCCTTCCTCTATGAAATCAAGAAAAAAATATTTTTAAAACCGTATACAAGTGCTAAGGTGAAGGATAGAATATTCCAGATATTGGGAACAGGGGAAAAAGGGGAGGGGGACAGTAGGGCCAGATTGAATGCCAACTGAAAGACTTTGCTTGCTATGAAGCAAAGCAATAAAGACCAGATGCTTGGTTTATCGTGTGCCTCATCTCACCTGAAACCTGTAGAATCTAAAGATCCAAATGAAGGACTTCGAAGTCAGCGCCGAGCCCGTGCAGGACTGGCTGAGTAAAACCGAGAAGATGGTGCACGAAAGCAGCAACCGCCTGTACGACCTGCCGGCCAAGAGGAGGGAGCAGCAGAAGCTCCAGGTGACAACCCTGGGCCCCGCGGCCACGTCTCCATCCCCGTCCTGTGGGCATCCTCCCTGTCCTGTGTGCATCCCTGTGTCCAGGTGCCCGCGAGCCCCTGGAACTCCATGATGCTGTCTGAGATTGCGCGTCCCCTTTCCCTGTTTCTGGCAGATGGTGCGTTGCCCAGCTGTCCCTGGAGGTGGGTCTGTCTGTGTCTGCAGCCTATGCTGTGTCCAGCCCAGAAACGGTCACGCCTCCAGGGCACCCCTATTGCTCCCCAGTGTGTGTTGATGTCCGTGCTCTTGGGGCCAGAGCTCCCCCGTCGGCGATGTGCTGTCCCCCAGCCTCTTACTAGTAACTTGCTTGTGCTTTTCAGTCTGTCCTTGAGGAAATAAACTGCTACGCGCCTCAGCTCCACAGGCTAAAAGAGAAAGCGCAGCAGCTGTGGGAAGGACAAGCTGCCAGCAAGAGCTTTATGCACAGAGTGTCGCAGCTGTCTGCTCAGTATCTAGCGCTAAGCAATGTGACAAAGGTAATGCCCGCCATGTGCCGTGTGTGAGTGTGGGACAGGCCACCCATCTGGAGTCTCGAGGGGTGGGGGGTGGGGGGGTGGGCAGGGTGCAAGCCCAGTCAGGAGTAAGGCCTGTGAGTCTACGCCCAGCCTGGCAGTCCGAGTCTACTATTTGTGCTGCTTCACCTCAATGTGGTTGTCCAAACAGAGCAGGGAGGGTCCAAGATGTGGAGGGACTTCCCAGTCTCCATAGCGCACAGTGTATTCCCTTTCTACTGACTTGGCATGTTCGCTGGAGCTTTTTCGAAAACCCAGTGCATACACATGAGGCAACATTCAGTTTGGGGCCTAAGGGGAACTCGGATCAAATTACTTTAGAAAAACAAGAACTCAAGGCAGTTTACATTTTTGTAGACTAAATAAAATGGGTTGGGGATCCTTTTTTTAAGTTTGTCTAAATTTTTTATATTCATTACATAGTACTCAAGGATGTGTTGATTGAGGTTTTCAATTGGATCAACAGGGCAGAGCTCAAAACGGGCATTGATTTATTTAACTGATTACATTTCTTTTCTAACAGCCTAGAAAGGCATACAGGGGACCCCAGTATGATCTTGTTTAGAGCATCCAGCTGGCAGGACGCAGACCAGTCTTGAACTTGGTGGCGCAAGCCTACTCGAAGCTTTGTGTGCTTTGTGACATTTGTTCCCTGTATTTGTCTTTTGCATTTCAGGTCTTAGAATGTAGGGATCCTGCTGTAAGTTAGTGTTTTCTTTAATTTGGCTTCCCCCCATTTTAATGTGGACTCACTTCTGGTCTGCTAATTTAGATCCTCAATGAAACATCATTGACACGGTCACCCTAATATAGACTTGGAGTAAACAGACTATGCTTACACAAATGCTTTTCCTATGAATAAGTTACTCCTTTTGTCTTTAGAAAATCTGGCACACATCTAAAGTTAGAATTCATTAAGGACATCTTTCTATTCCTTTGTATTTATTTAGATACCAAATATCAATAGATGTTTGAATGTGTTGGATATGACTTGTCATTAATGAACAAAATCATATTTATGCCCCCAACTTTTAAAATTTCAATCTCAGATAGTTATTTTTTTAGAAATCTTGCTAACAATGTAGGTCATGTGGTATCAGCGGAGCCAAATGTGATTATATGAAAGCTAGAAACCGCTTTGATTGGTCTCCCAGATGAGGCAATAGGAAGAAATTGTACTGATTCTGTTTGAAAAAAAAATCACAATTGTCATCAAGAAGAATAGCAACTAAGTTTAGGGACAGTAAATTGTAATTTCTCTGCTTTTGACCCAATGATTCTCACATTTTTACTAGAAAGAGTTCACGCATCTCTCAGATTAATGCAGATTGGCATCATGTCCGTGCAGGGTATGAGCCTATGGCCGATTCTAGTTATTTGAACAAAATGGTTAGCTTGCCAGTTTGAGTAGCTTCAGGCTCTGAGGTCTCTGTGGAACGGACAGTGGGAAACCCATGTCTGCCGTTTCCAGGAGAAAGTGTCGAGACTGGATAGAATTGTTGCAGAACACAGTCAGTTCTCCCTCGGCGTGAAAGAGCTGCAAGACTGGATGACAGACGTGGTTCACATGCTGGAGTCTTACTGCCACCCCACCTCCGACAAGAGCGTGCTGGACAGCAGGATGCTGAAACTGGAGGTACGCATCTTTAGAAAATGTCTCTAATGGACAGGATTTGTTTTTCTCAAAATTTATTTTTTTATCCTCCCCCATAGGTATGTTCTATTGATTTTTAGAGAGAGAGAAGCATCAATGTGAGAGAGAAACATCAATCAGTTGCCTCCCGAAACCGGGGATTGAAACCACAACCTAGGTATGTGCCCTGACCAAGAATCAAACCTACAAATGTTTGGTGTATGGGATGATGTTCCAGCGAACTGAGCCATCCAGCCAGGACCTCAAAATGTCTTAAGTCTCCATCTGCCTGGTGTTGCTGTGTCACACTCCCGCCACGGGACCTCTCAGAAAGCTCTTTTCACACAGGGCGGGCTAGCCTCAGCCTTCCGGAATCATTAGGAACAGGTTCACACATAAATTCTTCACAAAATAAAATAACCCACATGTGGCTATTTGCTCGATAGCCAGTCAAGAGGCTAGTTTCAAATCACATCACGGACACATCTATTCTGAGAAAATATTTCAATGAACCATTTTATAGGGCAGGACATTTTTCATCTTGTTCAATTTACTTGCCTGCCTACATCATTTAGTCAACTCTCCCATTCCAACATATTAGTTCTATCTTCCATTTATGGCAAAACAATGATTCTTTATTCATTCTCCTCTCCTTCATATACTGGGTGCCTTCTAGGAGACTGTAACTCTGTCTTAATACCAATGATTCAAAAATGGAAAAAGTATCATCTTTGTCCTCAAGGCTTTCACTGTGGCTGAAGCACAGAGAGCAGTAACAGCAGAGAGGGTTATGGTTATAGGCACGGAGTGGAACCAGGCAGGAGGGATGGGAGCCAGAGCAGGTTTCTCAAGAAGTCGAAAACCTAAACTGGTACTTGAGAATGGTGCCACATGAGCAAAAGCCAGAGTAAACCAACAGCGTGGTGAGTGAGAAGAGCCAGCAGTCCCTTCATGATGGCAATGAGCGGCTGAGGCTGACTGTAGAGGTTGGCAGGTCCAGATTAGGGAGAGAGAAGCTTGCCTTTTAGGTGATAACACCAGTTTTGTAACTTTGATTCAAACTTTCTTGTTAAATAAAAAGATGAGCACCTTTGAAGAACTTGAAGTACGTAAATTGATAATATATAGAATAAATTATAGCCCTGGCTAATTTGGCTCAGTGGATAGAGCATCGGCCCGTGGACTCAAGGGTTAAGGGTTTGATTCTAGCCAAGGGCATGAACCTCGGTTGCAGGCTCAATCCCTGGTCCCAGTTGGGGCACATATAGAGGCAACCAATTGATATGTCTCTTTCACACCGATGTCTCTGCCTCTCCTCCTCCCTCCCACTCTCTCTAGAGACCAATGGAAAAATATCCTAGGGTAAGGATTAACAAAAGATAAATAAGTAAGTTACAGTTCTTTCTTTGTTGGGATAGAGGCCTTCACATTTATAAAGTTCTCCATCCTGTGGCTTTTGAGAATTCATGAATTCCTCTGTAGTCTATTGTTCTCTTAGCAAAAACCAGTAAAATAAAACATTGGTGGAAAGAAGGGATATTCAGAGAAGAGTTAAGAGCTGCAAATTCAAGGCCCCCTGGAGACCAGCAGGTGACAGGTGATTGCTTATTGCCAGTCACCAGCAGGTGACTCTCACATCCTTCACCTGATCAGCCTGAGAGGTCCAAGGCTCAACACAATTGCACATCATTCTACAGGAGCTCTAAATATATATATATATATATATATATATATATATATATATATATATATATATAAAATCTTTATTATTGAAAGTATTACATATGTTCCCTTTTTCCCCCATTGACCCCTTCAGCTCGCCCCCACCCCCTGCCCCAGGCCTTCACCACCCTATTGTCTGTATCCATGGGTTATGCATACATGCATATAAGGCCTTTGGTCGATTACCTCCCACCCACTCACCCTCCCGCACCTTCCCTCTGAGATTCCACACTCTGTTCCATGCTTCCATGTCACTGGAGCCACTCTGCTCATCAGTTAATTTTGTTACTTAGTTTTCACATATGAGTGAGATCATGTGATACTGGTCTTTCTCTGACTGACTTATTTCACTTAGCATGATACTCTCCAGATCCCTCCATGTTGTCTCAAAGAGTAAAAGATCCTTCTTTTTTACTGCTGCATAATATTCCATGGGATAAATGTACCACAGCTCTTTTATCCACTCATCTACTGATGGGCCCTTGGGCTGTTTCCAGATCTTAGCTATTGCAAATTGTGCTGCTATGAACATAGGGGTGCATACATTCTTTGTGATTGGCGCTTCGGGTTTCTTAGGATATATTCCTAGAAGTGGGATCACTAGCTCAAATGGCAGTTCCATATTTAATTTTTTGAGGAAACTCCATACTATTTTCCATAATGGCTGTTATGGAATCTGCATTCCCATCAGCAGTGCACTAGGATTCCCTTTGCTCCACATCCTCGCCAGCACTTGTCATTTATTGATTTGTTGATGGCAGTCATTCTAATAGGTGGGAGGTGATACCTCATTGTTGTTTTAATTTGCATCTCTCTGATGATCAGTGACCTTGAACATTTTTTCATATGTCTTTTGGCCACCTGTATGTCCACTTTGGAGAAGTGTCCATTTAGGTCCTTTGCCCATTTTTTTTTTTATTGTTTGTCTTCCTTTTGTCAAGTTGTATGAGTTCCTTATATATTTTGAATATTAACACTTTATCAGATGTATCTTTTCCAAATATGTTCTCCCATGCAGTGGGCTCCCTTTTCGTTTTGTTGATGGTTTCTTTTCCTGTGCAGAAGCTTTTTATTTTGATGTCGTCCCATTTGTTTATTTTCTCCTTAGTTTCCTTTGCCCTAGGAGTTGTGTCTGTAAACATATTGCTACGAGAGATGTCTCAGATTTTGCTGCCTATGGTTTCTTTTAGGAACTTTATAGTTTCACGACTTACATTTAAGTCTCTTATCCATTTTTTTATTTATTCCTGGGTATGGTGTAAGTAGGTAGTCTATTTCAATTTTTTTGCATGTATCTGTCCAATTTCCCAAAACCACTTATTGAAGAGACTGTCTTGACTCCATTGCATCCTCTTGCCTCCTTTGCCAAATATTTATTGAGTGTAATGGCTTGGGTCGATTTCTGGGGTCTCTGTTCTGTTCCATTGATCTATCTGCCTGTTCTTATGCCAGTACCAGGCTGTTTTGATTACAGTGACTTTGTAGTATAACTTGATATCTGGCATTGTGATTACTCCAACTTTGTTCTTCTTTCTCAAGATTGCTATAGCTATTCAGAATCTTTTTTAGTTCCATATAAATTTTGGGTGTATTTGTTATAGATCTGTGAAATATGCTAGTAGTATTTCAATACAGATTGCATTGAATCTGTAGATTGCTTTGGGTAGTATGGACATTTTAATGATGTTAATTCTACCAATTCATAAATACAGTATATTCTTCCACTTGTTTATATCTTTCTCTGTCTCTTTTTTCAATGTCCTGTAGTTTTTGGAGTACAAATCTTTTACCTCCTTGGTTAAGTTTATTCCAAAGTATCCTAATTTTTTGTTGTTGTTGCAATGGTAAATGGGATTGTTTGTTTAGTTTTTCTTACTGAGAATTCATTATTGGTGTATAAAAAAGCCATTGATTTTTGGGTGTTTATTTTGTATCCTGCTACATGGCCAAATTCATTTATTAAATCTAGTAGTTTTTTTTGGTGGAGTCTTTAATGTTTTCTGTGTACAATATCATATCATCTGAGAATAATAAAACTTTTACTTCCTTCTTTCCAATTTGGACATCTTTTATTTCTTCTTGTCTGATTGCTGTGGCTAGGACTTCCAGTACTATGTTGAATAAGAGTGGTGATAGCAGATATCTCTTAAAAGAATGAGAATAACAGTTAACCTCCAGGACTGTGGGGCAAGGTGTTTTCCAATAGGGTGGGTCAACTGTCTTCCCCCCAGGCAAAACTGCCTGGATAGCAAATGTCTGTGTGAGAAAGCTGACCTCAGCAGCATATGGGAATGACTCAGTACAGGAAACCAGGGTGTCTGCCTTATGAGCTCTAACCCCAGAGCCCCCAACTCTGCCTTCTGCTCACACAGCTCCAGTCCACTCTGTCCTCCCTCTGCTGGAGCACAAGGTGAATGGCTGCACATGGAATTTTGTGCATTGGCCTCTTAAGAGGGTGCCTGCATTCCCAGCCACCTTTCCCTGACAGACAGCAACCATGCTGCTTTTCACAGCCAGATGTTTTGTGGTCATTTTTCTCAGTTCTGGTGCTCTATACTGGGGGGCCAAGCTTAGGGATTAGACCCCAGAGTTCTCATTGGCAACCCCCCACAGCTGAGGTATCTCTCCGGAACTTCAGCTGCTGTCTGGGGGAGCCCATCCAGCCCTTTCCCACCTCTGTGCTTCCTACCAGTCCCTATGTGGTCTCCACTTTCCATCCTTGGTTATCAGGGTTCTCTTCCTGATAGTCTTCGGTTGATTATTCAGGATTTTTTTTTATATTTTAGTTGTAATTCTAGTTTGGTCCTGGGAGCGTGTCTGTGGAGCATCCACTTACTCCACCGCCATGTTGAATCTCTATCTCTGAACTATCTAAGGCCAGAAATGTTGAAGATGCCAATAATCAATGACTTCCATGTTTGCTTTTACAGTCTCTATTATCGGTGAAACAGGAAAAGGAGATCCAGATGAAAATGATCGTGACCAGAGGGGAATCCGTCCTGCAGAGCACGGCTCCGGAAGGCATCCCCGCTCTCCAGCAGCAGCTGCAGAGCGTGAAGGATGTGTGGGCGTCCCTTTTGTCTGCGGCCATCCGTTGCAAAAGGTAAGAGAAACTGAAGCTCACTACTGCAAAGCCGTTGCTGAAAGATCAGTGTCATCACTTACTAGTAGTAGCACTGTGTTCCTGGGGCAGGCTCGCTCTCTCCCTCCCTCTCTCCCTCCCTTCCTCTCTTCCTTCCTCCATCCCTCCCTCCTTCCCTTTTCTTTTCCCTTATTAGAACAAAAGAAACTGGCAGGTACAATCTTGCATTTAGGTCATTTGCAATACTGTGCCTTGTGTACTATAACTGCATGTTTAGCTTATTGTTGTCACTGCTTAAGAAGGCAAAGGTAGATAAATGTTTCATCATGTAAAGATATGTTAGTTAAAATCCAGTAGTTTCCTTGGGAGATCAGCCAGCAGGGGGTGGGAAAGAGATGAGGAAGGACAGGCAGCCAAAAAGGGGCGTGTGGGCAGCTGGAACTGAATCCTGCCCAGCAGTGCTGGGAGCCAGAGAGAACATGTGTCTCAGAGTTGCCCCGCCCAGGAACAGGGCAGCTGGAGAGTTTGTAAATAAACTCCCAGGAGTCAGGAGGGCAGTTGAAGGCAGCAGGGACAACAATCCCTGGCCTCTCTTACTTATATAGCCCTGAAGCTGAGAGGCCACAGGGACCAGAGTGTGCCCTCTGGCCCAGAGGGCATGGAGCAGGCGATGAGGAGTCTATGGTCAGTGTGCTGCAGTGGGGTGGCCCGGGGTACACCTGGGTTCACTACAAAGCACTCAAAGCAGAGCAGTAAAATGAGCACAAATGATCAAGGGAGTTAAAAATATAATCCCCATATTGAGAGAAGGAAGTACTTCATATATATGAAAGAGAAACAATTAGGTTGTAATAATTAGATTAATTCAGGCAATGTTCCCCTACTTTCCCACTGTAATTCTCTGATTTTAAATCTCATCTTAGATAGTTGCCATGCTTGTTCTTGCTCGGTTCTTCCTTCTTTTGTTAATTCCTTTTCCCTCTCCCCTGAACATCCTGCTCACATTGGTGAAGTTAAGTATTGGTTCTCTGTCTGCCCAGAGTCTTGCTTGGCTCCATAAAAGTCTCACTCAGGGGATCTCTCCCTGCTGTGCCCTAAAGGTGCTCCCAGCATCTCCTGGGATCGGAGTACTGACTCCAGGTTTGATATCCAGCCCCACTTTCTGCCTGGGGTCCTGAACTTCACTGTCCTGGCCTCCTGAAACTATGTTTGCCAGGTATCCAGCTTTGATAAGCCGGCCCAAGCCTACCCCTTTCTGATCGCCCTGTGCACTTTCTGCGGGTGGGGTGGCCAGGGAAGACACCACCCCAGCTTCTCTGTACAGACGGTTGTCCTTCCACATCCCTTTCAGTCAACTGGAGGGAGCTCTCTCTAAGTGGACAAGTTACCAGGATGACGTCCGGCAGTTTTCCGGTTGGATGGACAGTGTGGAAGCCAGCTTGAACGAATTGGAAAGGCCGTGCGCAGAACTGCGGGAAAAGACAGCTGCTCTCGGGAAAGCCAAGGTGGGCGTGGGATTTATCATTCCAGGTGTTCTCTGGGGGGCTTCCTCAGAATGCCTCCGTTGTGCAAACATGGGATGGCTTGGATGATAAGATCGGGCTTTACACAGAAGGACATTATTTGGGGCTTCTGCCATCATTTCACATGGCTTCTGAAGCTAGACTTTTGTTTGTGGGTGAAAAGTTTCTCTTCCAGGAAAATCTTGATGACCCGTGTTTTATGATACAGATTATTTAAAATTTGGCAACTTGTAATATCTTTAGCTTACTCATTATTAGGAAACAAAATGCTTTCTTCTTACCACTTTTGTAGTTCTACTTTTGTGTACTTTTCATAATGCTCATATTAGTACAGTACTACTGTAAAAATTTTTAAATAGATAGGTACATAGATAAATATTGGGTATGTTCCTAAATCTTTTTTCTAGATAGTAGTATTCCAACAATCACACACACACACACACAAAAATATAGGGATGGATAGATCCATCTATCTTATCTATCTATCTATCTATCTATCTATCTATCTATCTATCTACAAATAGATAATATGACATCACTTGTCAACTATACAGTTAGATATCTTAATATTACCCAACTGGCATAGTTCAATGGTTGAGCATCGACCTTTGAACCTAAAGGTCACAGTTTGATTTCCAGTTAGGATACATGCCCAGGTTCTGAGCTCGATCTCCAGAGGGGGGCATGCAAGAGGCAGCCATTCAGTGACTCTCATCATTGATAATTCCATCTTTCTCTTCCTCATCCTTCCTCTCTAATATCAATAAAAAAATATATTTTAAAGTATATTAATATCAGTACCACTGATATGATGGTATATGTGGTAACTCCTTTATTATGTTTTAAATATTCTCTAGTTATTAAATGAAGAAATACTGAGTCACAGCAGCTTACTGGAAACCATTGAAGTCAAAGGAGCTGGCATGACGGAGCACTATGTCACCCAGTTAGAGCTCCAGGATCTGCAGGAACGGTACAGAGCCATCAAGGAGAGAGCCAAGGTACGGCTAACCTGTTCCATGTAGCCTCACTCACTGGAGTAGGACTGTTTTGGAGCTGTGCTTACTTACAGACTCATTTACTTTTGAAAATGATGGATTTGTGGAAGCAGATAGAAGAAAATTATATAGCAGATAGCAAAATAAACTTTAATACTTTATTATTTTTTTAAATATATTTTATTGATTTTTTACAGAGAAGAAGGGAGAGGGATAGAGAGTTAGAAACATTGATGAGGGAGATCGGTCAGCTGCCTCCTGCACACCCCACAGTGGGGATGTGCCCACAACCAAGGTACATGCCCTTGACCGGAATCGAACCCAGGACCCTTCAGTCCGCAGGCCAACGCTCTATCCACTGAGCCAAACCGGTTCGGCAACTTTAATACTTTAAATAAACCACTGGAAAGAAACAAAAAAGAAACTATCAAAGTTACTGAAAGAAAATGTTTCTCAAATAAGAATTCCTAGATATTTACCAATTTAAGAAAAATTTCAGCCTGGTCAGCATGACTCAGTGATTGAGTGTTGATTTATGAACCAGGAGGTCCTGGTTCGATTCCTGGTCAGGGCACATGCCTGAGTTTCAGGCTTGATCCCCATTAGGGAGCATGCAGGAGGCAGCCTATCAATGATTTTCTGTCATCACTGATGTTTCTATTTCTCTCCCTCTCCCTTACTCTCTGAAATCAATAAAAATATATTTTTTTAGAAAAGAAAAATTTTTAACAGCATTATAATAAAGATTTATAAATGCCTTAGTGTGGCTGGTACTGAGAGTTTTCTAAAGCAGGGAATCTGCATCAATAATATTGTTCTTCATTTAGGCCTCACACATAAAATAAAAGTAACTTTCACAGCACATCTTACTTTATTAGATAAAGTACATGGGAAAATCAGTCCACAGTGAGTTCAAATTCTTACTTAAAATAATAAATAAGAATTTCAGCCCTAACCAGTTTGGCTCAGTGCATAGAGCATCGGCCTGCGGACTGAAGGGTCCCAGGTTTGATTCCTGTCAAAGGCATGTACCTTAGTTGCAGGCACATCCCCAGTAGAGGGTGTGCAGGAGGCAGCTGATCAATGTTTCTCTCTCATCAATGTTTCTAACTCTCTATCCCTCTCCCCTCCTCTCTTTAAAAAGTCAATAAAATATATTTTTTTTAAAAAAAGAATTTCAGTTTTCTTCATAAGCAAAAGTGTATATTTTTTTAATATTTTTATTGATTTCAGAGAGGAAGCAAGAGTGAGAGAGAGATCAAAACATCAATGATGAGAGAGATTTACTGATAGGCTGCCTCCTGCATGCCCCCCACTCAAGATCGAACCTGCCACCCGGGCATGTGCTCTTGACTAGAATCGAACTCGGGACCCTTCAGTCCACAGGCTGGCGCTCTATCTGCTGAGCCAAACCAGCTTGGTGCAAAAATATTTTTATGACAAGTAAAGTTAATTCATTTTTTTGGCATGTTGATGCTATCCTTCATAAGGAGTTCAGAGATCAGGAAGTTAACAAAATGATCTTTAAAACTTCTTTTTAATCCTAATATTATTTTTAAATATTTTAATATAAATGTTGAAACTTCATTCTTCTAGAAAACCATATTCCAATGATCTAATAATCATGATTTTCTAAAATTCCAACAGAGGATTCTTACAGTCCATTGAAACTGCATGTAGTATGTATTGTATTCCCATCTTACTCATGTTAAATGCTAATGATAGGAAGCAGTAACGAAGTCTGAAAAACTAGTTCGCCTGCACCAAGAGTATCAGAGAGACCTAAAGGCATTTGAAATTTGGCTGGAGCAAGAACAAGAAAAGCTGGAACGATACTCACTTCTTGAAGGTGATACCCATACTCATGAAACCACATTGCGGGATCTTCAGGTAAGGTTTGTTATATCTTAAAACAAATCACTTTCATTCTGAATCTGGAATTATTCTTTTAAGCAATGAGAAGTTGACATGACCTTGAATCCTATACATAGCTGATACATATTAAATGACACTCTAGTAAAGTCTGATCTAGAATATTCTGGGACCTCAGTAGTATATGCTAGTTGATATCATGTAGCAGGTGATTTAAACCCAGCAAGACTGGGGCTGGAGGAATTTGTTCAGCTGTGATGGTGGCCCCTGGCAGGGATGGCTAGTGGTCTAACTTATAGAGTTGACTAGCCCACCTGCCCGTTGTGTCTTAAAAGATTCATTTAGATATGGTACGCTTCATCTGGAGCCAATAGAATGTGATACTTTTTAAAGTCAAAGTGGTGGCACCATCTGGTTTCAACCAATATCTCCATCACTGAGGATTTAGGTTCAAGGTCAGAGTCCCAGAAGAAGAAATTAGAGGAGCTAGAAAAAGTGCTGGTGCCCAGGCAACAGGCTGTGATTCAGGGCGAGATGGCAAACCTAGTGGGAAAGTGGTCCTAACCACTTCACTTATTTACCATCAGCATTGATTGACTGTCTAATACAGTACCGACACTTGGCTGGCTACTGCGGGTAAAAATTATTAAAATATTATTGCTGCCTTCAAGGCACTATAATCTAGTGAGAAATGCAGACTCATTGGTAGGTCATTATAAACAACATGATAAGGGCCGTAATGAAGTCAAGCAAGGAATCCCCGGGGAGCATCAGAGAGGCCTTTAATCTTACCCAGAGAGATAGGGAGGGGTTGGGAGGTGTCTCAAGAAGGGGCCGCTAAGCATACACAGTGGAGAATGAGGAAAGACCAATGAGACAACTCCATATCCTGTCCTCTTTGTGTTGGAACTTACTGGCATGCTGCCAGCCCTCATAAGATTGGTTCAGGATTGGGCAAGATGTGCCTACAGCTTGTACAGGTAGAAAAGGCAGGGACTGAGATGGCTATTACTGGCATTTAAAATTCCTGGCTATTTTGCCCGGCTGCCATGGCTCAGTGGTTGAGCGTTGACCTGTGAACCAGGAGGTCACAGTTTGATTCCCGGTCAGGGCCAGGTGCCCGGGTTGCAGGCTCTGTTTCTGGTGTGGGGCATGCAGGAGCCAGGCAATCAATGGTTCTCTCTCTAGCCATTGATGTTTCTCTCTCTCTCCCTCTCCCTTTCTCTGAATTCAATAAAAATATTTTTTAAAAATTAGTTAATTAATTTAATTTAATTCCTGGCTATTTCAAGAGGTCTCAGGGAGTGTCGTAGGAACACAAGGTTGGGATTAGGAAGTTTGGACTCTTATCCTTGGTGAGACTTGACAGAGTGACTTTGGCAAGAGGAAACTTCTTTGACTCAGTTTTTTCCACAGAGTTGTTACGTGAGATAGGGGGGAAATACTTAAATGGTGTTTCATTCCTGAAATAATGTCTAGTAGAAGCCATAGTTTCATTCATTTATTTAAGGATCTCATCCATTCTGTTTTAAAGTAGCAGGATAGTGAGTCTGCCAGGTTTAGCTGGCGTAATTTATTTTAGGAGAGCTGACCGTGTTTTTGCTGAATAACCCCTCTCTGCACTTCTCTCCAGACACTTGGCAAAAGCAAATGCTGAGCTCTCTAGGCTTCTGTATGGGAACTGGGCCAATAAGTTCCTTCTCACCAGCAGATGTTTCTCTTGTTCCGGTCGGAAGGAAATGCTTCCCTTCGGTCAATAATAATGTGGCCCAACCCCAACTCCCACCGCTCGGTTCGCCATGCATTGATTCTTACATTGTCTTATTTTGAGTCATCACAAATGTTCAAAAGGGGGGAAGGTGATAGTGGCAGAAAAAGGTGGTGGAGGATTGTGATGTTCAGACTGTCCAGCAGACCGTCTTCAGGATCTTCATGTCCCACAACCTGCCCCGTGGTGTGGGCTCAGCCAGCAGTGTGGAGCAAGTTCACAAACTTTTGTATAAGCCAAAGGCCGTTAGAACATACAGACTTTTAAACTATTGGACCATATTTTTCCCCTCAGAATGAAGACTTAACATATGGGACATATAAGAATTTATATAACGCAGTGATGATTTGTATAATAGCAAAAACAGCTATAACATATGGAATGAGTGATATGTTGGGAAGATTAATAACTTAAGGCAAGGATGCATAAACGACAGCCCAGAGCCACTTGTCTGTATTTAAAATAAAGTTTTACTGGAACACAGCCACACCCATTCATTTATGTACCATCTGTTGCTACTTCCAAGCTACGATGGCAAAGACTGTATGGCCCAATAAAGCCTAAAATATTTACTATCCAGCCCTTTACTGAGAAAGCTTGCCAACTCCTGAATTAAAGAGGGAGATTGAAAGTACAAAATTAACTTTTAAAAGATTTTGAGAACTTTGGAATAAAATGTCTGTGTTTGTGACTGTTTTAATATTTCACCATATTGTTTTCTTCCATCTATGTGTTCACATTATGACATTCTTGAAGTGAGATCTTAGCTAAAGAAAAATTTATCCATTTGTTTATACCAAATGAGAGTGCTATTTTTTAATGTAAAAATAGTCAGATATCAGCAATTTTAAATGGTTTGAACTGATATGAAATACTAGAGGCCCGGTGCATGAAATTTGTGCACTGGTGCGGGGGTTGGGGGTGTCCCTCAGCCCAGCCTGCACCCTCTCCAATCTGGGAGCCCTCGGGGGATGTCCGACTGCCGGTTTAGGCCCAATCCCACAGGATATCAGAAATTTCAAATGGTTTGAACTGATATGAAATATTTTTGTAATACTGTATTTTAACTAAATATGTGGATACTTTTAACACACGTGGTGAGTTTTGACGTGGCTCCTTTCAGCTTTAGTTGATCAGATCAAGTATCTGTGTTGATTCTTGAAACATAAGAAATACAAGTATATAATATTGTCTTGCCAATATCTTTTAAAATATTAGATTTTCTTTCTATAAAGTATAGTTTATGCTCTTCAGGAGTTGGTTCATACTGAACTTCTGCTTTGGTGGAGGAAAATGTATTTGCACCTGGAGCACTCCATTGGCAGGTGTGACCATTCTAACCTCCCAGATTTGCACGCCCTGTTACCCTCTGGGCCAACTTTTCTTGGCCGACACACTCCCTAGAGCTCAGCTTTGGCAAAGTGTCTCTTCTCAGGAAAAAGAAGGCCCATTGTTCCTGTCTCAACCAGAACTGATTTCATTCAATATCAAAGCAAGAGGCCTACGGCTCTTTAAACAGATTATGAGCCATAAACAGCCTAGGTTCTTCTTTTAAACAATAGCCCTTTAATCACAAGTGTTTTTGCTTAAAAGCTGAAAAGTCAAATTGCAGAAACTCTTTCTAAGATGATTGAGATAAATATTTCTAGTGTGTGTGTGTGTGTGTGTGTGTGTGTGTGTGTGTGTGTGTTTTGATTATTTTAACAGGAGATATTTGCAAATCTTTCTCCGGACTTGGGGAATAATATTTAGTGTTGGGTACATGCTGTTTTATATAAGACAGAATAAAATCGCTCTTTTCTCAAGTGAAGTTCCAGGTGGCACGGTTGGCTCGGGTGAGCCGCGATAGGCTGTGCAGGTGTGCCATGTGAATGCCTCTCCCCTGCAGGAGCTGCAGGTGCACTGCGCCGAGGGGCAGGCGCTGCTGAACTCGGTGCTGCACACCCGAGAGGAAGTGATCCCCTCGGGCCTCCCCCAGACGGAGGACCGGGCGCTGGAATCTCTCCGGCAGGAGTGGCAGGCTCACCAGCAGAGGCTGTCCGAGACCCGGACGCAGTTCAACAATGTCGTCAACAAGCTGAGGCTGATGGAACAGAAGTTCCAGCAGGTGGACGGGTGGCTGAGAGCCCTGGAGGAGAAAGTGAGTCTCAGGGCTGGTCGTCAGTCCAACCGGGCAGCCAAGGAGGCGCAGTTACATCAGATGAAGGTAAGTGAGCTCAGGCTCCTGATCTGACTCGAAGTAGCAGTTGCTTTGCAGAGCGGGTTTCATTAAAGATATGTAGTCACTTCTTTTCCGTCCCAGGTTTAGATTTTGCAAAATCTTCTGCTTGAAAAGAAAGTTAATGTAAATTACAGTGGGGCATTCTAACACCAATTATGAGTAGAGTCCTAAATGAGTCTTTAACGAAATATAACTTAATGAAATATTTTATATCTGCTCCTCATGCCCTATTACCTTGCTTTGTAAAGACATATAAATGCTAGTATTGCAATCCATTTAACTTTATGGTTCTGATATGAAATTATTCCAATATAGTGCATTGAAATAATACTTGGTATTTAGTTTTATTCTGATTTTTATGCAAATCTGGTGCACATGATCAAAATAATGCTTAGGCCTTCAAGATATTTTTTATTATTCATCTATTTTAAAATGTGTCCAAGTACAACAGAAGATATAAAAATGTATGCCACTCTGCTTTAACAATTTTGAGTGGAAGTGTAATATGTACAGAGAAGTACTTAAACTCAGAGTATAGCTTTTATCATGTTATTATATTTTTCATGAAAGTTATATATGACACATTCTCAAAATTACATCTCAGAATAAATATATCCTAAACATATAGTGGAATCATTCCCGATTAATACAGTTGTATCTATGTACAATTTTATATATTTCTTGAACTGAAGTGTAATACATACAGAAAAGTGCCTAAGTCAAGAGTGTGTAGTTTTTATCACATTGTTGTAGTACACTTTTCTTATGAAGGTTAAGTACATATTTTCAAAATTATATCTCAGAATAAATATATTCTAAATGTACACTGGAATCATTTCCTATTAAGAAGGTACCTATATTTGTCTTCCTCAACAATGCTTACTAAGATTAAACCTTTCCCTGCAATATTGACGTCATTTCAGAAGTGGCACGAGGAGATCACCACCTACAGAGACGAAGTGGAGGACGTGGGAGCCAGAGCCCAGGAGATCCTGGATGAGCGCCGTGTGAGCAGCCGGCTGGGCTGCCAGGCCACCCAGCTGACGTCCAGATACCAGGCCCTTCTTCTCCAAGTGCTGGTGAGAGAGCAGGAGCAGGCCGCCCGCTGCTGGGTGTCGGCCAGCACGCTCCGCAGGCCGAAGCGTTCCTCCTTCCACTCCCTACCTTCCGGGGAAGACGCATGCGTATCACGAAGGGCACTGGCATGGATCTTGAACTCACAGTTCCATTTTGTTTCTTCTTTTCAAAGGAACAAATAAAATTCCTGGAGGAAGAGATCCAGAGTTTGGAGGAAGCCGAGTCGTCTCTAAGCTCCTATTCTCATTGGTACAGCTCTACTCATAAAAACTTCAAGAATGTGGCTGCCAAAATTGATAAAGTAGATAAGGCGATGATGGGGAAAAAGATGAAGACGCTGGAGGTAGGCATGGCAACGTCAGCCTTGTCTCCCAACCTGTCTTCTTTCACTGAGCTGCTCCATTCTCTCCTGTGGCTGTTGGGAGACACGTGCTTATCCCTGCCCGGGGTGATGGGTGGCTCTTGGCTCGTTTCACTTAAGTACTGTGTTCTTATCTCTTCAAGGCCCAAAGCAGACTTTCATCTATTGGTGATGTGATCTCACCTGAATGACTTGGACATGGCTGCTCACGAAATTCTTAACTAAATTCCAGTCTAACACTTCAAAAATTTAAGACCAGAAATTTATCTCAAATTGATGGCACCATGCGTTAACAGCTTTAACTCAGATCTTTAGGATTATTACTAAGGATAAGATAAACATCCAGTCCTATCTCAAAGCACTGATTTGGAAATGATCTATTGATTAAGACATTTTAAAACCTATATTGATGTAAAGAAAAGAGGATTCCTGATTCCTGGCATGTCAAAACTGGTTAGAAACTCCAAACACTTTTCTAAGGGGCAATAGTGGACTCGAGAATGGGGTTTGTACACCTTTTCTTTAAAAGGAATGAAATAAGGTTAAAATGTCCATGTTACAATGAAATTCAAGTCGCTTTTCCTTGTATTAACCCCATATTTGTTTCCTCCCCTCTCTTTCTTTCTCTCTCTCTCTCTCTCTCTCTCTCTCTCTCTCTCTCTCTCTCAGGGCCTGCTAAAAGACATGGAGAAAGGCCACAGTTTGCTGAAGTCGGCCCGGGAGAAAGGAGAGAGGGCTCTGGCATACCTGGAGGACAGCGAGGCAGACGCTTTAAGAAGCAAGATCCATGGTCACGTGGAGCAATTGAACGAGCTGACCAGCACTGTTCGGAAGGAGCACATGACCCTGGAGAAAGGCCTTCATTTAGCAAAGGAATTCTCGGATAAATATAAAGCACTTACTCAGTGGATCGCCGAATACCAAGAAATCCTGCACGTTCCTGAGGAGCCCAAAATGGAATTATATGAGAAAAAGGCTCAGTTATCTAAGTACAAGGTAGTGTGTTGTTACTCACTGACAGTTGCAGGAGTTGCCTATGGGGACTGAGTGGGTGGGAGAAGATTCCTGTGTGTCCCGTAGTGGGAGGTGGAAAACATCTGTAACATGTCTGTTCTACTGGGGGAGAGTGATGTAGATTTTTGTGGCCAGATACACTACACAAGAGTTCTATTTCCATCCGGGAACCACATTTGCCTCATAGTCAAAGGTTGTATCAATAAGTAGAAAGTTATTCTCACAGTGTGATCCAGGTAGAGGGATCCTCCAGATAAATCTTCCTGGAGTCAAGATCTCACCGTGTAGATTTCATCTGTTTCATGTAGAGTCTTCCCTTCATCTTTGGGTACCCAAGGCCAATAAGCTAGTCTCCTGTTAATTAAAAACGTGATAACCATATTTGTAAGAAAACAAGTTCTACTTCATCCACTCTAGCTAGACATCTTAGCAATTAATCTTTCAAAGAACAAATGGAAAAAAAAAAAGAAGTGGTGGTATGAATATAGCTAGCTAAATAGAATATAGAGATAGTTCACCTATTTTAATTTTTGAAACAATTATGGAAGTCTATATGTGGAATAATTTATGTTCTAAATTTGACCTGAATATTTAAAGCAGTGGTTCTCAACCTTGGCTGCACATTAGAATCACCTGGGAATCTTTAAAATCCTGATTTCTGGGCCCCATCCTTGGAAATTCTGTTTCTTTGTTATGGGGTGGGGCCACAACATTAGTAACAAAGAAACAGAATTTCTGGAGGATGAGGCCCAGAAATCAGGATTTTAAAAAGATTCCCAGGTGATTCTAATGTGAAGCCAAGGTTGAGAACCACTGATTTAAAGGACAGTCTTTAAGAATTGTCAGATGACTCACCTCAAAGGTTTCCCTGCCCAGCTTTGTCCTCCTCTGGCCAATATGTCTATTCTCATCCTTGGCTTTTCTACTGAGTCTGACAGCGTGTCATTGAACCACTGAGTTCTCAGTAAGTTTAAATAGTGCTGTGAGCCAGGACAGCATTCTGGCAGCTAGAATTTGTCTCCCTAATTTTACATGCACCTCAAGCTGCAGTTAATGTCAGGAACTCAAAATAAAAAGATAGTGCCTGGTTCTGTGTTGAGTTTTATTCTCTGCTGAAAGGAATGGGATGGAAGCTGGAAATAAAGATAATGTTAAATTTCATCAAATGCAACTCTTTCCCATGCTTCCCTCTCCACACTATTTGATGTTATTCTTTGTTTAAAAACTATTTTAGGCCCTGGCCAGGTAACTCAGTTGGTTAGAGAATCCATTGAAGCTTACAGATTCGATCCCAGGTCAGGGCACTTATAAGAAGCAATCAATGAATGCAGAAATAAGTGGAGCAACAAATTGACGTTTCTCTCTCTCTTTCTCTCTCTCAAATCAGTATATAAAAATTAAAAGCTATATTAGCCATAAAGAAACCTATTTCCTTTCATGTCTTACATTCATAGACTTATAAAATAGGTCTTGATTAGAGATCATCTCACACGTGGCATACGGCTATGTTCACCTTGATCACACAGATGAGCTGGTTCTCTCTTTTTTCTTTGTAATTCAAGTCACTTCAACAGACAGTGCTGTCCCATGAATCATCGGTGAAATCAGTGAGAGAGAAAGGTGATGCTCTTCTGGACCTGGTGCAGGACGGTGCTTTGAAGGATAAGATCGCTAAGCTTCAAAGTGACTATCAGGCCCTCTGCAGCGCGGGAAAGGTAAGGAGGTAGCAGAAATCCAATACGAACGTGTTCACTTGCCAGAAGGGGGGTCCTGACTCCTTTTTCTCTGTCAGAAAAAATTTAAGGGCTTCGACGGGTCAGGATCTTTTCTTTTATTCGATGGCATAATGACTTTTTCTGTTTTATCTGATCCTACTGGTGAGACTAGAGCTAGCTATATGAGCCTTCCACCCTATGAGTTGCACTGGGTTTTTCAAAATATAAAACAGTTTTGAGTGTTTTTTTTGTTTTGTTTTGTTTTTGGCTTGAAAGTCAACTCTATTGGGCACTTGGCTTCACAGGACCATGTTCACAGTCTTGAGGTGAAGGTCAAAGACCATGAAGACTACAACAGTGAGCTCCAGGAGGTGGAAAAGTGGCTGCTGCAGATGTCCGGCAGGCTGGTGGCCCCTGACCTCATGGACACAAGCAGCCTAGAGACAATCACCCAGCAACTGGCCCACCACAAGGTATGTCTAGTCTCTAAAGAGCTGAAGAATACAGGACAGCTTCTACAGCCTTGCCCGTGTGTGTGTGTGTGCGCAAGCATTTCAGGATTATATGATTATAGTTAAAGAATCAGGTCTGAGTTCCAAGAACCTCTGATAATTGAGAACAGTTGAATTCAATATTTAATTGACTCGGTAGTAGCTGAATCCTGGCATTCAACTCTGAACACACTAGCATTTTTTCCCAGCTAATAGTTTCCTATTGCAGAATTTCATCTATATGGAATAATTTTTCAGAAAGATGGTCTTTAATTTAGAAAAGTACAGCCAATGATAGGATACAGAAAGAGTAACCAGAAAGTCTGGCCTCCAGCCAGACTCTCCTCAGCTGGGAGAACTTAGCCTCTCTGAGCCTCCTCCTCCTCTTCCCCTTTTTACTGAAGTTATTGGGGTGACACTGGTTAACAAAGTTGTACAGGTACCAGGTACACACTTCTGAGTCTTCTCCTTCTCCTCTGTAAAGGGCGATAGTGATACCAGCCCCATCACATAGCTGTTGAGGGCATCACAGGAGATAATGTCTGTGAAAACTTTTGTAAATCACAAGTGGTACTGATAGGAGGCATTCTTATTTTCATTCACATGCATTTTTAGTAATTCCACCTGCCAGATGACAGATGTCATAGGGTCGCAATTTATGGAGCAACTTGCTGACCTTAATAAGAAACTGAATTTTAGTCATGATGTGTCAAAGAAAGCCATTAATGCCTATGGGCTTCAGGATCGCTTTCTGTAGGAGAACAGTAAATATGGATAGAAAACTAATCATATGATATATTCTATTAGGCACTGAGAACACACCCCGAATAACCTCATGATGTAGTGACTCTCCTCTAACTTGAAGACACAATGGCTCGTTAAAATATGGTGTAGACAATAACCATTAACGCAGCAACATTGGATGAAGTGATGGACCCCAGGCTGCTGAGGGGACCACTAGGTTTCCCTTAGAGATATTGATGTGTCAACCCCGGGCACCTGGTGCTGGAATGTGTAACTTGTTATTGGTACCATATAGCAGTGAGGAAATTAAACCCTGATTGGAAAAGCTGGTTTCTCTTCTCCAAGTGATCCATGAGAAAGCTCACTAGAGAACACATGGGGATAGAGGTGGACGAGCTGGGGTCAGGCAGAGTGGTCCCCAAGCCTGGGGCTCTGCCATTCACTAGTTGTGTGACCTTGAGTGCGTTATATAATCTCCCTGTGCGTCAGTCTCCACATCTGAAAAGTAATGACAATAATACACACTTCTCAGGATTTCGACATAGTTCCTGGACTATAGCAAGTACTTAATAAGTGGTAAGTGGTAAATGTTATTTTCATTAATATAAATATTATGTTATGTAAACTAGATATTATGTAAATTAATCATTAGCTGTTAGATTATTATATAAATCAGATGTCATATTATTAGAGAAATTGGATATTAGTAAATTAAATAGTAATTAGATTATTTTAGGAAGAAATTATACCAGAATTATAATTTATAGAGCTGAAAAATTTATAAACATCCTTTATCTGTTAATAATACTAGGGAGCAGATATCTCTCTAGCTGAGATCAGCCATGAACTAGCTGAAAGGTTACTTCATCATCACTTAATCTATTATTTTTGCCAACTCTTCCTATCGAAGGATTCCTGAAACGTATTTTTTTTTTTTCATTTGCTATATGGTAACCAAGGTAAATTGCAAACTCTTTCAAAAATATCATTAAACAGTGAAATTTTCCTCTTAGGCCTTCTGCTTAGTAAACAGGTTATTTAAAGACTAACAGTGGAATTGCAAGAACCCTGTTCCTATTTTGTAGGCAATGATGGAAGAAATTGCCGGCTTTGAGGACCGTCTGAACAACCTGAAAGCTAAAGGCGACACTTTGATCAGCCAGTGTGCAGAGCACCTCCAAGCGAAACTTTCACAACACGTGCAGGCGCATCTGCAGGGCACGAGGGACAGCTACTCCGCCATCTGCAGCACCGCCCAGCGGGTGAGCACCGGCTCGGCCTGGAGTGACCGTGGAGCCAGGAGAAAGCCTGTGCAATCCAGAGGGTTGTCAAATAGATTAGATGCATCAGTCTTCGGGATATTTCTGGTGCATGTCCAGACAGGAGCATAGATTTCAGGCTCTGTGGACACAGAACTTCTTGCTTTCAGACATTTGCTTTCTCCCAATCCTTTTATTTCGTGAATTAATGTCAAATTTATTTAACTTTTGTTTTGTTTGTTTTTTATTTGACAGTCACCAATATTTTTTCTAATTTGCCAGTCTATAACACTAAAATAATTTCCAGAATAATTACTTTTTAACTCTATGCAGCCTAGATTCTACTCTAATATTTTTATGCATTCATAAAATAATCAAAAGAACAAGTACCAATTTTTAGTTATATTTTAATGTGTGTAATGAGTTGTGCTAAAATGGAATCTCTAAGGTTATAGAAATAAGGCTAACATGAGAAAGAATTTCCCTTTTAACAAAGATTAAGTACACCAACTTAGGGAACTTTTCAGCCATTATTTATTCAAACAGGTTCCCGATCCCTTTCATTTTCCTTCTGATACCCCTACAATGCAGATGTTGTTACACTTGATGCTGTCCCAGAGATCTCTTAGACGTTCCTCATGTTTTTAATTCTTTTTTCTTTTTGTTGCTCTGCTTGAAGAAAGAGGGAGAGAGAGAGGTAGAAACATTGATGAGTAAGAAACATCGATCAGGTGCCTCCTGCATGCCCCCTACTGGAGGTTGAACCCAGACCAGGAATCGAACCTGCAACATCCTGGTGCATGGGATGACCCTCAACCAACTGGGCTCCAGCAGCCGGGCTGTGATCTTGCTCTCTGAATCACTGATTGGATCCTCTGCCCCATCTACACTTGTCTCACTCCTTTCTCCTCCTTTGTCATCATCTACAATTATTTGCTGGATTACTTTCTTCTTCTTTTTAGTTAACTTTTGGAAGGTGAATTCATAAGTCTAGGGCAGTGATGGCGAACCTTTTGAGCTCGGCGTGTCAGCATTTTGAAAAACCATAACTTAACACTGGTGCCATGTCACCTATAGAAATTTTTTGATATTTGCAACCATAGTAAAACAAAGATTTATATTTTTGATATTTATATTATATATTTAAATGTCATTTAACAAAGAAAAATCAACCAAAAAAATGAGTTCGCATGTCACCTCTGACACGCGTGTCATAGGTTTGCCATCACTGGTCTAGGGAATCAATGGATTTCACCCAGCATTTCGGTTAGAGAAATGTTGTTTATCTTTTCATGTCATGGCCTTTTATTTTTACTTTTAGTTTCTAGCTTAAACAAAAACTGCAATTTGTATACCATAATGGAGAAGCTAAAAACCCTCTATTTATGTTTGACAATCTACCTCAGTGATTTTACGTATCCTAACCCACCTCACAGTTCTATGAACTTGCCCACGTTCTTTCCCTGGTCAGGATTTATGTTGTAATGTGTGGTTTGGGAAGTAATAAACTGGGGATGACAATTGTGCTTTGCCACCTTTGGAACATATGAAAACTCAGTTGGTATGTGTATGGTACTGGGGAGTCCTGGGGGGTGGTAAATCCATTTCAGCGGGCTGGTGGACATGTTTCCTTTGATCCCAGGGAGGTGGGTAGGCGTATGAGACAGCTCTCACAGCTGCGCACGACTGTTCTGTTGCAGGTGTACCAGAGTTTGGAACATGAACTGCAGAGGCATGTCAGTCGCCAAGACACGCTGCAGCAATGCCAGGCCTGGCTGTCCGCCATCCAACCTGATTTAAAGCCAAGCCCGCACCCCCCTCTGAGCAGGGCAGAAGCCGTGAAGCAGGTACTGACTCCTGAAGTTTATGTTATGTGATGTGATTCATTCAGACATTCAATAGAAACATGTTAAGTTCTCATTATGTGCCAAACTGTGCTGGCTGCTGGGGATACCAAGTACAGGCATATCTCGTTTCATTGGACTGCGCTTACTGGGCCTCGGAGATAATGCGCTTTTACAAATTGAAGGTACAAGCCTCCTCCAGCAAGAAGATTATGACTCACTGAAGGCTCAGATGATAGTTAGCTTTTTTTTTTTTAATCTCTGAAAAATAGATATTTTTTCCATTGCTTTTCAGAGAGAGTAAAAGGGAGGGAGGAGAGGGGAGAAAGAGGAGAGGGAGAGAGAGAGAGAGAGAGAGAGAGAGAGAGAGAGAGAGAGAGAGAGAGAGAGAGAGAAACATTAATGTGAGAGTCTGGGATTGAGCCTGCACTCAGGTATGTGACCAAAAATTGAACCTGAGACCCTTTTGTCAATAGGCCAATGCTCTAACCACTGAACAAACCAGCCAGGGCAATGGTTGGCATTTTTTAGCAATAAAGTTTATTTATATTTAGCTAAGGAGTGTACATATTTTAAACATAATACTATTGCTCACTTATTAGACCATAGTATCAGGTAAAATCAGGTAAACTGGAAACCAAACAACTTGTGTGATTCACTTTCTTACAATGCTCACTTTCCTGAATTTGCAGTATCTGTGAGGTAAGCCTGTAGAAATAAGGTCTGAGTTTGACTCTAGCCAGTGGCTCACTCAGAGATGTGACTGGACAGTTCCACTACTGCCAACATGACGACTTTGGATGGTGTGAGACTGGGGTCAGGCTTTGACAGGCTGCGGTGGCATTTTGGTCAAGGTCCCAGGATGCGTGGTGTGTACCCAGTGTCTCCCACGTGGTAAACAATAGACATGTAATGGTTTTATCCCCCCACAGCCATACAAAAGTGGCACACTGATTTGATTTCATTAAGAATACCATTGGTTTTTTTTTTATAAGGCATGACATGTGAATTTGGGGAATGGAAAAAAAGTACTATCAGATTTGCCCTTTTTTTTTTTTACTCCCCTTAAAATTAATTTTAGCAAAAATCTTTGGCAATTGTTTTGTTACTGACAATCTATAAGCTGCTCCCAAGGCGTTTGGAGTCAGGTCAACTATATAAATCTTAATTGTTATTCTTTCTAAAGTAAATATATTTACAAAATTCAAAATCTGGTACCTTATTCTCTTCTCATTTCCAAAAGCTCTTTGGGACTGGTAACTTTTTCTGGGTCACAGGTACATAGTGGGGTGACTAATGATACTGACACTCACCAGAAGTGAAATGCCAGTCAGTTTATAACTGGCTAAAAATTTAGGTGCTACTTTTGACTTAATGGGAAATGGACTTATATTTATTACTAGAGGCCCAGTGCACGAGATTTGTGCACTGGGCGGGGGGGCGGGGGTGTCCCTCAGCCCAGCCTGCACCTTCTCACAGTCCGGGACCCCTCGGGGCATGTCCGCCTGCTGGCTTAGACCCCAGGGATCGGACCTATGCCAGGAGTTAGACATCCCTCTCGCAATCCGGGACTCTCGCAGTCTGGGACCCCTCACTCCTTACTGCTCGCCTGCAGCAGAGGCAGGAGAATCTCCAGCCAATGGCCACTGCGTTCCCCAGCCGTTAGCCCGGGTTCTGGCTGAGTGGTGCTACCCCTGTGGGAGCGCACTGACCACCAGGGGACAGCTCTTGCATTGAGTGTCTGCCCCCTGGTGGTCAGTGTGCATCATAGCGACCAATCATTCCGCCGTTGGGTCTATTTGTATATTATGCTTTTATTATATAGGATAGGCTATCTACATAAGAATGTTGTGTTTAGCAATCCATGTAATTCTGAGGAAAAGTCAGGACTAAAAAAATTGGGCTTCATTACTGGCTATGATTTTGGAAAATCACCAAATGTTTCCGTAGTCAATGCCACCTGCCCAAATTATCAATACACGTAGTGAGAACCACTTCTCAGAGCCTCTACTCCCACCACCTCCTTCAGACCATCAGCACTTCTCATCTGCAGTGGCCAACAACCGGCCACCCTTCTGATCCCTGCCTGCCCCTCTCATAGGAATCTAAGCTCTGTGGGAACAAAGGTTTTATTTCATGTACTGGTTTAGCCCATGATCTAAAACAGAGCCTACATATCCAACTATCTTCAGAAAGACACATTTCTCCATGTCCGTGTGTATAGATTAATGATCCACCGGGAAATGCCTTTCTCGAACTTTCCGCAGAAAGAAAGAGCCCAGCCATCTAATTTTTCCCAAACTCCAACGAAGCCTACAGGTGCACAGTGACCTTTCTTCCCCCGTACGTCTCCACACTCTGTGAAAACATGCTAAGAAGCAGGCTAGAGTAAAGGTTCTTTCTCTGAAACAGAGAACACTTAGAATGTGAGCTGAGAAGCAGGAAAAAATATAGGGGTTTCCTGGGTGTTTCCTTTTACCAGACCGCACCGGCTTTAACACAATGAGAAGCAAGTGACGGGCAAAGGATCCCTGCCAGTGTGTTTTGAATTCTTCCTGAGAATTACTAATACATGCTATTTACAACAAAGGTTGTATGTACTGAACGTAGCAGAATTATTTTTGAAATGTCAACAAGGTAACACAAATGGCACAGAGATGTGCTGTGGAGGGATGGCATGCATGTCTTCCAGTCTGACAAGTGTGTCTGTTCAAGGTCAAGCACTTCAGAGCTTTGCAGAAGCAGGCCAGGACCTACTTGGACCTCCTCTGCTCCATGTGCGACTTGTCGAACTCTTCAGTGAAAACCACGGCAAAAGACATTCAACAAACAGAGCAAATGGTAAGGCGTGGAAGCCATTGGATTTGTCTGTTCTGTCACATTCTCTTGTTTGAACGTTGGGTGAGAAGTTTAAAGAAAATGCTTCCTGGAGTCATTCTTGCTGTAAATCTCCTATGGGGATCATAATGAATAGATATTTGAATTTCAACTAAGTCACAGAAAAATGCGCACACTCTGTTCCCAGTGCCACTGAGTTGGAACTGAAACATCTACGCCCATGGATCTGCTAATTGTTAGTACTTGATCCCACTTCTTTTTTTTCCCTTGATTACCATTCTCTTCCTATTTTCCACTCATTGTTTGTTTGTTTTGTTTTCTCCTTGCCATCTTTTTCTTTGGGTAACACTTAATATGGAGGGTGTGTGTTCCTGACCCTTGCTTTATGTTAGGGCTGGCAAAAGCCTTCTAAGCCATTGGCAGTGGCTGAGTGTGGTGTTGGGAAGGATTCTGGAGCTGTCTCCGGGCTCAGTGGAAAATGCTGTGATGAATTAGCAGTACTCTCCACAACAGACAGATGGCAGCACAGGGTCGTGTGCCTTAACCTCTTTAATACTTTTGGGTTTAAAAGAAAAATAGGACTTGGTTTAGGTTTTTAATATATAAATATTTATAGGACAGTAAAATCACCCAAAGCAAGAAATGTCTCAAAATAATGAAGGTTTCTCTCTTTTATATTATATTTTCAAACCAAGTCTGTCTTTAATCCTAATGAAAATGCAGTAATTTATATGTTTTCACAGAAATGATTTATTGAAATAAATTATATGGTTTCAAAAGGCAGTGAAGCAGATCTAAAAATATATTTAAAACAATAATAACTCATTGTTTTATAAGAATTAACAACAAATGTATAATAGAGAATAATTTGTCTTTTCTCGTTAACCCCACGCTTGAATTTGCGAGTTATTCAGGTGTTGAAAACGCCAAATGTGAAAAACCATGAGGGCAACTTAACAGCTTGTTAAAGCTTCTTAAAGTCTCATGATACTGCTTGAAATTATATGGCATGTCTTATACATGAAAAGTCCTTAGAAAACCCAAGTATAAAAAGAAGCATCTGCTTTTCTTGAAGCAAAGAAAGAATTCTCTGTGGATGCATAGCAGAGTGTGTATGCATGCATGTGTATTGGCCCGTGTACATGGACAGGCTGAGGAATTGCACCTCTGATTCACTGGACATAAATGCCTCCATCTGTTAGCGCTGACTTTTGCCTCTGTGTTCCCTCAAGATCGAACAAAGGCTTGCCCAGGCTCAGACCTTAACTCAGGGCTGGGAGGAGATCAAGCACATGAAGGCTGAGCTTTGGATTTACCTCCAGGACGCCGACCAGCAACTGCAGAATATGAGGCGGAGACACGCGGAACTGGAGCTCAATATTGCACAGAACATGGTTTCCCAAGTGAAGGTAGGAAAGAGTGAGTCTCCCCGGGGGAGACAGAGAAGGCCAAGATGGGTGTGTCCCTCAATCCTTAAACATTAGCATAGCTATTGAAGGAATACAAAGACTCAGAAAGACCTTCATTTGGTGCCAGGAAAGGACAGATCAGAGAACAAACATTTGTAAAACACAGCAAAGGAAATATAGTCAGTAATGTAATAACTAAGTATGGTGTCAGGTGTGCACTACACTTAAGGGGGATCACTTTGGAAGTTATGTAAATGTCTAACCACCATATTATACACCTGAAACTCATATGACATTGAATGTCAACTGTAATTGAAAAATAAAAATAGTAATTTTAAAAATGAAAGTAAACATTCAAATAGTTTATTGGAGCTCCAATTGGCCACTTGAATCAAAGGACCCTCACTCTGCACTTTGTTCCTGAACAAGGCACTGTGGTTTAGCTGATACAACCAGAAGCCTTTGCTTCTGAACACACACAAGCCTTCATCATTTATCATCTTTCTTCACAATGTTGCTGAAGTTGCAGGACTGTCAATGTGCCCATTAATTAAATACATGTTAAATATATAAAATATATAATATACATGTTATATTATATCTATATCTATAAAAGCCCAGCAACCAGACCAGCAGAACAACCAGAATGACAGGAACAACCAGTGCCTATGACATGCACTGCTGGCAGCCAACCAGCCTATCCGGGCCCCGATCAGACCCCTGCTCCAGCAGGCCTGGCCTTCAATTGGCTCCCAACACCCAAATCGAGGGTGGGGGCAGCTGGCCAGACTCCACCTGTGCACAAATTTGTGCACCAGGCCTCTAGTATATTTTATATGAATCCTATATAATAAAAGGCTAATATACAAATCAACCGAACAGCGGAATAACTGTTCGCTATGACATGCACTGACCATCAGGGGGCAGACGCTCAATGCAGCAGCTGCCCCCTGGTGGTCAGTGCTCTCCCACAGGGGGAGCACCGCTCAGCCAGAAGCCCTGAGCCAGGCTAATGGCTGGCGAGTGCAGCGGCGGTGATGGGAGCCTCTCCTGCCTCCGCAGGAGCTGTAAGGATGTCCAACCACCTAAGCCCCCAAGGGCTCCCAGACTGCAGGAGGGCACAGGCCGGCTGAGGGACACTCTCCGCCCCCCCCCCCCCCCCCGCCCCACCGAGTGCAGAATTTTCATGCACCTGGCCTCTAGTAAATATATAATAATATATAAATAATTGAAGCTGTAGGAACATAAGTGTACCAATCAACTAGATATATATTTGAATATAAACTCAATATTTATTAATATATAATTATATTTGTAATAGAAATATTGCTATTCCAAATTTACACATAACTTAATAGAAGATTATTTTAACTTGAATGGAAGTTGTACCAGATTTTTAACAAACTTTAAAGTTTATCTTTTCTCTATGAAAGTGAACCATTTATAGTTTCTACTAAAATATTATTTGCATATGCAGAAAAAACAAAATGACATAAATTTAAATTACTTTTTTTTTTCTCAAAAGCATGAACTTCAAAAGTTTTTAGGAAACTAAGGCTGCACTTTAAGATACAATATTAACTTTTTTCCTTAGTGAATATAATATTGTTTTACATTTCTCAGTTTTTCTTTATACTGTTCAAAATTACACAATAAAAGAAAGTACTACAGTTATCCTTTGATTCTTATACACTTGGAAATTTGTATTCATAAAGAGGTATGACCATTTTTAGTCTTTCATTGTTCTGCATGACCCATTAATTATACATGCTTAGTTCGTTAGGCTTATGTCATCTATGCTTCCCTCTATATTAATTGGGGAGTTTATTGCAGGTTACCTATTTTGTCGGTGTTTTTACCTTCAGGATTTTGTTAAGAAACTACAGTGCAAACAGGCGTCGGTGACGGCTATTACAGAAAAGGTGGATGAGTTAACCAAGAAGCAGGAGTCTCCTGAACACAAGGAGATCAGTCATCTGAACGACCAGTGGCTGGATCTGTGCCTTCAGGCCAACAGCCTGTGCTTGCAAAGGGAAGAGGATCTCCAGAGGACAAGAGACTACCATGACTGCATGAGCGTCGTCGAGGTGTTCTTGGAAAAATTTACTACAGAATGGGATAACTTGGCCAGGTAACAGCAATGCTCTGGCACATCCCAAAATACTAAGCCAGATGTTTCTTAATTTCCATAAAAACGGAAAAGGCCTTTCTTAATGTTTTTAACATCGATTGTCAATCATTATCAATACTGACAAAACATTGTTAAGAAACTCATGGTGCCTGGGTGTGGCTCAGTGGTGGAACTTCAACCCATGAACAGTTTGATTCCAGGTCAGGGCACATGCCTGGGTTGCGGGCTTGATTCCCAGTAGGGGGCATGCAGGAGGCATTCTATCACTGATTCTCTCGTATCATTGATGTTTCTATCCCTCTCTTCCTCTCTCAGAAATCAATAAAAACATATTAAAAAAGAAAAGAAAAGAAAGAAACTCATGTTGTCATTTGGATACAGAGCCCTGGTTCTCCTTGCTCACTGTTAATTGAACCAGTGGGTAAAAGGATGCGTATAGGAGGCCACCGATCAATGCTTTCTCTCACATCAATGTTTCTCTCTCCCTCCCCCCCCCCCCGCCCCTCTCTTTCTCTTTCTCTCTTCCTCTCTCTCTAAAATCAATAAAAACATATCCTTGGCTGAGGGTTAACAAATTATATATATACACACATACATATCTGAGTATACACAAATGAGTAGCTGAGAGAGCCCTTGGTTATGTCTTGCAGGTTTCCTGTCTAGCACTATAGTGTTCACTTGAGCTGCTTCTCACAAGAAAGCACATACATCATTGGCCACTTATTAATCTAAGTGTCATTTTCAAGAATGCAGAGATCAGTGCTTCTCTATGTCTAATGTTTACACAAGTCATCCAGGGATCTTGTTAATGTGCCGATTTTGCTCACTTTGCAAGGGCCAGAGGAAGAAGCTAAAAGCAGGTGTCAGACGTGTCGGGAGGGCAGTAGGATCCAGAAGAGTAGAAAGGAAGTATGTAGGCCAAGCATGTCAAACCCGTGGCCCGCGGGCTGCATGCCTCATTTATTTGGCCCATCTTAGCCTTTGAGTTTGAGTTTGGCATGTTTCATGTAGGCCATTTGTTTTGGGCCCAACTTCTGATATAGAAAGACATGGGTCTTGCATTCCCTAGTAATTTCAGCACTTGGGTCAGTAAACTCCAAGTGAAGAAATCCTCTTAAAGGAGAAATGTGATAGAACATGATATGAACACTACAGACCAACTTGGATAATTTGCTTTGATGTCTTCTGTGTATTTACAGATCCGATGCAGAGAGCACTGCGGTCCACCTGGAAGCTCTGAAGAAGCTGGCATCGGCCTTGCAGGAGAGGAAGCAGGCCATTGAGGACCTGAAAGACAGGAAGCAGAGCGTGATCGAGCATCTGAATTTAGATGACAGGGACCTAGTCAAAGAGCAGACGCGTCACCTTGAACAGCGTTGGACTCAGCTGGAGGACCTCATTAGCAGGAAAATCCAAGTCTCGGTCGCCAACCTGGAGGAGCTGAGCGTGGTGCAGGCCAGGTTCCAGGAGCTGATGGAGTGGGCGGAGGAGCAGCAGCCCAGCATCGCCGAGGCCCTCAAGCAGAGCCCCCCTCCCGACGTGGCTCCCAACCTTCTCATGGACCACCTCACCGTCTGCAGTGAACTGGAGGCCAAGCAGATGCTCCTGAAATCCCTCACGAAGGATGCGGACAGGGTGATGGCGGATCTCGGCCTGAACGAGCGGCAGGTCGTCCAGAAGGCGCTCGCGGATGCACAGAGGCATGTCCATTGTCTCAGTGACCTCGTGGGCCAGAGACGCAAGTACCTGAACAAGGCCCTGTCCGAGAAGACCCAGTTTCTCATGGCGCTGTTCCAGGCGACCAGCCAGATCCAGCAGCACGAGCGAAAGATACTGTTTCGCGAGCACATCTGCCTGTTACCGGACGACGTGAGCAAGCAGATCAAAGCCTGTAGGAGCGCCCAGGCCAGCCTCAAGACCTACCAAAATGAAGTCACTGGCCTCTGGGCGCAGGGCCGTGAGTTGATGAAAGGAGCCACAGAGCAGGACAAGGGCGAAGTGCTGGGCAAGCTCCAGGACCTGCAGGGCGTGTACGACGCCGTCCTGCAGAAGTGCAGCCAGAGGCTCCAAGAGCTGGAGAAGAGCTTCGTGTCTAGGAAGCATTTCAAGGAAGATTTTGATAAAGCTTGTCACTGGCTGAAACAAGCAGACATTGTCACCTTTCCTGAGATCAACCTAATGAATGAGAGTTCAGAGCTGCAGGCGCAACTGGCCAAATACCAGCACCTCCTGGAGCAATCTCCGGAGTACGAAAGCCTCCTCCTGACCCTGCAGAGGACCGGGCAGGCCATACTGCCCTCGCTGAGCGAAGTCGATCATTCCTACCTGGACGAGAAGCTGAACGCTCTGCCCCAGCAATTTAACGTCATCATCGCCTTGGCCAAAGACAAGTTCTACAAGGTCCAGGAGGCCATTCTCGCTCGGAGAGAGTACGCCTCCTTGATCGAGCTGACCGCCCAGTCTCTGAGCGACCTGGAGGGCCAGTTCTTAAAGATGAGCCCAGTCCCCAGCGCCCTGACGGTGGAGGAGGCGCTGTGCCTTCAGGAGGGCTGCAGGGCGCTCCTGGGCGAGGTGGCGGGCCTCGGGGAGGCCGTGGATGAGCTGAGCCAGAAGAAGGAAAGCTTCCGCAGCACAGGGCAGCCGTGGCAGCCCGACAGGATGCTGCAGCTCATGGCCTCGTACCACAGGCTGAAGCGGCAGACAGAGCAGAGGGCGAGCTTACTGGAGGACACCACGGCTGCGTATCAAGAGCACGAGAAGATGGGCCAGCAGCTGCGGAAACAGCTGGAGGCCGTGCGGGCAGAGCAGTCCCAGGTGAACGAGGAGACGCTGCCCGCGGAGGAGAAGCTCAAGCTGTATCACTCCCTGGCGGGAAGCCTCCAGGACTCGGGGATTCTGCTCAAACGCATGGCCATGCACCTCGAAGATCTCGTCCCACACCTCAACCCCTCGGCTTATGAGAAAGCCAAGCAGCAGATCCAGGCCTGGCAGGAGGAGTTAACACTGCTGACTGCGGCCATCGGCGCCACCGTGACCGAGTGTGAGAGCCGCATGGTGCAGAGTATAGACTTCCAGACCGAGCTGAGCCGCTCCCTGGCCTGGCTGAGGGGTGTGCAGGCGGAACTCAGCGGGCCCGTGTGCCTGGACCTGAACCTCCGGGACATCCAGGAGGAGATCAGGAAGGTCCAGATTCATCAGGAAGAGGTGCAGTCCAGCCTCAGGATCATGAAGGCCCTGAGCGACAAGGAGACGGAGAGACTCACCAGAGCCAAGGAGCTGATTTCCGCCGACTTGCAGCACACGCTGGCCGAGCTCTCGGAGCTGGACGGAGACATTCAGGAGGCTTTGCGCACTAGGCAGGTGGGTACGAGGGCTCCTCCTGTCTTCTCCCCACTCTGCTTGTTTGTAGACGTGCGTGAGATATTTGTGTGTTGTTGTTTTTTGTTGTTTGTTAGAACTGCTGCCTTAAATATTTCTTTGATGATACTATGTAGAATCATCTTTAACTGATGGTGACTCAAAAGGATGTTTTTACTGTTTACGGATGTGGTATTCATTTCATGTGATTTCCATGTTGGCCTCGTTTAGTTATAATACAGTAACCCCTGCTGTCTCTCACCTTTATGAGAGGTAATAAATGATAGCACTCATGGCTTTAATATTGTGGTGAGTACATTAGTAATAAACAAATTAGCAATGATGAATTAGTGATGCCTCTTTAAACAATGCAAAACTTGGCATTTACAAGATTAGTATGGATGAAGAATCTCCAAATGGAGAGAGGCAGATGGATGACAGCCCTGACCCTGATGCTGAGCCACGTTTTTTTCTGGGGTCTCCCATCAGTTGCCCCATCTGTTCACCCCTTCATCTTCTCTCGCTTCTCTGTGGCACCACAGAAGCAAGACTAGAATATTCATCATGACTTTACTTGGAGATAAAGAAATGAGAGCTGCATAGAATGTGGGAGTATAGATATCTCTTTAAGATAATGGTTTTGTTTCCTTTGGATAAGTACCCAGAAGTGAAATTGATGGATCATCTGGCAGTTGTACTGTATTTAATTTCTTGAGGAACTTCCATACTGTTGTCCACAGTGACTGTACTGGCTTACATTCCCACTGGTGGTGTTACACTTCTAACCAACAGAGACGGTATTTCACTTTGGTCAATATTCAGTCTGCCACATATGACTAAGCATTATTGTATGTATAGTATGACGTACACATGTGAGAGATAGTCTCAGAACTAGTCAAGATAACAGAATACATTTCTCTTTCATTTCTGTCTCTGTTTACATATTTTAACTATAATAATACAATTATAGCAGGATTAGCAGAAGAGAAAACAAAGGATAACAATGGATTACACCAAAAAAAAAAAATCCACCAACTTTTCAGTTCACTTATACACATACATCCATCCACATGGCAAAGGACTGGAAAAGAACCGGAAAAATTCAACGATTTTCTGCAAACTTTACACGGCAATTGAGGGTTGATTGTGTCTGTAATGACTATGTTTCAGGCTACGTTGACTCAAATATATAGTCAATGTCAAAGGTACTATCAAGTGTTTCAAGCCGCGAGCGACTGGCTTGAGGATGCCCAGGAGATGCTGCAGCTGGCAGGCAGCGGCCTGGACGTGGAGAGTGCGGAGGACAGTCTCAGAAGCCACACGGAGTTTTTCAGCGCAGAGGATCAGTTCCAGAGCAACCTGGAGGAGCTCCACGGCCTGGTCGCCACCCTGGACCCACTCATCAAGCCAACTGCCAAAGAGGAGCTCGCACAGAAAATGACGGCCCTGGAGGACAAGAGCCGGAGGGTGATCCAGGACTCCCACGCCCAGCTCGATCTCTTGCGGAGGTATTGGAGTGGTTTTAATCGCTGTATTCTAGTGAAATGTGAGGGTGCTGTTTTTTATTTTGTTTTGTTTTGTTTTTAAATATATTTGTATTGATTTCAGAGAGGAAGGGAGAGGGAGAGAGATAGAAACATCAGTGATGAGAGAAAATCATACATCGGCTGCCTCTTGCACACCCCCCACTGGGGATGGAGCCCATAACCCCGGCATGTGCCCTGGCTGAGAATCGAACCATGACCTCCTGGTTCCTAGGTTGATGCTCAACCACTGAACCACACCAGCTGGGCAGAAATATGAGGTGTTTTGAAATGAATTTTCACACGGAAAACAGGAAGATACTAATGAACATCCACACCTAAGTTCATTCTTCTCTCTCGAGTGCCATCAGGCATCTTGATGTCAGAGCTCTGTGACTGGCATTTGATGTTGCTTACTGGTTTTTGTGGCACCTTTTCCAGGTGTGCGGCTCAGTGGCAGGATTACCAGAAAGCAAGGGAAGAGGTTATCGAATTGATGAATGCTGCCGAAAAGAAGTTGTCTGAATTTTCCTTACTGAAGACTTCTTCCAGTCGTGAAGCCGAAGAAAAACTGTCCGAGCACAAGGTGAGTTGTGTGGTTGTTTTTAACGTCCTTTCATTGTCTTTGTAAAGAGTCTCGGTGATACTGCAGTTCCAGAATCAGGTCAGTCCATCTTCACCGGGCTCCTTAAACACGAAAAGGATACATTAAGCATGTTTCGTAGCAGTTTTTACTTAATTGCATGCTGTCTGTCACTTTTTTTAGGATTCAGTTGGAAATGCACAGCTGGTTTGAAAAAGACATTCAGAGCAATTGCTTCTGATAAAGTGTGATGCAATGAATTCCAGTGAATCCTTTCTGGTGATAACTTAGATTAATTCTAATACAATTTAACAAATAGTAGTGAAGTCACCCTCATATATCATAGCAATATAACATAGATTATACCATCCTTAAATACTAAACTCAGTTGCCTTATATTTTTGCTGCCTTTTAAAGATGGGAGAATTCCATCTCAAGTAGCAAATAAACTTTGGTTTTTAACAAATAAATATTCACCTTGCCTCTTTCAAAAAAAAAAAAAAATCCAAGCCTGACTCAATGAAGAATCCGATGTAAAAGTAAGAGTTAGAAAAAAGAATATATGTTGAGACATTTCCTTTTGCAGGTAATTGTGGGCTTTCCTCAAATCCATAGAACTTTTGAAAAAAATCTCTCCCTCACCGTCTTCTCCTCCCCACCTTAGGCTTTAGTGTCAGGGGTTCACTCCTTCCATGAGAAAATCGTGGCCCTGGAGGGTGAGGCTTCGCAGCTGGAGAAAGCTGGAAACGACGCCAGCAAAGCGACCATCGGCAGGTCCATGACCACCGTCTGGCAGCGCTGGGCGCGGCTCCGGGCGGTGGCCCAGGACCAGGAGAAGATCCTGGAGGACGCGGTGGATGCGTGGAAGAACCTCGGCAAGAAGGTGATCTCCTTCGTTGATGGGCTCAGGATCGTTTCCTCCCTGATGGTCCTGTATTTTGAAAAGCAGTGTTTTGCTTTTGTTTTCAATTGGCTTTATGAAAGCACAAAGCGTTTTTCCCCACATCTCTATTTCAATGGCACGAAAACCAAATTATGCAACACCGTACAATAGGCAATCCGCAATGTAGCCCCAAGTCAGGGTCCAATCATTTTAATAAGAAAACCAAGGAATGAAATTTTGAAAGGAGGACAAACCCACTTTCCTCCATTTGCCAGTTTCTTAGTGAAACGCTCGCCCTGAACAATTATAAAATATGTCTTTCTTTGCCATGGAAATGAGCAGGAATTTAACCAATGTCACAAGTCCTATATTAATTTTTTTCATCTTTTAAGTAGGATTCAATGTTTGAAGACACATCTTCCTTTAGAAATATTGGAGTTTTTCATTTGTCCTTTACTTAAAACACACACACACTTTTTCTATGTCATGCAATCTCTGATAGCCCTGATATTATTTTGAGATTAAAGCTTTAAACCCAGAATTATAAAGATGGTTTTTCCTTTCATGTCAAGAAGATTGTCCAGGCTTTAGTTTCCTGGGATTTAGAGTTTACACTCTCATCTTTAATGAGCTTTGATGCACTAGTGCAATGGTTCTCAACCTTCCTAATGCCGCGACCCTTTAATACAGTTCCTCATGTTGTGGTGACCCCCAACCATAAAATTATTTTCGCTGCTACTTCATAACTGTAATTTTATGAATTGTAATGAATTGTTATGAATCGTAATGTAAATATCTGATATGCAGGATGTATTTTCATTGTTACAAATTGAACATAATTAAAGCATAGTGATTAATCACTAAAACAATATGTAATTATATATGTGTTTTCCGATGGTCTTAATCTACCCCTAAAGGGGTCGTGACCCACAGGTTGAGAACCGCTGCACTAGTGTCAAATGTATGTTTATAGGAGTTGCCCCATGTTTTCAGTTTATTTCTTAGCTTCATGTTACATACATTTTTCATCAGATTAAGAAAGCCACTGATACGATCAGTCAGCTAGAAGGTAAATTACCAGAAAGTTCGGCAGAGAAAGCCTCAAAAGTGGAACTCCTAGCTCTCCTGGAGCATCACGACACGTTCACCCTGGAGCTGGACCAGCAGCAGGCGGCCCTAGGCATGCTGCGGCAGCAGGCGCTGAGCATGCTCCCGGATGGGGCCGCTCCACCCCCCGGGGAGGAGCCGCCCGCCATGCAGGAAATCACAGCCATGCAAGATCGGTGCCTGAAGTAAGGATACGCCCTTCATTCTCTGTTTCTGAACCCAGCCATGACCCAAAGGGATGAGTGTGGTTTTAGAGTCTGGGGGTGCTCCATCATGCCCCCTTACAACTGGGGGAGGGGGGATCTGTTCCCTTCATCCCTGCTCCCCATTTTTCTTAGCTCTTCCATTATTTGTTCGACAAACACATATCTAGTAGTATTTAGAAATGCAGGGATGAACCGAACAGATTCAGTCGGTGCCTTCATGCTGTTCACAGTCAAGCGGCAGAGATGGGCAACTCCAGGGGCCGCTTGGGTAAAGCATGAAAAGGGTGAGAAAGGAACCCAAAGCAGAGACAAGGAGTGTAGGAGGGCAGGCACGGCAGGTCTCCTCAGCTGAAGACTGAGCAGCTCAAGGAGGCAGCCAGGGGAGAGGAGAATTGTGCAAAGAGGGGAAGAGCCTGTAGGAAACCTTGGAAGTGATGCAGCTCTTCCTGAGAGGCAAAGCTTGGAAGCTGAACAATTGAGAGCTACTTAGAACCTGGTTCTGAAAAGCTTGGTAACTCACTGGCTAAACTGGATGACTGAGAGATGAGAACAAGGATGATGCCAAAGTTCAGGCAAATAAGCCTTTTCACACTTTGTGGCTAGAGGAAGTTAAACTTAATGATATACATATGTGGGATATAATGATCAACATAATTTGATGAACAAGAATAGATCCAGAGACAAATGGCAGGAGAGTGTGCGGGTGGGGGGGTTGGTGGTTAGAGAACAACCAAAGGACTTGTATGCATGCATATTAGGGTAACCAATGGACACAGACACTGGGGTGGTGGGGGCTTGCCCGGAGTGGGAATGGCTTGGGGGGTGGGGGCGAGTGGGGGAAAAGGAGACATTTGTAAAACTTTAGATAATAAATAAATTTTATAAAAAACCAAAAGAAAACAAAACTTAATGATATATAACCAGCCTGATTCACTTATGGGGCCAGAGAAGAAATGTCAGTAGATAATTTAACTGCTGTATTAGCTGCTATTATTCATACGTGTCCTACATCCACCTCTTCAGTTATAGATGAATTCAGGAGAACTGGGCTCCACTATTTAAACTTTTTAACCAAATTTATGTCAATTCAAAGAAAGACTTACAATTTGGGTGTTGAACATTATTCACTGTAACATTTCCAAAGCTTAACTTCAAAGACTGGTTTCTAATGGCCACAGATACTCCAATTACACATTACTTTGAAAGGCTGATGACCCCAATTCATGTGAGTCGATTTCTGGAGAGAAACTAAACAACGTCCCGGTTATTTTACATAGAACATTAACTGCCATGTAGTAGCAGTGGAGTGTGTCAGTTCTCAATTTTCCAGGGAAAAATCATTCACTTCACCTGATAGATATTCTTCCAGTATACTTGGACCAAATGTAAGTCTTACTGAAAATTATCTGACAGTTTTGGGGACGTGAATTTAGTTGCAAAAAGATATGAGATTTCACCTTTTAAAAAAAAATGTCTGTTTTGGATAATATAATGCTGTGAGCTAGGGGTTCCTTTCATTTCCAATTCACTTCTGCTTTCTCCCTGAAATGTTTCTGAAGCATGCAGGAGAAAGTGAGGAGTCAGGGGAAGGTGGTGAAGCGAGAGCTGAAGGACCGAGAAGGGGTGGAGACTCAGATCAATTCTGTGAAATCCTGGGTTCGGGAAACGAAGGAATATTTGGAGAATCCAACAATAGAAATAGATGCTCAACTTGAAGAACTTCAGGTACGAAACTCTTCTCATTCCTTATACCTATCATTAAAAAATTGCCCTGATTTTAATATGACACATTTGTTTAGAATATTGAATTAAAATTTTTCAGAAATGTGTTATATAAGAGTCTTTTCGTATTATTTGATGGGGTTTTTGTTTGTTCTGTATATAATGGACATGTTTCTTTTTCAGAGGCTAAAGAAAAGCTTGGTTTTTCTTAAGATGTCTCTCTAATTCCACATTTAAATATGTACTGATGGACAATACATTGTCTTGTCTCTATACCCATGGAAATTTCTTTCGGCTCCCAGACATTTCTTGTTTTGATCTTTTCTTCAGATTCTCCTAACAGAAGCCACAAAGCACCGACAGAACATCGAGACAGTCGCCGAGGAGCAGAAGACCAAGTACTTGGGTCTTTATGCTATACTACCTTCTGAGCTCTCCCTGCAGCTAGCGGAGGTGGCATTGAACCTAGGAACTGTCCATGACCAGGTAAACCCATGCCCAAGAAAGAGGGCCTTTCCCTTCTTTCATAGGCTCAGCGTTCTTGTATAAGAGTTCTTGATTTTCACAAGGACTTCTTTATGGATATAGAGTTTAAAATCTCGTCAGCATAAAACAATACTATTGCCCTGGACAGTGTGTTCAATGGTTAGAGTGTCTGCCTGCATACTGAAGAGTCGCTGGTTTGATTTCTCATCAAGGGCATGTATGTGGGTTGCAAGTTTGCTCCCTGTACCCTGTTTGGGGCACATGCAGTAGGCAGTCAGTCGATGTGTCTCTTTCACATCATTGTTTCCCTCTCTCCCTTCCCTCTCCCTCCCTTCTACTCTCTCTGAAAAAGGAATGGAAAAAATATCCTCAGTTGAGGATTAACAAAACAAAAAAAAATACTGTTAAATTAGATAAAACACATACACACCAGATGATCACAGACATGAACAATAATCTATACTAATAAAAGGTCAATATGCTAATTATACTGGGCATCTTCTGAATGACCTTCTGGACATCCTTCTGGACAAAGCCATGGTGGCAGGACCAAGGCAGAGACTGTTAGGGTCGATCAGCCGGCAGGGGAGAGCAGTTAGGCCGATCAGGCGGGCAGGCAGGTGAGGGGTCAGGAGCCAGCGGTCCCAGATTGCAAGAGGGTGCAGGCTGGGCTGAGGGACAACCTCCCCCATGTTCACGAATTTTGTGCACCGTGCCTCTAGTGTCATATAATTAGAAATAGCTTGTCTACTTTCCCTTACCTTTTTCCAGAAAACAAAAGACTTAACGGAACAACAACAAAAATAAGCTATATACCATGTGTTTAACAAATATTCATTGAGTGCCCAGAGGCTACCAGTCACCCTTCTAGGTGTATTGCAGCCTTTCATTTATACAAAGAGAAAATTTCTTTACCTTCTTTCCTTTGGCATTTTATTATAAGCCAAAGTATGAATACTTGTTATCAAATCAAACCACAGCCATTAGAAACATGTAAATGTTAACTGTCCTTTTTCCCCTTCCCCTGGAGGTGCTTAATGTTCTCTTGTCATCCTCTCAGGACGCAACTGCAAAGTTAGACAGTTACCAGGTCATTAGCAGCTGCTCATGGAAAGGTGCTTGGAAATGTGCGTGCGTTCCAGTTATAAAGGAGAGTTCTGCATATTATGAAGAAAAATTCTTAGAGGAGGAGTCTGTGTGCTGCAGGTCACAGTGTTAGTGAACAGAGATTCGGGCTCCGCTATCTACATGGCCATCTATGCAGACGCTAAATATTTGATGAGTGAATCACTGTACATGAGTTGCTTGTTTTGTTCCTTTACTGAAAGAGCAGCAGATAGACCTGCAGTGAATGCTTGCAGATGGGGGAGGGGAGGCTGCATGGAAAACATGTGAGTTTGTAACTACAGGGGCTGCTTCGACAAAGCTCATAGATGCCAAAGCAGCAGGAACCACCTGAAATCTCTCGTCAACAATGAGGTTTTTCGTATGTTACCCAAGTTTAACCATGCTTGGTTTTGCTGTTCTCGTTGATTGTTTAGATCCAGGACAGAGTAAAACAAATTGAACAGAGCAAGGCCACAAGCCAGGAGTTCAGCCGGCAAATTCAGAAGATAACCAAAGATCTCACAACTATTCTAACTAAGCTGAGAGCAAAGACAGATAACTTAGTTCAAGCTAAAGCTGACCAAAAGGTAAGGAAAGAGAACTGGGAACATAAGGAGTGCTGCTGAATGCATTCAGTATTTTTTGGGAGTTAGTACATTTTGGGAATATCTTTTTTTTTTTTTTTTTTTAAAAAAGAGCTTTTTGATCAGCAAGCTTCCTTAAAACCAGACAGTAAAGAGAGGCAATTAAGAAACTCTATAAATATGATAGCATAGATCTATTTACATGATATAATTTATCATCACAATTGAACTTTATTCATGAATTTACATGCATGTATAGGTAAGCAGGAGAAGTGTCAGAGAACTCAGTGATGAGTTAGGAATACGGGTATGTCAATTCCAAAGTGAAGGATGTTCTTAGGAGCTCAATCTGAGTTCTCACTCTGCTGATGAGCTAAGTGACTAATCTTTTGGGTGGAGCAGAAGGAAAATGTGAGCTCTCAGCCTCATAGGAAATAAACACCAGGATTGCCAAACATCCTGCTCTGACTTCCAACCCAAGAAATGGAAATGACCTGATCGTGGTCATACAAATCATTTGTATTTGTCTTATTCTAAGATCATTTAATATCATCCTTCTGAACTTAAAAAATCTGGAGACATTTATTTCCTGTAGTCTGATGTTCTTTCATTTTGATGGCCACCTAGGTGCTAGGGGAGGAATTGGATGCCTGTAACTTAAAGTTAATGGAGCTGGATGGAGCAGTACAAAAGTTCTCGGAGCAGAATGGCCAACTGGGTAAGCCGCTGACCAAGAAGGTCGGGAAACTGACGGAACTCCACCAGCAGACCAGCAGGCAGGCCGAGACTCGGTTCTTCAAGCTCAGCCAGGTATGTGTTCCAGGCCAGAAATCCAACTTCTCAAGGGCAGAAATGCTCTGTTCTGTTTTCCTCTTTTGAAAATAAATAAGATGATATTGACAATGGTGAGAATAATTTATTAAGAGTAGCTTATTTCATACAGCACTTGTGTTCCTAAGAATTAGACATACAGAACCTGCCTTTATTTGATATCAAGCCATATCATAAATTTATTGACAAAGGTGGTCATGTAAGTACACTTTTGGGGTGAATATTTTGTAAACTGGGAAAGTATTTTTGTAAAATGTATATTCATTCATTAACATTTCACAATTCAGTTTGTGTGAATTCAAGTATCTTAAAGTAAGATATGTATATAGATATACAGATAATATTTAATAGCTATCATTTACTTAACAGGTTCAGGTCACACACATCCATCATAATTGTTGAGTATAGACTCAACTGTTGCTAATCCATTGTGTATGTTTTCTGTAACCAGGGACGAGTTCAATTAGGATTTGGCAACCAATGAATGACAATATTGAAACCTGGAATGCCATAATCCCCACCCTCAGTGAGGGTGGAATACAGAAGAGGGGAAGCAGAAAAGGGAGCTAGATGGATGAATAAGAGATAAGAAGAGAGAACTTTCTTTAAAGACAGATTATTCAAGCATAGGAAGTACTTGGACTTGACCCTAAAGTCACTGGGAAGTCCTTGCAATATTTTCAACAAGGACATGCTTTTTCATGATATCTTTTGTAAACTGAAAAGGGGGGAGGATTCCTATGCAAAGTAACCTCACTGGATGCCAATTGTAAGTTACTAACTGGGCAGGTCATGGTGGGGAGTCCCGCCCCAGGCCTATAACTTCTTTAGTGAAAGATTTTAAGCCAGCCCTCCCTGTCCTCTGTTCTTGTGCTTCTAGAATAGCACACCTTTAAAATAAATCCTAACCGAGAGAGCCTATAATCTTGTTAACTACCCTGTGTAATCCAATCACCGCCTTCTAATCTTCTCCAGTCTTCCTTACATACCCACCTTAATTTTTAAAAGAAGCTGCAAAGTTGTTATTCTGTGAGATCTTGCTCCCTGCTATAGGTCATCGGTTACCTCAAAAAAAACTAATAAAAATTATCTATGGGTTTGGACGTTTCTTACGTTGACACTTTAAATATCTCAGATATTATAGTGATCAACTATAGGACTATTGTATCCAAAAAGAGACAGAAAACTGATTTAAAGTTCAAGAAATAGAGGTTTCATTTGTTATCTGAATGTTAATGATTTTTTTAGGCAACATCACATTTAGAAGAATACAATGAACTGCTTGAATTCATTTTGAAGTGGATTGACAAAGCTAAAGTATTGGTACATGCAAAGATTGTGTGGAATTCTGCAAAACAACTTCGGGAACAATACATTTCACATCAGGTAACTTGGGGCAAAATAGTATTCAAAGAGTAACTAAAGGAACAACTTAATTTAAGTGAAAAAACAGAAAACTTAGAGGTCTGTAATGCCAAATTACTGTAGGTGCTAGATTTTAAAAAAAGAAAGAAAGAAAAAGAAAAAAAGAAAGAAAGCTAAGGTAGCCCTATGACTTGCCCAGTTGTTTAACAGTAGCTACCTGTGAGATTTCATAAGACTGTATAAATAAATGGATACCCTCCCCTAGACTTTCCTTTCTCAAGACAAACATAATTGCTTCATTTTTTGCTGCTGCTTTGAAACAGTTGTATGCTGGGATACGGTGGGGAATTCTTCCCCATGAAGAGATGTAGTGACCGACGGAAAGATTATGTAGGCTCAAGTAAGATTCCTGGGAAAACCCAGCTCTGCCATTTAGGGCGGTGTGATTTGGACGAAACCACTTTCCCTCTCTGAACTCAGTCTTCCCATCAATAGGATGGAGATGGGAGTGATTTATCCTGCAGAATTAGTACAAGGATCAAATGGTAGGGAGAGCTCATGTGCAGACATTAAGCACATGATCTGACACGTGGGTGTTGAGCTCTCCTGCCTCCGCCTTCTCAGCCCTCCGCCTGGCCTGTCTCCTGGCCTTCCACAGGAAGTGGTGGTCAACTGGGAACCAGAAATGAGTCCACATCACAAGGTGACCGCATTGCTTCATTTCCTCTGCAGCTTTCTCTGGGGCATGTCATCCAGGAAATTATTTCATTCTTTTATAACTCGGTTTGAATTAGATATAGATATCCAACAGCTGTTATCTTGCAGTAAATACAGAATGCCTTTTAAGTTACATGGATATCCTCAAGTATTTTAGGTTTTCTCTTTCTTTTATTCTGATTTCTGTATGCTTATGTCTTTTAAATCTATTCTATCTATTCCAGTTGACAGGACTCTAAGATTAAAGCCTCATTTTCTCCCTGGACTTGTTTAACAGGCTTCTAATTGGTTTCCTGTACCCACAATCTTTCTTCTATAATCAATCACACACACTCTCTCAATAAATCTTTCTTAACAACCCCAATCTTCTACTTGGAGATATGCTTACATATTAACAGACAAGACTTATGATACAACTGGTTGTAAACAATGAAAAAAATATTCAGCCTCATTAGAAATCTACAAATACAAATTTAAGAGAGAGAACACATTTTAACAATCAAGTTAACACTGTTCATTAAAGTTTATATTTAAAGAAGCGAGAGCTCTCACATACTCCTGGTAACCTGATAAAATCTCTTTGAAAAACAATTGGCAAAATGGATCATGATCATCAAAATGTCCCTACTCCATAGCCCACAATGTAGAAAATATTTTATGCAGGATTAGTCACGAGAGTGAAATTTGTGGAATTTTAAAGGAAACATAAATGTCAGTTCATTTATCTGAGTAAATTTTTGGATATAATAGAATTGAATGCAATCTTTAAAACGACCATAAAGGCTTTTTCTTTCAAATAACTCCTTTGCTCATTTGTTTATTCAACAAACATTTATGAAGTATTTTTCAAAGGTAGGAATTTCAGGAGGCACTTGGAGTACAAACAGTATTTCCTGTCCCTGCCCCCCCCCCCCCAAGGGAGTTGATAATTAAAGGGAGGAAGGAGATAGACAGATCTAGACACTAACACTCCAGGTGATGGTGATGAAGGCATTAAGGGATCAAGTTGCTGAAGGAGCCCAAAGTGGGGTGCTCCACCTAGGCTGCCAGGTTTGAGAAGGTTAAAGAATTATCCTCAGGAATAGGTGATTCTGGGCTGAGTCCTGAAAGACAGGCAGCCCACCTGTGTAGTATAAGAGCGAGGGGAGCTCTGCGTGGTGCACTGGGAGGAGCACTCTGGGGGGAAGGTGTTGGAGGTTAGAGTACATAGCGAACGAGAAGGCAGATCATGGAAGCTAGGTAAGCACTTGTACTTGATCCTAAACTCACTCTGAAGCCTTTGGCAGATGTTCCGCAGGCAAGTGACAAATACAGACTTGTATTTTTAAGGAAGATGACTAAACTGCCCTGTGGAAATGAGCAGGTTAATGAAGGCAAGATGTCATAGGAGGTGATTGATTAGAAGGTGGCTGCAGTATTCCAGGAGGAAGCGACAAGGCCTCTCTTTGGAGGCTGAGAGAAGACACAAGCAAGGGGTGTTACTGAGCTAGAATTCCGAATGTGGAGACTGTGGGAGTGGCTGAATGGGAGGGAGAAGCCAAGGACAATTCCCAGGCTTGTTTGACGTGGGCAGTTGGGTGGGTTGAGTACAGATGGACAGATATTGGGTGTTTTACCTCCCATGAGACTCAGGAGAGAACTCGGCCTGCACACACTGTTCCAGCGAGTTCTCTTGTGCCTGCCTTGGTAACTGAAGCCACCTGAGTTTATCCAAAAACAGTGCACAGAGAGAAGATGCATGTTTCCAATGTCAGGTGAAAAAGAAAGATGGGAAATTGTACGTGGGTTAATATCTCTATTACCTATAAATGTACCCACACGTAACAGCAGTTATAGCTTACTTAACATTATCTCTCAAGTATGGGATTATGGAAAATTTTATTTATACACTAGAGGCCCAGTGACAGATTCATGCACCGGTGGGGTCCCTCGGCCTGGCCTGAGCCCTCTCGCAATCCAGAATCCCTTGGGGGATGTCAGACTGCCGGTTTCGGCCCAATCCCTGCAGGGCAGGCCGAATCCATGCATATAAGATCTTTGGTTAATCTCTTTCTGCCTTCCCCTTCCCCACTTCCTTCTGAGATTCATCAGTCTGTTCCATGTTTCCATGCCTATGCATTGAGCATCTGCCCCCTGGTGGTCAGTGCACATCATAGCTACTAGTCCAATGGTCAAACAGTCGCTTAGGCATATATATATATATATATATATATATATATATATATATATATACACACACACACACACACACACACATATACAGGGTGGGCAAAGTAGGTTTGCAGTTGTGAGTATGTGAAACAGAGTTTATTCTTTTATTATTTACTAATTATGGTATTATTTATTTATATTATAACTGTAAACCTACTTTTGTCCACCCCATATATAATGTTTATTATGAGAAAAAGTGTACTCTATTTTTTAAAAATATTTTTTTATTGATTTTAGAGAGGAAGGGATAGGGGGAGGGAGAGATAGAAGCATCAATGGTGAGAGAGAATCACTGATCCCTGCTTCCTGCATGGCCCCCACTGGGGATCAAACTGTGACCTCCTGGTTCATAGGTCGATGCTCAACCACTGATCCACATGGACTGGGGTGTACTCTACTTTTTAAAATCAGAGTCTATTGCCTAAGACTAATGCCCCCCCTCCCACTTGTCTTTATGCATCACTCGCCCAGTACCTGCCCGCGTTGTGCCTACTCCCCTTGTGCTTTTGCCTGTGCTGCTCCCCGTCGGTCAGCATGCAGACTTCCTTCAGACTCGGCTCCAAGTGAGGCTCTTCCAGGAAGCCTTCTCCAACTGCCTGCAGTGCATCTCACCTCTGCATTCCTCACCCCTGTCTTCTCTTTCACTCCACTCAGGCCGTGCACAGCACATGGTTGTCAAGCCATTCATGTTAGTCGTGCTCCCAGTAGATGGTACAGTCCTGAATGACCAGGGCGTGTTTCATTCCTCTAGGGGTCCTAGGTTGCCTCTATCCCCTTGTCTCATTAAGGCGAGTGAGCAAAATTCTGTTGTTTGTTTGCAGAGCTCTTGTTTTATTTTCATTTCGTAGGTATAGAGTACGAGAGCTGAAATGCATCTCCTTCATTGAAATACGTGTGATGAAAGACAGGAGGCCCAGCGGCCTGAGGAAGCCACCCTATGTGCAGAGCACTGCTCTTGCTGGGATGCTCTGCTCCTACCTTCGCCAGGGAGCAGCTCGGGGTGGTAGGCAGAGCCCGAGCCTCATGGTCCAACACTTAATAACACGTGGCCTCGGCAAATTGTTTACCATTTCTGAACTTCGATTTCTTATTCTGTGAAATGGGGTTAATAGTAGGTAGGGAGTAGGCACAGGGGTGTGAAGATTACACCCTATGCCACGCACGTGGGAAGGGTGAATTACGTCTCCTTACTCTCTTCCCAGTCGGATGGTGTTTACACCACACCATGTTGATTACCAATACCTCTCCACCTACCTATCAATATCATGAATATTGATACTTCACTCTAGGCCATGCTGGAAGAGTCTGAGGAAATTCACAGCGATCTGGAAGCGATGACTGAGAAGTTGCAGCACCTCGCTAGCGTGTACTATACCGAAAAGATGTCTCAGCAAGTGGCCGACCTGGGACGGGAGGCGGAGGAGCTGCGGCAGATGATCAAGCTTCGTTTGCAGAATCTCCAAGATGCTGCCAAGGTAAAAAATAGTCATCACTTAAATTGAGAAGTCCATTAAGAAAACATGCCCTCGCTGGTTTAGCTCAGTGGATAGGGTGCCGGCCTGCAGCCTGAAGGGTCTTAGGTTCTATTCCAGTCAAGGGCATGTACCTTGGTTGCAAGCTCCTCCCCGGCCTGGGTGCTAGTTGGGGCTCGTGCAGGTGGCAACCAATCTCTGTGTTTCTCTCACATCGATGTTTCTCTCTGTCTTTCCCTCTCTTCCACTCTCTCTAAAAATCAATGGAAAAATATCCTTGGGTGAGGATTAAAAAACAAAAAACAAACAAACAAACAGTGGTGCTTTATAGTGGAAGTATAGTGCTCACCTCTGCTGAGCCTTCTTGACTGTGATGCTATTCTTCATCTTGAACTTGAACTTCAAGTGCTTAAGTAATGACATGCGTGTTGCTTTTCCTCTGCAGGATATGAAACAATTTGAAGCAGAGCTGAAACACCTACAAGTGGGTCTGGAGCAAGCCCAGACAACGCTGGCTTCCCCGGAAGTGGGACGCCTTAGTCTCAAGGAGCAACTCTCTCATCGACAGGTGAGCAAAATCAACCCGGGGCGCTGAGCGGGAGCCTAGATTTTAAAAAGAGGAGAGTGAGGAAAAATGATTTTTAAACTCAGTTATAGTCTTAGCTCTATATGCTAAGTGTTTTTAAATATATTTTTATTGGTTTCAGAGAGGAAGGGAGAGGGAAATATAGAAACATCAATGATGAGAGAGAATCATTGATGGGCTGCCTCTTGCCTGCCCCACACTGGGGACCGAGCCCACAGCCCCGGCATGTGCCCTGACTGGAATCGAACCATGACCTCCAGGTTCATAGGTTGATGCTCAATCACTGAGCCACAACTGGCCAGGCTCTATGCATTGTTTTTGTAATATTTCTTGGAAAATGTTTATGACTTGTAAACGCGCTGTAACTTGTCTCTTGCTTATGAGAGAAAGTCTTGGGTATAACTATGCTCTCGCACTTTCAGCACCTGCTGTGTGAGGTGGAGTCGCTGAAGCCGAAGGTCCACGCTGTGCAGACCTGCCAGAGCGCGCTCCGCATCCCCGAGGACGTGGTCACCAGCTTGCCGCTCTGCCACGCGGCCCTGCAGCTGCAGGAGGAGGCCAGCCGGCTGCAGCACGTGGCCATCCAGCAGTGCAACGTCATGCAGGCACGTGCGGGGGTCCCCACGCCAGCCCAGCAGCAGCCAGGGTCATGGCTCCTTTCCTGAGCTTGTGAGGGCTCAGCCCTCAACACACACCCAGAGTGTGAACTGTGACAGATGGTTGTGGTTATGTAAAATTAGAGAGTGAAATGCTATTATTTGGATCACCCATGAAAGCCTGGGGAACGCTCTATAAAAAGATATCTGTTGGTGAACACTATCTTTTAGCGATATTTTTAGAACAACAGCTTATAAAGGCTAATATTCTATTTAGCCATATTTTTTGCCTCGATATTCATCTGAGAATCATCTAAAACCTTGAAATATGACTTTACTGCTAGCACATATTACAGAATTTTTTTCACATTTCAGCGTACTGATGCACTAAATGCATTTTCATGCCTGAGAAGTGCATCCAAGTATTTCTCTTTAATAAGAGAAAAATCATTTATTAGGAAAATATGATACTATTTACTTCATATCTCATTTCAACTTATGTCAACTTATGTTGCACCATGTCTTTCTTTCTTTCTTTTTTTTTTAAATCCTCACCCGAGGATATTTTTCCATTGATTTTTAGGGAGAGTGGAAGAGAGAGGGAAAGACAGAGAGAAATATCCATGTGAGAGAAACACATCGATTGGTTGCCTCTTGTATGTGCCCTGACCAGGGTCCAGGCCGGGTAGGAGCCTGCAACAGAGGTACTTGCCTTTGGTCGAGATCGAACCTGGGACCCTTGAGTCTGCAGGCCAATGCTCTATCCACTGAGCCAAACCTGCTAGGGCTCATGTTGTACCATTTTTACCCAAAAATTATGTACATATCCTCTCATTACATTGCTAATGGCCTCTTTGGTCAGCTGTCCTTATTCCACATATTGTCATTTGTTAGGCAGTAAATTCCTGGGAATAGAAGTCACGCTGAAGTAATTTTTTATCCTCTACTCTAGCAGTTACCAAGTGCCTTACATATATATTCAGTATTCTTAGACGGATAATAACTGTGTTTTTACACTTTTCCTACCATGTCTGACCATCTTCAGATCAATGAATAGGGGAAGATAGAGCATCTCGCCACTTAATTGCTTTGAGTTCCTGAGTAATCTTGGCAGCATGTTTTAGAGAGAAGGTTCTGGAACATCTGAGCAAAGTTGAGGCTTTGGATCACCTAGGAATTTTACCCATCATTTCGTTATTCCCCAGACACGCAGGTGATAGGAGTTCAGGCTGTAGTTGGCTGACAGCAGCACAGCGTTGCTTCCCCACCTATTGATATGGAAAGATAAGGCTGTGGCCTTTTTTTCCCCAAAGGAGGCTGTGATGCAATATGAACAATATGAACAAGAGATGCAGCGCCTCCAGGAGCTGATAGAAGGAGCCCACAGAGAGATCGAGGATACGCCCGTGGCCACCAGCAACATCCAGGAGCTGCAGGCCCAGATTTCTCGGCACGAGGTAAGACAGGAACGCAGGAAGCAGGGCGGGACAATGGCTGGATTAGAATCTGTGACTGGTTTCCAGTGAATGAGAGAGAAAGGTCTTCCCTGTCCTGCACATACGTGTTCGGTGCTTGGGCAGTCTCTTGGGCTGTGTTTGCATTTTGAGGCCTACTGGCATGAATCTCCCCCCCCCCCCCCAACACACACAGTTTTTTTGTTTTTAATATGTTTTCATTGATTTTTAGAAAGAGAACAAGGGAGAAGAATTGATCGGTTGCCTCCTCCAGGTTCCCTACTGGGTATCAAGTTTGCAACCCAGGCATGTGCCCTGACAGCGAATCAAACCTTTGACCTCTTGGTGCACGGGGGGACGCTCAATCTACTGAGCCCTGCCCGCCGGGTGAAAAACTGATTTTTTTTTTTTAGGTGATTTCCCAAGTCCCCAGATCTAGTTCCTCAAAGAAAACAGATTCTAATCTAGTATTTTGGGCTCCAAGTTAGTTTTCACTGCAGCAGGATCTATCTGGGCTACCTCACTGCCCAAAAGAAAAGAATGATGGGCCCAGACACAAATGACCTGCCCAAGGTCATGAAGCTGGTTCCCAGCACAGACAGCTGCCAACTGTTCTGGCTCCTGATCAGAGATCTGCTCATTTTGTCACATTCTCCTCCCGTCCTCCCCCCCCCCCCCCCAAGTTCTAAACATCAGTGTAGACAAGTGTTAGCTTTGTCATGGGATTTAGAATAAATCTTCAAATCAATGGTGACCTAGCCCTGGGCAGGGCTCATTGTATGTATAAAACAAACACAGGAAGGAAAGTGCTGAGAGGAGTAAACCTGATTTGAATGCTTCTTCCTGTACTTTCAGTCTGCTGTTAATAGAACCAAATCTTGATGAGAGCCTGATTTCCTTATGGATAACTTGAGCGCGTAGAATAACTGATAACTGATTCATTTCCCATTTTTTTCTGTGACTTTTCAAATGTTGCATTTAATGAGAACATTATCCTGCCACTTTCAAATCGTAGGAGAGCACACGCAGGCCTGTTGCTGTCCATCTGGCCTAGGCCTGCCCCTGAGTGCAGGGAGCAGCCACTGCTCCCGAAATCCCCACCGATATGCTCATCCTCTATAATCATTTTCAGAAACAACCAGTAAAAATTAAAAATACATATGCTTTCTGAGAATAGGGAACAGGTCAACCCAGTCAGTGCTCCATTTTAATAGAGCAGACTTGACCACCAACCCACAAAGTTAATGGGAGATAGGCAGGCTTATCTTAGGGAAGAAAGTTCTAGATGGCTAATTCTGCTCTCAGTCACATAGGGTAACTATATAGTGCAGATTCTCATGAGCATAGGAAATCAATATTCTTTGGAGACAAGAATTGCATTTTTTTTTTTAAAAAAAATCTTTATTGTTGAAAGTATTACATATGTCCTCTTCTTCTCCCCCCCCCCCCCCCCCCCGCCCCCATTGACCCCATCTAGCCTGCCCCACCCCCCACCCCAGGCCTTCCTCACACTATTGTCTGTGTCCATGGCTAACATTATGCATACAAGTTCTTTGGTTGATCTCTTGAATCGCATTTTTAACAAACAACCCAGATGAGTTTTACACACAATTGAGCTGAGAACTGCTTAGGCCATGGGTGTTGACTGTCAGTGTGGGCACCCCTGGGTCTGCAGTCTTGAATGGGAGTGATCATCCATGTGGGTACAAAGGGCGGAAGGACTAAGACTCATTGTGCTTCACAGAGATTCCTCTCACCTACCTGATGGGGCAAGCCATTGTAAGAATGCACAAGGATTTGTCCTATGGGAACTGAATTCAAGGAGTACAGTGAGCTGGTAGTTGTCTTTTACTAGTATATGTGCCTGTTAACTAATTATTAATAGAATGCCCATGTGTTAGGCATGAGACCAGATATATAGTAAATAGCTACTTAATCACTACTATATTTTTAAAACTATTTAGGTTTAATTAAGTATCTAGCAGCCCTAGTAGGTAAAGAAGTGATGATTCCTACTTTTTAAATCCTTGCTTGAAAAGTCCCTGTACTATTCTAGATGTCAGAAGAACAGGCCAAAATGACAACAATAACAAAATGGTACACATGTGTGTGTACGTGTGTATACATATGCATATATACCTATACATGTCCATATACACAGACTTACACACACATATATGTAATTTTGTTATTGTTGTCATTTTGTTTGTTTCTGAACTTCAAGTTCAAAGCTCTAGTTTGAATGTCAGTGTTTTTAAAATGAGTGTAAGTATACAGATCTGTATATACTCACTCATTTTAAAGACACTGACATTTAATATCTTTGCCATAAACTGTTTTGTACAAACTTTTTAGACAAAGGAGCCAAATAAGAGGAATAGGAAAAAGTAATGGTGTTGTAGTTTTAGGAATAAATTTTAGAATATACACTTTCACTTTTTACAAGAAGTAGTCATCTTTTAAGTAAGAATATAATGTTAATATTTTAGAATTATAGTTCTAACTTATTATTTTAGAATGTCAATATTTTAGAATTTTTTTTTAAATATATTTTATTGATTTTTTTTTACAGAGAGGAAGGGAGAGGGATAGAGAGTTAGAAACATCGATCGGCTGCCTCCTGCACACCCCCCACTGGGGATGTGCCCTCAGCCAAGGTACATGCTCTTGACCTGAATCGAACCTGGGACCCTTCAGTCCGCAGGCCGACGCTCTATCCACTGAGCCAAACCGGTTAGGGCAATATTTTAGAATTTTTAAGAGCTGTGTGCTGTCCAGAATATATTTTCAATAAGCTCCTGGTAAAAGGTTTAAAATCCTCTATCTCTCAAGACAATTTTTTCAACAAGAAACATTTAAAAGCTATTAAGTTTGAGCTGAATAAGTTCAAAGCTCCAGCCTGAAACATTTGAGGCCTGGTAGAGAACATGAGGGATATTTTGATGGATGCAAAAAATTTTATTTGGGGAGTCATCTGCATTAAAAAAATCAGGCTTTCACATGTAATAGTAAGCTTATCTACAAAAACAACTCCCAGGGACACAGGAATGGCAAGCAGTCTGCTTACTGCCCAGGTCTGCACAACTGACTGCTCTATTGGAAATATTCAGTATACAGCTGAGCTTTGCATTTTTTTTTGTAATTTTAGTCATCACATGACCTGATTTCCATGGCATGCACCATCTGGCAGTGACAGGTTCTTCAGGCGCTGGAAAGAGAGCGGCAGGCTCTTCAGGTTACATAAGTTCCTGGCTGCGCACGCAGCGTCCCTCGGGTTAGGATCCCTGGCGGGAGCCTGGGTGTCCTGCCCAGCGGCTCCGGCCCCTCTGCGCCCCGCGCGGCGGTCCGGCTCCGAGCCCAGCGCCCAGCGCGGCAGGCGGGCTCGCTGCCCCTCGCCGGCCACATCCTGCCTCCCACCGCCGCTGCCGCCGGCACAGCGCTGCCAGCTCATTGGCCAGCCCGGGAGGAAGATGAGCGCGGCGAGCTGTTTCCTCCTGATGCTGCTCTGACACTCAGGGGGTGGGAACATGTTTCCCCAGGAGCTGGCTCAGAAAATCAAAGGCTACCAGGAGCAGATCGCCTCCTTGAACTCCAAGTGCAAGATGCTGACAATGAAAGCTAAGAACGCCACCATGCTGCTGACGGTGACGGGCGTGGAGGGGCTGGCGGAGGACTTGGACCGGGAGCTCCTCCCAGCCACCTCCGCCCACCCCTCTGTGGTCATGGTAAGTAAGGGTCAAGGCCGGGTTTGCCGGTGCCCTGCACTCTCTCTCGCTCTCTGACTGCACCCTGGCTCCTGGCTCCTGGCTCCCCGTTTACTCTGGCTTATTTTAGGGATCAGAAGTAGGTCTTGCCTAGGAGAAGTGAGGAACAGGCTCCTGAAGTCTCTGCTACATTTGGGCCAGAGCCAGCATTTGACACCGTAAACAATGACCGTTGACATAAAGCTATTTGCTTGAGACTGCTGAATTACTTAACATGCCAGAGGTCGGCCCTGCATTTGTTTATAACTGAGCGAGAACACTGAGAGGCTCTAAGCATTTAAAACAAAACAGAACAAAACAAAACAAAACAAAACAAAACACCTTTGCACAGTTTTCTAGTTTTCTGGGGGATGGGAGAATCATGCTACATATATTGTGTGCTTTCCAAGTTAAAACATTGGCTGGCTAGATATGTGTGCTTAGTTGTAGAAATGTTTAGTAAAATATAGAAGAAGGGCTATTCTTAGAAAAATAAGAAAATAGAAGGTCCAAAGCTTACGCTTTGGATTAAAATAAAAAAGTACCACTAATTTCTGCCTGCATTTATTTCCCCATCACTTTGCATGTAAAATGCATGAATTATTTTGGTAACTCAGTGAGTTTCAGTCCTGTGTTGTTTCCACACATATGTGCTGTGCCACGTCCAGTGCATAACCGATACTTAGGTGACATGTCCCTCAGGATGCAATTGGCTTCTCAGAATATTTGAAATTTGAGATGTACACAAAAGTCCAAGCTTCATTTGATAGACCCTTCCATCATGAGTACAATTCATGTTTTTTTAAAAAATTATTCATAAAGGTACAAGCAATCAAGAAAAGGAAAATAAATTAGAGAACTATTTCATCAACCACAAAACTTTTACTCTGATATGCACCTGCTAGCCCTGTTTCTTTACAAATGGTTCCTAGCTTCATGTTCACCTGCACCACACTTTTAAATACTAACACAAGTGTAACACAAGTGTGCATGAGATGCGGGTCTCAGTCATTCTAAGCTTAGTTATACTACTATAATGATCTCTGTTTGACCTCTGCCTGACCAGGTCTTTTGTTGCACAGCTAATTGATTTTTATGTCCTCTGGGCTACCTTTTGTGTGACAGATGACTGCAGGTCGCTGTCACACTCTGCTGTCACCTGTCACCGAGGAGTCTGGGGAGGAAGGAACCAGCAGTGAGATCTCCTCTCCGCCTGCCTGTCGCTCCCCGTCTCCTGTGGCAAACACCGAAGCTTCTGTGAACCAGGTACCTACCGCCCACTCGGGGACCCCCCTCGCTGTGCTCTCTGGATGGCTGCAGGACCTCATTTCTGTCGGTCTGAGGGTGTGAATCCTGGCCTTTGAGAAACACACCATGAGGTGTGACAGTTGCACAAGCTGTGATTGTCATGTGAGACCACTCCTGGCTTTACAGGTCATCTCCTCTCCAGGGCTCCTGGCAATGAGATGAGCAAAAACTGGGTCACAGAAATGATAGCTGGGGAAGGCTCTGTTTTAAGGCATGTGGCTCCGGTGTCCGACAGCTCTCAGTAATGGAGCCCTGCATCCTAACAGAAAAGGAAATGTTTATGTCGCCTGTGTAAAATAACGTGGTTCTATTGCTCTGTGAACGTGTATTGACATTAGTTTTGACAACTACCAGCTCAGATTTTTAAAAATATATTTTTTTGTTGATTTCAGAGAGGAAGGGAGAGGGAGAGAGACATAGAAACATCAATGATAAGAGAGAATCATTGATCAGCTGCCTCCTGCCTGCCTCCTATTGGGGATGAGCCCACAACCCAGGCATGTGCCCTGACTGGGAATCAAACCGTGACCTCCTGGTTCATGGGTCGATGCTCAACCACTGAGCCAAATCAGCCAGGCCCAGCTCCAATGAAAACTTTGGTTCGTCAATCATGCTTTTGTTTCATTTACTAATGGTCATCCAATTTAAAGGGCTGGCTGCCAGTTTATATATTAGAATGCCCAAGTAGATTTGAGCTTTTACACTTATCATTCAATAATCTTAAATTTTATTTTTTTATAAAATAGGAACAATGCCCTGTTTTGAGATGCCTTTTATCACACATTATATTAAAATAGATTCTATAAAAGTATGTCAAAATTTTTCATGGAAATATTAGATAGAAATAAAAAAGACACTCATACAGTAATCAACAAATTTTAAGGCATGTTGAGTAATACTACCTTTTTCTCATTTAGCCAAAACAACTAAACATTATTTAAAAAATTGTGTTACTATAAAATTACGTAAATAAAAAAAAGGAAAAGAAAGAAAATTATGTAAATGTTCTAAGAGGTTTAGCTGTATTATCAAGGAAGAAATATTAAACAGAGTGCCAGAGCCGGTGTGGCTCAGTTGACTGAAGGGTCCCTGGTTCAATTCCAGTCAAGGGCACCTGCCCGGGTTGTGGGCCCGATCCCCAGTGTGGGGCGTGCAGGAAGCATCCAATCAATGATTCCCTGTCATCGTTGATGTTTCTATCTCTCCCTATCCCATCCTCTCTGAAGTCAATACAAATATATTGAAAAAAATATTAAAGTGAGCAAAGACTCTATTAACTATATTACAAATTGATCATACTTTTTAAAATTTTAAAGCAGAAGCATTCAAAATAGGGTTTCTGTGATAAAGACAACCCCTTCTCCCCCCAGAAAGGAGAATAAAATTGATGAAGCCTTTAGATAAACAGTTCTCTTGATTACAATCTCTATAGCTCAAGGGCAGTTAGCGGTTCATCCAATCATCAGCTACATCCTGATGCCTGTTCCGAGTGAGGTCTTGTGCCGGGTCCCAGAGGTGCAGCAAAGGGGAACACAGCTGGGCTCCCTGCCCTCCAGGCCCTTGTAATCTACAGAGAAAGATGGCTGTGGGACCAATAATAACAAAAGTTATGAGAGGAAATTGAAAAACAGCACAAATGGGGAAGTTCAGGGTGCTCTGGAGGATTTGGGGAACTGTTCTCCAAATTCTGATTTTAAAATATGCATTACTCATTCTTTGAAATGTTCTTTCCTGTGGTCACATATTATTAGGATCAGAGAAACATGGCTGTAGTTAGCTGTTGATTGTTTAGAAAAAAATATATGCCCAATATTCTTAAAATTGAACAATAAATACTGGCCTTGAGACTAACTCTGTGGGAAGAATATCCCTTTTCTGAAAATATAAGTCTTGATGCTGTTTCTTATAAAGTGTCTTTCAAAGGACATGAAAGTGCCCTGTAAATGATAATTATTTGTCATAATTATTTTAACTGTCAAGCTCAAGCAAATCCCCAAATTGAGTGAGATTATGCTTTATCTTAATCCCACTTGCCACCTCTCTCCATCAAAGGCAACTATCAATTAAATCACATTATTCACCTAACATACTTATATGTGCTACCACAAATTCTTTCTTTTTAAATTTCATTCAGTTTATGTTAGGCAGCTCTACTAGGCGGAAGCTATTAAAAAGCAAAAGTGTTATGCTTGGTGTTGCCCTAACAAATTGACCCCATCATCTATGGCCACATGCCATCCTTCTACAGTAATGTAAGCCAGGGGAGAAGGAATAAATACAGCCCTGGCCGGTTTGGCTCAGTGGATAAAGCATCTGCCTGTGGACGAAAGGTCCTGGGTTCAATTCCGGTCAAGGGCATATGCCCGGGTTGCATGCTCAATCCCCAGTAGGGGGCGTGCAGGAGGCAACTGATCAATGATTCTCTCTCATCATTGATTTTTCATCTCTCTCTCCCTCTCCCTTCCTCTCTGAAATCAAGAAAAATATATCTTTTTAAAAAAAGAAAGAAAAGGAACAAATACAACTTGTCCAATGAAGCATTGGACTCACAAAAGTTTGTCTTGAAACTGGGAAGGACATTTAGAATCCGCATACGTTCCAGTTTTCAGACTCAAAACACCGTACAGAATGTGCACAGCTGCTTTATACAGGCGCAGCGGTTTAAAAAGGTTTTGTGCTTGCTGCTCCTGTAAGTAGATCCCTGTTATATAACGAGTGGATCGCCCACTTTCAGGGTGTTCTGTCTCTGACAATAGCTGTTAGCTGAAATGTGGTTCCGGTTTCACCCGCCGGAGGATGGATGAAGGAAGCAGCCCCAGGATGGGCTGCAGGCTCCGTGGTTCCGGTGGAAGCGAGCCAAGCAAGACTGCAGCTCCTGGGAGAGCTGAGGAGAGCACAGCTTTGAAAGGGCGATAGTGTAAGGGCTGGGGCACTGGGCTCCAGGTTAAAGGTCAGCGCAGGTCCCAGCTCTCCCTCCTCTAAGCTGAAAGTCCTTGGCAAGTCCCTCAGTCCCCGCATCTGCAATGGGAAGCAGTGCTGCCACTTTCACACAATTGTGAAAAAAGTTTAAATGTGATGTTAATCGTTAAAAGTACCCTTTTGACTGGAAAATGGTGATGAAATGGTAGCTATAGTTTTCTGAATTTATTTCCTTAGGAATCTACTGGATAACAACTCTTGGAACTTAGGCACATAAGTCACAGACACATATTTCTCAGGGTGATTCCTCAAAATGACAAAGATTGCCTTTATTTGGTACCTACTTAAAGCACTGATGGATTTATTTTATTGAATCCATGTCCTCCTCAAAGAGGTCCAAGTTATTCATCTACAAAAGGTGGTATATGTTCAAATCCTTAAAACACACACACATAACAGTTGTCATTCCTGTCTAACAGGCTTGAGCCACACATACACAATCATAATCAAACACAAAAGCGCCAGAAAAAAAGATATTTTGGTAACAGATTTATTTTATTCTAGCTCTTTTAAGAGCCTTTTAACAATTTATAATAGAGCCTTTAATTAAAAATGTTTACAACACTTGAAGCAACTTTTCCCTTGAGGACAGTAATAGTATATACATGTAAATAAAATAATAGGCTTAAAGAAGCACTTTGACACGGATGATTCATGATGTACATGTATGTCTGCCTGTTATTGCCAAACAGCAGGACGTGCTCCGGATCAGACACTACAGGCATTTCTCCTTCAGGGAGCTCCCAGCCTGAGAGCAGCAGGGAATTACAGTAGATCGGGATGCGTGCTCTGACAGGGAGCACCTAAAACCAGGCTGGAGTCCAGGATTGGTCAAGGATGGCACCTTTAACTTTAAGACAAGAGTGCAAGTTAGGCAGTTGTGAAGTTTTCCAGGCAGAAGGAACCCCAGGTAGGAAGGTGAGATATCAGGAAGGAAAATGGCCCATCAAGGCAACTGCAAACAGTATCGGTGGAACTGGAGGAACAGATTTGGTGGAGAAGGAGAAAGAGAAATGAAGCTTAGAGGGATGCAGGAAACACACCCTGAAGGACCTTGGATGCCACACAAATGAATATGAACTTGATCCAGGAGCTAATAGTTAACTGTTGATGAAAATCGACTAGAAGCTATGTACGGAAGTGAGTTTTAGATGGATCAACCTGGGTGGATGTGGACAGTAGAATGGAGATGCACCAATTCAGAGCCAGGGAGGGAGTTAGGGACAGAGCTGCTGTCAGAGCCAGGCCCAGACTCGAGCTGCAAATGGGAGAGACAGCAGGGGGACGGTGGCCACCTGGACAGCACCGCTCCTCATACAGGAGGCAGCCCCTCCTCCGTTAGAGTTGCTGCGGCCCCGTGGACACAGCGTCCAGGCTTCCTTCCCTGCCTCCCGATTTGCAGGAGAAGCCATGAGTCTGGATTCTTACCAATCTCCCTGTCTCCGTGAAGAGTAATTTAAACAATTTGAAACTATATAAACCAATCTACAGGGCTGCCAGTTTACAGCCTGGGAATGGGGGAAGGCGCTGTAATGAGAATTTGCACCAATGCTGTGGCAGGGGCACGCTTCAGTAGAATGTCATTTTTACATAAGCAGTAGGTGATAAGGGGAGAAGAAATAGCAAATAAATATCAAGTCTTTAGCTTAGGTGGAAGACGGATAATGCTTTATCATTTCTTCCTAAGTTCATTTGTCACCCTCGATTGCTTTTTAAATGTTGAGTTGAAAGAGACTGGGATATACTCATTCAACTGTGTATGTGAGTCAGGAGCTTATAAATACACCCACGTTTGAGAATGAGTGGAGAAAAACTACAAACGAGAAAGACTGAATGACTAGAGAGCTGGGTGGAGAGCAGAGAGATGAAAGGCAAGTGTTTCCAGAAAGGATGGCCGGTGGCATGGATGCTACTGAGCGGTCAAGCCAGGGAAAGGCTGGAACATACTCCTGTTATTTCGTAGGGAAGAGCCACTGATGATGAGGCAAGAACAATTGCAGTGGACTCGTTAGGACTGAAGCTCAACTGGGCATTTAGAAGTTGATTGAGGGTGAGAAAGTGAACAAATCAAGCGTAAACTACCATTTTCAGAAGCTGCATTACGAGCCGAAAGGGAGGAAAGTAAGAAATAAATGGTGATTACAAATGTGTATACAGGTATATGCACATGTAACAACCCATCAGTGATTTGTGACATTTCTAATATATGATATCCTGCAAGAAAATAGTTATGAAAGAAAGACTATTTGCAGGGGTTTTCAGAGGGAAAAGATTTGACTCTGTGTGCTGAGGAGAAAGTCAGGAGAGAGGGAGAGGATGTTAGGGGACCGAGTCCTTGAAAGCAAAGATGGATGGGATTCTAGGAGGGTGAGCCTTAAGCAAGGAAGCTGGCCAGAATAAGATAAAGGTGAGTGTGAATACAGACATACTTTTGGAAATTTCAGAATTTTAGGAGTATCTCTTGGGTGGCTTCATTGCGTGTCTGTACGCATGTGTGTGTATGGGAGCATGCACATACATGCATCCTTTAAAGAAAAATTATATTGAGTTCTGGTTGGGGTTTTCCAAGTGAGTGAAGCAGAGGTCAGATGGACAGAGGAAACGAAGCTGTTGGCAAACGAAAGGTTTCAGTAATTGTAGATGTGACTGGTGCACGGGCTTGGACCAAGTCAGTGCTGACAGGCTATCCATGTTCAAGGGTGTGGAGGACTGAAGTGGTTGGAGGCGCATGAGGATGAATGAATATGAGCTTTTCCAAGGACTGGAGAATACCAAGGTCACTGACCAAGGAGGTGACAGGGCTAGGAGAGGAGAGGAACCCGTCTCCATGCCCCAGTGCCATCAGTACATGTTAGAGACCTATTTGGAGCCTCAGCAACAGCAACAACGTAGTTAAGTCTCCTGGCCCTTCACCTGGGACTGTAGTGAATCCTCAGAAGCACCCAGTGCTTGCAGAGGAGGGACCAGTGCAGGAGAGGGGAGTGACTGGCCCCAGGCATATGACTACCTGGGAGGAGAGTGCCAACGGGACCTCAAGTGCCCTGGCTTCTCAGGTGTCAGACTGCTGTCTGCATTCATGCCACTGCAGGACCCTGCTTCTCTCCCCTACTGACCCCAACCACCAGGCCCCTTCCTGCTGCGGCCTTGGTTTCTCAGGCAGCTGGGACCTTCTTCACTACATCTTACCAAGACATTATTATCCCTAAGGTTCAGGTATTTAAAATTAACATAATTTTCTTCAATAACATAACTGTAAAAGGAGTGAACTTTATAATAGCAATACCCAGAATCTAAACATTACTCACCAATTCAACTTCTGTTAATATACAGATAAATAACCACAGAAACAAATGGAAACACCTGACTTATATGTCTTGATATCATAGATCCTATTGTCAATATTAATAAAATATGTAATATGACTTATAACCCAAGGAATGAGAATAATTCAAGGGCCTGGTTTTTTATTATTCACTTTACTTTTTTGTGTACTTTCCAGGAACTGATTAGAAGGGAACCTTTTTTTATTTGTTACTTAGAGTAGTTTTAACTTCCCTATTATTTTTTTCCCATTTTTAAAGTGAAAATATTTAAATTAATTTCCATGAAGAATGAGCTCTCAAATATGGAAGATCTGGCTATCCCTGAAAAATGACTTTCTGTAGATTTAATTTTACTTAAAGCGAATTATTCAGAACTTTAAGCAATGCATTAAGCAGAATTTTAGAAAAGGTTCAGAAAAGATTACTTAGGGTTTTTGTTTGTTTTACTATAGTAGTTAATCTTTAAATACGTGTACCACTTCAATCCTTTGTATTTCCATTTTAACAAATACAAAATAAGAATGAGTTCTGACAACTTTTATTGCTAAATGTGTTGGGTTTTTTTTACATAAACTGAAATTCTAAAGCAACTATAATGTGCTTTGATACGACTTCTACATTCTTCTTGCCACAAGAATTTACTCACTTTAATAGTCTGTAGCCCCGCCCTAGCCGATTTGGCTCAGTGGATAGAGTGTAGGCCTGCAGACTGAAGAGTCCCTGGTTCTATCCAGGTCAAGGGCACATGCCCTGGTTCTGGGCTCAACCCCCAGTGGGGGACGTGCAGGAGGCAGCCAATCAATGATTCTCTCTCATCATTGATGTTTCTCTCTCTCTCTCCCTCTCCCTTCCTCTCTGAAATCAATAGTAATAGTAATAATAATAATAATAATAATAATAATAATAATAATAAAATAGCCTTAGCCCCTGGGACAGGTGTGAGTCCTCCCCCCGACAGACAGCACACAGGGCATGCGAACCCACACTCTGTCTTCCCCTGACTCCAGCGCTGTGCTTTGCCCGCACAGGATATTGCTTATTACCAAGCCTTGTCTGCCGAGAGGTTGCAGACCGATGCCGCGAGGATCCAGCCCAGCGCGCTGCCACCCCAGGAGTTCTATGAGCCAGGGCTGGAGCCCTCGGCGACCGCTATGCTGGACAACCTGCAGCGTTCCTGGGAAACTTTAAAGAACGTGGTAAGTCACTGAAACGTGGACCGGTTTGAGCCCACCAGACACCCATGACCTTCGTGGTGGCCTTTTGCAATCCACACAGAGAGTTTGCACATGCCCTGCACCGCTGACCACCCTCTATTGGGCCACAGAGGGAAAGCAGTGAGGAAAGCAGTGTCATAACCTAGAAGATAAAGGGCGAGGAAGCGTTTGGTAATATCCCTTTTCTGCTTTAGATCAGTGAAAAGCAGCGCACGCTCTATGAAGCTCTGGAACGCCAGCAGCGGTACCAGGACTCCCTCCAGGCCATCTCCACGAAGATGGAGGCCATCGAGCTGAAACTCGGTGAGAATCTGGAGCCGGGCCGGAGTCCAGAGAGCCAGATGGCTGAGCATCAGGTAAAAATAGCAGTGACTTCAGTTTCCTGCATGACTTCATAGGTGCACGCTTGTGACTGGTCACCGGCCGAGCGTGTGTGGCGAGAGCAGACTGACATTTTTTCACTGTCTCAGTTCTCACCGAGTAAACAAGGTTCCAGATGCTGGTGGTTTCCACTCCTGCTTCAGGGCGGGATGGAGGAGAGAAAGAAAGAAAGTCAGACCTTGAACCTAATGAAAGGATGCTGCATGCATTGATGTTGCTTTTTTATTTTTATTATACAAAGCGTAGTTCCTTTTATTTTTTTAAAATCTTTATTGTTGAAAGTATTGCATATGTCTATTCCATGCTTGTATTTCCTTTATTTTGTAAGAATAAGACACCCTTCCATCTACCTTCTCTGGGTATTGCTGTTCTAAGAAACTTAACCATGTGCCCAGCACCTCCCATTATCACTTAGGAGAATAGCTCTCAGACTTCAATGGGCAAAGAAACAGTTGAAGAGTAAGGGCTTCTAAGTTATGATCTTGTGCTTGTTCTTGCCTTGAATTCTTTTTTAAAAGGTTACGTAAACTAGGCAAAGCTATAACATTCTATGAGAAAGAGACAATTATATCAACCTAACCCAGAAAGCTATTGTTTAAAATGCACCAATTTAAAATGCATGATAAGAAAGTGCATATGTTAAAATCTGGGTCACGCTTTAGCATTCTGTCAGGTGCACTGTTAATGCACGATCAGGTATAAAGGAGGTGCAAGGGTACGACGCTTACGTTCACCTAAATATCATCACCATGATGTGGGGAAGTGCTGTCTGCCCCGATCAAAGCTCAGGGGCATGTGACAGCCCTATTGAAAGCAGAGGAAAAGGAAAATATTTTTAGATGCAAATTAAGAGCTATAAAAGCATGACGTGCTATGTGTATCTACCAAGTACACGTTTATCTTTCCCCTAATTTGCATTTGTGTAGTTTCAGAACCTTGGAATATCTTGTTTGTTCATGTGTGCGGTCTAAGGTGAAATGGCATTCTTTTACAATATAGGAGCTTGCAGTAATAGCATGAAAATAAAGGCATTTTATCTAGAGACAGCGTACTGAGAATATGACTTCAGGTTTTTGACACTTCTGTGACTTTGTAAGATAGAGATCAAAGTGCCTAGCATCCATTTGAGGCCTTATTTTGGGTCTTTCTGTTTCCCAAAGTCACCCCTAGTCAGTCTGGTTTGGCGAGGGTGCCATACATAAATATATAAAATTAAAATTAACCTCTGTTTACCTAAACCAAACCAATCGTGAGGATAGTCAGGGACTTCGGTGTCTATTACAATGTGGTTTTCCCTGAGCTCCACAGTCCTCTTTAACTGACGCCCCAGTTTTCTGATTGTCAGGGCCACCTCGTTGTCATCTGAAGGGGTTTTTCACGCAGCCTCAGTGTGCTCCTGGGGCTCTGTCTACAGCGTTGCAACCCCCACCCCATCACCCATGCTTCCCCGTCCCTGGCGGGGACCTCTCTCCATTCCATCACAGCTCCCTTTGAGCTTCCAAAGGAATTTGGCATAAATTATCCCAAGGCTGCCCTAGCCAGTTTGGCTTAGTAGATAGGGCATCTGCCTATTGCCTGAAGGGTCCTGGGTTCTGATTCCAGTCAAGGGCATATACCTGGGTTGCAGGTCCAATCCCTGGCCCTGGTCCGGGGCGTGTGCAGGAGGCAACCAATGATGTGTCTCTTTCACATCGATATTTCTCTCTCTCTCTGTCTCTCCCCCTCCCTCCCACTGTCACTAAAAATCAATGGAAAAATATCCTCAGGTGAGGATTAAAAACAAAACAAAACAAAACTCTAATAAATTATCTGAAGGCTGGAATAGAGTAAATTTGAGTGTCACTCACTTAGATTAGCAGAAGCCCATGTTTCTGGAGAGGATCACACAGCTCACCTCTCTCTCCTTCCGGGTCCTCTCTGCCTTTGTTCAAGGCTCACCATTCTTATGTCCCAGGTGACTGACACCCCCGCCCCCCCCCCCCCCAAAAAAAAAAACACACAAAAACCCTTCCCTGGGTCAAACAGGGCTTAGAATCTTTGTGAAAACAGGATCCTGGTGATTTGCCCTGGTGATCTGCCTGGTGAAATTATAGAATAGAGTTGCTGATTGAAAATGCAAATTAGCTCCCAGTCACCACCACCTCCATGCCTCCAGGCATTCCCATGAAAACACACACAAGCTAAGCATAGAGCAAATTATTATTTTGTTCAATGGATTTAATGGAGAAAGCTCAAAATTGTATATAAATGCTAAGTATTGTAAATTAGAAATGAGTCTGTAACTTTTCTTGTAATGAGGACCAACCATGTGACTTTTTCTCTTTCTAAGTTGAGAGTGGTAATGCTAGCAATCATAGCAGTGAGGAGAGGGAGCTAATTCAATGATGACTGCCTATTTGAGCTTAACAATTATGTTAATGCTCTAATGCAGTGGTTCTCAACCTTCTGGCCCTTTAAATACAGTTCCTCATGTTGTGACCCCCAACCATAAAATTATTTTAGTTGCTACTTCATAACTGTAATGTTGCTTCTGTTATGAATTGTAATGTAAATATCTGATATGCACAATGGTCTTGGGTGACCTCTGTGAAAGGGTCGTTCGACCCCCAAAGGGGTCGTGACCCACAGGTTGAGAACCACTGCTCTAATGAGAGGGAAAGAAGTATAAGTAATGTATAATGTCTCATGTAAACACAAATCTGACATTTTCCATCTGACCTACTTTTTGCTGTCAGAATCTATGTTCTACAAATTCTGGGACAGAGCTGCCCACATGAAAAGCTCATGGTATCACAGTGTCTAAATTGGTTCTTAGCTTCTGGAATGGTACTTAAAAAATTCCAAGCACTGCCCAGCCAGTGTGGCTCAGTCAGTGGTTGAGCATCAACCTATGAACCAGGAGATCACCGTTTGATTCCCAGTCAGGGCACCATACCTGGGTTGCGGCTTGATCCCCTGTAGGAGGTAGCCAATCAATGATTCTCTCATCATTGAAATTTTTTTCTCTCTCTCTTTCCCTTCCTCTCTCTCTAAAATCAATAAAATAGATTTTAAAAAGTGTCCAAGCACTACTGTAGAATCACTGTTCTAAATTCCAGCTGATGTGGGTGAGAAAGTCCAGTACGTTTTTTTTATATTTCCTAGAAATTAATACAAACACTTCAGTTGTTATTTCTTCCCCAACACTCGCTCAGAAGCATTCATGTTTCTTTTGAGAGCTAACTGAATTCCTACATTATTCCTTTAAACTTTTGTCCAGATCTACTGAATTTGGGTGGAATACTGTGACTTTCCTGTTATCCTCTATACAAAGGATATGTTTGACAGATTACATTTTCAGACATTCATGGACTCATACTCTGGCTTGTGGCTGTTGTTCTGAGCATTCAGCCCTCTGTGATGGGACCTCCATTGTCATAGGCAGCTAACACTTGGTGGGAGTGTGTGGTCTCTGCCTCACCAAGCTCAGTGATGGATAGTAGACAGAGCTCTGAGGTTATTTTGTTTTGGTGTTAATATGTACAGCCACTCAACATTTGAAATGAACTATGATGCTGTAGGTAGTTCTGAAAGTCACCATGAAATTCATGTTTACATTTGGTGTTGAACCAAACCATGTTCTCTCTAGAGTGAGTCATTTTAGAGAAGCTCAAGGTAGTTAGTTCTCTAAACCACGAAAGTGTCATGCACACGCCCGCTTCTCACCACAAGTCAGAAGCCCAAAGACTTGCCTTTCATCTTCCTCTCCTCAGTTTTGAGTCAGACATCCTGGGGAAGCAGCTGGCCACCAGCCGAGACAGGGCTATGGGGTGAAGGCCTATTTGACTGCTGGCTGGATCCTTTCGTAATAAAATTGAAGTGAAATTCACATCCTATAGCAGTAACCATTTTAAAGTGTATGATTCTGTGGCATTTACAAAAGCATTTCATCACCCATAGAGAAAACCCCAGGAAGCTTGGCTGTGAAAAACTGTAGCTGTCTTCCAAAAATATCCGCTCTCCCTTGAGAGTAAACAGAAGCATGAATAGAGAGGCTCCACCCTCACAGGATGAAACCTAACCGTGCTAGAATCTCTCATTTCCGAGTTCTTTCATTACATCTTCAGAGCATTCAGGGAGCTGCCTCAGAACCTTGCGAGCTGGAAACGGAAGCTGGTGACTTCACTCTACCTTTGATTGGTCAAAGCGACTGAGATTAAATGAGGAGGCTTTTGTTGTTGCTGTTGCTTCATGATTCAGATACATGTTTTCTCTGTCAAGAGTAAGAATGAGTTCAACCAGATCTGTTGAGCATCTACTATGTGCACAGCTGAAATAGATGAACTTTTTTCACTAATTTGTGGTTTAAAAAACCTACTATAGGGTAGAGTGGATTACCAAGATACTGCACCAAAAAGAAAATTTTAAAAAAGTGATTGTGGGCTACAGCAGTGGGAAGTGCTAGAAGGAACCTCTTGCAGGTCTTTGGGGAGAGGCAGATTTTGAAAATTTGGAATGGCAACAGGAGTGGGTAGAAGGCACTATAAATGTGCTTGTGAGGAAAGCCACAGGTGTGCAATAGTGAGGGGGCTATTCTTGCTCAACAGAGGGTCAATGCAGAAAAAGACAATGCGGTCCAACTAGTTATGGAGAAGCCTTTAAATTAAACAGACCAAATAATGAAAATGTTATATTTTTTGGCAATCAAATACCAAGAAGTTATTATAAGGTAGTATGAAATAATTTACTGGACAAAAAGCATCTTTAAAAATATTTTTTTATTGATTTCAGAGAGGAAGGGAGAGGGAGAGAGAAATAGAAACATCAATAATAAGTGAGAATCATTGATTGGATCAGCTGCCTCCTGCACTGGGGATGTGCCCTGACCTGGAACCCAACCATGACCTCCTGGTTCATAGGTCAACCCTCAGCCAGTAAGCCACTCCGCCCAGGTCAAAAAGCATTTTGAATGTATAGGAAGCAAGATCAGTGTAATTCATTACAATCCAGTTATAATATCCCAGTAAGTTCTTTGGTGGAGACTGACAAGCTAATTCTAAAATATATGGCAAATGTATGAAAAGATATATATTGAACTTTGAAAGGGTCAAGAATAGCTGATGTAACCTTGAAGAAGATGAGTAAAGTTGAAGGATGTATCATTTAGAGTGAGACTTACAACGCTATAGTGTTTATGGGAGTGTGGTATTGGCACAGACAGCCAGCCAAAGGGTCCATGGAACAGAATTGGAAGGCAGAAGCACACTCACATCTACACAGACACTTGGCTTATGTCAAAAATTAGACTGCAAAGCACTGAGTAAAAAATCATTTTTAATAAATAATGCAGGGTTAGTTGGCTATCCAGATAAAAAATTGTTGACCCCCCTACCTACATTGGACACCAAAATTAAGTTCAGGTGGATTGTAGATCTAAATGTGAAGGGAAAATAAAATGTTTTCCAACAGTGCTTCTCAAACTATCTGTAATAAATAACCTTTAAAAAATTTTATTTAAACTTTCTAGCCCATCACAAACCATTATCTTTGTAACATAAAATAAAATAAAATAAAATACTTCTTGGCTATCAGGTCAATGTCAGGTTGCTATAAAGTTTCCTAACATTTACCTATTTTATCGTTACCTGGTCATGAACTGGTGACAGACATTTTGCAGACTAATGCCATTTTTTTTTCAACCACACTTTGAATAGCATTCTTCTAGAAGAAACATGTGAGAATATGTTCGTGACCTTGAGGCAGGCAAAGATCACTTAAATAGGACACCAAAAGCCCTAACATTTTGTTGTTGTTGTTAATCCTCTCCTGAGGATATTTTTCCATTGATTTTTAGAGACAGTGGAAGAGAGAGGGAAAGACAGAGAGAAACACATCGATTGGTTGCCTCCTGCACAAGCACTGACCAGGGCATGGGCCAGGGAGGAGCCCGCAACCAAGGTACATGCCCTTGATCAGAATCGAACCCGGGACCCTTTGGTCCGAAGGCAGACATTCTATCCACTGAGCCAAACTGGCTAGGGCACCTAACTTTTTTAATAGAGGAAAATGCTGGTACATCAAACTACGAAAAGGGACCATTAAGCAAGTGTTTTCCCATTAAGGGACACCCAGATTACAGAATGGGGGCGGATATTTGCAATACGCAGAACCAAAAGAGACACAGGCACTCTTATCTGGAGTAAACAAACAACCCACACCTCCGCAAGAAAAGGGCAGGATCCACTAGAAAATGGGCAGGAGGTTTTTAGCGGGCGGTCACCAAAGAGGATGTTCAGGTGGCCACAAACATAGGGAAAGCATTCGATCTCATTAGTCATCAGGGAGATGCAGATTAAAGGACAATGAGATCACCTCTATGAACCCACTAGAAAGGCTGACATGGAAAAGATCACAAACCACGTGACTGTGGAATACGCTACAGCGATGAAGATGATCAGCTCTTTCTACATGAGGCAGCACAAGAACTTTCACAGTCCCAACAGGGAGTGGAAGAAGCCAGACACGAAGCAGTACATCAGGGGTGATTTCACTATCCAGAGCCCACACAGGCAAAAATAACCCGGACATTTACCAGCCAACACCCTGGCTGGCAATTCTTGGGAAGGAGGGAGAGACTGACAGGGAGCAGGGTCAGGGGGCGTATAGTCCTGGGCGTGTTCTCCTTCTCGATCAGGGGGGTGGGAGCATGGGTGTGTGCAGTTGGTGAGACTTCACAGAGCTGTGCATTTAGTGTGTGCACTTCCTAGGTGTATCTACTAATGTCAGTGTCATCGCTAAAAATCCAGTTAAACCTGATGACACTTGATATCAGGGAAAGAGAAGTTCTACTTATTTGTTTTGTTAATATTTGTTGAGAGCCTACAGGAGAAGGCACCGTGCTCACAGGGAAGCCTGCAGTCCTGTGAAGAGATGGGGATTAGGCACCTGGGGAACACTGGGAACTATGAAACACTGGCGAATACAAAGCCCCTTCTGCTGTAAGGCCTGTTTTCTAACACACATTTAAATCCCAAGTAAGACTCCCTCCTGCCATGATTACAGCTACACAGCAAGTCATAAAGCATGAAAAATGGAAAATAAAAACCATGTATAATTATGATTGACGTTAATCGGGAAAACAGGGTGCTTGCTACTTTACAAAAATTGCTGAGCATGGATGGACCTGGAGAGCATTATGCTAAGTGAAATAATCAGAGGAAGACAAATACCATATGGTTTCACTTATATGTGGAATCTAATGGACAAAATAAAATAACAAAATAGAAACAGACTCATAGATACAGAGAACATACTGACAGCTGTCAGAGGGGAAACCATTGGGGGGCTAGGTGAAAAAGTTGAAGGGATTAAGCAAAAAACAGCCCTAGCTGGTTTGGCTCAGTGGATAGAGTGTCAGCCTGTGGACTAAAGAGTCCCAGGTTCGATTCCAGTCAAGGGCACATGCTGGGGTTGCAGGCTCGATCCCCAGTTGGGGGGCGGGGGGCGTGCAGGAGGCAGCTGATCAATGATTCTCTCTCATCATTGATGTTTCCATCTCTCTCCCTCTCCCTCTCTGAAATCAATAAAAATATATTTCAAAAACAAAAAAATAAAGAAAACCTCATCGACAACAGGATGGTGATTATCAGAGGGAAAGGGGGGGTCAGAGGGTGGGTAGGAGAGGGTAAAGGGAGCACAAAGGTGGCAGAAAGAGACCTGACTTGGGGTGGTGAACACATAATACAGTATACAGATGACATATTATAGAATTGTACCCCTAAAACCTATATAATCTTATTAACCAATGTCACCCCAATAAATTCAACAAGTAAATAAGTAAATAGATTGCCGAGGGTCCTGGAGTCATTAATATGAAGGCAAGAATATAGGAGCTGGGAGAGAGTGTAGTACAAGAGGTAGGCAGGGGTAAGGCCAGACAAATACGTGGGAAGGAGCTTGGATTTTACTTTACAGATGATAAGCCACTAAGTATCTTAAAGCAGGTGAATGAGAGGGTCTGATTTACCTTTTTAAAAGCTCGCTCTAATCACTTGGTGAAGAGGAGATTGGAGAGACGAGAATGTGAGCAGGTAGCCCCAACACTAGGCTCTGACTGAGGGTGGAGGATAGGAGATACACAGACACACAAGCAAGCATTTGGATTTGGTGTGGGATTGGATTGAGCCAGTGAAGTAGAGAAAGTGTGAGGAATGGCCCCTGGGTCTGGAGGTGGAACTATGGCCAGAAGGGCGGCTCCTTTATTCAGGTGGAGAAGGAAGGGGAGGAGGCAGGCTCCACACGTCATAGGATGGAGATACCCATGAGATGTGTAAGTTGAATATACGAGCCTGTTGTTAGGATGGATGTCTGGGTTAGGGATGCACCTTTGGAGGCGTTCAGCCTTGGAAACCATTGAAAGCCTTGGGAATGGCCCTCACCTGGGACAGATACAGAGTGAGGAAAGAGGGGCTGGAAATCAGCCCTGTGAAATGGCAAATGTTAGCTTGGGAAGCGAAGGAGAAAAATGAGAGGGTGATGACATGCGGACAGGTGACAGATTGCTCCTATCTTGTATAATGTGAGTTTGGGATTAAAACACATGACTGTCTCAAACCTGGGGAACTTGGGAGTGGGAATGGGAAAAATCGTGTGGAGGAAGAAAGTGATGAATTTTATATTCAACATGGAATTGTAGATGCGAGCATGAATTGAGCATGCCCCGCCCCCTAGATCAGTGATGGCGAACCTTTTGAGCTTGGCGTGTCAGCATTTTGAAAAACCCTAACTTAATTCTGGTGCCGTGTCACATATAGAAAATTTTTGATATTTGCAACCATAGTAAAACAAAGACTTATATTTTTGATATTTATATTATATATTTAAATGCCATTTAACCAAGAAAAATCAACCAAAAAAATGAGTTCGTGTGTCACCTCTGACACGCGTGTCATAGGTTAGCCATCACTGCCCTAGATTATAGATGAGCCTATTGAAAACCAGAAAGATTCATGAACTTGTTCAAATTCATTTAATTTAATGACACACGTTGTTTTGAAATCAGAACTTTTCTGACAGGTCGTCTGGGACTTTCATGTTGGAACTTGTGTTAGGCCCCCTATCTGCTGGTTAAATGGCTTTGAGTGAAATATACCCACTCATCTCAACTGATGGGAGACTGAGCTGGCGACAGGATTTCTCAGTCCCCAGAAATCCGGACTTGAGTGTGATTCCCGTCTTTCCCCCAGGCACTGATGGATGAGATCCTCATGCTCCAAGATGAAATCAGCGAGCTGCAGGCATCCCTCGCAGAAGAGCTGGTGTCTGAGTCCCCGGAGTCTGACCCCGCAGAGCAACTGGCCTTGCAGTCCACGCTCACCGTCTTGGCAGAGCGCATGTCCACCATCAAGATGAAGGCGTCAGGGAAACGACAGCTTTTGGAGGTAACATAACTTGGAAGCCCCACATGTCCATGTCCCTTAGAGTTGTGTTGACAAATGCCTGGCTTACTTTGTGACGTACAGTTTTTCTTTTAAAAAAAAAAATATATTTCTATTTATTTCAGAGAGGACAGAAGAGGGAGAGAGAGAGAGAATCATTGATTGGCTGCCTCCTGCATGTCCCCTACTGGGAATCGGGCCGAAACCCTAACTGGGAATAAAACCATGATCTCCTGGTTCATAGGTCAATGCTCAACCACTAAGCTACAGGGGCTGGGAATGATGTACAGTTTCATTGTTCCTCACACATGAGGAGCTGGTACTATGTCTCAGGGAGGATCTCATGAATGGAGCACTGAGTCAGTGTGTAGCCAGAAATGCATCTTCTCACCCCTTTTTGCCTCATTTCAGCATGAAAAGTTGAGAATGTAGAAAGCACATAGTTGGTAGACATGGGCCTTATGAAGAATAATTATGGAAGGTTTGCACAGTGGTTTGCTATCCTATTTAATAAAAGCCTAATATGCAAATCGACCAAACGGTGGAATGACCAGTGGAACAACCAGGGGAACGACTGGTTTCTATGATGAGCACTGACCACCAGGGGGCAGATGCTCAATGCAGGAGCTGCCCCCAGCCCACAGGCCCCAGGCCAGTCAAGGTGGGTGCCAGTGGGGGGCCCCCAATCGCCCCTCTGGTTGCCTCACAGATCAGCCATGATCACCAGCCAGGCCTAGGGACCCTATCTGTGCACTAATTTTGTGCACTGGGCCTCTGGGGTTTAAATAAGAGCATGTTATGAATACTATTACTAATGCTGTGAAGAATAAATCTTTAGTCAGTGTTAGCCAATTCAAGCACACTGATTCATGAAAGTTTATTTTTGCTTTATTATTTCTCATCATTTCTGGCCCTAAATATATAGGACATTAGACCTGAGACTCCACAAAATCCTTTAGAGCAGCGGTTCCAACCTGTGGGTCGCAACCCCTTTGGCGATTGAACGACCCTTTCACAGGGGTCACCTACGACCATTGGAAAACACATATAATTACATATTGTTTTTGTGATTAATCACTATGCTTTAATTATGTTTAATTTTTAACAATGAAATTGGGGGTCACCACAACATGAGGAACTGTATTAAAGGGTCACGGCATTAGGAAGGTTGAGAACCACTGCTTTAGAGTATCTGGCTCCTTGTACCTCTGGGATATAATCAGTTCTCAATACATATCTTATTACATGAACTTAATATTATTTTATTTGGCTGATGATTATACTATTATTCAATTAAACATGGTCCTATTGTTGGGTGTGTAGGCTCCTTCTAGTTTTACCTGTTATAAGATTAGTCAGATAATATATTCATGTACTTCTTGTTCGGAATAAATTTAAAATCAATGTGTCTGCTTTATTTAAAGTTTATGTTAAACTATTTTTCATGTAATTTAAAAATAATGTTATTTATAAATTAATTTTAAAATAAGGTATTTAGAGTACCTTATTTTAAGAATTAACTTTTTAATGTATTAATATTATCCCCAGTCATTCTATGAAACACTTGTGGAGTTTCAAAATTAAAATTAAATGATTGGCTTGGTGTGTTTTTTTTTTTTTTAATATGAATTATTTGCCATCATTGAATAAAACCACACAGAGATTTAACAATAACAACACCAAAAAGAATTTCTTCTTTCATTCAAGAAACTAGTAACACTGGGCCACTTCTTCTTGCAGGGAATCAATTGCCTGAAATTCATGATGCTTGCTTTCTAGGTGGACCATATGTTTTTCAGTTTGTCACAGTCCCCACTGCTCCCTACAGTTTCCCCACATTGGGGTCATGTACCTATTTCCAACCCACCATTTTATGCCATTGTTTTGTTCTAATCCTTGATCAATTTTCATCATTCACATTATCTACCTGGTCCTGTATTATGTAAGAATACTTAAACTCTAGTTGTACATTAGAATCAAAGGGAAAGATTTTTAAAAATATGAATCTTGAGACTCACCTCCAGAAATTCTGATTTATTGCTCTGGTATGTGGCCAAGGATAGTTTTTTTTGTGTATGTTTTGTTTTGTTTTTGTCTTCTTTGAAGTTTCACAGTTGATTCTGGTGTGCAGCCAGAGATGAGATCATTGTTCTTGTGTTGAATCCTAATGATTTTACCTTCGGGGGATCTATGTGACATTCTGCTTAATTCATTAGGAGAAGTTAAATGATCAGCTGGAGGAACAGAGGCAGGAACAGGCCCTGCAGAGGTACCGCTCTGAAGTCGACAAGCTGGACCACTGGCTCTTAAGCACTAAGGCCACTCTGGACGTCGCGCTGGGCACCTCCACGGAGCCCATGGACATGGAGGCCCAGCTGGTGGACTGCCAGGTACAGAAATGATCTTGAAGGAACATGTCAACATCACAAAGCATATTCTCAGATGTGAAAACATAATGGTAAAAAGGCTTGATACAGATATACGATTTTTTTCCAGGCCATATACTTCACATATTTAGAGAGTAGGCAAACAATACCTTATACAAGCTTAAATGAAATTCAGACTTCAACTCAGTCTTTTGAAAAATTTTACCAGTAAGTTCCCAATTTTAGAAAATCTTCAACTTCCTAAAGGAAATTGTTAAAAGATCATAGATACCAAAACACTTAGAGTGCCTGTATTTGGTGCTAATAAGACATTCAGAGCCAATGAGAAGAACTGGTGTCAGTGCATCAGACTGTGGATGAATACAGTAGGAGGTGTCCCTAGGTGCTCTGTTGCAATGTTCGTTCTAATTCTGATATTTAATTTTTACAAACTTGGTCAAACTGTCAGTTTGAGGCAGACAGACTGAACACAAGAAGGTGTCTTTTGGAGCAGATACTCTGATGTGAGGTCCCTAGGAATTAAGGTAGATGCAATGACATTAAGGTTTTCATTATATTATTACTAGAGGCCCGATGCACAAAATTCATGCAAGTGGCTCGGCCCTCGCAGCCACAGTGGCTTGCCTCAGCCCTTGTAGCCCCGGCTTCATCTGGAAGGTCATCTGGAAGGACATCTGGAATGACACCTGGAAGGTCGTTCAGCTGTTTGGCCTAATTAGCATATTATGCTTTTATGATTATAGATTGTCTTACCTCTATGTCATGAAAAATTTCAAGCACACACGTAAGTATAGAGAATAGATAATGAACTCCCTGTGCCAGTCATTGAATTTCAAAGATTATCCACATATTGTACCTCACACATGGGTGACGTATGTTTTAAAAGCTCTTTCATTTAACTAACTAGCAAGTTTCTAGAAAATCCTACCTAATCTGCAGGGTTAAATATCAGTAAGCATGACTTCGTATTTATCCCATTTGACATCAGAGGAAATACACAAAAGGTGGGGAATGATACACACTTATGTACAAACCGTTCGTTGATGAACGTTGTCTTTTTTTTTAAATAGGTAGTAGTCCATTTTGGCCATTCCTTTTATGATTCGATATTTATTGTAGTATTGACTATTATAATTTGAATTTTTTAATTCTTGGGCAATTTACCTGTGTGTATTGAAGACATTGTTCTTCTCTGCTTTGATGCTAAACAATAGAGAGCTACATGCCAGTGTTTTCTATTCTTTAGACCATTTTTTTTAAAGTTTCTTTCTGAAGAGACATCTATTTTTAGCATTTCCTTTTGGCACTTGAAATTGCCACATGCACTTCAAAATATGTTTGTCATTACTCCCTCCACTCCCTTCGGATACCTCTATTTTTATCATTATACATAAAGTCCATAATTCCAATAATATATTTCAGGACTTTTTACAAAGTACTAAAATCATCTTTTGGCAATATTTTTAGAATCTAGAAGCATATGGAATCACACAAATATATAACACTTCCTTAGTCAATTTAAATCTAGTATTTGAGCCAGGTGTATAATTACAGTGGGGGCTATTACACAGAATTGGGGCCACATTGTGTGACGTTTGGGGCTCTGGGCACTTTGCTTCCATGGGTCCCTTCTCTAAAAATGGTCTTTTTCTCCCCATCTTGTTGCCTATCTAAAGTGGGCTTCCCATGTGCTGTTTTTCAATATATTTTTATTATATAATATCTAATCTTAAATAAGAGAAAAACTTAGAAGCTCAAGGTATTTTTAAAAATCTGTATATACTGTTCAAGGCTGTAGGGAACCTAGGGGAAAAAACCCTGAAGACGTATTCTTTGGATGAAAGACGTAAGGAAGTGTTGCGTCTCGCTGCGGGAAACGGTCTTTGTAGAGGCCGGCAGGGTGTGTGAGTTTCACCCTTATCTCTGTGCTCCCAGAACATGCTGGTGGAAATAGAGCAGAAGGTGGCGGCCCTGTCGGAGCTCTCTGTCCACAATGACAACCTGCTCCTGGAGGGCAAGGCCCACACGAAGGACGAGGCCGAGCAGCTGGCCGTGAAGCTGAGAACCCTCAAGGGGAGTCTCCTGGAGCTTCAGAGAGCCCTGCAGGACAAGCAGCTGAACATCCAGGTGAGGCTCCAGCCCTGACAGCGAGGCGATGCTGCAAGGACCGCCGGATCCTTGTGCGTTGCTGGCATGCCTTTTCTGAGCCCGCCCATATAAAGCAGCGGTTCTCAACCTGTGGGTCGCGACCATCAGAAAACACATATAGCATATCAGATATTTACATTAGGATTCATAACAGTAACAACATGAAAGTTATGAAGTAGCAACGAAAATAATTTTATGGTTGGGGGTCACCACGACATGAGGAACTGTATTAAAGGGTCGCGGCATCAGGAAGGTTGAGAACCACTGAAGGAAAAGGTGGGGAATGATACATACTTATGTACCTACCTGCATTACACAAACTTTGGCATAGATTTTCAAATAGGTTTTATAAGGACTGTTTGAATCTGTAGACCTGAAGGTTGCAGTGTAGGAAAAGAAAGAAATAGCAAAATCTAGCAAAGACACAATTTAAAAAAATGTAAACGTGGTTCATAAATCAAGGTATCCTATAACATTTTCACATTTTTCTTTTATGCCTCCTACATTCTGCTTTTCAGATATACCTAGACTTTTATTTAGGACCCACAACTTTAGGCTTGTCATGTATTCCAGGTGAATTGAACATTTTTACTATCATGTAGTGACCTTAACATTCCTTTATAGTGATTTTTGTTTTATATTACTAGAGCTTTTGGTAGGTAATATTTGCCTAGTTTATATTTTAACTTTCCTTTGATTTTACCTTTTCTGTGTTCTTATGTTGTAGATTCGCTTCTTGTAAAGAACATTTAGCTGTATTTTGTTGGTTTGAAATATTTTAATCAGAAAAATCCATTATTTTTAAAGGGTAGTTTATCCATTTATATTTATTGTGATTACTGATATGTTTAAACTTATATCACCCAACTTTTTGTTTTCTATTTTTTCTGCTCTATTATTTTTATCCCTTTTTACCTTTGTTTTAACTGTCTGAGAGCTTTCCTTTGCTTTTTTGCCCTCTACTTTTTACCATGCATATCTAATAAATTCCAAGTTTATATCTTAATCTCTCTCCAGATCCATATAAGAGAACCCTAAAACACTTTTACCCAGATTTCTCCCCAGGCAACTTTCATACTGTTATTGTCCGCAATCACAGACAATTGAATAGGTAGGAAAATTGTTATTGATTGGATAAAGGAAAAGCAATTAGCTGGGGATAGCATTCTCAAGGCAGTGATATCTGAAAAATTCCTTCAAGGCTAGTAGGGAGTGGTTCAATAAATTTAAGAAAAGAAGTGATTATTTATATATCAAACAGTACATTAGACAGGTATATAAGAAAGGTTGAATCAGAATCATTTGGGGGTCTGAAATGGATTGATTCAATTTATATTATTTCTAATGGGAAAAACTGATTCAGTTTTCGAACAAATCGCTTCTCGAACAGCCTCTTGGAATGAATGAAGTTCGAGAAACGAGGTTCCACTGTAACTCAGTGGAGGAAAACCTGATGAAAAAGAAGTGAGATTGCAAGAACCAACTTGTGTAGGAGGGAGAGGACAGGATCCAGTATCGGAGGGAAGGGGACACCCATATCTGAGTTCAGGTGCTGGCCGGGGACGGGCCACAAAAGTCGTGGTGGGAATTCAATGGCCATTCACTGTGTTTGCTTCTTTTTTCTCGGTGTAATGATTTTTTCAGACTAACCTACCTATCTTCAGTTCTCTGTTAACGGCATGATTATATGATTGAAAACATCAAACTTAGTCAATAGAAAACTATTAGAAGCAATGGTTTCTTCTCTGGGATAGCTCATTTATGAAGCTCCAGCTGGGCCCTGACCCCTGAGGCAGGTAGGAATGGAAGGGACAGAGGATTGGTTCAAGGGCGCATCGGGAATTAAAAGGGCACACATCCCAGGGCCTCGGGCCTGGGGAGGGAATGTGAACTCATGAAGCAGGTCCAGCCAGGACCTTGGCAAGCATCTGAGGAGCAGCTGTCGGCTCCAGCTATCAGCACACAAGAATTTACAGTCAGCATTGCTAGGTCTTCCAGAGAAAGGAAATGAGGATTTATATCTAAAATCTTCCAATTCGAAAAACTTAATTCTAAAATTTAAAAATAATGTGTGTGCCAAATAAAGCATATCCAGGTGGCAGAGGTGGTTCTGCTGTTCTAACGTCCCCCTCAGCTTGGTCCCATCAGGTATTCACCAGAGACCTGGGCGAGATCCTTGAACTTCCCTTTCTTACAGATCAGTTTTCTCATCTGTAAAATGGGGATAATAGTATTTAACTTTAAAATATCCTGAGAATATTATGTTAAGGCAGGTCATATTCATACTAGGCACTCAAATCACAGTGATTATAATAATGAATAACAACAGCTAACAATCTGCAAAACGAATTCTTTGTGAGGAAAGGCCCTCCTGAGTGCTCGAAGGCTAGACTGGTCTGGGCTGGGCTGCGCTTGCTGACAGCCACCTGTGCTGCTCACACCTGGCAGGTGCTGCCCCAGGCCGCAGAGGGTCTTCACATTGAGTCAGATCCTGATGCAGCCTGCAGGTATAAGCTATCCTGTGGATACTGTTGTGCAAACTACTTGACTGCCTTGAAATTTGTCATTGTTCATTTTTAAAATACTTATACATTTTACCGTCTTTCATCTAATGAGTTTCCAGCATGTAAGATTTTGATGGCTTGTTTTTTTAAAAATAATTAGACCTTTTTGAAGAGATTATTTTTCCAGTTGTAGGACTAAAAGGAGTGCTGTGTGTATTATTGTTGCCATGAAAAGGATTGTTCCCTTTCGTGTAGAAAGTTCGTGTAGAATTGATCTGAGATTCACTAAGGGCTGTTGGCGGAAAGACATCTTCCATCGAATGTAGATGTTAGTGAAGTTGGACCCTTCAGTTGGGGTTGGCGAGAGTCAGGAGGACTGGGATAGCTTCCTAACTCGTGTGGGGCCTTAAGCACCTCATTTCTCAGAGCTACGTATTTATAAAGTGGCCATCTCTGGTAAGGCCATTCTCTCTAACTAGTTGGACTTCTGTTTGTATCAATGAATAACCAACCTCTTTAGCTCCCCCTCCCCCATGGGTTCTTTCTCTATGTGAAGGGACACAGATTTACTGGCATATGATAATAGCTCCTGAATTACATTATCTTTTCTTTTACAAGAAGCTTAGGTCATTTCACATGCTATTATCCCCCCAGGGAGCAGTGAGTTAGCCCTATATAAATAATTAAATGCTTTATAAAGAAATGTTTTATTTAATGTTTAGCATTCTCCAGTCCTCGCTAATCTTCCAAGGAATGTTCCTGGCAAAAGCAGTTACTGTTCTAGTATTTCCAAAATAAACAGCTAGGTAGCTCTGCCCACGGGGGACTCTGGGGACCGAAGTCATTTACTTCCTAGTCCCTAGCTAAGAGGGAAAACTGCTATCAAACCTCAGAGATGGTGACTGCTGTTACCTTATCCCTTCTGTCTGTGCCTCCTCATCCCAGGAATGAAATCCCAGGGGAAGGAATGCAATCCCAGCCGGATTCTCCATCCTTTCTTTTGCTTCCTGTGGTCCAAGGGTTATGTTTCAAAATGACTAAATCGGTCAGAGAAAAACTAACTGAAAAACCAACCTAACCACCTAGAAAATACAGATGAGGCATCCGCCCCTCAGGTTGCCTAGTTCCCTTTTCTCTAAAGCTGTGGCTTCAGTTCGTCAAATATGACTGTCTAGCCGGTCTTACAATCTGAACTTGTGTGTGTGTGTTGGGCAGTGATGACGCTGTCCTTAGACCCGACGTTGCTGCTGTCCTTTTTCTAGGCGCACATTTGGCATGAGGGCTTTGAAAGGACAGCTCTCAGTCAGGCCTGACCTGTGTTAGAAGGATGGGGTGGGGAACGGAGACGTTATCATGTGCGTCTTCAGCTCTGAAAACAACTTTTCTAAGAGCAAAGCAGGGGGAGGTGATAGGATCCCACCCAAGAGAGATAGCAGGTCATGGTCTTGACCTCTGTTTGTGGCTCTGATTGGGGACAGCGGTCAGCCTCCTACACTGACTCCTTTGGGGTCGTCCTCTCCGCTTCCCTGTCGACCTGCTGCCTCATCCTTGTCAGGAGGTCCCGGGTCTGTCAGAGCTAATTCTGGGTCAGTGGTGCGTTCTCCGGTGGAGAGCATCTGCTTCACGTGGAAATGCCTGGGCGTTAGTCCTGGAGGAGTGTCCGTTCAGCCCACACCCCACCTTCAGGAAGGTCACTGTTTTTCTGTGGGAGGCTTTCCTGCAGGAGTGGGAATATTCTCAGCGGGGTGTCACTGAGCACGCATTCCGAAGGCCCTGCAACATGGCGATGGCGTATTTCAGAGCGGTGGCATTGTTCTGTCTGCACCACATGCTCTGGCTGTGCAGCTGGACCATCTTAAAGGAAACTGCTCTGAGCTCAGGTGGCTCAGAATCTGGGAAGAGATTATGGGTAACATTCCCTGTAGGTTTCACTGTTTCCTTGTTTCCTTCAGTTTATTTCACTTCAGGCACTTATAGCAACTTTGATAATGGGATTTTAATGAATAGAAGGATAAACAGACACCGCCTATTTCCCTGTCATAGTGTCTACGTAAGAAACGTCCAAATATGCAGAGAATTTTTATGAGTTTATTTGAACGAAACTGACAACATATAGGGAGGGATGGCAAGATCTCAAAAGCTCAGGAGAATAAGCTTCATTTATGCGTTTGAAATAAAGGAGGGGAAAGAAAGGTGACCTGGAGGTGGGAAAAGCAAGGCGGGGACTGGGTTACAGGATAGTGAACAGGTTATGCGCTCTCTGGAGGCGGCAGGGATTGGTCCACAGGTGTGTTAACCTAAATGCGCACACACAATGGCAGGGCTTGCCTAAAGCAGAGGTATGCCTGGGGAGTGGCTTCCCACCCTGAATGGCCCAGGTAGGAATTTATGATCAAAACACCCTGTGAGGTAACTTTCCAGAATCCCTTTTCCCCCAGTCACAATAGTTAGTGCAATTCTGAAAATAAGAGGAGCTAAGGGGCTTTGTGGGCACTCAGGCAGATGAGCCGGCGTGGTGGCTGGATCCCATTCTGTGATCAAAGTCAGTAAAGAACCAAAGGACAGCAGCAGCCGCTCCCGACTAGACAGCAGGCCCACTCCTCTATGAAATGACCTATAAAATCTCTGCCCTCCCCGCCCCCACCCTGCTCCAAACACACTGGGTCCTTCACTGCGCTACTCTCTATGAGATGCCAAGCCTCTTCCTTCCCCTGCCTTTGCTCTGCTGGTCCCAGGGCCTGCAGGGCCCTCCCCCTACCTTTGCCATTGTTCTGGGCTCCGTGTAACTGTCTCTGAGGATGCCTGCACGGAGCAGCCTCGGAAACCTTTCCCCTTCACTCTGTCCATCATCTGCTTTCCTGTTCTCTGTAGCTCTTACCTTCTCTTGCTTGCTTATTGTTTGTCTCCCCAGTAGGGCCCCTGTCTGCTTCCTTCTTGAAAAAATATCCCCAATGCCTGGAACAGTGGTTGACACATAGTAGGTACTTAAGAAGTACTTAGTGAATGAGCTATATTCAAATTGTGCAATTTATCCTCTGACATATACACGTAGGTGAGTAGAAAATCTCTCAGTAGGAATAAATCCCACTCTGATATGAGTGCGTTAGGGCCTTGCAAATCCCGTCAGAACAAGCAAGCAGGAAGGATACATTCCTACCAGATAATACAGATTTACGTTGGGTTTTCTCCTTACTTATTTGTTTTTAAATTTTTTATTTTTTAATATATATTTTTATTGATTTCAGAGGGGAAGGGAGAGATAGAAACATCAATGATGAGAGAGAATCATTGATCAGCTTCTTCCTGCATATCCCCCTCTGGGGATCGAGCCCACAACCTGGGCATGTGCCCTTGACCAGAATCGAACCTGGGACCTTTCAGTCTGCAGCCCACTGAACCAAACCAGCTAGTGCTGAATCTCTCCTTCGTCGAAGCCAGTGGTGACGGTGAATGGCAGTGTGGTCTGGTCCTTGTGGTATGAGTAGAGGAAATGAGATCTAGAATTACTATGTTCTTCTGGAAAATATTGTGGAATAATGTCTGGTGACCACATCAGTCAGCTAAAAAGTCCAGCTTCTAAATAGGCAGTATTGCCCTCAAATATGTCTGAGTATAATCGTCTATTTATTGTTCTTCCTCCTACAAATGCCATAAGTTTGATGGGTTTTGTGTTACCATTGTTTTAATTTATTTTATTGATTTCAGCATGGAAGGGAGAGAGAGATGGAAACATCAATGATGAGAGAGAATCATTGGTTGGCTGCCTCTTTCACGCCCCACACTGGGGATCGAGCCCACAACCCAGGCATGTGCCCTTGGCCAGAATTGAACCTGGGGCCCTTCAGTCCGCAGGCTGGCGCTCTTTCCACTGAGCCAAACCAGCTAGGGCCATTTTTTAAAAAATATGGTTTCCCATCTAAATGGTATTATTGAGACCACACTGAAGCAGCTGCCACTCCGCCCTGGTCAGGGTTTTCCTGTGTGTGGATGACTCTTGATTTCTGTCTCATTAAAACAGGGAGCAGCGCAAGAGAAGGAGGATAGCGACGGTGACCCAGCTGCCACCCAGAGGCCTGGTGTCCAGGACTGGCTGGCCCAAGCTCGCTCCACATGGGCCCTCCAGCGACAGAGCAGCCTCCAGCAACAAAAAGTAAAGCATTTCCTAACCTCTCGCTAGCCTGCAAGTGTGCCAACACTCCCCGGAGAGAAACGCTTACAGCGGTTCTCAACCTGTGGGTCGCGACCCCTTTGGCGGTCGAACGACCCTTTCACAGGGGTCGCCTAAGACCCTCCTGCATATCAGATATTTACATAACGATTCATAACAGTAGCAACATCACAGTTATGAAGTAGCAACGAAAATAATTTTATGGTTGGGTCACAACATGAGGAGCTGTATTTAAAGGGCCAGAAGGTTGAGAACCACTGGCTTAGAAGAACAAGTTTCTTGTGTTCTAAAGACAGAATGCACCTTTGTCTGCTCTTCGCAGAGCCCGGCTAAATGGTTCAGCATATTTCCTCGTGTGCACGGGAATGCTTGGCCATTTTTCTGTGGTTTTATTTGTTTGTTTTATTTTATTTTCTACTTTTGTGCTTGCTCATTTTAAAATCTATTCTTTTCAGAAAAGCTTTACAAATAATGTAACAATTAAAATCTGCCGTATAGAGATTATCTGCTCTATTTTCAGACTTGCTCCAATTTCAGACTATTTTATTTTTTAAAAAATATGTTTTATTGATTTTTTACAGAGAGGAAGGGAGAGGGATAGAGAGTTAGAAACATCGATGAGAGAGAAACATCGATCAGCTGCCTCCTGCACACTCCCCACTGGGGATGTACCTGCAACCAAGGAACATGCCCTTGACTGGAATCGAACTGGGGACCCTTGAGTCCGCTGGCCGACACTCTATCCACTGAGCCAAACCAGTCAGGGCCAGACTATTTTATATAATAAAAACCTCAGGAAGGCCTCTGAGAATTGGTGAAAGTCTGAGTTACATGTTTTTTAAAATAAATGTAATTTATTTTCTACTTTCAAGTAAATACCATCACAAAATTGGATTGCAAATTATTGCCTAGTGAAAATAATGAGCTTTGATGAATAAGAATGATTCCTCATTGATACCTTAACTTTATGAATCGGGCATATTAAATTATTTTTTCAAAGAGCAAAGGCATTTATCACTAAATATGAAAAAGTAAAACTGAATTCACTGATAAACTTATCAAGTAAGCGGGGAATTAAAGAACAGCTGCTCTCAAGGACCAGTCTCAGCTGGGAAAAAGGCAGTATTCATTTTGAAAATTGAAAGTTCATGTTGTACCACTTGAGGGCACCATTGCCCAGCAAAATGTTAATTTTCCATTATTTTATTTTATTTTTTTTTCCTCCATGATTTTTCAGGTCTGTTTTATCAAAGCCACAACAGCTGTAGAGTAGTTTGGAGAGATGTGTGAGCCTTTCCCTCCACCACACCTTTTATGCAACGTGCAAACTTAAACATGTATGCACGCGTTCTCTGAGGCTGTTGTAGACATAGAACCGTGATTGTAGATGATGCTCATGAAATCACAAGCTGTGTTTGTTTGTTCTTTTCCTGGAGCAGGAGTTGGAGCAGGAGTTAGCAGAGCAGAAGAGCCTTCTCCGGTCAGTAGCCAGCCGTGGAGAGGAAATCCTCACCCAGCACTCAGCGGCAGAGACCTCTGGTGGTGCAGGGTAGGTTTCCACACGCTTTCTATTCTGGTCACTGATTCCATAACATCTGAAGAAATGCAAGCATCCCAATCAAACTTTTATTTTAAACACCTACAAAAATTTAATCATTTTTTTTCTCTTTAGGATTTATAGTTTACTTGCATTTTGAGTATTTTATTGCGTGGCATGAGTACAGCTAGGGAGTGTGAGGGCTAACTTATTTGTCTTCTTTCCAGTATGCTCAGCATATCTGTCCAGAGAAGATACATCAGTTTGTTTTTTAAAAATCAAATAGGGGGAAAATAAAATAAACATTATAAAGTTATGTTTCTTTCTGAATATCTAACTGCAAAACATTTTCCCTGTAAGAACCTATCTTCCCTCAACCTCATTCTGCCTACGAAAGATGTTGCTTTTTCTCGAGGATCTGTTTTTATAATTTCTGCATGCAAGCTCATTGAGCTTTGTGTCCTGTTGTAGAGTAGAGAAGGAAAGTCTTATACACAGAAGAGTAAAGTATGAGAAGAAAAATGAAGGAAGTTGGACAATGTTCAAGTTGAAGACTTGAGTCTGAGGGTTGGGAAGGAAAGTAGAGAGGAATGATCCCTCTGTTTTGAGTGAGGTCTGGGTTTTATTCTAGTTCAACTGCTGTCACCATGGAAAAGTAACTCAGCTCTGAGGCCTGGTTTGCTCCTCTGTGGAATGAGAATAAGAAGGGACTATCTGCTTCTCAGAGGGGTTGTGAAAGCTGTGACTGTACAAATCAAACCTGCATTTATTTATTTTTTTAAACATTTTTTTAATTGATTTCAGAGATGAAGGGAGAGAGAGAGAGAGATAAAAACATCAATGATGAAAGAGAATCATTGATTGGCTGCCTCCTGCACACCCCACACTGAGGATCTAGCCAGCAACTCGGGCACGTGCCCTGATCGGGAACTGAACTGTGACCTCCTGGTTCCTAAGTGGACACTCAAGCACTGAGCTATGCCGGCTGGGCTAGTGTGCATTTATTTTTAATGTTTGTAAATTAGTTGACATTGAATATTATATTAGTTTCAGGTATACAGCGTATGGTGCAGGGATTTAAAAATTCAGCTCTGTGTCACCCTAAGAGCCACAGCCATCCTCAGATGCACACTGCTGCCTGTCCTGAAGGATGAGGCGCAGGTGCCTTCCTCTCGTGTCCTGCACCCTAATCTACATCCTGAAACCTGGCCTTGGACTCGGGGTAAAAACTCGCAGAGACCAAGTAGCATTTTTACGGTTTTTAAGTAATTTGTGGGCTATTTGTCAAAGAATACGAATCCATGTACTTTCTGATCCCCAAAGATACAATTATTTTTATCTTTAATGCTGAGCTATTTTCAGTGTATTTTTAAATGATCTCTGTGGCCCTGGTTGCATTATCCTATATTTGTTTATGGTTAGCCTCACATTTTTTTAAATTTTAATTTTTTTTTTTTGAAGTGTGAGCTAATAACCAGAGTACTCTGGCTCTAATTTTAGCGGCCACAGCTCGTGCAGCAGTAAGTGATCGCCTTGTTGCCCACATTGTAAACTTGGATTGTTTATTCTTCTAATAGTGAAAACCCTGCTGTGTCATCCCAGGAGTTGGGGATGGAGGGAGAGCAGGCCCCTGTGGAAGGCCAGATGCGGATGAAGTGGGAGAGCCTCCAGCAGGAAGTCAGTGCCAAGCAGAGGCTGCTGCGGGACGCCCTGGCGCAGGAACAAGAGCAAGTGGTACCGCACGTTCCCTCTTACGTATTCACTCTCGCAGAAGATGCCCAGCGTGGCTGAGACAGTGGAACTGTGCAGTCCTCTATATTTTCATTGCCAATGCAAAATAAGGCAGGAAGCAAATGATTCTTCCTACATGTTTCCTAACAAGCCCATTTCACATTTGCCCTAGTGATGACATGTTTATGTGTGACAATTTGATTTCTAGGTACCACCTTTCCTCAGAGATAATCCGTATCTGATTACTCATTAGCATAAATCATTACATTGTGTCTCCCCCTTTGGTACGACTTTGAAAATTAGGGATGTAAATTAGGGATGTATCTATGTCTAGGATAAAAGGAATTCCAAAAATCTGGAACTAAACTGTCACCTTATTTTTCCTCGCTATTTCTAGTATTTAATAGTTTCAGAAGACCTTAATGAGACACTATTGCAGCGGTTCTCAACCTGTGGGTCGCGACCCCTTTGGCGGTCGAACGACCCTTTCACAGGGGTCGCCTAAGACCATCCTGTATATCAGATATTTACATTACGATTCATAACAGTAGCAAGATTACAGTTATGAAGTAGCAACGAAAATAATTTTATGGTTGGGTCACAACATGAGGAACTGTATTTAAAGGGCCAGAAGGTTGAGAACCACTGCACTATTGGGCTCTCGGTGGTTCTAAAAGGCAGGGGCAGCCAGTGGTCAGCTGAAGTTGCTCCTGTAACTCAGGTGCAGGCTGGTTTGCAAGATGGGTTGGTGCTGAGTGATGTTGGACTTGACCCAGTCAAGCAAGCCACATCCAATAGAATTGAAGATAGCAACAGAAGGTTCCAGAGAAATAGCTATTAGTGTGCGCCAAGCAGAAGCCAGAGAGTCAGAGGAATGGACACCTTGGAGAGCTAGTGAGTGAGGCTAGAACCCAGGCAAGCCTGTGGTGCTCCCCACAGCCGTGGCCAGCAGGCTTTCGACAATGGAAACTAGTCCTGCGTCCTGGGCTAGCACTCACAGGGGCCGTTCCACGGCAGTGGCATGAACGGAGTAAACTCTAGGCCTTCCCTTTGGATCTGAGGAACCTGGACACAGTGCTCGTATGTAAGCCGCCCCTGTTTGTCTGCAGCTTTTCAGCAGGCCAAACCGGCTCCTGGCTGGCGTGCCCCTGTACAAAGGAGACGGGCCGGCCCACGATAAATCGGCAGTGACGTCCTTGCTCGATGGGTTGAACCAGGCCTTTGAGGAGGTCTCATCCCAGGTAAGGCTGCGCTCTGAGTTTGCTCATGGGTCTTGGTCTTCGTCAGGTTTCCCACCCTGGGCATGAACTCTTGAGACCCAACCCTAGTGAATAGCTCTGAATGACCCGAAACTCCAAAGACTCATCCTGGTAATTTTCTTTGATTTCTCAAAATGCTGTAATGAATTCCTTCTTCCACTTCTTTTTTCCAGGGCGGAGGAACAAAGAAGCAGAACATTCACTTGGAGCAGAAGTTATATGATGGAGTCTCGGCGACCTCTACGTGGCTGGATGATGTTGAAGAACGTTTACTTTTTGCCACAGCCCTCACACCAGAAGAAACCGAGACTTGCCTCTTCAACCAAGAGGTAAGTTTGCCAGCCTGTGCCTGTGAGTCCACAGCATTACACAGCACTTGACTTCCTAGGGGGTAAAGACCTGATTTGTATGTAGATTCCTGGGTCTAAACACTCAAATGGTCTTCTTTTTGATCAACCCTAGACTCTTGCCAAAGATATTAAGGAAATGTCTGAAGAGATGGATAAGAACAAGAACTTGTTTTCCCAAGCATTTCCGGAGAACAGTGATAACCGCGATGTTATTGAAGACACTTTGGGGTGTCTTTTGGGGAGGTTGTCCTTGTTAGACTCAGTAGTAAATCAACGATGTCATCAGATGAAGGAAAGACTTCAGCAAATACTAAATTTCCAGGTAAGACATTGTCAAGAGTTGTTTGCCCATCCTCCATGCAAAGAGTTATTAGTTTGCTCTAAGCAGAAGCCAGGGAGGGGGCCATAAACAGGATGTCTGACTGAGGTATGATATACCTAGACCTATTTTTTTCTTCAAATGAACAATGAGTAGCAAGAACATCACAGAAAAACTAGGGCAGTGGTTCTCAACCTTCCTAATGCTGCGACCCTTTAATACAGTTCCTCATGTTGTGGCGACCCCCAACCATAAAATTATTTACATTGCTTCATAACTGTAATTTTGCTACTGTTATGAATCGTAATGTAAATATCTGATATACAGGATGTATTTTCATTGTTTGCGACCCACAGGCTGAGAACCGCTGAACTAGGGGATTGAACTCGTATTAGAAAACTGACTTTTATTCTCCCAGAAATGGAACTTGAGAAAACCAGCTAACTACACTAAGGGCTGAATAGGAATTTAAACTCAACCAATAAAAGTCATATTTATGGCACAGTATAATTACAATTTCCAGTTGATAATAGTAGTGTTTAAAACATATAACCAAAAAAACATGCAGGCAGGGCTGTAATACAGAGCGAAGCCCGGACCCCAATACCCAGGCCCATTGCAAGTGACTGTGGCCTAATTAGTTCCACCTGTGCTCAAACAGATTGCATTACTTCCCAGTCCTCGCTGCTCAGGCTGACTGCCTTTTAGCCCAGACTGGAGACTGTTCCAACTGAATAACTGTGTGCTTATGAAACTTTTCCTATGACTATAAATTTCAGCAAATGCAAAAGTAGCTGATAACCGTTTAATGTTGATTTTCATTCCTAATAAAAAGTCACCTTTGGGAATTCGTAAGTTTTAACTGAATTTTATTTTTAACAGACATACAAGTTTTACAAAATGGATATCTGTGATTAGGGCCAAGAGTTTTATGTAAAAGTTTTGATTTAAAAAAATACTGTAAATGTTAAATAAATGTAGCATTAGCCAAGACACAAGGAATTTTCTGTGTATATATCTATATGAGGCATGCGGCCCACCGGCTGCGAGTTTGACATGCTTGATCATTCTAGACCAGCGGTTCTCAACCTGTGGGTCGCGACCCCTTTGGGGGTCAAACGACCCTTTCACAGGGGTCACCTAAGACCATCGGAAAACACATATATAATTACATATTGTTTTTGTGATTAATCACTATGCTTTAATTATGTTCAATTTGTAACAATGAAATTGGGCGTCACCTCAACATGAGGAACTGTATTAAAGGGTCGCGCCTTAGGAAGGTTGAGAACCACTGTTCTAGAGGGACAAATTACCACTGCCTTCAGGTAATTTACATTCTTAAAACTACAAAGTAAAATTACCACAAACATTTGTGTATCATTTTTTTTATTCACAAAATATTTTCACATGTATTCTTGTCTTTAATCTTCACAACATCTCTAGTAGCTAAGCATTGTTCTAATATTCATTTTGCAAAGTCAAAAGAGCAAAAATTAAGGACAAAGTCTCCAGCCCAGCTGGTGTGGCTCAGTGGATTGAGCTTCGACCCAAGGACCAAGAGGTCCTGGGTTCAATTCCTCTGTCAGGGCACATGCCAGGGTTTCGGGCTCCATCCCCAGTAGGGGGCGTGCAAGAGTCAGCCAATCAATGTGTCTCTCTCATTGATGTTTCTAACTCTCTCTCCCTTCCTTTGTGAAATCAATAAAATATATTAAAAAAAATAATAAAACCGTCTCCAGCCTGGCCAGCATGGCTCAGTGGTTGTGCATTGACTTATGAACCAGGAGGTCACTTTTCGATTCCCAGCCAGGGCACATGCCTAGGTTTGGGCTCGATCCCCAGTGCTGGGTGTGTAGGAGGCAGCTGATCAATAATTCTTTCTCATCATTGATGTTTCTATCTCTCTCCCCCTCTCCCTTCCTCTCTGAAATCAATAAAAATATATTTTTAAAAAAAGAAATAAAGAACAAAGTCTCCAAAGCCAGTCCCCCCGAGTTCAAATTCCGGCTTTGTTACCTACTGCTCTATAACCTTAGCTGCCTCTCAGAGCCTTCATGTCCGCAACTCTTAAATCACACCCTACTAACTGCCTCATAGGGTTTTGTGGTAATGCAAACAATATCATATCTCATAAACAAAACCCTTGTTTCTAGCAACATTTCTCCAGTGCTGTTGTTACATTTTCCTATTTAGTCTGCAACTAGGCTTGCAGATTGGTTTGGGTTTGAGTTAGCGACAGCTATTGCCTTTTAGAATCATATGCTTTCTAATTCTCCTGTTCATTGCTTTAAAAAAAAATAATTTACTGCACAATTCACTCACTATTTTGCTCTTTAGCCTGACATTTTGTTTTTTTGTTGTAGTTGTTTTTTTGAATATATTTTTATTGATTTCACAGAGGGAGGGAGAGGGAGAGAGATAGAAACATCAATGATGAGAGAGAATCATTGATCGGCTGACTCCTGCACGCCCCCTACTGGGGATCAAGCCCACAACTCAGGCATGTGCCCTTGACCAGAATCAAACTTGGGACCCTGCAGGCCAACGCTCTATCCACTGAGCCAAACCGTCTAGGGCTGCCTGACATTTTGTGTGGTGATGCTCCCACACGGCCTGAAAGTTGATTTTTCTTCCTTGCTGTGATTGTCCTTCTCCTGGTGAGATGGCCAGAATTTTTCATCTTGGTGACGGGCACTTGCCCCCAGTGAAGAGGATGTGATCAAACTTCACCCTGTGACGAACACCCAGCCCATCAGACACATTTGCCGACCAATAAAGAATTTGCTGATTTTGGGGGCGGGGAAGGGCAGGATTAAACATTTTGTCATTCCCGCTTTGTTCCAGTCTATTATTTCTTTTAGAATTGAATACCAAAATTCTGTTATCTCATTTTTGTACAACTCTAACTCAATATAAATACTTGAACTTTTTTATTGATTGATTTTTTTTTGAGGGAGGGGGCTAGAGAGGGGTGGGGAAGGATTGATCCAGAGCCTTGGCTATCAGGACGCTGCTCTAACCGACTGAGCTACCGGCCAGGGCATATTTGGACTTTTAAGTGAGTAATGTTTGTGGACAAAAGATGTGGCTAAGGTCTTTTGGTGTTTTCTCTTAATATGTCTTTGGTCATCATGAAAATAGTTCTTTTCTAAACTTCTGGATGGCTTTTTATAAGCTTGTGCACATTCTTTGAAACTAGGGAAAAGCAGGAAGTGAGGGAGAGAGAGAAGCAGAGGAGAGAGGAAGAAAGGAACCATATTATTCTTAAGAATTTTATTTTCTTCCCAAATCAGGGTAACATCAATAGGTTGTTTTACTAGATAGAAGTCATTAGTATAATATTTCTGCTGGAATGTTTAAATGTGCACATTTATTTCAGACATAACAAGAAGTTTAGGGTGGCTAGTATTGCTTTTTATTTGTATGCCCTGCCTCCTTGTATATTGTGTTGGAAATGGTTTGTGTAAAGATTATTCAAAAGTCAAATTTAGCACTTAAAGTAAATTGTTACCAGCTTCTTTTATCTTCCCCTAGTACAGTATTGGTTTCTCTGGACATAAAATTCCCACACCTGTATATTATTTCTAAGGGCGTGTGTTATGTTTATAACCATTTGAGTTCCCTGGTGCACATGTTAAATCTTCCTATTTCTCACCCCCTAGAACGATCTGAAGGTGCTGTGTACGTCGCTGGCTGACAGTAAATACATGCTTCTGCAGAAACTGGCCAATGTGTTTGAACAGCCCGTGGCGGAGCAAATAGAGGTATTTACAGCTGCCTTTTTCCAGTTGATCGGATTTACTGTGAAATGTCAAATCCTCTGCGAAAGATTACTGGCTTACTGTGGCATTTATGTTTGTCTCATGTTTTGTTTGTGAGAGCTGGATTTGAATCACTGGCCAGGTTACACTGACTCTCTCACTTGGGCTTGCACGGAACTGGGAAATGTGAGCTGGGGAAAGGTGTCAGTGACCGCTGCTGACCTGACGAAGTGTGTCCCCTAACAGGGAGATTAGGCGTGAATGTCAGTGACCTGGGCAGGAAGTCAGGCTGCCCCGGTGGCGGCACAGAGGAGCGCTGTGGACATTCGGAAGAGGGGTAGGTTGCCTCCAGAGGAGTAAGGTTAGGGAAGAGTCTACAAAGGGAAATCGGAACTGGACTTAGGAGTTGGGGCACACAGGGGCCAGAAGAAAGGTATCCCTGGAGAGGGACAGCAAGAACAAAGGCACAGGCGAGATAGTTCCGAGCTCTGTAGGAGGAAAGCGAGTGACCCTGGTTAGCTGAACTTAGGATGAATCATGTGATTGAGGGGAAATAAGGTCGGACGAGAACATTGGAGACACCTTGTAGTTAGGGCTATTGCATGTCAGAGAATTTGGACTTGAGTCTATAAATCACTGGTGTCTAACCTTCATTGATTGCACACCTCACTAGTTAAACAAGCACATACCACAAATACATGAATATTTACTCATTTATCAACTATAAGCAAGTACTATGTTATAAAGCACATGCAGAAATAGAAGTGGAAATTGAAAATTAATGTGGCTGGGTGTAAATGAAGACATAGTGTCTCACCCTCATGGATCATATCACACACACTGGATATCTCCCCTCGGAGAACTGGCAGTGGGAAGCCACTGGGGATGTTGGACGGTGAGGGTAAGTGTGGGGGCCAGATCCTGCTTCTGGAGGGCTGGCATGACCACGCCAGGGTCAGGAGGCAGGGTTCCCATCATTGATCAACTGCCTCCTGCACGTCCTCTACCAGGGATGGAGCCCGCAGCCTGGGCATGTGCCTGACGGGAATCAAACCAGCAACCTTTCGTTGTGTGGGACAATGCCCAGTCAACTGAGCCTGTTTGTTGTTGTTTTTTTGTTGTTGTTGTTGTTTTAATGGATGCATTATCCTTTATAATCTCTCTGGGTGTATTATTTGTTCATTGAAGTTTTATTTTTCCTGTATAATTGGTTACTTTTGTTTGTTTGCTCATTTGGGTTTCTGTCTTTCATGTTGGAGGCATTTCTCAGGAAATCCTTTGCTGACTATTCCGTTTAGGATGGGAGACTAAGCAGCTAAGTGGCAACTTGACGGATGGATAAGGCTGGACAATGTTGAGATCTACTGAAGGGTGGTCTGTGTGGGCTATTTGTTGGAGAATCCTTGCATCAAACTTTTAGGTGTTTCTATTGGTCTTTTCATATTTTTTCTCTTTCCTACCTGGAGAGTAGAGGTCTGGCGGCCATTCTCTAGAAGACGCAGGGACTCCACATTCACCATTCAGTGGGCATTCACTTTATCCCTCTGTTTTCAATCAAGTACTCAAACCCACAACTGTATCTGCTGCCCCTCAGTTCAGAAACTATTTGTTTTTTTACATTTTCTAGAAAATCAATGTTCCATCTTTCACCAGGGAAGGGAAGGGGCAGTGTGGAATGATGCAAGAGATCTGGGAATTTAACTTCTCTCTTAAAAAAAAAAAATCATTGTTTCAGAGAGGAAGGGAGAGGGAAAGAGAGGTAGAAACATCAATGATGAGAAAGAATCATTGATCGGCTGCCTCCTGCATGCCCCCTGTTGGGGATTGAGACCACAATCCAAGCATGTAACTTGACTGGGAATCGAACCATGACCTCCTGGTTCATGGGTCAATGCTCAACCACTGAGCCACACCAGCCGGGCTTAACGTCTCTTTAAGGAGCTTCTCACCAACCCTGCTTATTCAGCACCCACTTCACCAGAGTGCCAGAGACTCCTGTGGCTATAAACTTGGGGGTGAAGATCCCCTGCTGGACTAGGATTCAGCTGTCTTAGATGTCTTAAGTCAATTTTCATCTCCTCCTGATTTCCAACTTCCAAAATTTTGATGGTATTGTCTTCTTTCCTTCGGCCTTGTTCTTGTAGATTTATGGGGGGAACACACACCCAAACACAAGCAAACAGAACATTTGCTGTGGTGGTAGTGGTGATTCAGGAAAGAAAATGGGCACATGTTTTTTATCTGCCATCTGGAATTCATGTTCTTTTCATTCTTCAAGGGCAACCGAGGTTGCATTTCTTCCAAAAGCCTACTCATTCTGCTCCAGGACTGCCTGGGATCTCCCGTTTCCAAAGCACTCTTACAGGGACGGCGTGTGTCAAGTTTACTTAGTACATAATGGTTTTGCTTCCCAACCAGACGGTTAGCTCCTGGAAGGCCAGGACGAGATCTTGTTCTGCCTCTATACACCTCTCCCTGGGAAGACAAGGTTTAGCACCAGCAGCCGCTGTAATACTTGTCGACTGTGTGATTTTCTGCTTCTTGGGGAAACCATGCAGTCACATGTTTTCAAAGATGCTCAGAACTGCACTTCAGGAAACCAGAGCATGATTCCCGACACCAGGGGTGGGGAATGTCCAGTCCACGGGCTGTATAAGGCCCATGAAATCGTTTGGTCTGGCCCTGCCAAGGCATTAGGGGTGAGTTAATTAAATGTTTGGCCAAATACTAGCATCGCAGGCTAATTTTTAAGTTGATAATTTTGTATGGCCCGAGAACGATGTTATAAATATCCAAATGGCTCTTGGCAGGAAGAAGGTTCCCCACCCCTGCCCTAGACAATCCCAGGCAGATACCTTTCTCTAATGTCATACATCATGCTTCTTTTTGGGGTGTCGCTATTCATGAATTTTTCTTTTTTTGAGGAAGCTGTTGTCCTCCCAACCCTCCATTCTCAGTCCCTCTTACCTCCTCACCATTAAGATAGCCGATCTGTAGCATAATAAAGGGCCTTCTTCTCTTTCCCACATCATGTGACCATGGTTTTTATGTTATATTACAATGAGTTTTGTTGGCTGTATTGTTCTATGTGGACAGAAGAGGAATAAATAAGGAGGCACAGTAGTCATACTTTTTGTGGGAAATTATTCATGGGAGTTGATGAAATTTGATAAATTTTACCTAGGCAATACAGCAGGCTGAAGATGGGCTGAAGGAATTGGATGCAGGAATCGCTGAATTAAAAAAGCGTGGTGACAAGTTGCAGATTGAGCAGCCCGCCCTGCAAGAACTCTCCAGACTCCAGGTATGATTTTCTGCCAATAGCATTCAATGATGCATCCTAACTAGAACTCAAGAAAAAAGTATTTTCTCCATTTTCTTGTTATTTCTCTATAAAATTCAGATCATTTAAGTTCTAATCTCTCTTCCAAGTAACTCTTAGAAAAATTTCTGAAATTTTTACTATCTTTAATGCAATAAAAAAATTGTATTTTCAAGCTTCTAGGATTCTTTTTTTAAAAGTCATTTGTTATTGTAAAAAAAATCATTTGTTATTATTCTGATGGCTAACCACTGTGGTGTAGTTTAGTTGTGCTGTATTATTTTCTACTGTAGAAAATGTAATTATTATCAGTCCAACCTAGAAAAGTTAAGAAAGGGAGATCTACTCTGTATTTAAAGAGTGGTTTTTATCAGTCTTTAAAGCTATAGTTTATCGTTCATACATTTTTTAATGGAAGAGAGACACTGTGTCAGTTCCAAAACAAAACAAAAAATTTAACCAAGAGGAAGCTGAAGTCTACACAGACCTCCTGGCCTCACTCAGGAGCAGAGGGCAACTTGGGGTTACTTTGCTTTCCTGGATCGGCACTTAACGCAAGAATCTGCTATCAGGGTGGTAGGCCGATCCTGGGATATTACACCAGCAAAAATTTAGCCTTTGATGAGCAACACAGTTAAGTCATATTAAGAAAAAAATGTGCATAGTGACACATATGCACACATTTGCCTGTACGCCTATTACAGACCGTTGAAGAATTACTAGCATGAATCCAGTCCAGGCTCACAGGTCCTTCCTTTCAAGAAAATAAAATAGCTCTTATTTTTAAAAGAGCATTTTTATTTTAAGTATCTCATCCCACTGTCTAACATTTTGCGATGTCATGAGCCCACTGGCCCCCACTCTGTCCTTTCTAGACAGTTTCCGATGATGGTTAACGTCAGGTGTAAGATCCAACGTCAGGGCTGTAAACAGGCATTAGAGTTGAACTTTCCAGATCGGACATTGTTGGCCTCTAAATCTTCACATGGCACATTAATCAGGTCCATATGGCTCAAATAAATTCTGTGTTTAGTGTATCATCGTCTCCTAAAATGCCTTTCCAGTTAAGATATTTATTTATTTCACCACATTTGGCAAAAACATGGCCTTTTCAAGTCTTCAAGTCTTCCAGCTCCCAGTAAATGCTTCTGCTTCTCAAGCTCTTTATTTGAAGAATAGTCCCAAATCAGATTATTAAGTAGTATTTGTAATGTTAAGGATACTATATTCGATTACTCTAAACGTGTATGAATGTTTAGAACATGATAAAAATCAGAATTAAATTTCCTGGGGCATTTCCCTTCACCTCCATGAACAATTTGTGATCCCACATCTTGCCACAAGCATTGACATTCCAAGAACACTAGTTAAGTCTACCCATGTGTCACTTCTAGGCAACGTTTTTGTATATCCTTTGTAATGTTAAAAAAATTAGCTTATTTTTTTAATTATATTTTTTATTGATTTCAGAGAGGAAGGAGAGGGAGAGAGAGCTAGAAACATCAATGATGAGACGGTTGCTTCCCACATGCCCCACACTGGGGATCAAGCCCACACCTGGGCACATGCCCTGACCGATAATTAAACCATGACCTCCGGGTTCATAGGTCGATGCTCAACCACTGAGTCACACCACCGGGCTAGCTTATCTTTTTTGAAAGAAGTTTTTGAAGTGAGGATTCTGAGTAAGGCAGGTGGACGGATGCCCGATACACAGAGCATCACCATAGGCAGGCACCTGAAGGCGCGTCCTGGGGTTGTGGGTTTGGTAGGTAATGTATTTTTAGAGGGGAGCCTCAACATCACTTGAGTGAATGTTGCTGTCTCTGTTTCTAAGGACATGTATGATGAACTGATGATGACCATCGGCTCTCGGCGGAGTGGACTGAACCAGAACCTAGCGTTCAAGAGCCAGTACGAAAGGGCCCTGCAAGATCTGGCCGACCTGCTGGAAACTGGACAAGAGAAGATGGCCGGCGACCAGAAAATGATCGTGTCTTCCAAAGAGGAAGTCCAACAGCTCCTTGACAAACATAAGGTAGAGAGAGAGAGAGAATGTACTTGTGCAAGCATAGTCTCACTGACTGATAAATATCGAGTAAAACCCAGTATTTTCAATCTTTTAGGAGTTCCTACTTGTATAAGTGAATCTTTAAGACGGTAGACAAATGTGTACGCAAACCCACTGGCATTCAGTAGCACGGAACAATTACAGAGGCCATGCTCTATGATGTTATCAGCTAACAAAGAATACCACCTCAGCAGTCATTTTAAGCGTCCCTTCCTCACAGTATCGGCCAGGCTGTCTCATTTCCTAAACTGGGAAACGCAGGGACCCTCTCAAAGGAGCCCAGCTTCCTTCTGAACTGCTATTTTCCTCTGTGTTTTCTATGCCCATTTGTTCATCTAGCTCTGGGTGTTCTCTCTGCCTGGCCCAGGACGCCTCGCTCTGCTCTGGGAATGGGATTCTTTCTCTCGCATGTGGCACCCGGCTCTTATGGCCTTAAACACATGCTCCGCAAGAGTTGCCTTCTGGGGACAACAGGTCCTTTTGCTACATAATCAAACTTGGTCGGCCTGCGCTTGCTCCAGCAGTATGTGCTGTACCAAGTTCGCATTAGCCCCTACTCTTTAATTCAGCCATGCCTGCTTAATGCACACACAAAGGTAACTCTTGCATTATTAGCAATCACTGCAGAAAGAGCAATTTTGCCAGTTCAGAACCCCAAACTCCAAGGCTCCTGGAAGTTCCTCTAGGGGAACTTTGGAAATCCCATTGGGTTACAGATGGTTAACCTTCTACTATCATGTAGCTTCCCTGGTGGCTTCCCAAGGTAGATTTTTTTTTTTACTATTAGACTTCTTGCTATTTTTCCCAGAGGTTTTTGTCCAAAATGTTGTGATTTATTAAGGCCTTATCGTTTGGCTTTGAAAACATTGCTTTAAAGTTCACAGCTGGTTTTTCTCAAATCTTTGACCCTAGTAATAAAATAACCTCCTGAGTTATTCCAGAGAAGAAACTAGGATCAATGAATATAAATAACAGAGAAATTAAGCTCAATAGATGAAGAGCGCTGAGAGGAGTAAGCTGCCTTGAGCAGACAGCCCTCCTGGCCATGAGAAGCCCATCCAAGGCTGTTGGGGGAGATGGGGTTGTAAAAGGAATTTCAGCTTCCCATGAATTTGAGCTCTGTGATGTCCAAGTTCTCTTCCAACGTTAAGATTCTACGATATAATAATGGATGGTTGATTAAAAAAGATGGTTCTAGCTTCTCCTGACCAGAGCAGTTTCTGAGGGGGAGCTAGCTTGGCAGTGACCTTGAGCAAGTCACACAGACTGGGCCGTGCAGCGTCCCCATCTGTAAAATGTGAAATAGTCTGCCTGCCTCATGGAGCTGTTGTAAGGAGCACATGAGTCAGCCAAGTGCCGGTAGAGCACCTGGCACGTAGCACACACTGAATATTACTGTCTGTAGATTCTCAGTCCTTCGGTTCTGCCTGTGGTGCTGGGAACAGGAAATGGGGTAAACCCTGTCTCCCTCCTCTGGGCCCTTTGACACAGAGAAAGGAACAATTCAAAACACATTTGAAGGATTGTGCAAGGTCTACCGTTTCCTTGCATGTAGGTATAACCTGAGAGAAATTTAGAATACATCATACCACTCAGCCCAACCATAGAGGAAGGAAGTTGTGAGTGTGTCGGGTGAGGGCCTCTCAGTGAGTACAGAGTATAAACAGAGGCCCAGATGGGGAATGGGAGCTAGTGTGAGGGACAATGGAGGCCAGTTTGGGTGGTGGAGTTAGTGAGAGGCGGGTCAGGACAATAAGGAAGTCCGACCCGCAGGAATGAAGGATTCGGAGAGCAGGGGCTGGTGCCCTATGAAGGGCTCTGGGTAGGGCACAGCAGTGGGTAGATGCTCCTGGTGGGGGAACAAGGGAGGCCACGCAGGAGACTGGAGCCCTGTAAGGTGGCGGCCAGCAGCGGTGGAACAGTGTCTCTCAGATGTCAGCTGAGTACCATCAGCTTTCCCGTTTGAAGCAAGTTTATCGTCTGGTAGAATATGAATGAGTCGCTGACCTCTTTTTTTCTACCTGGAAAATGGCAGGAATACTTCCAGGGTCTGGAATCTCACATGATTTTGACGGAAACGCTCTTCAGAAAGATAATCAGCTTTGCAGTCCTGCAGGAAACTCAACTGCACGCAGAAGTGATGGCGCAGGCTTCCGCGGTCCTGAAAGGGGCTCACAAAAGGGGCGTGGAGCTGGAGTACATTCTAGAGGTGAGACCCTTGCGGTAGCACCCCTCCCCCCGCCCCCCCGCCCCCCGCCCATGAAGGCAAGACAGTGATTACTGCGATTTGCCTCCTGTAACCTCGGAACTCCCAGAGGCAGCATCACGTGTCCTATGTGCATTGTGATAAAGCCTTCCCCACACTCAGAGGCAGCTGCCTGGGGACCGCCTTCACACTGGGCAGGATGAGGCATGGGGTTTGAGAGGCAGGCTGAAAAACTGCTGACCTTTGTTATAAATTATTGACGTGAACTTCAAGTGATTGGCAAAAAGACTTCCCAATTTAAAACAAAATAAAAATCTGAATTTAGAAAAAAGTCACTTGAGAGTTCTCCTTAGAGGAATGCCTATGCTATATATTCCTATTTCTTGAACGTCTGTGCTTTTTTAAATTTACAAATGCAATATATTTAGTTCACTTCCTACGTGAACAGGCCCATTCCTTCTAGTTAAGTCATGCATTCATCACTACCAGGGTAAAGAATGAAAACCAGGTAATCAAATGCTTACTGTGTTCCAGGCGTAATGCACACATTATTCTATTTAACCCTCCAAATGGCCCACATAGGTATTATTATTCCCATGTTTAAATGTTGAAAATGGGGCTCAGAGAAGCTGAGTATCTTGTCCATGCTCGTTAGTAACTTGCTCATGCGGCTAGTTAGTTGCAGCTGCCACAGGCCGTTGATAATGCTTTTCAGGGTCACCGTCTGATGCCTGGCTTCAGAGCCATCCTTTGCTTCCCAAAGCAACCCTCCCTCCCCCCCAGCCCCCGTCACACACACACACAGACATCTCCCTCTGACCGAACTTCAAAGGGAACCTGTCAAGTGCATGTTTTGCACAGGAAGAGGAATGCTGTTCCTTAATGAGGGCTTCTAGCTCACGGACTGATGTTGCATTTCCAGACGTGGTCTCATCTGGATGAGGACCAGCAGGAGCTCCGCAGGCAGCTGGAGGTGGTGGAGAGCAGCATCCCCAGCGTGGGGCTGGTGGAGGAGAGCGAGGACAGGCTCATGGACCGGATCACACTCTACCAGGTCAGCGTCCCCGCGGCATCTTGGTGTGGGAAGCTGCCACAGTTCCTTTGGAAACTCTCCCATGGTTTTAACAGGATCTAAACAAACTTGCAATCAGCACTGTTACTTTGATTTCAAGCTATTGACGCTGTTGAAAGCACATAAATGTTAAGTGTTTGTTTTCTAATAGAAAATAAGGTGTTTTTTTCTTTCCTTTTTGGTAATGAGAGATCCTTTTGAATATTCAGCCTCCATCAAGCGTTTTCTGTAGTTTATCCTGATATCACACTATCTTGAAAAAATTATAGCTGGTTGTTTTATGAGCATTAAAAGTTTTTTTTTTTAAATGAAAGAGTGCTCCTCGTGAAAACTCAGCTTCCACCAAGCATTTCCTGTAGTTTATGTGGTGAAATAATTATAGATTGATAGTCTTACATGCATATAAAGTCACCACCAAAAAAATAAACAAATAAATACATCTTTATTTAGATATAGTAGGTGAAACATCTCAAAGTTTCCACCATCACTTGGCTGTAAATAATTGAAGTTTGACTAAGGAAAATGGGAACATATGGGTACCAGAGAAATTGTGATCCTTAGAGAGACAAATTGCATTATCCAAACTTCTGACCCCGTATTTTTCATCATTTCAGCATTTGAAATCCAGCCTTAATGAATACCAGCCCAAATTATATCAGGTGTTAGATGATGGGAAGCGCCTTCTGATATCCATTAGCTGCTCAGATCTGGAGAGCCAGCTGAACCAGCTCGGAGAACACTGGCTGAATAGTACCAACAAAGTGTCTAAGGAACTTCACAGATTGGAAACGATATTGAAACACTGGACCAGGTAATACAAGGACTATTTTACCCATTTTTTAGATTAGTGTTCAAGAGTATTTATAAGGCTAGTGGGTACAGGACTTGAAAAAGATATCATGGTCCCTATAGGAACGTATCACATAGTTTGGAAAATAAAGGCAAACACAAAGCCTCCAATTGGATTCCTGTATAATCATATAAACATGTCATCCAAAGGGGTAGGGAGGCGGGTACCTTACCTTTGAGCTCCTCCTTGCCTGTTGACTGCACGTGGGTGGTCACAGTAAAACCTTAGCGGGAAAGAAGAGAGAGTGGTTTTGAGAAGATGCAATTTCTCAAGGACAAGAGGAATATTCAAGAGAAGTGGAGGGGGTGATGTTACATAATGAAATACTCTATTTCTATGCCATCTTTATTTTCAAGAACTTTTAATAACAGTCATCTGATATGGCCTGAATAGCTTCAACATGAACGGATAGGGGAAATACATTTTTTAATTTTCAGCTTAGAGAAGAGAAAGCTGAAACTTGGAGAGACTGACTTGCTTCAGGCATAAATATTAAGGGAATAAGAATTTGAGAGTTTGAACACAGGGCATTATTCTCCCAAATCTATCATGCCTTTTTAAGATTAGCATTGGGACACAGGCAACAGGATGGTGACTACCAGAGGGAAAGAGGGATGGAGGAGGTAGAAGAAGGTAAAGGGAAGGTAAATGATGATGCAAGGAGACTTGAATTGGGGTGGTGAACACACAATATAAAATACAGATGATGTATTATAGATTGCACACCAAAACCTATATAATTACAGTAACCAATGCCACCCCTAATAAATTCAATAAACATTTACAAAAATAAAATTACATGGGTGAATGACATGGGTTAGCAGAAAGTAGGGATTGGATGTTTACCTAATAGGCTCATCAATATACTTACAGATATCAAAGTGAGTCTGCGGCTCTAACTCACTGGTTACAGTCCGCAAAAGACAGGCTGGAATTTTGGACTCAGCAATCTGTGACCGTCCCCCAAGAACTGGAGATGGTCCGTGATCATCTGAACGCTTTCCTGGTAAGAGTTTAAACCATTTGGCTCACATGTATTGTTTACAGGCCTATAGGTGAGGCCTGATCTACACTAGGAGAGAGGAAACCAGCTGCCCGTGGGTGCACTTAACAAGCCAAGTTCTGGAGAATCTTTATGCAGACTACTAGGCTCAACATCGCCTCTTTCGGGAGTTTATAGGTAGTGGCTTCATCGCTGGCTCTTTTTTAAAAACATTTCTTTATTGATTAAGGTTATTACATATGTGTCCTTATCCCCCCATTGGGAGAGAGTAGGCTGCTTTTGTTTTTTGTCTGCAATGCTGAACATAACTCCCCTTCAAGATGTAAAGAAAAGTTGTTTTTGCCATAAATTGGTCTCTCTCCTTAAATGAAAGGTCTGGCTCTTTAATCCTGATTTGAACTTTGCTCCTTCTTTCAGGAGTTTTCCAAAGAAGTGGATGCCAAATCCTCCCTGAAATCGTCTGTTCTAAGCACCGGGAACCAGCTCCTTCGCTTAAAGAAAGTGGACACGGCCGCCCTGCGTTCCGAGCTGTCGCACATAGACGGCCAGTGGACGGACCTGCTGACCAATATTCCGACGGTCCAGGAAAAGCTCCACCAGGTACAGCAAGAATCTTTGGCTTCATTGGTAGTGACCGACTTGAGCAGTATGGAATGGAAAGCTGCCTTCATCTGCTTTTGCTCACGGATTTAAATAAGCTTCGTCTTGGACGTCTTGTCTTGTCTTTTCTCTCTTCCACTGTACAGCATATTAATATGAACCCTTCACCAAATGCCATTTTTACAAATGCCACACCTTCCAAGGGCTTCTTTTTTCTTTTTAATATACTTTTATTGATTTCAGAGAGGAAGGGAGAGGGAGAGAGATAGAAACATCCATGAAAGAGAGTCATTGATCTGCTGCCTCCTACATGGGGATCGAGCCCTGACCGGGAATGTGCCCTGACCGGGAATCGAACCATGCCCTCCTGGTTCTTAGGTCGACACTCAACCACTGAGTCACGCTGGCAGGGCCCACAGGCTTCTTTAGTGTGTGTGTATGTGTGTGTGTGTGTGTTACAGTCCCTCTCTGGTCTTGCTTAAATTCTTTTTCTCGTGAGTAAAGTGTTGGTCACTGCGCCTACCTTATAAAGTGGGTAGCCATGAAGATTTAACAATAATAAATGTAAAAGACCTATAATCTTACCTACAATACAGCAGCTGGCATTCATTCAATAAGGGAAGAGAAGTTAGAGAAGGGAAGTCAGTTCTCCTCTTTCCTGGAAACATGTTTCTCTCCTCTGAACTCCCAGAGAGTTTATTTCTCTCTCTCTTTTGTGCTCGTCACTGTAGATAAGGTAAGATAGATGTGTTTAATGCCAATTTTCATTCCTACTAATCAGCTGCTGTACATCTCACATTTGTCTCTACATCATTCTTCACCCCATAGAAGTCCATAAATATTTTAAATGATTGCTTGTGTTCTTCCAAATTATGATAATAAGTAGCTGCATAAATGTATGATGTGTTAAGTAAGATTCAGACTTGTAAGTCTATTTTAAAGACTGAAGAAGTTGGCTATGCTCTTAGGAATAAATATGAGAGTGCCAAAGCTCTCGAAAATGATAGTTGGTATTGTGGTATTTTTCTTTCTCCTTTTAACATTCTTGAGTCATAATACACAGAGATTTTATGAGCTAATTAATAAGATAGATCTGTTGAATGTTTTGTAGTTACGTTTTTTGAAGGTCATAAAACTAGCTATAAAATAACAATAATATTTTCTTCTTTCTGGTATTTTGATTAATTAGCCAGTGTTTATACAATGTTTATAGTATTGGATGGCAAGTGAACATAAGATGACTAGGATGGTTCAGTGTTTGCCTGCTGTTTCATTCCAAGCTTCCAATGAGGTCAGGATCCAAACATGGCGTTAAGAAGAGTTACCTATGCGGGAACATTAATAAGGGTTCATGGAGGGTGTTTAGGTTAACAGGCACCAGGTTTGAACTTTAATACTGTGACTTGCTCTCCTCCTCGGGCAGCTCCAAATGGATAAGCTGCCCTCGCGCCATGCCATTTCGGAAGTCATGACTTGGATCTCTCTCATGGAGAATGTCATTCAAAAGGATGAAGAGGATATAAAAAATGCCACAGGCTACAAGGCCATCAATGAGTACCTTCAGAAATATAAGGTGATGACACATTTGTTATCTTTACCTTTTCATGTTTTGGAACTATTTTAGTTAAAGGGACATAAGAACTCCAGGGATGGCGATCAGGCTCTGCAGTATAGATTTCATCCATAGTGACCAGATAGCTGTCTGAGAGTAAGAACATTGCCTCCCTCGTGATAGGCATGGAAAAGTTGTCTGGTATTAGGAATAATTTTGAATAAGATTTTGTGTCATTTTAAGAAGTCATAAAAATGGATACTATAATTTATAAATATTTTATAGTGTAATCATAAAATGTATACAATTCTACATCCTCTGTCATATATATATATATTTATTTATAAATTCAAATATATTTATAAATGCAAAAGTTATAAGTTTAATTCATGTCTACTGTATTCATATATATTTTATACTAGAGGCCCAATGCATGAAATTCATGCAAGAGTAGGCCTTCCTTCCCCTGGCTGCCAGGATCGGCTTCCCTCTGGCACTTGGGACCTGGACTTCCCTCAGGCTGCCAGCAGGCACCCGGAACCCAGGCTTCCCTCGCAGCCCCGGCTTCGTCGGAAGGTTGTCCAGAATGACATCTGGTCTAATTAGCATATTATGCTTTTATTATTATAGATATATTCTGTTTCTGAAAATAACGGGTTCTATGCATGCACACAGATGGTGCCATTTGGACTAAACCATGGAAGTTATGGCATCAACCTTTTGCTCACTCACGGCCCTCCAGCTCCTGAGCAAGCCCACGACATGTGCCCTCTGACCTCGTTTCCTTCTCTCCCTCTCACTCCAGGGCTTTCAGATAGACATTAACTGTAAGCAGCTGACAGTGGACTTTGTGAACCAGTCTGTGCTGCAGATCAGCACCCAGGATGTGGAGAGCAAGCGCAGCGATAAGACCGACTTTGCGGAGCAACTCGGAGCGATGAATAAAAGCTGGCAGGTCCTGCAGGGCCTCGTAGCTGAGAAGGTGAGCCACGTGGCCACCGCTGGAGAGAGACTATCAAGAAAATTAACTGTAGGAGTAGGATAGCGACCGACGCTGGGCTCGGGGATTCTGCTGGAGAGAATGCCACTGAAGAATACATACATGGCTCTACATGTCCTTTTTTTAAAAATATGTATGTATTTTTATTGACTTCAGAGAGGAAGGGAGAGGGAGAGATAGAAACATCAGTGATGAGAGGGAATCATTGATCGTCTGCCTCCTGCATGCCCCCTGCTGGGGATTGAGCCCGCAACCTGGGCATGTGCCCTTGACTGGAATCAAACCCAGGGACCCTTCAGTCCACAGACCAATGCTCTATTCACTGAGCCAAACCAGCTCCTGCTGGCTCTAAATGGTCTTCAATCATGTCAATTACTTTGTCTTATGCACCCTCCACCCTTTGTATATTTCATGTTATTTTAGTTTTTTAAAGATGATTCTTAATTTCTTTTGCCCTCGTTTCAAGTAGACTTAAGATCTTTACTTGCTTACCAAAAAATAGTCATTGATTCGCACTTCGGAACATTCATTTTTAATCAAACATACCGTGGACTGTATTTTACGAATTTATGAATTCTCAGTTTGGAGGAAATAGTGGCCTGACAATGATTTGAAATTAAAATAAAATTGTACATTTCATTTCATTATGTTTGTTCAGATCCAGCTGTTGGAAGGCTTATTGGAATCGTGGTCAGAATATGAAAACAATGTACAAGGTATGAAAACTTGGTTTGAAACCCAGGAAAAGAGGCTAAAACAGCAGCATCGAGTCGGAGACCAGGCTTCAGTCCAGAACGCAATGAAAGACTGTGAGGTAACTGGCCCGGGCGCTGACGCGCTCCAGTTCACAATTTCATGGCATGTGCCAAATGAAGGTGCCCTTCTTGAGAACTGAGAGTTAAATATTGAGAACAGTGGCATTTGATTACAAATTTCTCTGATTACGTGAGTTTATAGAGTTTTCCTATTAGGTCTTTTCACCTCTTTTTATAAAATTTAAAATAGAATATTTAAACACACTCATAAGGAGAGGATGCTGCTAACCCCTGATCATCAGATACTGATCATCAGATTTAATAATTATCAAGATTTTGACATAGTTCCCTGAATATTTCTTCTCTCCTGAAAGATGTCATAATTAATTCCAGATAGCATGCCAGTTTATTCCTGCATGCTACAATTCCCAGCTCTACAAAATGGACTTTTCTTATATAACCATAATATTATCACCACCAAAAGTTTAACATACTATGGAATCCCTTAATATTTGTAATGCTCAACCCATAACACTATTTCCTAAATTTCCTGTAAAGTGTATATTTCTAGTTAATTTATTTCCATAAAGATACAGCAGTGTCTATATGTTCATATGCTCATTAGCTCTCTTAAGTCGCTAATATTTTCTTAATACCATTACTTGCTGGAGAAAATGTAGACTGGCCCCGGACCCAGGATCAGCCTGTGTATTTCCCCAAAGTGGCATTTAACTTGCTCTTCTCTCCCCTGTATTTCCTATGAATGGGCGTTAGCACAAGAGGCTTGATTGGATTCTGGCTCAACTCTCATGGAGGTGGGGGGGGGGGGGGTTGTTCACAGGTGACAGTGTGACTACTATGTCACATGCTTGCTCTGGTTGTGGCAAGGCTGCGGGTTCAGGTGCAGTGGGCACACTCTAAATATTCCCCATTGACCTAGGAACACTTATTCTTTCCTCAGATATTCTTGTTTCTACAGAAGAAATGGGAGCTGTCACAGTGAACCCTGCAATAATTGTTTTTAAACGTAATTCAGTAATTTGTAACGTGTTACAGATTAGCTGTGACGCTTCTTGGTAGTGTTTCCTAAGAACAGTTGAAGACGCAGCTGGGAAGCAATTCTGCAGAAATGCCCCTTTCCCAAAGCTAGTTTTTCTATTCCAGATTTCCAATAGAATGGCCTTTAGTAATGAACTTCCTCCTGAGCAGCACTTCTTCTGTGGGCACATGTAGAGTCAGGTATATTTAAGCTCCGAAGCAAAGCTGTTCGGTTCAGAAAAGGAAGAGCAGATGCTCTTTGCTGGGTTGACACACTAATGGATTGCCAGTCAGAGATGCATACAAATGGCAAAGGAAACTATCACATAGAGAAATAGCTTGAAATTAAAAAAAAGCTTCACGTCAGAAGATGGGTGTGTAAAAGATGGAAGACCAAAAAACATCGTTGCATTTCCTTTGTTAAAAATACCTTTTTATCGATTTTAGAGAGGAAGGAAAGGGAGAGAGAAACATCAATGATGAGAGAAAATCATTGACTGCCTCCTGCACCCCACCCCCCACTGGGGATCGAGCCTGCAACCAGGGCATGTGTTCTGACCAGGAATTAAACCTGGGACCTCTTGGTGCATGGGTCAATGCTCAACCACTCAGCCACACCAGCTGGGCCATCGTTGCATTTTCAATTCTCCAGGGGCCAGTAGCATTTCTAATTTAGGCATCCATTCTAAAATGTGCAAATAAGTCAGAATTTCAAAGTTTGACTTTGGAGCATGAAAACTTATACCTCTTGATGCGCTCATGAGTTCAAACACTAACATTAAAATTAAAAGATAATTCACGCGTTAAACATGAGCAGGATTAGTGCTTCCTTGTCATATTGTTGTGATAGACATTGCTGTGGAAAGACTGAAACGATACCTTAATGTAACTTTTCTTCTTTCTTCCTTCTCTCCTACTGTTTTTTCTTTCTTAGTATTTTTTTCTTATTTTCTGTTACTTTTCCCTGCCACTTCCCATTGCGTTTCTTTACATGTCCATGTCTTCTATTTAATAGAGAGAGACATTGTTATCTGGAAAATGCAGTGGACGCCTGGCAAGCTTTACTCCCTTTCAGACCCAAATGTTAGTCTCCCAGAGGTTCACGTCAGGCAGTGTCAGGAAGGGAAGCTGGGAGTGTGGTTCAAGGAACGTGACGCCAATGCCAATTTGTGATTTCAAGTGAAAAGTCATTTTTCTAAACAAAGAACAGAATGAATGTAGCTCCACTGAGTTATTTGGGGGCATCACTGGGCCTTTGTGTGTGTGCATGCATGTGTGCGTGTGTGTGTGTTGTTGTTTTTTTTCTCTAACTGGCATGTTTTATTGGCAGTACCATAAACCTTGATCAAAATTTATTGTCATTTTTGGGAAATGGTTCCTCTGGACCAAAGTGTGAAATTCAAGCCAGCATGCTTAAATTGATGACTGGATTCAAGCTTTACTTTGTTTTAAAAACCTCTTGAATATTTTTCCACTCTTTTGAGGTGATTTATTCATTAATATCATCATAGAAACTGCTATGTAGGAATTAACTCAAGAATGATTCATTATAGCAAAAAATGTTGGGTTTGGCTTTTCCCTTCATTGATCAGAAGCAGAATCATCTTTTAATTATTATTGAAAGGAAAGGATGACACCTTCATTTTGCACAAAATATATATTTCAGCCCTGTTTACCTACTGGGTTTGCTTTTATGGCAATATTAAGGTACAGAGCATTTTAGAGATGTGTTTCTGAGCAATGGGACATTAATTCCACAGGGCCCCTGAACAAAGTACCCCTCTGGACAAATGAGGATACATTTCATTCCAGTGGTTGAATTTTAGAATCATATTAAAGACATAGTGGAAGGATTCTTTATGGTTATTTAATATTTCAGAGAGGTAGAGATAAATATCTTTCAGTAGTAAAGTTAATTATGTTTTCTGTGTTGTATAAAAGACCCATAGCCCTAGTAATCACTATATTCATCCTCTGGTTAATTATCTAAGCTGTTGAAATACTGACAGAAATATAAAGTGGAAATTAAAGAACAAAGTTAAAAACACAAATGATCTATTCTGGCTACTAAATGCATGCATTTCCAATTAATAATACATCATGACAAAAGTAGCTTCATGATAATTAAGGAGAGAAAAATAAATAAATTTGCACTGAAGCATGGCAGAGTATCAACTGACTGAATATAACAATACTGTCTTACATTTGCTTAGTATTTATTTATTAATTTATTTATTACATTATTTATTACATTTATTACATTATAGTATATAATGTTAGCCTTTTCAGGTAAGCAAATCTATTATTATTCCTATTTTATAAATTAGGTAGACTTAAAAGTTTGGACCCCACAGAAATAAAAATAAAAGAGGCACAACATTTGTAATGAATACAGCAGAGGCTGGGCTCCTCTCTATTGCCTCTGAATAGCACCACCCAATCCCTATCTTGTTATCTCGATGTGGTTCATGAGAGAAGGGTAGAAATCTTTTCTACAGAATTGAGACATTATCTAAATTTAAAATATTTTGGAATTTTTTCACTCTAACCTCCAAGGTCTATACACTTCTACATCTAGCTCTGGGCTGCACTTCCGAATTTGAGACTGTAGCCAGGCCTTAATCTATGGCTTCTCCATCACCCAACCTGGGTTTGGCATCCTCTCCACAACTCCTGTCCAGCTGCCTGGCCTGCAGCACTGGGCTTGGAGGCAGTGAGCTCAGAAGGCTGGATTCCAAGCCCACCTTCAGCCTCACCAGCTCTGAGAGCCAGGACAGGTTGTCTGACATGATCTCCCACATGCTCATTCACAAAGTGGTGAGAGCAGTCAGAGCCTGCCTCACGGAGCTCTCCAAATTTTCAAAAGGCGTTCAAATATTGGTTAAGGTTGTGAAGTGTGGTTAAGTGTGATCTCCAGGTCGTTGCCTCATTTTCTTTTCTTTTTTGCACACCCCATACTGACGGTTATAAATGCACATCCCAAAGAAAATGAGGATTTGGTTCATGAAAAAATCCTGCAATTTTTTCAAATCACATATCAGACTATTTTAGGGAGAAATAAAGGATAATAGACATTCTGAAGAATCTGTGACACAGTGAATGTTTGTAACGTATCCGAAGTGCCACAGCTCCATTGTAGCCGAAATATAACTAAATCTCAGATACTGGGGTACAGGATACCATTCCATTGCATTTTACCCTATGGGTTAGGACGGGGTAGTTTTTCCAACACCAAGATACATGAATTTAAGAATTTAATCATGTTACCAGTTCCGACTGTTTCCTGTAGTTTCTTGAAAAAAAGTTACATGGTGACATTTCCTTATCAGGCAATCAAAATTTTACTTTGATATGTTATGCTAATTTATCATGGAATAAAAAGGCCAGTTACATAATTTAAATGCAGGAAAAAGTTTCACTATGGAGACCCTGTCCTGAGAATTATAAGCTTTTGGGGTTATTTAGAGATTTTTAGGTTATGAGACTATCATGGCTCAATTTCAGTGCATCATAATAGAGCAATTTAAAATGACTATGTTTTTAATCTCAGGATCTAGAAGATTTGATTAAAGCCAAAGAAAAAGAGGTGGAGAAGATTGAACAGAGTGGACTTGCTTTGATTCAGGACAAGAAAGAAGAAGTGTCTGGTGCTGTCGTGAGCACGCTGCGGGAGCTCAAGCAAACCTGGGCGCATTTAGACCACATGGTAATGTTAATGCTGTTGTGAGCGCTGGCTCCAAGCCCTGCTCGCCATGTCATGCTCATGACCTGCTGTTGGTTTTCCTAAAGTAACTGAGTAATTAATACGAATCTGTACATCAACTCTTTGTACTTAAGTTCACTTTATTAACCATATATATATATATATATATATATATATATTAATTTCAGAGAGGAAGGAAGTGGGAGAGATAGAAACATCAATGATGAGAGAGAATCATTGACTGGCTGCCTCCTGCACACACCCCACTGAGGATCAAGCCCGCAACCCAGGCATGTGCCCTGACCAGGAATTGAACCATGACGTCCTGATTCATAGGTCAATGCTTAACCATTGAGCCACACTGGCCAGGCTATTAACCTCTTTTTTTAAAAAAGAAAGTCTAGCTTCAGATCTTTTCTATAATAAATATACAATAACCTCATTCATTTCCATGTCCAAAGACACCATTTAGGCACACACATTTCTCCGATGTGTATCCCCAGCCCGGACTTCTCTCCTAAAATCTAGATAGAGACAGAGGCTGGGGTCGAGAGAGAAACCCAATGTGTAGACGTCTCCTCTTGCATGACCAGTAGACATCTCAAATTCCTGTGTCCAAACCACCTCCTGTTCCCCCCCGCTCCACCTACATTTCCCCCCCCACACACACACCATCTCAGGCAATGACAACTCTAACCTTCCAGTTGTTTGGGCAGAAAACCGTGGGGTCATTCTTCACTCCTGTCTTTCTGTCATACCCCACATCCAGCCCATCAGCAAACAGGTCAGGTGTATTTTCAGACTCCAAGCTCTGCCCTGTCCCTGCACTTAGCACCCAGGCCCATGTCATCACGACCATTCACCTTGAGGTTTCAGTGGCCTCCTCAGTAGTCTCCATGCCAGAGAGGTCCTGTTCAGATGGAAGCCAGATCACAGCAGTCCTCAGCTCAAACCCTCCATTAGCTTCTTGTCTCATTTAGAATGAGGACAAACCTGGTGAGGACCTGAAGGCCCATGTGACCCGGCCTCCAGGGTCCCTCTGACCTCGTCTCCGGCAGCTGTCTGTCCTGCAGGCTCATTTGGCTTCTGTTCTCCCCCTGCTCTTGAACTCCACAGGCCTGGCCCACGCTCAGGGACTTTGCACTGGCTGTGTCCTTCACCTGGAACACCACACCCTCTCCTCAGTATCCACCAGGTCACTCCCTGTCCTCAAAGTCTTTCTTCAAATTTTCCATCTCAGTGTGGGCTTTCCTGACCCCCCCCCCCCCCATACTCCCTGACTCTCCTTTGCTCTGCCTTTATTTCTATTATTTATCAACTTCTAACATGTGGTACAGTCTACTTCTCTGTTCATATTTCTCCACTGAAACATAGCTCCATGAGACACTTGATAAATAGAAGCTGAATGGAGTGTTGATTCCTCTGAAAAGAAGAATACATGTCAAAGCCAATACTGTTCTGCACACAAATAGTCATTATCCACACTTCACAGAAGCAGGCGCTGCAGCACCAGCCGGACAGTGAGTGAGACCGGTGGCCCAGCAAGCAGCTGCTTACAGCCTGCGCTCTCCTCCCAGTGCAGCGGGGCAGTTTTCCCTTCCCTTAGTTTCAACCTGATTTTTAATTCATTTTTTCTATATTTTTATAAGTTTACTATCTTTTTATTTATTTATATATTTTTATTGATTTCAGAGAGTAAGGGAGAGGGAGAGAGAGATAGAAACATCAATGATGAGAGGGAATTGTTGATCAGCCGCCTCCTGCGTGCCCTACACTGGGGATCAAGCTCACAACCCGGGCATGTGCCCTGACCAGGAATTGAACCGTGTCCTCCTGGTTCATAGGTCAGCATTCAACCACTGAGCCACACCAGCTGGCCTATATGTATTTTTATAAATCATCACAAATTCTTGGAAACAATTAACCACATAAATAAATTAAGGGATTCTTTCATAGAAACATCATCTCAAGCATAACACAAAGAAGAACTAGACTCCTTAAAAATTCTCATTTCCTCCTGGCTTTATTTTCCTGTCTCTTCCTGACTTTCATGGGCTGGGCCCTGGCACCTGTCTGCACCTGTGGGCATCGCCTCATCTCTGAGGCAGCACCTTCTTAGTCCGTGGGCCCATTAGATGGTATCTCAATTGGTTTCAACATTATTTTTTATGCTAAGAAGAAAAGCAGAGTGTGCAGGTACAAATTAATGTATTATATCATCTACTAGACGCCCAATGCACGAAATTCGTGCAAGAATAGGCCTTCCTTCCCCTGACTGCCAGCACTGGCTTCCCTCCAGCACTCGGGACCTGGGCTTCCCTCCCAGCCCTGGCTCTGTCCAGAAGGTCGCCTGGAAGGATGTTCTGGTCTAATTAGCATGTTATGCTTTTATTATTATAGACTTTCTTAATTATGGTCATAGTTCCTCCATATTGAAAAGATTGCATTCAGAAGATTGGGGCTGACATCCAGGAAGTCCAAAGCAGATATCTTTCTAAATGATACAGACAAATTAAAAACTTTTCTGTTGCAGATAAGTATGGGAGGAAGTGTTCTGAGAAGTTTTTGTCTCAAGATACTCATTTGTGCGTGTGTGTGCACATATGTGAGATAGATAGATAGACTGATAAGTATCATTTCCTGGGACCAGATTTGCCTTGTTTCAAATATAGACTTCTCACATGCTAGCAGTATGATCCCAGGTGATTTTCATAACGTCTTTGTGCCTCAGTTTCCTCATCTGTAAGACTGGGATGATGTTATCTACCTCATAAAGTTGTTATGAAGACTAAACAAGTTAATGCATTAGTCAAAACACTCATTTTCTAAACTGTAGTATTAAATATATTGGCTTTTTATCACTTTTATATAATATATGTTACATATAAAGATTATGTATAAAACCTTTTCAAGAATTTTGATTTAGCCCTAACCGGTTTGGCTCAGTGGATAGAGCTTCGGCCTGCGGACTAAAGGGTCCCAGGTTCGATTCCGGTCAAGAGCATATACCTTGGTTGCAGGCACATCCCCAGTAAGGGGGTGTGCAGGAGGCAGCTGAATGATGTTTCTCTCTCATCGATGTTTCTAACTCTCTATCCTTCTCCCTTCCTCTCTGTAAAAAATCAATAAAATATATCTTAAAAAAAAGAATTTTGATTTAGACTGAGTGTTCAAAAGTAGGAGAGGCATCAGTTTCAACATTGCTATATCTTATGTTTGAAATCTTTTGTGTTTGAGTTCATTTATAATACCTGAAACCCTGATAAAATTCTTCAATATTAATTTTTCCCACCCATTGAACACATGTTTTGTAACGTTAAGTGTGATGCAGTTGTAAGACGTGTCTTTCTCTTTGAAAAGGCTGGGCAGTTAAAGGTACTGCTGAGGTCCGTGCACGACCAGTGGAGCCAGCACAAGGCGGCCTCCGATGAGATCAACAGCGGCCTCCTGGAGGCCAGGTACTCCCTCTCCCGCTTCCGCCTGCTGATCGGCTCCTTGGAAGCTGTGCAAGTTCAGGTAGACAATCTTCAGGTAAGGACTGAACTCATCCTGCCCTGAACATGCTTTTGAATTTGAGAAAATAAAGAAAATAGCAAATGTGGACATCGTCCTGGAATACTGCTGTCTATTGCTTACATTTAATTATTTTTGAAATGTTTAAATAATTTTACCTGCAGATATCTTTCTAAACGATACAGACAAACTAAAAACTTAACTTTATTTGTTCCTCATCCAAACTTGCCTGTGGATACCGAATTCTGGATTAACGGTATCTAATGAAATGACTTTTAAATTCTAACATGTAAATATCCACCTGAATGTATTTTGTAAAATGATTTTTATACCCAAATCTATCTCCTTGATCCATGTCGCTGCCTTCTCTGTCTTCCCTTTTCTCTTTTTATCCTGCTTCTCCAAACATATGCTCAGGGATTAAAAAGAAAGCAAAGAGAAAAATAGCAAAAGTGGTAAATTTTTAAACTACCGTTTTCTTTTTATTTAGCATAATATCTGTGGTCTGCCCAGTGTGTACACATATCCTCTGTTTCTGGCACCGGCTGCTTCGTTTCCTGTGTCATTATCATTGCATTCATCTAGAGTGGCATCGTGGCATCGTTGCCGTTTGACTTAAACACAGCACCCCTCCTAGCTCAGGCCACTTCCCTCAGACTAGCTGCTGCCCCACTTCCCGGCACATCTGGGCACTGGACACCCCACCTGTCACTGCTCTTTGTCCCCGGCTACTTAATGCAGACTATGGGGTGGCAGGGCAGGCCCTCAAGGGGTGGGATGCCAGCAAGGGCCCAGCATGTATCTCCTTGGTTTGGAGATCAAAATGTATATGCTGCTGACCTCATAGGCAGGCTTTCTGAAGGGCATACCTTTGGGGAAGGGGGGCTGGGCAGTCAGGAAGAAGGATAAAATGTGTCTATACAATGTATTTGAACCTTAAATTCTTGTTGCAGATACTAAGAATCATTAAAAGTTATTTTGAGAATAGTAAGTTTAAAAGCACATTTTATAACTTTGAGGAGGTTATAAGGACTTTTTAACTTAGCCTCGTCTATGTTGAACACCTGCAAATGCTCTCTTAAGGTATGAAAGAATCCAGGGTCTGTACTTTGCATATTTTGAATTGATGGCCATCAGATACCAGTGTTAAATAGGACTGGACTTTGTAGCCTCCTTCACATATGGAGATGTACTAAGAATCGAGACCATCACTTGGTTGCACGGAGAGCTGAGAGTCTCAGGAATACTTGCATATAAAGCATTGCAGCGACGTCACTGTGTCTATATTCATATGTGCATATTCATGAAAACAGCTACAAATTACTTCTAGACTTCGTTTTTAGCATTTAGACCTAGTAACTGCTATTTTATCTGTGGTATTTTTTCTTTGGGCAGAATCTTCAAGATGATCTAGAGAAACAGGAAAAGAGCTTACAGAAATTTGACTCTGTCACCAACCAGCTGTTAAAACAGTGCCACCCACCTGTGACGGAAACTCTTACCAGCACCTTAAAGGAAGTCACCATGAGGTATGGCGCTTGCTAACTTAACACTGTGATGCATTGCGTACAGCACAACCGCATTGTAAGTAGTGACGCAATGAAAACTTGCCAGCGTTTTGAATTTGGGCTTTGCAGATTTCATTCCACTTGCGCTTTAATTTTGACAACATGAAGCTAATGGTAAGTAAGAGCAGGGAAGATGTTTAGAGAGAAATTAGAGCTGCTGTGTACCCAAAGATGGGCCTCATTCCTGCAGGCTCCCCCTGGAGTGACTGTGACATGCTCCTTTTTATGATGTGCAATAGAAATGAGACATCCTTGCATGCCTTCCAAATGCGCATGAAGCAGGATCGTGAAACATAAAACAGCAAGTCAGAGCCTTTGGCGCGAGGGGGAGGTCTGCCCACGCATGTTGGGTCTCGTTTCCAGATGGAACAACTTGCTGGAAGAGGTGGCGGAGCAGCTGCAGGCCAGCAGGGCCCTCCTGCAGCTGTGGCGGCGGCACCGGGACTACTCGGCGCAGTGCGCCTCCGCGGTCCAGCAGCAGGCGGGCCGCACCCAGGAGCTGCTGAAGGCGGCCGCCAGCAAGGACATCGCCGATGACGAAGTGGCTACGTGGGTTCACGATTGCAGTGTACGTTCGGGCACGATCATGGTCTGTTTCCCAAACATGCCTTTCGTAGACTCCTCCAGCTTGGCAGGGCCAGTGCTGATGTGGGTAAGCCTTTGGTATGTCTCAGTATGTGAGACGATGACCCCCAAAGAATTGTTCTACGTATCAAGGAGCCTCCTGGGCTTTCAGAACACATGCGTCGGATTTTAAAGGCCCCTCTCATTGTTTTATTTATTTATTTATTTTTTAAATAAATATATGTTTATTGATTTCAGAGAGGGAGCGAGAGACAGAGACATCAGTGATGAAAGAGAATCACCGATTGGCTGCCTCCTGCACGCCCCCTACTGGGGATTGACTCGAAACCCGGGCATGTGCCTTTGACCGGAACCAACCCGGGGCCCGTCAGTCCGTGCTCTAACCGCTGAGCCAAACCGGCTAAGGCTCATTTTTCCATTTAAAACAATGAGTTGTTTTCCCATTTTTCCTAATGGAATGCACTCCATGTGAACGATTCAAGCTGTTTCTACAGAGATAGTCAATATAAGAAATGACCACATGGAGAATAATGTTCTATCTTTTAAAAATCTACAGTTAAAGGTTTCATCCAGTTTGGTTCATTATCTTTTACATAAGCATCAACATAATGCCTTCTAAGAATTTAATGGCACAAAGGAGTCTTTATCTCCTGATTTATGGGTGTATTCTTCTTAATAGCTTTCTAATAGTTCAGTTTTTCACTGTATCTGCCAATAACCTACTTAAGGTTTTCGGGAACAGTTCTCTTGTTTCCCGCAGTGCATGGCTCTTACTATTTGTCCTTTTTTATCTTTAATGAATTTGTTTCAAATATCTTCTTGCAAACTTTCCCATTCAGTTTATCAGAATTAGGCAAGTTATAAACAGCACATAAATAAAAGTTTAACCTAGTCTAATACGTTTACATTAATAACAAATCATCACGTGAAAGCTAAAGCTGAATATGGATGGTGAATATAGTTCTCTTGTTTTTTCTCCATCTACTGAGGGTTTATCCTTAACAAGATTTGTCATTGTCAATATTCAGCCCTCGGAGTGGAGATACACCTGTTTTAGGGTGCAGTGCTCCCAGTTGTGCCTTTATCTGATAGCTATGTCAAGGGTAAAGTCGCCCTTTGCTTTTCTTCCTCTCACAGTAGGCCCTGCATGTGTAGAAGCAGGCTCTTCTCTCTCCTCCATGTCTGGTGGGGCACCAGCAGCAAGTAGACGAGTCAGTCATGTGTCATCGCTTAGTGCAGTGATGGCGAACCTATGACACGCGTGTCAGAGGTGACATGCGAACTCATATTTTTGATTTTTCTTTGTTAAATGGCATTTAAATATATACAATAAATATCAAAAATATAAGTCTTTGTTTTACTATGGTTGCAAATATCAAAAAATTTCTATATGTGACACGGCACCAGAGTTAACTTAGGGTTTTTCAAAATGCTGACACGCCGAGCTCTGAAGGTTCGCCATCACTGGCTTAGTGGTAGACGGAAAGCAGAAACCGGATTTTCACTGGCTTATCATTCTGAGCATAAAAGGTGGAGGCAAGAGCTACCATGGAAAATACTGGAAGTGCAGCTCACCCCTAGCCCTGGGTACCAGAACCATCGTGAGGGTTCCACACCCACTGTGCCTTGACCACTCATCCTACTGATGATACTGTTGATACACTCATCTCTTGGGCCTATAACGCTAAGTAGAAAGAGATAAAATGTGGCGCTGTGTTTTCAGTTTGACATCAATTATATGAAGAAGCAAGAAAAAACTGTCCACTGTTGCAGTTATTGGCTCTACTTGTAGATTTGTTTTTGTTTTTTTGTCTGTGTATGTTTTGCTGCATTCCCCTGTGTTCTACAATAAAAGTCTCTGTGGCTTTTATGATCAGAACTAGAGGCCTGATGCACAAAATTCACAATAATTTACATATTATGTTTTTATCATTATAGATAGTAAATGCATTCTTTAAAATGTTTAATCCACATGAGTTCTTGCTAGGTAGCACACAATCCCACACCATACATTATCTGGAGAGCTTCAGTTTTACGTCTTTGGCCCCAGCCCCAATGTTGGTGACCATCAACTGAGAAAGCAGTCTGCTTTCAGCCCTCTGTCCTCCCTTCAGTCCCAGGACACGGCTGCCTCCTCTGGGTTGCCTGTGGACATTCGCAGCCCCGGCTAGGAAACCAGCCACAGGAAGGAGAAAATGCCAGGACATTTGGCTGTGTGTGCCTTTGGATTGATTAGTGGGGTGTGGAACCCTGGCGATGGTTCTGGTGTGCAGGGCTAGGGGTGAGCTGCACTTCCAGTATTTTCCATGGTATCTCTTGCCTCCACGTTTTATGCTCAGAATTATAAGCCAGTGGAAATTGAATTTATAAATTGGGCTCAATTCTTGATTATTTTTCCTTCAGGTGAAGGTAATTTCGTGTAATAACTTGACAGATAAGAATGGAGTGTTTCTAGATGCGTGGCCCTTCGCTGATTGTTTGTTATACGGACTACACTTAGCATGTGGTTCCATGATAGGCGTGTTTTCATCTTCCACAGGACCTCCTCAGAGGTCTGGGCACCGTTAAGGATTCCCTGTTTGTTCTCCATGAACTGGGGGAGCAACTCAAGCAACAGGTGGATGCTTCCGCAGCAGCAGCCATTCACTCGGACCAGCTGTCTCTGAGTCAACACTTGTGTGCCCTGGAGCAGGCTCTTTGCAAACAGCAGACCGTGTTACAGGTACAGAGCTCACATTCAGCCTGTGTTGTCAGTTGGGTGTTCTGTAGCTTCTGAGCATCAACTCAGGAAAAGAAGGTTTTTTCATCATTCAGACACTGCCTCCTTCAAGACCAAAGGATAAAAATATAAACAAACTTGGCATTTTCCGTGGGAATAAGGGAAGGCGGGAGTTTTACACTATTCTTTACAAAGTAATTGTGCCCCTAAACCAATGCTTTCTTCCGTGGCACTGAGTAAAATATGTTCAGTTAATAACACTAAGTGGCTTAATAATAAAATTCATAAATTTTTGCAAGAATCAGAATATATTTCAGTTTGGTAATATATTTTAAGAATGGCTCCAACCGGGTAATTCTACATAGAAGTAACACATTGTAGGTTTTAGAAAATTATATTATTAAAAAGAAGAAAATGTAAAATCATTGTAGCTTGTCTGTCCAATTGCAATTAGACAGTAGACTATGAGAAATGATTTCAGCATCCATGTCCTTTCACTAGATTTCTAACTATTCATTTTCTTTTGTAATATAAAGGCTGGAGTTCTTGACTATGAAACCTTTACCAAGAGTTTGGAAGCTTTGGAGGCCTGGATAGTAGAAGCTGAAGAAATACTTCAAGGGCAGGACCCCAGCCACTCATCTGACCTCTCGACCATCCAGGAGAGGATGGAAGAGCTGAAGGCAAGTGTGTGGAAATCCTCGTCCCAGACCTTCCATCTTCCCTCCTCCAGACCTTAAGGAAAACTCAAAACTTCGGACATAGGCCTACCTTTTTATTTTGAGTTACTTCCTTCTCCAGGGTGATGAGCCTTTTGCAGAGCACGCAAAGGGAAAAGCACACGCAGCCAATGTCCTGGCATTTTCTCCTTCCTGTGGCTGGTTTCCTGGGTGAGCTGCGAATGCCACAGGCAGACCAGAAGAGGCAGCCGTGTCCTGGGACTGAAGGGAGGACAGAGGGCTGAAAGCATAGACTGCTTTCTCAGTTGATGGTCACCAACATCGGGGCTGGGGTCAAAGTCCTAAAACTGAAGCTCTTCAGATACTGTATGGAGTGGGATAGTGTGCCGTCTAGCAAGAACCCAACAACTCTTGCTTACGTAGCTCTTCCCCTTCGTTGCTGGGTGACTTTGAGCTTCTCGGCCTCTTTTTCCTCATGGTAAAGTGGGAATTGTAGTGTAGTACCTAATGGAATTGTTTTGAGGCTAAAAATGAGTTATTGTATTTCCTGTAAAGCTCTTATAACAATGCTTAGTTCAAATAAGTGCTCAGTAAATGTTAATTATTATTACTAGCACTATTATTATTAAATAATAAAGGGACAGATTAGCAGGGATAAATGAACTATAAAGGTAAGAAGTAAGCCTTCTCAGCCGTCAGCATAATTTTCATTGTTTATCAGTTCTATGAAGAATTACTTTTTATTAGTAAATGAATCCAGTCAATAATACACGTAACTACTAACTGTTCCCCAAGGGGTGGTGAGAAGCAATAGCCAAGTGACAGCGGCAGCCCCGGATGCTGACTGGAAGGTGCAGCTTTTCTTTATCTGCAGCTCTCGCGATGGCAAGCAGGTGGCCTAGAAATGCACAGGAGAACAACAGCTGGCCTCTTGCTGAAATCCAAGTTCACTGAGCACTTGGAAAGCTCCCTCCCCTTTCTGACCACGGTGCTAAACCCGCTCTTAAATCTCGCTTTCAGGGACAGATGTTAAAATTCAGCAGCATGGCCCCAGATTTGGACCGTCTGAATGAGCTTGGCTACAGGCTACCCCTGAATGACAAGGAAATCAAAAGGATGCAGAGTCTGAATCGGCACTGGTCTCTCATCTCCTCTCAGACCACAGAGAGATTCAGGTAGAGTCTCCAAGAGGTGTTTTGGCGGCTGTGATATGTCAGTAGAAACAAGTTCATGATCGGTGTGCAGTTATAAAGCCTAGGTCTTTCCCATGTACAAAATTGGAACTAAAAGTAAGAAGCTCAAATTGTGCTTTCCCATGTTTAATGTACTAAATATTTTTTAATCAAAAATTAGCAAGCCCTTTTACATAACAATATATTAAAGATACATTATTGTATCATTCTTAAAACTTACCATCTTAAACTTTTTTTCTAATTTTGTTTTCTAAATTTTACTACCTAACATGAAAGGTTTGTGATAGTCAAATTAGAATCAGAGGCAGAAATTATTTAATCTTGTTTTATATGCCAAAGATAGAAGAATAGGCAACAACATAGCCACTATTCTCTTTCCTTTATTCTGTCAGCAAGTTGCAGTCATTTTTGCTACAACATCAGACTTTCTTGGAAAAATGTGAAACATGGATGGAATTCCTGGTTCAGACGGAGCAAAAATTAGCCGTCGAGATTTCAGGCAATTATCAGCATCTTTTGGAGCAGCAGAGAGCCCATGAGGTGAGTTATGCTAGTAGATTAGGGGCAGTTAAATAGGCCTTTGAAAGATGCTACAAAATGCCATGTGGGGGAATTAAAGGGCAGAATCTTGTGCTGAGTCTGCTAAATGCACACACTGTTTTTGTCTTCTTTCTTTTGATGGCTTAATTCCCAAATTGTAGTCCACTCTTTGCCCCATCGTTGGTTATAAGCTGGTGGCCGGCTTCAATACCCTGCACTGGATAGTGTCACAATTATGGTCAAGATCTACTTACAGGGGCGGGGAGGGGAGGCAAGCAGCGTTGTGGAAGGAGTTCAGAAAGTTGGATTCAATTTTCAAATTGAGTTACAGACTCCATTAATATTGCCAAGGCTAGTTGCTATAGAGATTCTGCTTTGGTAAGTCTTAGATAAAGGAAAATTGTGTGTTCTTTAAAAAGCATATATGCGTTTTATACTAGGGAATCAACCTACCAAAACCTCCAAGTGCACCTCTTGACCAGATTATATTCTATTTTTTAAGAAACACTGATAGAAAACTAGATACAAAACCCAAATTAGTTATTTTGCTGTGAGCCTCTATTTTGCTACTTATTGGTGCAACTGAGTTGTTCCACGTGTTTATAAAATATATGCAAATGGGGAGATAGGATTTACCTACAAGCAGAGAAAAGGCTTAATGCAGAATTTAAAAGAGAATAAAATGAATTTTGAAGCACTTTGTTTCACATTTAAGAAATCAAGAATTTAAATACATGTGAGGTATTTTTTTTTTTTTTATATATATATTTTATTGATTTTTTACAGAGAGGAAGGGAGAGAGATAGAGAGTCAGAAACATCGATGAGAGAGAAACATCGACCAGCCGCCTCCTGCACATCCCCCACCGGGGATGTGCCCGCAACCCAGGTACATGCCCTCGACCGGAATCGAACCTGGGACCTTTCAGTCCGCAGGCCAACGCTCTATCCACTGAGCCAAACCGGTTTCGGCGACATGTGAGGTATTTTTAAGTCCATTTTTATTGATTTGACTAATGGGGAAATAAAATACAGTAAATGAAATCTGCAATGAGATACCACTTTACACCCACTTGGATGGCTATAATGGAAAAGATCCGTGTTGATGAGGGAGGGAATAGAGAAATGGAATCCTTACTCGATAGAAATTGAAAATAGTGAAGCTTTTTTGGAAAACAGTGTGGGAGTTCCTCCTAGTGTTAAACATAGAGTTATCATGTGACCCTGTATCTCCACTCCTGGGTGGAATCATCCAGGAGAAATGGAAATATACATCCACACATATATCCATGTGGTCAAAAGCTTGTACAGAATATTGTTTATAGCGGCATTATTCATAATTGCCAAGAAGTGGAAGCATCTCAGATATCCACCAACTGAAGAATAAATAAATAAAATGTAGTATCTTTATACAGTGGAATACTACTCGGCAATAAAAATGAAATGCTTTGTTGACATATATTGCAAAATGGATCAGACTTGAAAATATAATGCTAAGGGAAGAGAAGCCAATAACAAAAGACAGCACACTGCATAAGTCCATTGATATGAAATGTCAAGATGAAAAATAGGTTAGAAGTTACTTAGAGGTGGGGATTGAGAGGAAATGGGGAGTGATTCTTAATGAGCATGAAGTCCTTTTCGGGGTAATGAAAATGGTCTAAGATTTATTGTGGTATTGGTTGCACAAGTCTGCAAATATAATAAAAATCATTAAATTACACACTTCCAATAGGTGAATTATATGGTATGTGAATTATATCTCAATAAACCTGTTTAAACAACAATTGAAAAAAAAGGTTGGAATCGTCTCTGTTGAATTTTTTAGTATTGAAATAATTTTATTAACCCAATTAAACTGAAAAATAATGAGTTCCAAAAAAAAAAAGTCTGTTTTATTTTTCATTCTTCAACTTCTTAAAAGGTCTTAAGCTATTCTCTGTATGAAACCATACTCTGCATACAGAAAGATCTGGAATACAATTTATGTGCTAACCAACTTTATAGGTGATTTCAAAAGAAAGGAGAGGAACATAATTCTACTTTTAGTCAGTTTTGGTAAACAGAAATGAAACTTTAAGGCTATCCTAATTGATGGTTTACAACTACGTTATTTCTGCACTGCAGGATAAAACAAGTATCCCGACTCAGCTGGAGACATTTTTCATAATCTTGCTTAAATCAGAACTTTTGGAAACTTATTAGAGAACGGGACATTAAAATTAGAAACTCTAAATGATGTGTTTTTTTGTGTTTTTTAATAACAGTTGTTTCAAGCAGAGATGTTCAGTCGTCAACAGGTTTTGCACTCGATCATTACTGATGGGCAGCGTCTTCTGGAACAAGGTCAAGTTGATGACAGGTAGGACCTTTGATATATTATTATGAAGAAAGATTCCAGTAAATTAGTCATTTTCTTTCTAATGAGCAGATTAGAAGGCATATATCCAACCTTCCCAAGGCAATTGTACTGCAGCAGAGGCTCCGTAATTGGAGAGGGGCTTCTATGAATCTCTGAAATGACTGAGGATTGAATCTTTTTAAAGAACCGCTATTATATGATATGAAGGACATATCGTAATTGGAAATCACTTAGCCAACCTCTGCTATTCGTCTGTAGGAGACTGGGATTAATAAGTAGATCAGAATGAATTGTATCAATGAGGCATCAATGGTTGATAAACATATGCTTCTCATAGTCTCATATGGTTACAGACATTTTATTCCTAAAAGGAGCACAGAGATGGCTAGACCATCCCTCTAACTTACAGATGAAAACTTGAGGCCCGGAAATGTGAACTGATTGGACGAAGGCCACAGAACGGAACGACGTAACACAGAATCGAGCCTAGAACTGGAGTATCTGGTTTTTAGTCGAGAACAGCCAGCTCTCTCATACCTTGCTAATTCCACCAGATTTGAAAACGGTGGGCTGCCTTAGGTCAGATTACACGCAGCCTGCTTCCTCTTCGTATACTTAGCAGATTCTTTATTTAAAATGCAGGCGTACCATGGACACAGACAATAGTGAGGTGAACGCCCAGGGAGGGGGCAGGAGCAGGAATGAGGAGGTCAAGGGGAGAAAAAAAGGAAACATCTGTAATACTTTCAACAATGAAGATAACTTTAAAAAAAAAAATTCCAATGCAGTGGTAATTCCTAGCTCCTCATTAGCTCTGTGGTATGAGTTGATGATTTCATACTACATTTACATTTCTTGGGACCAATGTTGTGCTATCCCATCTAGACTCTGTGGTGATATTTGCAGTATACATCTCATTTATTTTATTACATGTATATATCTTTCCCATATTTAGGACCAGTAATTGTGATTATATTTAACTTAGTATTATTTTAAAAAAGAAATCATTATTTTTATTAAGAAGCCATGTGTTTTTTTAAATGCTTTGGAAGCAATTTTAGTTTTAAGTGGCTATTTCTTTGGAAGAACATGAAAGATTTCTATGGTTAAACTTGGAACAACAAAATGTGATACCGTATTTATTCTAGTCTAAGCAAGCCAAATTTAATATGAACTTTACAGAGAACTTAAGTCCCTCAAAAGAAGACAGATTTAAATGCAATTGGCTTATCTTTTGCTTTATCCTCCCTTAGGCAACTCTATAACAATATTACAAAAGTTTGAGTCATTAAGTAAAATAAAATTTAAAAGGCATGCGCAAGCCAACATCTATTAAATTTTCAATGTTATCAGTTAGGGAAAAACACCAAGGGATGAAATTATGAGGGTTGGACTGGAGAATAATTTTGAAAGTTGCAAGTGAAAAAAAAAAATTTTTGGTTAGAACATGTTGACAGTAGGAAGGCCTCAGATTACAAATGCATTGTGTTTTAAGAGTTCATTTATAACGTCTGCTTTGTAGAGCTCAAGTTCAGCAGAGGGGGCAGTGTCCTGCTCTAAGCAGCTCCTCATGCTGGCAGGTAGCTCAGGACTGCTCTGCTCTGCAGAGTGAGGATGCGGCTCCAGCGAGACCTTGGCCTGCTGCCTGGCGGGGAGAGGGTAGGCAGGGTACTTCTCATGTTGCAGGGTATTCTTGGGGCCTGGAGTCACATGTTTTCAGAGATGAGAGACACTGGTAGCTTTTAGGGAGGTCTCATCAACCCAACTCATCATATTTGGTTCTGCTGCACTTAGATGGTAAATATCAGAAAGGCTCTTTTAAAAACAGAAACACTGAGAACACTTTTGGTTACAAACTCAGAGTTCACAGTGGCCCTAGGTAGTAGGAGGTTCCAAGAGTTTGAGCCCTGAAGAGTCAGTCACAATAGAGGAAGAATGAGTATTGTTCCACATGAGCACTAAAACATGTGAAGAACAGTATCATCTATAAAGAAACTCATTCTATTAGATACTAGGCAAACCTATTCTAGAGCTACAAGTCGAAGGATAAAGAAAACTCAATGAATAACTGCCAACATTTTTTATTTTTTTATTTTTTTTTAAATATAGTTTTATTGATTTCAGAGAGGAACGAAGATGGAGGGACAGAAACATCAATGATGAGAGGGAATCATTGATCAGCTGCCTCCTGCACACCCCACACTGGGGATCGAGCCCACAACCCAGGCATGTGCCCTGACTGGGAATCAAACCCCCTGGTTCATAGATTGACACTCAAACACTGAGCAATGCTGGCCGAGGCAACATTTGTTAAAGGTAGAAAATACAGAAGTAGGAAAAACGAGCTAAAAAAATCTGATATTATTTACCTGGAAATTGAAAAGACTTCAGTAAAATTTAATACCTTTATGTATACGGACAACCTTTGTATAGCGATAGCCAGGGCTGTTTATTGTGAGGAATACTGAGAGCTCACGGAATACAGTGTGGTTTTCTTTAATTTTAAAATAACATAATTTTATTTAAGTGGCTCCTGACTCTAGCTAAAATCACCCAGTTTTATTCATTCGAAGTGGCTTATAATTCCAGCTGAGGACAGAGGTTATCAATAAGCATTGCTCCCCATTTCCTCCTGCTGTAGCACACACCAGGTACTGCGGACATGCTGCAAGCATTTCTATAGGTGTGCTCAGGGTGAGGGTTTGGGGGGCCATTCCCATTGCAACTGCTGCCCTATGCCCCCTTCTCTCTCATGCACTCGACATTGACCTTACCCATTAGCCCTCAGCCTGTGCTGAAATGTGAGAACACTCACTGTTTTCAAACCCCACTATTTTAATTATCAGTTTTTATATATTTTTAAAATTATTTTTATTGATTGCAGAGAGGAAGGCGAGGGAGAGATAGAAACATCAATGATGAGATAGACTCATTGATCAGCTGCCTCCTGCTCACCCCCTACTGGGGATTGAGCCCGCAACCTGGCGTGTGCCCTGCCTGGGAATCTAACTGTGACCTCCTGGTTCATAGGTCGATGCTCAACCACTGAGCCACGACAGCCGGGCTTGTCATTTTCAAATGTGCTGGCAATAGGCCTGATAGCAGATCATGGCATGATATTTGAAAACCTCGGCCCTAGATCGCTTTTCAGGGCTTACAGCCATCGAGTATGTGGACGTTGGCTGATAATGTCACTGCATTCAGAATCACAGTGTTTTCCCCCATGGAATTGTTTGTTCCCCAGGGATGAGTTCAACCTGAAACTGACCCTCCTCAGTCATCAGTGGCAGGGAGTCATCCGCAGGGCCCAGCAAAGGAGAGGCATCATCGACAGCCAGATCCGCCAGTGGCAGCGCTACAGGGAGATGGCAGAGAAGCTCCGCAAGTGGCTGGTTGAGGTGTCCTACCTGCCCGTGAGCGGTCTCGGGAGCGTCCCCATACCACTGCAGCAGGCGCGGACGCTCTTCGATGACGTGCAGGTAAGGGCAGAGCACGCTGGTTGAACCTCTTCTGCCTGTCCACTCTGCACACTTTCCCCAGCCTCAGTTTCTCAGAGGGGTTCTGGAGTGACTTTGGAATGAGGACAGATGTCGTTCTCAGATGTCAACAGACACATAGAAAATGACTGCTTTCCAAAGGCCGTATTTAATGGTGAAAGTTTGGTAGGTTCCAGCCTCGTACAAACACTCCCTCCTCTTCACACACCCAGGCCGCCCAGCAGCTCCTTGGATCCCATCGGGGATGGAGAAGAAAGGGAAGGACAACCTTGCATTCACTGCGCTTATTTTACTCATGAGTTTAAACAATTCACTGGAGTGTCCCAAAGAAGAGAGGGGCTCAGTCCTCAGACCTGTGTGTCCATTCCTGGTCCAGCCCCTTCCTTTCACCAGCCTGGGAATTTGATTTGGGTTCCAGCTTCTTGGACAGATACCTGCTAGCCTTCTCATCAGTCTGTCCCCGTGTACACCCTTCCCTGCTTTCTTTCTTCTCCTCGCTTCTCTTGTAGATCTCATGTCCACACGTGGCTTCAATGACATTCTAACAGCAGAGAATGGCCAAATTGGTATCTTCTGGTCACATTTACGTCCTGAGCTTCCAGCTCATGTAATTCATCTGCCTTTTAGATGTATGTCTATGTGCATCACACACACAACATACTCCGTGGGTTCCAACAACAGCTGGGTTCTCTGGACCAACCATTCTCCATTAGTCCAGTTCCCATGTTCCCCATCTGAGGAAATGTCATCACCAGCTAGCAGTCCATCAGTCAGTCCATAGCTATACTCTTCTTTTTCTCTCCCTTCCCGTGTCTGATATTCCTCCTTTCCATCCCTACTGCCACTGCCTTAGAGTAGGTGCTCATGGTTTCTTGCCTAGACAGGCGATAGCTCTCTAACCTGTCATAGTAGATCCGATACATGCTCTTCTTTGACCGCGTTTTCTACCCGACAGCTTTCAGCAAACACGTCATGTTCCTGCTTCATGTCCCGTGAATCTGTCACTTTTATTTCCAAACCAAATTCCTATGCAAGGTGGTCTCGCCTCATCTTCTTCCGCTCTTAGATGCATCCGATGTCCCAGCCACTGAAAACCACCTCCAGGGCCCTAAATCCGTATTTACCTTGTACAGCAAATTAGCACAGCCTCATTTCTCTGCATGGGAGGTGTTCTCTCCCTCCCTCCTCGCCCTCACATGACCCCAGGTCCTTAACCTGGTTGTGTTTATATGTCTTTCAAGACTCACAAAGGCATTACTATTTTGAGGGAGCCCCCTGTGGACCCCAAGTGGGTTAGAGATGTGATCTTTCTTTGAATTAGTTTATATTAAATACGAATTATAAATGTTTTCTGTGGGAGAAATATAAAGATCATAATGAAATTTTTTAAAAGCACATACACACACATATGACAGTGTGCTCCCTGTGCATAAATTTTATAGAGCAGTTTTCATATTGTCTCATGATTTCATTTAACCGGGAGTAGACACTAGGCCTCTCCCTATTGACTTCTCATTTATTTACATGTAGTTCTATTCATGCACAAAGTACTTGCTCAGTAAATGCTCACAGGATAAAAGAGGGCATGCTATGTCTGCAAACATCCAGGGTCATTAAAAAATACTGGCAATAGGGAAATGATGAAGGAAAAAATGAGAAAGTAAACAGCTCTGCTTCCTTTCAGTTCAAAGAGAAAGTGTTCCTGCGGCAACAAGGCAGCTACATCCTGACCGTGGAGGCGGGCAAGCAGCTGCTGCTCTCTGCTGACAGCGGGGCGCAGGCCGCCTTGCAGGCCGAGCTCACGGAAATCCAGGAGAAGTGGAAAGCTGCCAGCGTGCGTCTGGAGGAGCAGAAGAAAAAGCTGGCCTTCTTGTTGAAAGTAGGTTCTGCCCCTTCCTCCAGGAGATGTAGCAGAGCTGCAAGCTCCTCCCACTGGTGTCCTGCGACTCAGATAACGCAAAGGTCCTTGTCAACCTGTGGCGTTCTGACCTCCCGTGTCTTATTTACGACTCTGTCCTGTCTTGCATAAACCGGAGAAGTCTCTCCATTTCCAGCAGTTTGTCTCTCAGGAAAACCCCCCAGCAAAGTCGTTTTAAGTCTAACAAGACCATGCAAGCGATGAATTCTGATTGATGGCCGGTGCTAAGCCAGGAGCAATGTGATGACTGTATAAACCCAGACAGGAATGCAAGAGTAGATTCCACTCCCTAGTCTAAGACTTCACAGTGGTTTTCAAGATTGATATATCTTATTTTATAGCAGGGAAAGAGCTATCCAGCAAGATGCTCTTGATTTGATCTTAGCTTATCCAAGGGTGTGGCTATGAGATAAAACCTCCAGGAGCTGTACTAAGCCTTTGGTTGGATTCCGCTTGCACACTGATCAGGCGGCAAGTTTAGGGAAATGTAAGTTTATCCAGATTCCCCACAATTTGCTTTTCTCCCTCACTTTTCAAAGCCATTTCTAAATACATAATTAAATCAACAGTTGAAAAAGAGCCTGGGCTCTGACCTTAGATAAACCCAAGTTAGAACTATAATATACCAAGTAACCTGGTTGGCTCAACCTCCCTCAACCTCAGTCGCCTCATCTGTAGAGGGGGTATGATGACACCTCCTTCATACTGCATTACGAGGATTTAATGAAATGTTGAAGGTAGATCATGGTGGCACATATTGAGCCCTCAATAAATGATGCTAATTGTCATTGTTAATAATATCATTCTTTAAAAGTGAACACAGCTAAATACTAAAGTTATAAATAAGTTGATACTCACCAACACTTTAATGTGATTGTCTATTAAAATTGGCCTGTAACTTTTTGGATCAAAGGTAATAACTCAAGTGAATGGAATACATTTTGTGGGTTGTTGGTTTTTTTTAATACTTAAAGTGTGCACACCCATTGGGTGTATCCTATTAAATATTATTTAATGATATATTACCTGGGTGTGGGAAACCATCAAAAATGCCATGGAACATCTGTTAAAGAACAATTATTTGCACACAGCACAATTCATCAGTAACACAATATGCCCGATTCCCTTTTCTTCAGTTTTGCTTTCAGGAAAGGATTAAAAACATTGTAACTCATTCTGCAGAGAACATGTTAATCATATATTTTTCTTTATCTGTGCTGGGATTATTGGACACATTCCTAGGACCTAATAAGGCGAGATGGTTGACTCACTGCATTTGCTTTTCTTGTCAGTCTGTTTGTTGGCGTGTGAAACATCCATTTTGATAGATGTTTGCAGACCGTGACATTTTGCTATTTCCTTATAATTCATGTAGTAAGGAGACTTGGCTATAGCTTCAGAATCTCAGCCACCCTTGGAAAGGGAAATCCCCATTCTTTTCTTGTTAAAGTTTATTTTATCTTGAATCATACACAAGGTCCTATTTGCCTAAGGAGTTTATGAAGCTAAATTTTAATGTTTGGACAGCTTCATGTTACTGTATCTTCCCCCACAGCTATAACAAAATGCTTATCTATTTTTATCTCCTAATTTAATACTCTGAGTAAATGTGCCAAAAATGTAACCATTATAATTCCATGTTCTGCATGGTCACCTACTTTACCATCACTCTTAATTTTGTTATGATAAATAAGGACTTGATCTTTTCCCTTTTTGGATCAATGAATGTTTATTGACTGGATTGATAGGTTTCAAAATGGGTGATGACTTAATTGAGAATGCTGTTCAATTTAAGTAGAAAGAGGATATTTCTGTCTACTCACTTTGTTTAGCATTGATCAACTCAGTATGGCCTAGGAACACAGGGATATTTGTTCCTGGTAACTAGGAAGAGGGAATGTGGTGATACACTCTAGGACAGGAGTGGGCAACCCCTGGCACACGTGCCAAACATGGCACGCCGGTAACTTTTGCTGGCACGCGAAACCCTCTCTTATAATCTTCCATTTACAATTTTTTTTCTTAGTATCGACTTTTTTATTTTTCAGATAAATTCAGTGTAGGTGCATCTTAGATAAATAAATAATTTTACATAACATGTATACCTTAAAAAATAAATGTATTTTTCATCATCATAAACTGTGTTTTTGTCGCTCGAATGAATTTTATTATTTTTTCAAGGTTCTTCACATACGTACACCTTAAGAGATATCAAGTAGGCGTAACATGTTCTCAAAAAATTAGGGTTGGCACGCAGAAGAATTTTGAGTCAGAGATTTTGCTGGTTTTTGCACACTCACAAAAAGATTGCCCACCCCTGCTCTAGGAAATTCCCTAAAGGGATTTAAAAGTGAAATCAGAATCTTGAGCCAAATTCTCAGGTCACTTAGAAACCAAAAGACATTTGAGTATGGGAGAAATCTAGTCAACGCTTCTTAAAGAAGACAGTTTGGTAAATAGCACCTCTGGGTTGCTGTGTTAAAAATAAGCAACGGGAGAGGACATAGAAATGACCCAGACAAAGAAAGATGGGTAATGATGGAAGAGATCATGTAAAGAAAAATGCAACGTGATTCGGCACCACACGAATTATTAAAAGCAACTCTAGTTGTTTCTCTTTGGAACTCAGTAACTTAAGTTGTGGGGAGGGATCCCTGGGGAGGGCTGATAGAGAGGGGGAAGCCAGGCACGGGGGGCATTAGACAAATTAAGGGGATTTGTTTAGTTGAAGTGAATTTGCACTGGCACTGAGACAGCAGATAGGAGTTCACCTGTGGGTAGGGTGCTGTCAAGAATCAAGTCTCTATTCTGATTTCTGTCTGTTCTTTCTTTTACTTTCCTTATTACAAAAGAAATACATGTGTCTGGTAAAAAAAAAAAAAATCAGGTAATAATTGATGTATGGGAATTCAGAGGGTATTTTTCTTCCAGTTTCCTACAAAAGAATACACCGAAGGTCTTTCTCCTCCCATTTTAGGACTGGGAGAAGTGTGAGAGTGGAATAGCTGAGTCTCTGGAGAAGCTGCGAACTTTCAAAAAGAAGCTTTCCCTGCCCCTGCCGGACCACCAGGAAGAGCTCATTGCGGAGCAGATGCGCTGCAAGGCGAGTGACTGGGTTGAGCTTTCTGGTTGGTTGGTTTGTTTGTTTGTAATAATGTTTTTATTGATTTCAGAGAGGAAGAAAGAGGGAGAGAGAGGGAGAAACGTCAATGATGAGAGAATCATTGATCGGCTGCCTCCTGCATGCCCCCCACACTGGGGATCGAGCCTGTAATCTGGGCATGTGCCCTGTTCGGGAATCGAACCCTGACCTCCTGGTTCATAGGTCGATGCTCAAGCACTGAGCCACGCCATCCGGGCTGGACTGAGCTTTACCTGTCACCTACCTGTGTGCTTCTGCTGTAATAATGCCTTTGAAGGCATAATCAGGTCACACTCCTATGGCGTCGGCATGTAGTTGCACGTTCCAGGTGTATTGCAACAGAAGTGATCTCTTTAAAGCAGCCACACGGAGAGTCATTCTAGCAGAAGAGCCTAGTGCACAGGAGGGAAGGCGAGTCTGGGCCGCGTGAGGATCCTGCAGGCAGTGGCCCTGGAGGAGCACGCCCTGTCGTGCAGACTCGACTGTAAGGAACAGCAGCTGTAAATAGCTTTTCAGTCACTGCCTGGGACACAGTCCTCCAGGCACTCAGGGCCCCCCTACTTACAGATTATGATTGACACCTCAGAGTGCACTGGGAAGCAATCAGTAGCTAATGCAGAGCACTGGCCGCATCCTGAGCTCACTGAGACCAACATGACACAGCAGCTGAAGGATGCCTTCCATTCACACCTGGGAGCCAAGGGGAGTGCCCAAATAGCAGTTCTCTGCTGAGCCACATGCAGGTCAAATCAAAGCTGCCTTTAAAAATGTTCTGTACACATCCTTGTGTTTCCTGTCATTTGCAAATCACTGCATTAGAGCAATTCTGTTTAAAACTTCACACATACTTAAGTAATTTGGATTTTAATCAGTTCTCTGCTTCACTTTGGCTAGGAAGGTAAGCATTTAAGAAATATTAATTATTAAAGAAATCTAGAAATAAGCATTGTCCTGTGGACTGAAGGATCACAGGTTTGATTCCAGTTAAGGGCAAGTACCTCAGTTGCAGGCTCAATCGCTGGCCCTAGTCGGGGCACGTGCAGGAGGCAACCAATCGATGTGTCTCTCTCACATTGATGTTTCTCTCTGTCTCTCCCCTTCCCTTCCACTCTGTCTAAAATCCAATGAAAAAAAATCCTCGGGTGAGGATTAACAACAACAAAAAAGAAGTCTAGAAATCATAAAATGTGTGCATATAAGAATTTTTTCTTGGATATTAAAATTATGGCTATTCTTTGAAACTTGAGAGAGTCCGACTTAGGAAAAAATAGAAGGTAGTAAGTGTGCTTTACATCGAGGATGGTGAGTGAAATAATATCACGAGGTATGAATGCAGAAGTATGCAAAGATTTAAGAGAGTTTGTGTTTAATCTGTGATTGTAAGTGCATGAACAATGACTGAAGAAACCTTCAATAACCAGGCATGGGCATTTATCAGCTCCTTCCCTGTGCCAGTGACTGTATCAATGTCCTCTCTGTTGTCATGAGCACAGCTCACAAGAACAACCTTTTATTTCTCTGCTACAGGTGTGAAAACTTCTAGAAGTTTAATAGCTTTTCAAAGTTAGTAAATATCAAGGTTGCCTGAGTCCAAAGGCTTTATTTTTACCACATGGACTCAAGTCAGGGAGTCTGGGAGTCTGAAAGAGTTGGTTTCTGGTGGTGGTGTTGCTTTTTAATTTAATTTATTTTATTTATTTATTTTAAACATGTTTTTATTGATTTCAGAGAGGAAGGGAGAGGGAGCGAGAGATAGAAACATCAATGATGAGAGAGAATCATTAATTGGCTGCCTCCTGCATACCTGCCTACTGGGGATCGAGGCTGCAGCCCTGGCATGTGCCCTGGTTGGGAATTGAACCGTGACCTCCTAGTTCATAGGTCGATGCTCAATCACTGAGCCACACCGGCTGGGCTGTTGTTACTTTTTTAATCTTTATACCAAATCTGATGTCTGAGTTGGGAGTTAAAAACTGTTGTAAAAATAGGAAAACCTTTACATTGGCATGGCAACTTAATATGTCTATGGATATAAACAGGCATGCTGCATATTTAATATACCTGGATGATTTGATCTTTCAGTTTTGATACTGTTACCATGGGATCTCATCTCCCAAAATACAGGACACTTACAGACATGCCCTGCTATTAAGTTTGGAGATTAAAAGGATGCACTTTGGTCCAGCTCCCTTCTACTCTTCCCCCAAACCACCCTTAGCAGCAGAACAAACAATTACCTAGAAAATTCAGGCTGAACCTTCATTTGCTTAAATTGCCTAGGACGTTAGCCTCTGATAGCCGTTAATTGCCTTTGCCTTTGGAAACTTGTCTGCTATGTGAAGAGACAAAAAGAGAGAGGAAAAGCCACGTGAAATATTCTATTTATATATTAAATTAGCTGGACTCTAAGATCATCCAGAGCTGCCAAAAAGCATTAGCTATGCAAATTGCAAAATCTGTTCAAACATTGCAAACACTAATGTCAACCTATTCAAATATTTTTTTTATGATTTTTTTTCTTAAATCGGTTCTCCCCAAAATCAGAAGATATGTATTTGGACAAGTTACTTAAAGAAATCTCTAATCTTGCAAAAAAGGCATTCAGCCCATTATTTTAATTTGAGTAAAATTATCACTAGACCTTCTCAGCTTTTACCTTATAATTCTATATCACAGAATGTAGCAATTCATAATGTTTGAACATGAAAGGTCAATCTAAGAGTTTGAGTTTTTAAAAAAATATATTTCATTAATATGATCAGTAACTCAGAACTAGAAAAATGGATGGGCTAGGAGTTTATGAAGTCAGTTTAAAAGTAAAGAAGATCAGTGAGGTAATGCAACTTCAACTCCTCAACTTACAAAAGACGATCAAAAATGATCAGTGAAATGATGATAGATGGTAGAAAGATTCTGGAGGCAATGAGATATTTTATCAGAACTTGGAAAATTATCAAATCATGTGGAAGAAAATAACTAGTTACCAAGTTAGATGTTCAAACAGAGAGTGGGGTGAAAAGGTAATTGTATCAAGAAGGGGTCTTAAGTACACTTCAGAAATTGTTGAGGATGGATGTCCATGAGTATTCAAGTTTGCGTGTTTGTTTGTCTTTAATCTAGGAATTGGAAACTGCAGTGGGCAGCTGGACAGATGACTTGGCACAATTGACGTTACTGAAGGACACCCTCTGTGCCTACATCAGCGCTGATGACGTGTCCATGCTGAACGAACGCGGGGAGCTTCTGCAGAGGCAGTGGGAAGAACTGTGCCGCCAGGTGAGAGGAATTCTAGACTCCACACTAGCTCAGGGAGGTAGAATACGGGGCCATGATTTGAAATGTCTGGTAGCGTGGCCCACGTTTGGATGGGTCTCATAACTCATCGTAGGCACAGAGGGAGAAATCTGTTATTACAGATATATTTCAGACGACTGGGGCCATGGGCCCAGGAAGCAGTGTGCGGATGATGTTTTGTTGAGTTGCACAGTTGAAACCGATGTGGTTTTGTGAACCGATGTCACCCCAATAAAGTAATAAAAAATATGTTAGGTGAAGGCAAATCATGCCTTACCATTGCATGTGAGATCCATTCATTCAAACTGGATTTTGCTCTCTGTTTCACTGGCTAGCATAATATTTTTAAGAGGAAACACGGTTCTGCGGTTCACGGTTGTGGTTTTGCTAGGTAGATATGGGTGGTCTGTTTCTTACTTTCCACGTGTGAAGACCATTGTTTTCTGTGCGGGTTTAGATAATACTGCGGGGCTGGTTCTGTCCATGGCACATTGTTACTGCCGATTTATCGTGGTTATTTTTAATAATTCAGATTATAATTGACTGCTATGTGTGCAATGCCTTGAAAGAGACCCCAGATTGGGTTTTGATTTGGAAACAAAAGGAAAAGGTTGGTGGCAAGGTAATAAGAAGACATGCGAGGCAAAAGGAATAACATTGATTAAAGGCCCACAAGTGAAGAACAGGCCCTGACCTTGAGTCTTGAGACCACACCCTCCAGGAAGCAGGGACCATGTCTGTCAGGCTCCTGCCTGTACCTGGTTGTCTTACCTGGCACATAATAAGCTGTGATGCAAATTTGTCCCATCAACCAGTCACTATAATTGTTGTGAATTTCACAAGCTATAGTAGATGTCGCTAGTATCAAGTTTACAATTGAGCAGAGACTAAAATCAGTCAGAAGGATCAATACGATGAAGGAAAAACTGGGTTAAAACAATGTATGAAGATGTAAGCAAATTGAGGGCAATGTGGATTGCGAGAATTAAGAAAATGCCTGTTGAAGAAGATACATCTTGAACTGAGATGGGGAGCAGAGGTGAGGCATGCGGCCCGCCAGCCGTGAGTTTGACGTGCTCGGTGTAGAGGGCACAAGCAGATGTGTTGGACATGGTGGCAGAAGAGTGGAGCAGGGGCCCTGCCTGGGGAGAAGCAGGTGTGGAAGGATGAGGAAGAGACACTTGAGAAGGAGCCGCTGGGCCTCCCCTTCAGGCCAGCTATGCTCCAGTAGAGATCTCTTCTCTGCCTTCCTCCCACATCCTCCGACGTTAGCAATGCTTCTCTTCACGCTTCAGAAAACATTAAAACAGCGTTCAAGAGCCTGATAGCCTCTGGATTCATTCAGCATCCACAAGAAATTTGCTGGTGGGTAAATTTCCCTCTGTATGTTTAGATTAAAAACCCTGACATTTCTCAGGCCGTGAGCAAGGGGGAAATTCTGGAGCACACTGGGTAAATGTGTGAAACGTTTCCCACGAACGCATGCTAAACTTTTAAAAAGGAGAAACGAAACGTAAGAGGTGATTTTCATAAAGGTGCTAATGTTTTGAGTTAAAAATTAATTAGCCACTTTCCACAGAGCTCCATATTCTCAGCGCAGACAGTGAGAAATTTACCTGGAGTGTGATCATGGCAACCACATGTTTTATTATTGTCTGAATTTTTTAATCCAAAATCAATACATTACATATTTTTTAATGTAAAGATTTATCATGATATGTCACATAAATGAAAGCTAATTTGGTGGGTACAAATAATGGAAAATGATCACAACACTGTTTAGTTACTTTCATGTTATTTGTTTTTCTTGAAATTCAGGAACATCTAGCTCTACTTGCTGACTCAGTACTTTTCAGTACATTATGTGTAATGATTTGGACTAGATCCGTTTCTCTGGCTGATTGGTGTCTGTACAGTTTTCAGAGAGAGGACACTTTAGAGAGAGTCCTCTGGACTCCCCATCCCTTTTGGTCTGTGCCATCATGGTCAGTGTACTGTTCCCCTCCTCTCCTTTTTCTCCTTCCTCCCCTCCTCCTCCTCCTTCTCCTCCTCCTCCTCCTCCTCCTCCTCCTCTTCCTCCTCCTCCTTCTCTTTCTTCTCCTCTTCCTCCTCCTCCCCCCCTCCTCCTCCTCCTTCTCCTCCTCCTCCTCCTCCTCCTCTTCCTTCTTCTTCTTCTTTTTTTAGAGAGAGTGGAAGGGAGAGAGGAGCAGGAGAGAGAGAGACATTCACTAGTTTCCCCCCTGCTCGCCTTTGGGTCCAGGGATTGAAACTCTAACCAAGGTATGTGCCCTTGACCAGAAATCGAACCTGAGACCTTTTGGTCTGCAAGCTGACAATCTGACCACTGAGCTAACCTGACCAGAGCTTTTCTTCTTTTTTTAATGTTTATGACTTTATGGCAAAATTATGAAGTTCTGGGGGACAAAGACTATTTCTTTTTATTTCCAGTGTGTAGAACAGCTAAGTGTTCATATGCTTATAATGTAGACAAGACTTTCGAACATTTATTTTATGTTTTTATGCTTGCGTTCCTCTAAATATAAAAAAATGACAAGGTTTATGAATATTGGAAGTTAAGAAGATTATGATTATCTAACACTTTTTGCTTTAAGAAAATGTACTGTGTAAAAATACCACAAGAGTCCTAGCTGGTTTGGCTCAGTGGATAGAGCATCAGCCTGCCGACTAAAGGATTCGATTCTGGTCACGGGCACTTGCCAGGGTTGCAGGCTCGATCCCCAGTAGGGGTCATGCAGGAGGCAGCTGATCAATGATTCTCTCATCATTGATGTTTCTGTCTCTCTCTCTCTCTCCCTTCCTCTCTGGAATCAATGAAGAAATATATTTTAAAAAATAAAAATAAATCAGTCAGAGTTTACTCATGGTTGGGCCAAAGGTGCCGCCAGGAGAGAAGTGTAAGGAGGAATATAGATTAGTTACTAGGTTTTGACTTAGTGTTTCCGGAGACATTCTATCAAGTATAAAACCACAAAAGGAAATGGGCTTGTGTCTAGGCCTCATTTTCAAAGTCACAGACGGGTTTTAAACACAGCACTACCACTCTGCCAAGAGCAGGGAGTCTGTGCTGGTTCCAATGGAAGCTGTCGATGAGCAGGCGGGAGTAACCAGGACTTGGGTGGGGATGCAGAAGATGTGCTGTAAGTAGACTGGGCAGAGGAGAGTTCAGATAGAAAAGTGTCCTGTTTTCAAATAGGCTCCCCAGATGCTTGGCTGTGACTGTGCAGCCATAGGTGATACTTGCTTTTATTCCTGTTTGGGTTTGTAGATCCTGTGTGTAATTCTAGTTGAGGTATAAATATATCACCATTGTAATAGCTTGTTGTTTTTCAAATTGTCATGGTAAAAATATTTGAAGTAGAGGAGGATGTGTTTCCTGTTCAGCTGCCTCACTCTGGGGGTTTTAGCCAGGACTCGTCAGCTGTTGGCAAAAGCAGTATGTTTATGCCCTTGAGAAAATGTAAGTGCTAAGCTGGTAAATTTGAGGGTTTCCACCGAACCCAAAGAAAGAGATATTAGCGTTCCCTTATCATGCAGCTTAAATATTAGTTTTACAAACCACAAGGAAAACGCTGTCCCCGTTATGAATTAAATCTTTTGAAAAACTTTCGGCGCCAATTTGTAACCAAAAGTGCAACTTAGCTGGAGCCTACCTGTTTCTCTCCCAGCTCTTGCTCTACGTAAGCACATGAAAGCCACACTTCCGGTGTTGATCAACACTAGAGATATATGTTCTAGCTGTTTGGTGGAGATATAGAATGCAGGAATGTCAAGGAGAAAAAAAATGAAAAACTCAAATGATGCCCTACAGGCATATACAGTGGTTGTAGTATATTAATGACCAGTTTTTGTTACATCTTTAGTATTTACTGGTCATTTTCTTAAATTATTTTATTGTTTGTATTCTATTATGAGCCTACTGTATTCCAGTATATAGGACAATGCTTGGTACATAGTAGACACTGGTTTACTGCAAACAATAAACATTTTTTATTGAATTTATTAGGTTGACATTGGTCAATAAAATTATATAGGTTCCAGGTGTACAATTCTATAATACATCATCTGTATATTGTATTGTGTGTTCACCACCCCAAGTCCAGTCTCCTTCCATCACCATTTATCTCCCCTATACCCTCTCACCCCCATTTCCCTCTGGTAATCACCATACTCATAGACAATAAATATTTGTTGAAAGAGTTTTGGAACCAATCTTAAGATTAATTTACAAATGAAAAAAAGTAAGGCTTAAGAGAAGATGATTAGCCTTGCCCTGATCATATCATTAGTAAATGATGAAGACTGTTTTGAATCTCAGCTGTGCCTGGATATTTGATCATAATGTTATATTACAGCCTGTGTCAGACTCGGGCTTAGCTGCTTCTACCTCCTACTGACTATAAATAAATGCCTCAAATGCATCTAACCTCCATTTCTATCTCTTGAATGTGGATAGTAATACCTTCCTCTCAAATAAATAGTTACTATTTTTCTCTAATGCAGTCATCTTTCCTGCAGATGTCGTTGAAAAAAGCCCTAGAATTCACTCTTGTCCATGGCCAAAATTTGGGAGAAGAGGAAGGGAGAAGCTACACATAGCAAGACCTATTACTCTTAAGTCTCAAGGGCAAGAGTGTCTACTTTTTTTCTTGGAAAACGGTTGCATTGAGAAGCTCCAATTAGGAAAATATTGTTTCAGCTTGGACATCACTGAGCCAGAACCATCAGCTGCACTCTTGACTCTGAATGAAATTGAAAAAGTCACATTCACCGGAAAATTCAAAATCGTAGGGGTGCAGGATACTGTGCACGGGGCTGTCCGAGTTCTAGAGGAAAGGGGAGCAGGGAGGAGGGGGTGTAGTCTTATCCTCGGCGCTGTCTGGAGTAGCTTAACATCGGTGACATTTGTCTCCAAAACTTTCCACCTGTTTTCTTAGCCTTTTCCATTCCTACTGGAATCCACCCAGGTAAATGCACTGCTCTTTGTTCCGTATTTTTTGCCCCCAAGAAAACTTAGGCTTTTTTAGTGAAAGTGCACGACCCTGTGTTCTGTCTACACGGAACCCACTGTCGCGTGGAGCTGGAGTGTCAGCACCTGTCATACGTGACTGTGCCCATGTCTCCTCGGGGGGGAAAGTACAGGGTTCATGTCTCCCACTTGTATTTAAGAACCACGTTCCCAGGCCTGAGCCGCAGGGAGCAGCACTAAGGAGACGCACTATTGTTCCTATCAATCCGCCCAGAGTTTGCTGGCTATTTCCCTCTGGGTAGAGCTCCACTCTGACCATCCTTTTGTGTTTTCTCTCATTTTCAACTTTCCAGCTCTCCCTACGGCGGCAGCAGGTCAGCGAGAGACTGAATGAATGGGCCGTCTTCAGTGAGAAGAACAAGGAGCTGTGCGAATGGCTGACGCAGATGGAGAGCAAAGTTTCCCAGAATGGAGACATCCTCATTGAGGAAATGATTGAGAAGCTCAAGAAGGTAGGGCCTCCTGGCCGCATCTGTTTTCACCCTCCCTGTGCTGAGGCCTGTGGTAGGTGCGGGTAGGCCGTGCACACAATTACTTTCCATCAAGGCAGCACTCTCTTAGGAACGTTTCCTTTTTTTAATATAAAATAAACTTGCATGGAAAGGCCTCCTTTACTTTAAAAATATTTTCTTTTGTTGATTTGTTTATTTTTAAGTTTAAATTTTATTTCTCAATTACTGTTTATGTTCAGTATTATTTTGTATTAGTTTTAGGTGTACGATATAGTGGTTAGATGACCATATACTTGTAAAGTGGTCCCCTGATATTTCAAGTACCCACCCGGTACCATAGTTATTACAGTATTATTGACTATATTTTCTACACTTTACCTTACCTCCCCCAGGACAGTTCTGTAACTACCAGTTAGTATTTCTCAATCCCTTTACGTTTTTCACCCAGTCCCCCAACCCCTTTAGCATCTGGCAGCCATCAGTCTGTTCTCTGTATCTATGAGTCTGTTTCTGTTGTGTTTGTTCATTTAGTTTGTTCCTTACATTCCACATATATGTGCAATCACAGAGGATTTGTCTTTCTACAGAGACTATTTTCAATTTGTTATGAAATAGAATATTTGCTGATAATGTTCAATATTTTGGACTTTTAGTTACTGGTCCAGTGGGCATCATTTATGTGTAGGAGGTAACATCACAGAGAAGAATTAAAAAAAACACACAACAACCTAGGATCAATTAAACTGAAATTTTCTTCTTTTTAAAATTTTTTTTTATTGATTTCAGAGAGAGAGAGAAACATCAACATGAGAGATAATCATTGATCAGTTGCCTCCTGCATGCCCCTCTCCCCCTTGGGGATCTGCGCCCACAACCCGGGCATGTTCCCTGACCAGGAATCATACCATGACCTCCTGGTTCATAGACTGACACTAAAGCACTGAGCCACCCCAGCTAGGCTGACATTTTTTTTTTTAAGTAAATCTTTATTGTTCAGATTATTACATTTGTTCCTCTTTTATCCCCCCCACACCTCCACTCCACCCAGTTCCCACACCACCCTCTGCCCTCACTCCCCACCCACTGTTCTCATCCCTAGGTGCACAATTTTTGTCCAGTCTCTTCCCGCATCTCCCACACCCCTTCCCCCACCAGTCCATTCCCTTTCTATGCCCCTGATTCTATTATAATCAACAGTTCATTCTGTTCATCAGATTATTTATTCACTTGATTCTTAGATTCACTTGTTGATAGATGCGTATTTGTTGTTCATAATTTGTATCTTTACCTTTTTCTTCTTCTTCCTCTTCTTAAAGGATACCTTTCAGCATTTCATATAATACTGGTTTGGTGGTGATGAACTCCTTTAGCTTTTCCTTATCTGTGAAGCTCTTTATCCGACCCTCAATTCTGAATGATAGCTTTGCTGGATAAAGTAATCTTGGTTGTAGGTTCTTGGCATTCATCACTTTGAATATTTCTTGCCACTCCCTTCTGGCCTGCAAAGTTTCTGTTGAGAAATCAGCTGACAGTCGTATGGGTATTCCCTTGTAGGTAACTGGGTTTCTTTCTCTTGCTGCTTTTAAGATTCTCTCTTTGTCTTTTGCTCTTGGCATTTTAATTATGATGTGTCTTGGTGTGGTCCTCTTTGGGTTCCTTTTGTTTGGGGTTCTCTGTGCTTCCTGGACTTGTAAGTCTATTTCTTTCACCAGGTAGGGGAAGTTTTCTGTCATTATTTCTTCAAGTAGGTTTTCAATATCTTGGTCTCTCTCATCTTCTGGCACCCCTATAATTCTGATGTTGGTACGCCTGAAGCTGTCCCAGAGGCTCCTTACACTATCTTCGTATTTTCAGATTCTTTTTTCATTTTGCTTTTCCGGTTGGGTGTTTTTAGCTTCTTCGCATTTCAAATCTTTGCCTTGATTCTTGTGGTCCTCTGGTCTGCTGTTGGGAGTCTGTATAATATTCGTTATTTCAGTCCGTGTATGCTTAATTTCTAGTTGGTTCTTTATCACAACATCGAGGGTCTCATTAGATTTCTTGAGGATCTCAATAACTTTATCGGCAGCTTCTAGACAGTTCTTGAGAGACCTTAAAAGTGTGGTTCTGAACTCAATATCCTCCATTGACAGTTTTGTCCTGTTTCTTTGTCTCCGCATTTTTTATGCTTTCTTGGTGCACCCCCTAGTGGTCTTTGTGCGCAGTCTTGTTGTAGTTAAGCCTTGATTGTTGTAGTTAATACTAGGGGGATTTGACCTCCAGGCCAACTGGCTGTGAGAATCAGCTGTGTCTGCAGTGGGAAAACTTCTGTCCTCTAGGGAGGTGCTAATCTAGCCTTTGCCTGAGGCTATCTGGCAAATGGCTCTGCGCAGGGCTTGGGCGGGGCGGGTCGCATGGGATCAACAGAGCGGGTGTAGGGAGCAGTTATGGCTGCTCTCAGTCCCGTCCCCAGAGGCTCTGCCTCTCAGAGTCCCAGCAACCGCTACAAACCTCGGAGAGAAAGCTGCCCTCGCGTTCCGACCGATGCCAGGCAGTCCCGCTTCTCCCGTTTGAGTCTGGGTCCCTAGAGACTCGCCCAGAACTGGAGCTCAGAATCTGAGACTCCCTCCCGATTGAAAACAACAACCGCGTCCTCAGCTACCAGCCCGCTCCGCGCATACCTCCGCACCTTTGTATTTTCCGCACTGCGCCTCCTCTGAGTCTCATATGCTGTTCTCTTTCCTTCTAGTTGAAGAATTTCCCCTCAGCAGGTCTTCCTGTGGTTCTGGGCGATGTCCGTTCCGTCTTTTAGTTGTATTTGTGGAGTGGTTGTTCGAGGCAGCTAACTCCGGTGTTTACCTATGTTGCCATCTTGGTTTTCTCCGACATTTTCTTTATAAAACAGGATTTATAGTCACAGGAATGAGAAGTTTTCTGAGAATTTTGGTTTAGCATTATTCTCAAGTTATATATTATTATTAAAGTATTTTATATATTCACATGGATTTAGAACATTTCCATATCTATGTAGGGCTGATCAAATTTACCAGCAGTGAAAAATGCTTTGAAGATTTTAGTGGTATTTCCACATAGCTTTGAACAATCACCGTATTCTAGGTTATGTTTCTCGTTAGCACATATCACCATCTGGTGTACAGTGTCTTCTCCACTTTCTTGTTCATTATCTGTCTGCAGTGGGAGCCCCACGGGACTCTTAGCTTCCCTGGAACAGGGACTTGGTCTGTTTTGTTCAGCACTCTATCTCCTTCACTCAGAATAATGCCAGCTTCTCATAAGCTTTGTGTTAGCCGTCCCCAGTGTCTCTTCCTTTCCTTTGGTAAGAGTACCTCCAAGGTCTCTGAAAATAAATATAAATGGGTATTAGGAAAAAATTTCTGTATTCATGCACACATACAAAGAAAGATAAAAACTCCAAAGCAACACATAATATGAATTTACTTCATAGGTTTCCACTTAAAATTGCAAATTCTAAGGATAAACATTTGTATTTTTGATATCATAATTCTTTCAAATGTGGGCTGAGGTGATATAGATTTCATGTAAGCACCTGCTAATAGCGCTGCTAGTTTCTGAGCATCAGAGAATGTCCCACTAGACATGAGTAACGTACTGTAGGTGTTGTAGTGAAGTTTGCTATAGAATAAATGTTGGCTAAGTCTATCTATATTTTCATTGATTTTCTTCATGAAATTTAAGAGGCATAGTTTGGGGATACAGAAAGAAACTAGCCCTTGAATGATATACAGTTGTAATTTAAAATTTAAAATTTTTTAAATTTTTTTCAGTTAATTTTGTTACACTATTTGGCACAATGTTAGGAATCATCTTTAAAATATTAACTACTATTTGTATATAAAATAAGTTATGGAATTGAAAAAGAAGTCTTTATGAGCTTGCCTCTTGTGCTGTGTCTTTTGTACAGGAAAATAGCACTGAGGCTTGGTCATTTTAGCAATATTAGCCAAAAGCAATTAATAAACAGACTGTAACCAAGACACTGGTGTCTGCTGGAATTAACAGTTAAAAACATTTTCATCTGAAAGACAGCCCAAGAGCATTATTTCGCTATAAATATTAGGCTTAGAGTAATTCATTTGAAATAAAGATTTCTCAGTAAGATTATCTCAAATGTATGGTGAAATATTATACCTATTAGTAAGTGCATCCAATGTATTGGTCTTTGAATCCCATCATGTTGAAGTAATATAAAGAGGAGGGCAGGTGGGGGTACAAAAGATTGGGTCTCATCACTCTGGAGGAGAGTAGGAGGGCCACTGGATGGGGAGTGCAGGTAGAGGTGGAGGGGAGGTACCTTTCAGCATCACCTGAGTCATAACATTGCGTGGCCTGTCTCCTGCAAATAGGCCACATGCGGCCTGATCTCCTCATCCACAGCAATCCTGAAGAGGAGCTAGTGCCACAATTGGTAAAGAAAGGAAGCAAGTTCGAGAGCCATTGATCTTCTAAGACTAGTGGTTATTATTCTTGAGAGTTAATTTGCCATTGATTTATGTTTTATAAAACATTGACATATTATAGAGGATGTCTCTTTAAAATGAGGGTCCTACTCTTTTTTGAAAATATATTTTTATTGATTTCAGAGAGGAAGGGGGAGATAGAGAGAGAGAGAGAGAGAGATAGAGATAGAAACATAAATGATGAGAGAATCATTGATCGGCTGCCTCCTGCATACCCCCTAATGGGGATCGAACCCGCAACCCTGGCATGTGCCCTTGACTGGAATCGAACCTGGGACCTTTCAGTCCCCAGGCTGACACTCTATCCACTGAGCAAAACCAGCTAGGGCAAAGGTACTACTCTTAAAACATTCTGCATCAATAAGGATTGACAAACACACACGTACACTTACATTTATATGTTAAATACACACACACACACACACACACACACACACACACACACACACACACAGACACACACACACACACACACACACACACACACACACACACACATCGTGTAAGCCCCCTGGGCAGCTATTTGTATGAGAACTGATTCTAACTATAATGTCAGGTTGGTGGTTACAAGAAGGTATAATAACCCAGCATTAAAATCCTTCAAGTTTTGTCTTTTGTATCTATGTGTGTACCTTTGTTTTTTAATGCCGATTTTATGTAAATATAAAGCACCCCCTATTCCCTTGTAAGATATCTACATAAAAATTCAATGTGGACTCTGCATACATACCGCAAATAATAGGTTCCATTTGGTTTGTGCACATGGACGGATATTCAAAGTGTTCCTCGCGTCAGAACTACTTCCAAACAGCAGGAAACTATAATTATATGCTTCCAGGACAGCCAGGCTGCAGGTATCAAGAATATGCTTTCTGACCTCTGGGATTGCTATTTATTGCACAGGATTATCAAGAGGAAATTGCTATTGCCCAAGAGAACAAAATACAGCTCCAGCAAATGGGAGAGCGACTCGCTAGAGCCAGCCACGAGAGCAAGGCCTCGGAGATCGAATACAAGCTGGGCAAGGTCAATGACCGGTGGCAGCATCTCCTGGACCTCATGGCAGCCAGGTAAAGGGCCTGTCAGCAGGACAGGTGTGCGCAGAATTTTAACACTTTCACTCCGCCTTCCAGCTAAAGGCAACCCAGCACATCTCTCTGCGTTCTTTATCCATTTTAACCGTTTTAGTTCACCCTTTTCTCAGAAATGCCACTTGCATTAACTTTAAAATGCTCCTTACTTCGTAAGTTTAGTGGTGTTTACAGTTAGCTGAAAGAAAGTCATGTGCTATCAAAACTCTTTCCCAGGAAAATAATTCTTTTTTCAGACTTTCATGGGTATTCACCTGCTGCTAAGGAGTGAATCTGGTTTTAAAAAAAAAAGTTGTCACATTCCTACTATATTTCTGGTTAGCAAGGGAAAATTCTGATCATTGCCATTCTGCTCAGTTGTAAAAATAACCCGCTGCTTTATTGTAAATTTGTCCTTAGCTTTAAGAACTGTAAGTGTCTGCCTTCTATTTGAGAGAATATTACATTCAGTTTTTGTTGCGGAAGGGCAGGGTGAGTAAAACAGATAAAAATAAAAAATATATAAGGGTCTCTACTAGCCTATAAACGTCTGATATGATTGAATGAGGCACCATGGTATTTGATATAAAAAGAGGGAATGACTAAGTAGATGCTTTATTTTAGGTGAACTTTGCTTCATGTTGGAATGCAGGCTCCATGAAGACAGGGACCTTTATCCGCCCTGTCCACTGTGTGTCACAAACACCAGGAGCAGTGCCTGGCTGTAATCTGGGCTCAGTAAATATTTGAATGGATGAATGAATGAATGAATGAATACTTGAATGGATATTCTTTATGGCAGTTAGGAGACTTGTAATGTAACAAATGCTACTGATTTACAGCTATTTTGGAATTATCCTCAATATGCTGTTTTTTAAAGTATTTGATCAGAAGTATATATATATATGTGTGTGTGTGTGTGTATATATATATATATATATATATATATATATATATATATATATATATATATTTACAATCAATATTATTTTGTATTAGTTTCAGGGGTACAGCATGGTGGTTAGACAATCATATACTATACAAAGTATTCCCCAGATGTTTCCAGTACCCACCTGGCTCCGTACATAGTTATTGCAGTATTATTGACTATTTTCCCTAGGCTGTACTTTATATCCCCGTGATTATTCTGTAACTACCAATCTGTACTTCTCAATCCCTTTACCTTTGTCACCTGGGACCCTTGCCTTAGCCATGCTGCATCAAGCTGGACAGGAAATAGTGCCTTTTGAATACCATGTGCCACACAAACAGCATTACAGTTCCATATGTTAATTTTGAAAACACTTACTGTATTTTTCTATAAAGAAATGAAAAAGGATCAAAGAAGAAAGTGAGATCACAGTGTACTTTATTTTAATGCCACAAAAAAGGGTTAAATGTTTATCTATTTTCAAAATGTTTAACAATAGCACTGTAATAGCTAACATCTATTGAACCCTGTTTGTGCCAATGACCATGCTACAGGCCTCAGGCACATCTTCTCACATGTTATTCACAACGCCCTCTAAAGGGAGCATGATGATCGTACCCATTTTCCAGATGCAGAGGCCAAGGCTTTGGTTTGCTCATGGTCACTTACATCCCGAGTGGCAGAGCCTATGGTCCCTGACTCTACAGCCCATGTTCCGGAGCACTGTGCTCTCCGACCTCCCAAACTTAGGACTTCCTTGTCCCTGTTCTAGAAAATGCAATTACAAGGAAATTGGGCTCTGTTATTTATTTCAACAATCCAATTTCCCAATCCTTTGTTTGTGAAGTACTGACCATGTAACAGTGACTGAGCGCCTGTGAGAATACAGAGACAGGCCCTTTCTTCAAGGAGTTCATGGTGGGAACACAGACAGGCAAAGACATCAAGGAAAATGATGAGCCCAGTGCTCTAGTAATGCTACCAAAAAGAGATGGGAGCCTATGGTTCAAATAAAGCTACTCTAAAGTTTAGTCATACATAGTTTTAGGACCCCAATGCTATAGTTGGGCTTCTCAGTCACTGAGAACAAAATCTTATTTCAGAAGGAGAAATTGAACCCCCTTGTGCTATAAATACCCTTGTTAGGGAAGCCACCCCCTTGATAAACATCCCTGGATTCTTTTGCTCCAATTATGACTCATGGATTGGCTTGCATTGCCAGGTAATCCAGTCAAAGTAATTAATAGTCTTTTTTTAATGTTTAGTGGCTCAATGGTATAGAAGAATATGGGGGCCCACTATGTGAAAGATGTTTTAAATTAAATATGATATAATTTAATCTTAAGCAGCTAGCTTCGTGTATGTCCAGCTGTTAGCCAATATTATATCAAATGAGTTAGGTGCTTTCTCCTCAAAGTCATGTGGTGGTGTTGTTTTTTGTGTTTTTTTTTTATAACTTTAATGTCTGGTTTTTCAAGGGAGAATTTTTATGTATTATTTAGTTTATTTTTCTAAAAAAATACACATCAGTAAACTTGAGTCAATTAAATATCTCTAAGGTATACGTGCTTTGCTCTAGAGTCACAAAAATGCTCAGAGACTTTGTGGAGTCTCATCACACACAGATCTAACTCCCCCGGGAGGCTCTTGTATATTTGTCCACTTCTGTCTCCTTCTGAAGCGGACCGGGTGAAATGTTGACCATTGATTTGCCCTGGAGTTTTCAATGCCACACGGTGCTCATTCATAGTTTCCTTGAAGCCTTTCCTAAATGACTCTCCATCACATTAGCTTTCTGTTTCCTTGTTTATCGGAGCTTCACTCATGCACAGACTAAATGGCCGTCTCCCACACCCATCTGCCAGTGTGACCTGCCAGCTGAAATATTAAGTTTCCATGCGTCAGACTCACTCACCTCTCTTCCCTCTTCCAGCTTTTCTTCACACTGATTCATTACCACAGAGCATAACACAGATATGCCTTTCGGTATGTCTACGTGTTCCAGTGCCTTTGTGGGAATTGGAAAGGCTGTTTTTGAAGATGACCATATTTTCGGGTCAATAGCTTCCCAACTAATAGAAACACGGAAAAGGGAGAAAGAAAGAGATTTGGGCACACAGGGCAACATAGAAGTCTACACTTGAAACCCATATAATCTTATTAACCAAATTCACCCCAATAAATTTAATAAAAATAAACAAAGAGAAGGATAACAAAATAGGAAGTGAGACAAGGAGAGAGAGAGAAAGAGAGAGAGAGAGAGAGAGAGAGAGAGAGAGAATTCACTGATACTAATTTTACCACCACATATAAATAGAATGCATAGTTGTGAATCAGCTTCCTATATCACCAATGGGTTGACCATTCTGAGTACAAAATAAATGTCTTTTTCATTGAATGTTTAAATTGTCACCAAGCATTATCAGTATTTTTGGGCAACAAAATATTTGCTCAGTTATTTTCATGGCGTAATGAGTAATGTTTTAGTATCCTTTCCATACTTCCTAGGCCTGCTCAGTTCAGTGTAGCAGTCAGTAGCTACATGTGGTTATCTAAATTTACTGAACTGGAATACAATTAAACTAGAGTTTAGTTTTAATTATAGTCCATTGTACTGGCCACATTTCCAGTGTTCAGAACGCACATGAGGATGAAGGCTACGTTACTTATTGGGCACTGCAGACAAAGAATATTGCCATCAGCCCAGAAAGTTCTATTGGTCAGCGCTAAGACAATTGAAAGCATTTCTGAGCCCTTGGTTTTCATTAAGAGTCAACATCAGAAACAGTCACCACTATAATTGCTATAAAACTGTCTTCAAGGATCCTGCCTTTCATCTGGCCAGTGAACCCTGTGCCAAAGCCACACAGCAACTTTTCTGGAGCTCCGGGCGGACTGGAAGTCTGTCTTTCAGCATGAGTGGTTCTGTGCTTCCTACAATAGGAAATGCAATGTTGAACATTTCCCACCTCAGGATCTGGGATTGTCAGACTCAAGCTATTTGCTCTGTTGCAACAGCTTGTCTCCTGTTATGGATTCATGACCAATATATTCCTTTAATCAGAGTTTTCATTTATATTACTGATTGTAAAAACTTCTCAGAGGAGTGATTGTTTTATTTTAAAAATCACAATAGGCTATCTTTGAGTAGAAAGGTTTAAAAATAATTTTATTTATAACTAAGTATGCTGGAGTATATTACTTTTTTAAAAATATATATATTTTTATTGATTTCAGAGAGGAAGGGGGAGAGAGAGATTGAAACATCAATGATGACAGAATCGTTGATTGGCTGCGTCCTGCACATTCCCTACTGGGGGATCAAGCCCACAACCCAAACATGTGCTCTTGACCGGAATCAAACCCAGGACCCTTCAGTCTCTTAGGTGGATGCTCTATCCACTGAACAAAACCAGCTAGCGCTGGAGTATATTTCTTATGTAAAATGCAAGTTTGCTTCTTTTACAAAGAGTGTTTCTCTTTTAAAAGGAGTTGGCTCCTTGCCCTAACTGGTTTGGCTCAGTGGATAGAGCGTCAGCTTGCGGACTCAAGGGTCCCAGGTTCGATTCCAGTCAAGGACATGTACCTTGATTGCAGGCACATCCCCAGTGGTGAGTGTGCAGGAGGCAGCTGATCGATGTTTCTCTCTCATCGATGTTTCTAACTCTCTATCCCTCTCCCTTCCTCTCTGTAAAAAATCAATAAAATATATTTTAAAAATAAATAAATAAATAAATGAATAAAAAATAAAAGGAGTTGGCTCCCACAGCCAGAGCCCAACATCTTGTTTTATTTTACTTGCAATTTGCTTAGCAAATGTTATTTATTTCTTTATTTATTTGTGTGTTTGTATACCTTCATCCAAAAAGGATTTAAAGCAGCCCGCATGAGTCACATTTTATTAAATTACCAGTAATTAATAACTTGAAGTTTCTTTTCTTTAAAAGCTTAAATTATGAAATTAATATAGACTCAGTGCAGAAAATTTGGAAACTGGAAATTCACCAAAGAGAAAAAGTTGCCTGAAATTCCACCAAGCAAATGAACAGATACTTTTTAAAAATCACCA